ACTTAAAATAATTTAGAAGACAAGGGCTGAGATAACAGCATTCAGTACAGAAGCCTAAGGCTAGGCAAAACCCTCCCAGGTGACAGCTACAGCCTGATATTATCATCAAGAAATTAAGACACGTCACCAGACCATCAGTGTAAATGTAATTATGTATATCTTTCTACACATGAATTCTAAATGCCTGTTGCTGTGATCCTTGGGTCCTTTTCCAGCTGCTTATTTTATAACCATCATTATCTTCCCTGGCAAAATTTTGCGATGAGCAGTACCATAATCAGTTAAAATAAAACATAAATCCTGAGCTGTTTCTCTTTCTCTAAGATGGGTATGTTATTGTTCCATCTTGTTGAAGAATCAGTGAACAATATCAGGCATTTTCAAGGAAAGTCAAAGGTCACACTGGACAAAGTACTGTAAACTAGCTAAAACGTAAAGAAGCATCGAGCTAGGTATACAATCTCTGCAAAGACACACATAACAGAGAGAATGCTCAAAGTTTTGGCCCTTTGAGTAAAATGACTATAACTGAGCTTTCAAACTGGTATGACGTTGTAATCAGGTGTATGATAACAACCATAAGTTCACCAACTTTGACCTTTCCTCTATAATAGATTTTATCTTACTCAGATAAATACCAGAGGCCTATTAGCTACTGCACCCTTCCTACACTAGCCTTGAAAAACTGTACACACTGGCTGGATCAAAATCATTGGTCAATTAGGACATGAGCCAAAAATCTGTTCAGCTCAATTTTTTTTCCATTTGGCTTTGAAAAGACTCCATCCACAAAATTCATCCAGATGACATAATGCCAACCGAAGCAAACTAGATGAGTTAATTCACCATCTTGGCCAACGCCTTGGCCCGTACGCCCACCTGCCAAATCCTGTCAGAGCATATGTCATGTGTAGGAGGACACGAAGAAAAGGGACCATTCTCACACATTTGGGATGTGTCCAAAGGGTTATTTGTAAGCCTGCAGGGTGTGGCAGGTAAGCCTCCACCTCAAAGAGAACAGCACCCTCCCATGTAATTGGCTCCATCAGATCAAGCTGCATGACATTCCTTCAGACTGTTTTAAGTGACGACTGCCAAAAGACAGAGCTAACTACCATCAGAAGGGGCTATCTCCACTCTGAATCAGTGGTGGTTGATGGGATATCATTGTGTCATGGGCTCAGGTTTCAGACTCTGCCCTCCGAATACACAGTGCAAACATAAATACAGTCCTATCAACGATCACAAACAAGTGGAATAAGACTGGTAAACAAAGACTAATAGCCCAGCAACATGCATAAAAAGCACTTACACCCAACAGCTACTCACCCCAATAAGAGATCCTCTTATCAGAGCCGGGGCCGTTCTAGTGAATCAGAGGAAGGATGCATCCTCAGGCAAAGCAGAGATAGGGACCTTTGATAGAATTAAGCCAACGTCAAACAGCCAGTAGATGAGTTCTGTGAAGATAAAGCAGCCAGGACTGACAGGTCTGATAATGGTCCAAACAAAGAGAAAGTGGAGATTAAGGGGTCCCTTTTCAGGCAGTTAAGTGAACTGCCCAGAGGACTCTCCAAAACATGGCTCATCTGTCACGGACAGGAGGAATGGATACTATCACTAACGCTTCATCCCGGGGACAGATAGCATCTAGGAATGCATGTAAAGAATGCTTAGTCTGCTGGACCACGCCATGGATATCACCATGGGTCTAATTAATCCACGTGTGTTCCATTCGACAGGTAAACTTCAAATAGACTGAAGGTGTCAAAAGTTGTAGTACAGAAAATAAGAGTCTTGTTGCTGCTGAGTCTTTTTTTGCTTTTGAACATCATAAAGAATCATCAGTATCAGTTTTAGTCTGTTTCTAAACTGGATAAAAAGTCCTCACAGTGCCTTTAAAATACAATAACACTTAAAATACTAATAGTGTGACTGCAAACTATCCATCAAAAACATTACAACACCTCTAACAGCACATCCCTATAGAGGGTTCTTATACCGAAAGGATAACAAGATAAGGTGCCAGATAACAAACGGCTGTTACTGCTGCGCCTTCTACTCAAAATAAGTGTAAACTGTTCTCAAAACTGACCAATTTTTCACAGTTTACATCCCCTCTGGAACTTTATACACTCATAAATGTGGCAACTGAAGGAACCTGTTGATTTTTTAGCCAGTTGATCAGTCATGTCAAACCATAATGACGGACACTATGCAGGATGACGCAACAAACAAATTGATTTATGGATTATTAAAATAGTTATCTTGAATAGGTTTAGAACTCAAAGGTTAGCCATTGATAATGAATACAGCTGTAGTATTTGGTCAAGAGTTGGTCAAAGCTGGTCCAAAGCTATGAATAAACAGATTATAGAGGGTGGAATAGGTTTAGATAAGGCTGGGCAATTTGGGGAAAAGTTTATCACAAAATATTTTTTTTAGTTGATATTGATATATAACATGATATGAAAAATTCACTTGTCAATCTTAAATGTTTCCTTCTACTCTTAAATGAAATTTAACAGTGCATGTTGGTACTCTACTGCATCTGTGAGGTCTTTGTGTCTCTTTGACGTTTTGTCATAAGGCGTTGCGCTAGATAAAGCGTACTGAATGGTTGGTTCAACGCGGCGCGGACCCGGAGCAACACCCGTTTTCATTGGCTACTCGTATAGTCTACCAAAACATGGCAGAATGCCAGCTATCAAAAAGCATATTGACAGTGTTTCATATCAATATCGAGGGAAATTGATTTTTGATAGAGATCATTTTCATTTTATCACCCAGCCCTAGGTTTAGAGTGTGAAATAGACCTGAAGTAGACATGTTAAATGGATAAACCTGTAGCACTGCCTTTACACACTGTTCATAATCTATTCATATACTGTAAACTAGTGCAGGTAAAGAAGACTGCTTGATCTTCTCTGATCTGGCCATGAGTAAAACTGATTGGAAACTGTTATGGGAATAATCATAGACAACATCAAGCTTATGTTAGAAGACACTGTGATTGTGAAATATCCTCAGATAACATCAGTTGTTGAAGCAGCAGCCTGTTTTTCTTTTTTTTTCTTTCAAGACTAGCAAACTCTAAGACATGCTTGCAACAAATTCAGTTTATGTGTTTTTTTGTGTGACAAGATAAGAGTAAGGAAAACTCTGTTGCTCCCTGCATACAAATTCAAACAGCCTTTTTCTAACTTATAGCCCTGGTTCTTGAAAAACTGCCCCCTCTCCACATTTGAAGCTTCAAAACTGAGTGAAAAAAAATGATGTGCAGTTAATGCTGAGGAGGCAGAAAGTAGAGACAGTCACAGCACTCAGCTGTAACACAGTCTGGCACAACACTAACAAAGGAAATGAGCAAACCACACAGCAAATAACAGACTTTTATTCAACACTCAGGGCCCCACTGCTTACATCTGAGTGCCAACTCCAGTCACTTACAAATAAATGGCTTTATGAGAAATATTGCACACAAATTACTACATTTGTCTAGACAGACCATTATTGTTGCTTTACTTACACTGGCAAACCCGAGTTCAACTTTCATGAACATGTACAGTATATTGGTATATGTCAACCATTTATGGCTTCTAAATTTGCACTTGAATGTTATTTGACATAAATCAGCAAATAAACATTTCTCACAGTGTAAAACTATAGATATGTGTTAAGCCTTCTTACCCTATGAGCTACACTAAATTACACTTCCTACAAAAATAAATATGATTTTTTTATTTCCACATGGCACTCACCCAGAAAAATATTTCAGTTATTTGAGCTTCTGTTTGATGGTGCTTGTTTATTTTGAACTTTTTGTGGTACAAGCTCCTCTCAATGAAATTTGTGTCAAAATTTCATGTTCATGTTTATTCATTGACATTGACTTTAAAGCAATACACCACAAGATGATACAGGCTAGTATGCACACAAATGTACTTACACTTTCTTCCTTTTCCACCACTCTAATGTCTGCTCTGTTCATAAATGCACAACTGATCCCAAAGGTGCAGCGTGTAGTACTTGGCAACATTAAGCAGACAAACTTGGTAGACATGGAGTAATATTCTTAAGTATGTTGAAATGAGTTTATAATGAATTTTGAATTTGTCAGCAAAGTTTTCCACTTTTTGTTACAATCAGACGCTGCGAACTTCATATGTGGAGAGGCAACATTTTATAAGTGTATGGTTTTGATTTGGGTTTGAACATCTCCAAACAGAATGGAAACTGGCAGCAATGAAGTGTAATGTAAAGTGTGGTGGTCAAATGAGGGCATCAGACAAGCTGGATTTTGAACCAGGGCTCCATCAACAGTGAGTAAAGATTTTGGCATTTCTTACCAAACAGGCAGCAGACTGCTGAATATTACAGGAGTAAAATGCTGCAGATTATAGCAGCAGCAGAGGTACACCCAAAGTGCCCCCTCTTTATGCTCACACTGATCTCTCACCTGGCTCTTTCTGCTCATGGTCTCCACCCTCCAATGAACCCTTAAAACCCTTTCACAATGGACCAAAAACATATTCACAACTCTGCCTTTGTCTACACATTGCATGGGGCTGTGCACTGATAAATATCAATAAAAACTAATAAAAAGCTGAAGAAATACCCAAACAACAGCACATAACACATGAATATGATCATGTGATCAGATCAGTTAACTGGACAGTTAAAGGGATATTTCAGCGTAAAATTAATTTAGGGTCAAACACACTGTAACACCGAGTTAGACACTCTCTCAAGAGATGAATGTTGCTGACTGCTTGCTTCTTTTGTTATACCAACTTTAGTAACGACCGCACGATAGCAATACACAGCGGTCTGAGGAGCCATAAACAAACTTCAACCAAAACGCCACTTTATAGCCACAAATAATACTCAGAACAGCACCTAACTTCATCAACAGTACATATAGGGTCCAAGTCACAGTACTAGCTACCAAACATCTTTTTAGCTTTGCCTAATTTCTTTAGCAAAGAGACTAAACACAACTCACCCTCACTCTTCCAGCAGCTGCTTGTTTGTAGGGAGACCTCAGGCCAGTCCATTACGGACTGCTGCGGGGTGACACAGCTCAAGGAACAACATTTATGATCATTACTTTATCATTTTCTTGATGTAATAATCACCATATTAATCATTTTGCACTGCAGACGTGGTAGTTCTTCTGTCTTAGCGTCTCGGTCTGATTGCATTTCCGTGAAGAATTGATCATAAATGTTCTTTCTTGAGCTGTGTCACCCCACAGCAGTCCGTAATGGACTGGCCCGAGGTCTTGCTACAAACAAGCGGCTGCTGGAAGAGAGAAGGTGAGTTGTGTTTAGTCTCTTTGTTAAAGAAATCAGGCAAAGCTAAAAAGATGTTTGGTGGCTAGTGCTATGGCTAAGACCCTATATGTACTGTTGATGAAGTTAGGTGCTGTTCTGAGTATTATTTGTGGCTTTAGAGTGGCATTTTGGTTGAGGTTTGTGTCTGGCTCTTCAGACCGCTGTGTATTGCTATCCTGTGGTCGTTACTAAAGTTGGTATAACTAGAGAAGCAAGCGGTCGGCAACATTCATCTCTCAAGGGGATGTCTAACTCAGTGTTACGGTGTGTTTGACCCATAGACTGTATATAGAATGAACGCCATCTGCCTCCTCCCCGGGTGAAGCCACTCCGAGAACAGCACCCTCTGGTGATGGGCTGCAGTATAGGTCATAAATCCCGCCTCTTTAGAAATTAATTACACAGAACATATTGTGATGTTGACATGCTTGTGATGTTGACATGTAGTTACAGTGCTCAAGTCCCCTTTTTCTGTGAAGCTCTGTTTTTAAACATTATTAGGGGGTTCATGTTTCTTTGATTGACACCTGATACAGCCTATTGTCGTTCAGGGATTGCGTAGCTCACCCGGGGAATACGCTGTTTGTGCCAAGCGTCATCACAGCGCAGCAACTCTCCCGCCAAAAGCGCACAACGCTACTGCGCAGTGCTGATTTCAGGAAAAAAGGAAAAATCCCGCAAATACCAAGAGCTTTTTGGCCTCAAATCCGTATACAGGCGGGAGACGGAACCAAGTTGTCCATAGTGTATACAGTCCATATTTTGACTCTAAATTAATTTTTAGCTGGAATATCCCTTTAAGTGTTTTCTCTTTCACTCTCCATCTCTTTCATATTTATTCATTCACTCATTCATTTCTACATCAAAATACAAATATTTGAAAGTATTTTTTTTTGTTTTGGGTTAATTTTGCTGAGAAAAACTCGCGGCAGAGCTGCACTTTTGGTTATTGTGTACAAGTTAGGACCTTGTAGATTAAAATGTCTTATGCAAAAAATTTATTACACAAACTTCCCACAAGTTGATTTGTTGAGCTAACTTCAAAGTTCAGTCTTTCCACTGAGTACAGAGTGGCTGCAGGTGGACACTGTTGTAGACATCTCAATCCACCATCTCTCTGGGAAAAGTAAGGGTAGAGCGTCGCACGATAATGACGTCCTCAGCTGGTGACGTGTCAGTTTGTTTACAGCCGCAGCCGCACAGACAGACATGGCTGTGGATATAACTTTACTTTTTAAAGCCAGTGTTAAGACTGTCAAAACTAGGAACAAGGCGATCGGGATAGGCTTTGACTCTACAAAGGATGAAATCTTCAAGAGGAGCAGACCGAAGAGTGGTTTCTCTCCGAAGGCGAAAGAAGTGGTGAGTGTTTCAACAAGCTAACTTTAGTCAACGGAGCTAGCACGGACACGGACTGACTTCATCTGAAATCATGTCTGTTTGTGTAATTTATCTATTTTTTTTTTTCGACTTTAGAATTCACAGTAAGCATAACACATGTGTACAGAAGGTCAGACAGTTCTCCTAGTTTTGGTGTTGTCAAAATGAAGCTCATAACTTAAGTACAGTGTGTACCTAAAGTGCAAAATCAGTGAAGTCTTGTTAATTTCATTATATTATCAAGAAAGGTTGAATTTGGCCTCAACTATCACAACCCATACATCACTCATGAAAACATTAATGTTCTGCTGAATGATAATTAAACTGCTTTAGATAGATAAAATCACAAGCAACATATGTGAATCATTCTGAGGGAAAATCTGTCAAAGGAAAATAATTCATCTGCACATTGATAATTCATCGCCATCAAGACTGTGTCAAGAGTGTACCTTCGCCTTTTTGTTTCCTACATCCCTTTTAAACACTAATATCTTGGAGGAACAGCTGTCATAAATACAAATGATATGGTATAATATATCTGGAGGTCATTGAATGCTGTCATCTTATACCAGGATAATAATAATAATTACAATAATTATACCCTTTTTTTGCAGTGCCCTTTACACCAAGAGCCCTCAAAGTACTACATCTTAAAAGCAAAGAAACATCACAGTAAAGAAATATAAAAACAGGTTATTGGTTAAAAAGCAAGAGAAACATCTTATTAAAAGAGTAAAAGCAAGATAAGTGGGTCTTCCAAACATTTTAATAGTCTTGCGGTTGTTGCATGTGTCAGCTGTACTATATCATACTCATTTCATCTTTTCGCTATGTGCTATATTAGCAGGCTATTATTTAGGTATTTCAGCAGCATCATATTTCAGTCATTGAGTTAAGACAGTTACTATGAAAAAATTCCATTGTAGGGATGTGCAGGGTTTCTTATCAACAAAGTTATCGATGAGTTCAGTTTGTTCCACAAAGGTTATCAAAGTCCAAATAAATGCATACATATATAAATTTCTCTCTCTCTCTCTCTCTCTCTCTTTATATATATATATATATATATATGTGATATATGTGTGTGTGTGTGTGTGTGTGTGTGTGTTGTTCGAACAGATGTTAAATCTTGTTGAGCTTTGTGTTTTTAAGAATCTACTTCATAGTCCCAATATAGAGTTATTAATGTGGTATGCAATATTGTATATACAGTACAAGAGCAGTTTTAAGGGAGTACTTAAAAGTACATAAGAAATAATATACAATTGTTTGATGTTTCAGAATGCATTTTTATCCAAATGAAAAATACGCTATCTTTACAAAGATCCACTACCTTCACAAAAGTAATCTTTTATAAGCCTTTCACTGCATCCTTCTTGTCAGAGAGGCTCCAACTATTTGACTACTTTTACTGCGCTGTGTGTGTTTAGTAGCTTATCATAATGGCATAAATTACTCTTGACAAATATGGCATGGACCTTGGGAACATTATTTTTTTCAGTCATACATGTATGGTGGTGTATGCGGTGTGCTTCATGTAGACATGATGCTAGTCACTCTGCTCTTTCCCCTGCTAGCCTGCTTTGTTACACCCTATCTTAACCATTGTGTTCCTGCAAAAGCATATCATTGCTGCCAATAATAATGATGAGGTATTTTGAGTACTCTCCTATTTAAGATCCGAAAACTACAACAATTTAACTGAAGTCAGCCTACTCCTGAAGATAAATCACAAGTAAATTGTCATCTACTGTACATAAGAAGAAACAAAGATTGCTGAAATAACATAGCGCACAGAGAAATGCTACTATTTTTACTTGAACCTAGGTCAGACTGCAGAAATGTTCAGACCCAGCCCAGTGTGGGAAGTTCAGAATAACCAACTGCTCTGCTTAAAGGTGGAAGGACAAAAGCTTAGTTGTTTGAGAGGGGAAAATAAATTACTTTGGGTCAACTTGCCAGACTCTGTATGTTCAAGCCCAGAGTATTTTTTTGCCAGCTGTCAGATCCGAATGCCACTTTCCCCAAAACGCTGACAGGTCTTGAATCAGAGCTTTGAACTGACCTAGAAAATTACCTGATGTGATTAGGATTTCAAGCTGCCAAACTAATTAGAACAGGCATTCAGTCAGCTGTGTTATAATCCTTTTTGTTAGTGAGAAAATGTAGATTTCAGAGCCTCTGTTGAAAGGCATAGTTCACTGTATCCTACCCTTGATTTAGTTTTAGGAAATTTCACATCGCCCTAAAAGTATCAATGAACAAAAGATGGCTTTGAATCTCCCATCATGCAACACTAGCCTTAATTTTTTCATGTATCCTTGAAAAACAAAAAAACATCTGCATTTGTTCCTCTGATGTTGTACTGAGGCATCTTTAATGGTTGGCAGCAGAAGAAGGTAATATGCAACTAAAAGGTTTCACTCCATTTCTTAATTGTCGCTTCTCCAGGCAGAAGTCTGTTAGTTGACATGAATATCATGAGCAAAAGCCTCTTCAAAGGCACCTTGAAGAACCACTTTATGCCTCCCTCAGGGAGTCAGGACTTTAAGTTGTACCTGATGTCTCCAACCATCAGTCTGAGCCCGGTCCCAGCAGCTCCAGACAACCAGGTTTTTGTTATGTTCTGTTACATTCATATTAGAAATGGTGGTTTAATAAAAGCAGTGGTGCTGATTCAAAGAAACCCAAACCTATCCTGTGGTGCCTGCCCTCTGCTCTCCTCTCCCCTACTGCTGTCTCCCTGGCTCTGTAGATATAATCTCAAAGTGTCTCGGTGAAGCAGCTTTTGTAGAAATTGAAATTGCGAGTTTGGAATGTCCTGAGTGCTTACAGTTATGTTGCGGTTTTCACCCACAACTCAGCCCACCATTCTTCTCTGTGCAGCCTTATACATACAGCATTTTTTTATACAAGACCCCCTTCACATGTATGATTCCATAAACATGCTGCAATAACATTTTCTTTCAGCTCTCGAACAATTTCTCGGGGAAAGCCGATCCTCCCAAGAGCCAGTGATTAAAGGTGGAAGATCAAAACAGAGAAAATATTAAATTAGGTCCCCAGTAACAATGTTGACGGCCGGCACCTAATGCACAACAGATGTGAGTGCCCTTCAAGACATGCAGAGCTCTTTAAGTTCCCACTGAAGCTCCACAAAAATAGAAAACATTAAAGATGACAAAAACACAGTGGTCCTGTGAGGCTCTTTTTTCGTCTAAAAAAGCAGCTCAGTGAGAAAGGAAATGTTGCCTCTTTCAAGGCAATGCGAAAAAGTTTCATGATTGACTAATAAGAAGGCTAGTGTTTACAGGGTGGGGTTTGGTCTGGGGGAATCTTTTCCCACATAGAGGTCGGTTTGGGGCACTGTGATCTCCATTTCACCACTCACCTCGTCTCTCCCCGCAGCATGCTGCCCCTCTCCAGTTGAAATGGAGGGGGTCACTTTAAAATTGGTAAATTGTGTGTAGAAAATAGTGCCGGGCTCCCAGCTGAGCCTCTAGTATTGGTATTCCAAAATTGGCTCCTTCTCGCTGTTTTCTCAGAAACCCTGAAAAGTGTGGCCACAAGCCAGCTTCAAACTATGCTGTTCTTTTAGAGTAGGAGGAGGGGGAGTTTCCCTTCGATACTTTGATTAATTTTACATGGAAATAGTATGCTCATCTATTCTCATATGAAATATTTTTGCAAGGATTGATCAAGTTTCAAAGTCAAATAATGTTTTTAGAAACAAATGTATGTATTTTAACAAGATTTCCAACATGGGAATAAATATGTTCTTGATTAACTACATGAGGATGTGTTAAATCACAGCTAGAAAATCAAAATATTTGAAGTGGGCTGAAGGATTGATGACTTTTGATGTGAGAGTGAAGTTTATTTTGTAGATTTGTTGCATTTAACAGACAACGTTGTGCTGATGGTGTACAGTCACTGCAGCAGATTGACATTTATGGGCTTTCATTAATGTCAACTACGCAGACATAAAATGCACAAGTGTGGCTATGTGTCTTGTTGTATTATGTCAGGCCATAATCCTAAAATAAATGTCATGTTGGTGACAGGGTGAATTTACTGTATCGAAACTTATATCTTTTCCAAACCATATTTTTGTGGGTATTCACACAAAAGACATACATGTTCAATAACTATTTCAAAGGAGTAAACTTTAATGTTTAATTTTTAAAATATGTGACATTAAATCATATCTAAAAGGGTGAAAATTGGTAGATGTCTATGACCTCCTGACAGCTAAGAAACATCTTTATCAGTTCTTCTCTCATCCGGTCACCATGTCGGCACTCAGGTAAAAACTGCGCTGGCATACAGCTGTCAGCGCTAAGGCTCGCCTCAGTCAGATGTCAGCCATGGGGAAGTGATTTGCAGGGATCACTCTGAGACGATTGTGCTGCTAAATGTTCCCTTAACCAGTTGGCCTAATCTCTGTGATGTTTTCCCACAAAAGCCAGGCAAATTGAATTTTGAGGCATCTGCTGTCAGGCCTGAGCACAATCATGACTTTGTTTCACTGCATGCAAAACAAAATGTCTTTGCATGATTCGTGAAAAATAAAAGAGGAAACTGTGGTGAAATACAGATTTATAGATTTATGTCAAACTCTAAATCATGAGACAGACTCCAGACCCAACCGTTCCAGTGGGACAAAAGTAAAGTGGAGTAAAAGTTAAGTAAAGTCAACTTGTATCGGGACATAAGCAGCAGCTCAAACACTTTTCATCAAACATTGTTGGGCTTTGTCAACAGACAATCGTAGATATTGTGAGTTAGATTCAGTGAAATACTTCACTACAGATGACAGCCGGCTACATTTTTGACCCTGGCACTGAGAAACACAAAGTCTGAACCATGAAACTGCAACAGATGTGTGCGTCCTACCTCAGAGACAGCGCTCAAGACTGCTCTTTTTGTCTTCTATTGAGATGTTAGTCCAGAAAGACACGGGGTATTTATTATGTACCGTCATGTCACATTTATACTGGATGCATGAAGTGAAACTAAAGCAGCTAATGTTGTTTAGCTAACAGTAAACATGTTGTTTATTTTTCTGTTGTGGTCACCGTCTTTGTACGGCAGATGAAGAGGATTGTTTAAGACGAAGGTCAACAGAGAAATGATTGTTTTCAGAGCCGAGTGTGTCTGTTTGCTGCTTTCAAGGTGCAGACCTTACAGGTGTTTTAAATGAGGCCTGAGCGTGACAGGATTTCTACAATTTGTCATTCACACAGATGAATTGTCTCGTGTTTGCAGGCAGACACACTTGCGTACCGTTGTTTTTCCATTCCTTAAGCTACATTGTGTTACTCAGATCATACACAGTGCATCAGATGCTGGTGATACAGCTTTTACTTTGTGCATAAGAGTTGTTTTTTTCTGGATTGCAGGCTTTAAAACTAAAACAGCAGGAGAAAGCTGCGTTGTCACAGTCTGGAATATTTGTCATTGATAATCATTAAAAAACACAAGCTATCTTTTTTCTTTCTTTCTTGTGCAGTTTAATCTGCTGTAGATCAGGCAAAAAAGCCTTTTTTGCCCTGCAGAGATTTTTACTGATTGACAGCTGCTTGAATGTATAGCAATCCTCATTAAATATATCACATATAGATGAAATTGATTTAAAGGCAAATTATAAACAATACATTTTAGTCAAATAAAGAGTGCACTCAAGATTCTGGCAGAACATCTTTGATTCACAGAGAAAATCATTTATTCACTTTATTCAGTTTACTCATAATTCTACTTTTGCTTTACACAACATTTTTCTGACGGCTACTTTTTGCAGCAACTTCTATTGTGTAACTGTTCTTTAAACCCTAATGATGAAAAAAATACAATACTGAACATTTAAAAGTTTGTCAGCTTTGACTTTTACTAAATATCATGACTGAACTCCCTTTATTTACATTTTTTAAAGACTTATTTTGGACATTTTTATTGGAGGTTTAAAAAATAGTTTAAGATAAGATGTACCTTTATTAGTCCCACAGGTGGGGAAATTACAGCAGCATAGATACAAATGCAAAAGAGAAATTAAAAGATAAAGAAACATATAAACATGTGTACAGCATATACAGCAGTTTGAGTTGGGGAGCAGAAAAATTGTTCATATAGCTCACAGTGTTTGACAGGAACTAAGGCATACAGAACAAACTTCATGTTTCTGTATGAAACATGATTTAAGGTTAACAATGTTAAACAGAGTCAGACACTTCTGACCATCTGAGCTCACTCTTCTAAGTTCATGACCTGTCCTGCATGCTTATCAACTTTGTCTCTGTTTTTATATTTCATTTTTGCCATCCAGGTTGTCTGTGACATTGGTGTGACAGCTCCAGCTCGTACATGTGTTTCCTCTGAAAGTGATTATCCGAACATGATGTAGTGGCTCTAAAAAGCACAAATGTAGTACCAATAAATCTCATCCAAAATCAGACAATCAGTTGATCTGTGTTAGCGCTCAGGTTTGAAGTTGTTCCATTTGGTGTTAAATGGAAAGATATAGAGATGTTACATATTTTTAGGGCACAGTGACTCCTGTCTGTTCAACCTTTTTCCCTTTATGTTGTGTTTGTTTCTTTAAACGGACATTTTGTTTTGATCTTTGCGCACAAATTAACTCAAACTGCATTTACGCACTTCTTTTTCAACATTTTAGCACACATGAAAAAAAAAAGACCCAAGACCCCGTCCATTAATACTCTTGAAAAGTTTCTCTGAAGGTGTTTTTGTTTGTTTACAGCGCTGAGTAAAGTGTTCTGACTGCGACTATCCAAAGACTAAACTGATTAGAGAGTCAAACATAAACATGATAATAAAATCAACATGTGGCTGAGTCTTCCTCACTGAAGCATCCTCTCTGTATTCAGAGTCTCATACCTAAACAGAACCTCGCATGGCGTCAGTGCGGATAGCCCGGGGTCAGGACACACAGTCAGGGACTTAAATCAAAGCGGGGTAGTCATCATCAAATTCTGTCAGTTACCTGGATTTAACAAAACAAAGAGCCATCCAAGCTCTTTGGAAATCTGCTGGCTAAGCCTTTTTCTCTTTTCTTCCTCATAATAATCCCCCCTGATGGTTTGTTTGGGCTCAACCGGGGCTGAAGGGAAGCAGGGGGAAGGAGAAAGTGAGGAGGTAAAGTGGGGGTCTTTGATGATGACGAGATTAGATGTAGCCCGGCAGACTGTCTCCTTCTGCCTTTTGCTGCGAGCTCTACCTCTCTCTCACACACACCTATAGACTGCACATATACACACATATATGCATACGTAGAGCTGCATGCACAAGGCCACCCCCTTCCTCATTGTTGAGGAATTACTTGCTCTTTAGGGTCTTAAGTTACAAGAGCAATTGATCCCCCTGACCCCCTGCAAACCCTTGAGGTTGTGCTGGGAATCTGAGCTCCAATGTATACACACAGGAGACAGCTCAAACCCCAAAGCAGCACTCTTGACACTCCGCGGCACCCCCACAACACACACACACACACACACACACACACACACACACACACACACACACACACACACACACACACACACACACAAACCTTCTGATTGACTATGTTCTTATGCTGTGGGTTTAGCACAACCTGCTGGTGAAATAGGTGCAGCACCACAGACAGAGTTTCCACACAACTATGGTTTAAGCCTAAACAAAAGGCTAGAGCCTAACTGCAAGAAGAAAATAAAGCTGGAGGCTCTTTAAGTAAACTTACAGCTTGTCAAATATAAACCAGAAAAGGAAAGTCTATTGTAGTTTCAGAGTTTTATGTCATAAAATGTTACTTCTCTACAGTGTACCAAGAGTTTCAGTAGACAATCTGTGCATTCAAGCCTTCTGTATGTTACCAAAATGAAACTCCACTGTTTTCATGCTGCGTTCCAGTTACCTCAGAAGTCGGATGTCGGAGCTGGGAACAACCTTACAAGAGTTAACAAGTCGGAAAACCAAGATGGAGGCCTACAGTTACCCGTTGTTAGCTGTTATTTATAATTGTCAGCTGTCGTAAGTTGTTGTTAGCGATACCAGTTGTAAACAATGTGTCACACAGTATTTTATTCGTACCAACACCATAGCACCATGTTCACAGTTAGACATCGGGCAGTACAACATATGCCACTTATTTAATGTCACAAAAACAAAACCGAAGTGCTAATAAATAATATATTACAAGAGCTTTCACTGTTTCCGAGTCTTTCCAAGTTGGAAATCCGACTTCAGGGGGGCGTTCCAGATGAATTTCCGACTTGTAGCTCAGAAATTTCGACTTCTGAGTACAACTGGAACGCAGCATAACACCTTTGACCTTTACATTGACCTTTCTCCAATGTGTGATATTGGTGTACCATTGTGCGATTTTTCAGGGTGCGATGAAATCTCATGATAATTCTAACTGAGGTGAAAAGCAGCCTCAGGAGATCAGAACTCTCCTGGATGATAAAAGTATGAGGCGAACACCTCAGCCTGATTTCTGTTCTCATTGTGAGAATCTGAGGGTGCTTTTGCAGAACCCTGTTATCCAAGGACAGTCCTCATTTCTTCTTTTGTAACGGCCTCTATGCAATGTTACACTGGTGTGATAGATTATGGACATTAACGTGCACTGAGGACCAAAGGCTGGTGATGGTTTGATCGTCTGTGCAGGTCAATGTCCACCTGCAAAAGCTTGTTCTGCATGGTTCTAGTTAACCACACAACTGTATCTCCATTTTTCTAGACCAAATTACTTCCAAATAGTATCACAGTGTAAGAAGACATCTGTCATCTGTGCTTGTTTATATCCAGATAGTTTAGCATTATAGAATTGAGGCTAGGGCTGGGACGATATGCTTTTCTCCCGATTCAATTCTTCTACGATTTTTTGATGCCGATTCGATTTAAATTGCGATTCTATGATATTATCGATTTTCTCGATCTTTAGCTTGCATTTTTAACACCAGTGAAACAGTTTAATGATTATGATTGTCTACTGACTATTCCAGGAACCGTATTTCCCCCCAAAATACACATCACATGTTAGTCAGTTTTCAAGATTTATTTGTAAATTTGGTGGAAAAAAAAAATCAAATTTTGAACAAAAAAATCGATTTTAAAATTGTAACACAAAAAAATCGCAATACTTATGTGAATCGATTTTTTTCTCCCACCCCTAATTGAGGCAGTAGACAATATCTAGGGCTACAACTGAGACACCACATATGATCAGCATTTTAGATCACAGAGTATTGATTACCTGTCAAACTGATAAGTAATTCTAGGGACAACTTGAATGGTTGACCATGTTAGTCGACCAAAAGCACATCTCCAGTCTTTATTGTAAGAAGCTGTATGCATCATTTAATGTTTAAGTAATGTCTTCTTGTGCTTTTTTTATTAATAGATGACATTGACATTAAATGTGGATTATTTTCAACATTTGTAAAAGAGTTTTAATTCTCTGCTTCCACCCAGAACATTACAACAAGCAGCTTGTTCTTTAAAAAGTTTTGGTTTATATATTTTGGAAATCCTCAGTGAGTGACACAAGACAACATTGAAGATGTTTTAAGAGACTCTGAACCAATGAAGGACATTTTCTTCTCCTATAAACCCCCTCCAACAATTAACTCTTGACCCCAAATAACCGTATTATTAGGAGGGTCAGCCATAACCACCCCGCAGCTGAGTCAAACGTCAGTGAAAACCAAAGAGGGAGCTCTTGGTTTCAAACAAATTGCTCTGCTCTGTTTATCTTGACACCTTTCTGCATTGAAAAACTTTTCATTTTTCAGAAGTCAGCTCAAATGAAACACCGCCTCAGGTCGCTGTGACGCTGAGCCTGAATGTTTAGAGACATTATTAGACAGCTGGTGCCAGGTTACCCCTCACAGCCAAGGCAATTTGATAATTGAGGTCGTTAGAGCGAGGACGCAGAAGGCCGAAGACAGCGTCGTTCTGCTGTCAAAATAATCTTCCACACTCTGAGGCGGCTGTCACAGTCACACTCATTGTGTCATTTTTCAATCCTCAGCTTGTCTGGCCTCTGTCTTCTCATGGATCACACAGAGCCTGCTGTGTGTCTGTATTCACACCCACGCTTACCCTGCCAACACAGCTCTGTGGACAGGGAAGCAATTTGGTCTTTTTTAATATTTGACCGAATTACACAAGCAAATATTGGATTGAACTGAGTTTCCTCTGGTTTCCCGTTGCACACACACAGACACACTCATGGACATTTTCTGGGAGATAAATAGCAACACATCAGGAATTTAAAGCTTATTAGAGATGGCTCTGTATGTAGACACTCATGCTTTTATTTATGAGAGCTGTTTGACGGGGAAATTGCAGGTTTGATTTTTGCATGTCTGTGACTTGATGAATCATCCAAAGCAAATATTGAGCATTCACAGAGATAGAAGGACATTGGTCGCCTGTCACATCCAATAAATACAAAATTATATATTTGTCCTGGCTCTTTCCAAACGTAGTCTGAAGAAAAAGTTTTCCTGGAACACGTCTATAAGAACTCTAATTTAAGCCGTGTTGACATGGTTGACATATTTAAAGCTGCAACTGAGGCGTGACATTTCAAGAGACTCATTGACATGTAGGTAACGCAGTAAAGTAATGCTTCTTGTCACTTTTCCTTGGCAGATCTCAAACATCACCAAGCTCAAAGACTTTCTGCTGCAACACAGGAAAGATTACGTGAGTGTCGGAAGGTAAGCCCCTCTCAACTTGTCACAGTGATACGCCACAACCAACAAATCAGCAGCAGAGGTAAGGGAGAGATGAAACTTTTGATGATGACGAAACTCCAAGAGTTTAGGTGTCAGGGATAATTGATTTTACTTTCAAATACATTTCCAGTGTGTGAGTGTGAGTGTGCTGCAGGGGCCGTGTGCTGGCACGGGGTCAGCAGCGTGTAGGGTGGTCCATAGCGGCAGGCTCCAGTCTAATTGTCTGGAATAATTGAGCTGCAACCAAGTGAAGAGCAAATCACGCCCTGGGACTAATCCAGGCCTTCCTCCCCTCAAGGCCCCCTCTGTGTTTAGTAGGTGTGGGTGTGTGGAGCAGCCTCATGGTTTGTTACGATTGTTGATAAAGTCTCTTCAGAACACATTAGCTAAACATTTAAATGGGTGGGGTGCAGCCGTACTAAGCGGTGGGAAAATCCATCATGAAGCTGCTTTAGCGTGGGTGCAAGTCTCCGTCAGTTCCTGACCGTTAGTTTTCTTATCAGCTTCCTTTTTCCATCATGAAATGTCGACTTTACCAAAATAACTTTCAAATCTTTGAAGAAGTCTGTAGAGGGATATCTTTCAGTTCAAGGATTGTAAAGGACACAGTTTACAAATGGCATACCAATGAATGAGAATAATATAAAAAATTCTTTCTTTTTTCATAATTTAACCTGAAAAGGCAAACTTTTATATGTTTGTTTGGTAGGGACACGTAAAATGAAACACTTCAAGCATTAATTTGTTTAAATTTTGATGATTTTTTACAAGGATGATGTTATTATACTACTTCCAAACATCAATCAAAAAAAAGATTTCAAATAGAGAAATGTCCAATTTCTGAAAAGCACAATCCATTACACACTCAACACTTGGTTGGGGTTCTTCTGCATCAAAAAGTTAGTTAGTTACTAGTTACCGAAACCAAGTTTGCCTTCAGCTCGCCTGTTTTATGTTTGTCTTTTTCTGCCCAGGTTTTTCTCATCTTCTTCTTGGCAATTATCCAACAGATTCTTTACAGAGTTCAGGTCAGAAAAATTGGCTGACTGATGAAGCACACGAGTATCATGGTCATCAAACCATTTGGTAGTAATTTTGGCACTGTTGGCAAGTGCTAAGTTCAGCTGGAGAAGGAAAAACAGTATCTTCATAAAGCTTTTCCGCAGATGGAGGCATGACGTGCTCCAAAATCTCCTCCTAGACTTTAGGCTTGAAGTAGACTTTTCTGGACACGTCTGTGCGTGGCAGCTCATTTTGCTCTGACTCCAGCCTCAGTCCACTCCTTGTGAAGCTCCCTCTAGTTCTTGAGTCAACTTTTCTTCACAGTCTCAAGGTTGCAGTCATCCCTGTTGCTTGTGCATCTTTTCCCAGCACACTTTTCCAATCCAGTCAAATTTCTGCTAATATGCCCCGGCACAACACTCGATTAACAGCCGGCCTCTTCAGCAGTGACCTTAGCTGACTTCACCTCCCTGTGGAGGGAGTGGATGATTATTTCTGAACACCTGCCAAGTCAGCGGTCTCCTCATATTTGTGGTTGTGTGTATTGAATTAGACTGAAAGATACATAGTTTGTTCTGTTTGAATATTAATTTGACTTAAGGTCATTACACACCCGGGCGAATTTGAGAGGCAAATAATTCACTTTTTTTTAAACCTCATAAAGTCAATGCAAGCTTCTACACCGGCTACAAACTTCCACAGAGCGAAAAAGCGACCATAATTTTTCACCCCTGTTGCAAATTTTGCAAACATTTGTAGGCAAACTGGTGTAAAAATCTATAGCCTCATATAAACCTTACCTCAGACACGTGGCAAGCTGTCCTCTCTTTCTGCAAACGTGGAGTCATCTGATGGGGCAGTTCTTGAAATTGTCCGAGGGACATTCTGAAGTATTGTTGTAATTTCTCTGGATAAATTTAGGCTCCTGGATCGTTGTGTGGAACTCCCCCGTCTCCTGTCGCAAGTTCAGTATTGGATGTACCCAGATGTACCTTCTTTTTCTTTTTGTTATTTAATAGACTTACAACCATGACCAGGTCATCATCACTTCAGGATGTAGTCGCCATTGTTTCTCCTTCTTCTCTCTCCCCCATGTTCCCATGGAATATTTTTTTCAGATTATGCAAATTTTATTCCCATTGTACAAGGTTTGTATAGCGAAAAGTAATTTTCCCTATACACAAAACCAAAAGCATTTCGCGTCGCTTCGCTCATTCGCTGGTGTGTAATCACCTTTAAGCTCAAAAAGGAATATTCTTAGATTTTGACATTGTTTGGGCTGTTGGACACTTTTAGCAAAACTCAATAAGGAAAGTGCTGAGTCTAGAGTGTATTGAAAAAAAATGTCTTTAATAATTGATTTTTTTAATTTTTTTTTACAATATTGTAAATTTTTAGATTTACCTACACTATACCTACACTATATTATACTGTGCTTTGTCTGCATCTTAACTTAACTACATTTTTTTAGCCACCACAAGTGTAATAATCCTCAAGGAACACTGTTTTCTCCTTTCAGGCGACAGTTGATGATTTTTACTATCATCAAACCTGCTACCATTTCTTTTGTTTTGTCTATCAGATGTCAGAAAAAAAGGTCAGAAATATCCGTCACCAGAGCCAGATGTAACATTTCAAAATATTTTATAAACTTGGGAGCCCAAATAAAAAGAATGTATTTGTCATCTTTGGTCAAAAAACTACTTGAAAAAAGACACATTGACTAAATAGTTGCTGTTTAATTTTTTTTTCTCTCTTGAGTGTTTGAATCTGCTTCCATTTTATGATGTGTTGTTTAAAATTAAATACTTTATCAGCAATTAAGTTTGACAAACAAGGTGATTCAAAACTGAATTTACCAGTCCAAATCCATCATCACCACGCTGTAGGGCAATCCCTACCCACCCTGGTTTGTAGATGAGAAGAGTTTCCAAGTCTCAGAAATCCACTAGAGGGAGACATCGAGCTTTATTTACACACTGGACAGCGAGAAGACTCTGCTCTCACAGTAACAGCTGTTGCTGCCTCTGGTGTTTTGGAAATTTTCAATTCCTTTTCCACGACAGAGTTCAACAACAGAGTTCAATAAAGGGTCTTGAATCAAACAGCTGTCTTTGTGTATTTTATTATATTCTTGCAAGATTGGGGAGATAACACAGAGTAAGTATTGTAAAACAGCTGTGAGGTACTCTCCCAGGCAGTCTCAGGCATGCTCCTCTTTTATCTAACACAGGGCATCCTTAACTACGTCAAATATCAGAACATTTATTCATTGGTTTACTCTTAAGCATATAATTACATACCAGTATTATTCCCAGCTCTGGAGAACTTCTTTATCTACTTATGCATTCTTTCCCGAAACAGGGTGTCTGCAACAGGAGACAAAAGCATCTCATACCACAGTTCATACAAGGACACTCAATATTTTTCCACTTCACTGGCAACTTTGTTCAAGTTTAAGTTGCAGTTTCACCCCAAAGGAAAGAAATAAGCTCTGATGACTTCAGAAACCAGAGGGCCTATGTTTCTGCCAAGAGTCTACTCTACATAACCTTAGATAGAAAGACCTAAATATGAGGGAGCGCCTCTGTCTGTATTTACACCCCTGACAGTAAAAGTGTGCTTGGTTTGAGTTGTAATCAAACGCTGAGTATAAGAAAATGTTTCTTATCTTGACCGAACTGTGATTATTTTTTCTTCACAGTCTCATCTCATCAGACCTAACTCGCATGACGGACAATGAGCGGGACCAGATAGATCAGGATGCTCAGATTTTCATGAGGACGTGCTCTGAGGCAATCAAGCAGCTGCGAAATGAAGGTGTGTGTCAGGTGTAACATGCTGAAGGGCAAAGGCTAAATCTCTTAGATTAGAATTTTCAGACTCAAACATAAATGGGGGCCTCAGAGGAAATTGGATTTTTTGGTCATTTTTTTGCACGTTAACGAGACTGAAGAATTTGTCTTTAATACATAAATGTTTACAGCGGACAAGCAAGTGACTTCAACACAGATAAGGGAGCACAGGGGGGCCGTGCTGGACCTCATTGAAATGTATCTTAAGGGTAAGTTCATGCAGCTCATTATTTGCACATTTACATATTCCTGCCTGAGTATTTCTTCTAACTGCACTGCATGGTCTCTTAATTTGTATTTGTGTTGTTTACAGGGGTGTGTAAGCTGTACTCTGAGCAGAGAGCGATCAGAGTCAAGAGAATGGTGGACAAGAAGAGGCTGTGAGTATTTGATAAAATCATGGCTCACATTTCAGTATCATTTAAGGGTTTTTAAAGATTTCTAAAGAAAATTGTCTGATTCCATGGCCCTGCTCTCTGTGGTTTTAGGTCAAGACTAGCTCCAGAGCACCACCGTCAGGTGGAGAAGACACCAGAGGTGGAGCCCACGGAGGAGAAAACTGTCAAGGAGGAAAGTTCTGGTAAGTTAGTGAGTCTCCTAAGACGCTGGGTTTCAAGGACACTTAACGAATTCTTTCAACTCTTTATCATTATTTAGTATCTCGTATTTAAGCTGTCATGTGCCCTTTTAGGTGTCTTTTTCCTTTAAATTTGTGCATGTCAGACTTAAAAGCTTTATTGTACTGCAATTAAAGTTGGTCTTTATAACTTTCTATTATCTGCAACTATCATTACATTTTCTTCAAGTGTTCAAATGAAAGAATAGTTAATATTTGTCATTATATTTCACTCCTTACAAGTACAGATCTTGAGATAACATGGTGAAGTTCTCCTACCTTGTCTCTCTCCCATATTTTTGATCACCCGTTAACATTTTTAAAATTACTTGATTACACAAAGGCAATCACTGCGTGCACCATCTGTTTCTTCCCCATTTTCAGCATATTTGATTACATAGTTTAATCAAAAGTGCTGCTAGGAAGTGCCACGGTTTAATATTTATGATTCAATCAACAGATGATTCTTGATTGTTTTTCAGACTTAAACAGGATCATTACATTTACCATGAAAATGACTTTATTACTTCTTATTATAAATACATTTAGCATCTTTTAGGGCGGGGGTATGGCTTTTATCGGACAGAAGTTAAGCACAAATCAGGAAGTTAAAAAGACGTGGGAATCACATTAAACCAAAATTTCTGGTCAAATCCAACAAGCAGCAATGACAAATGTTACAAACTTTATTATTACCTAAATAAATTCAGAGAAAATTTCTTAATATTCTTTCTAGCACCTCCACAAACACTACAATTTACCTAAATGACTCCACTGGGTTACATTATTCCCTTTCAATAAGAGAATCAGCAGCTAAATGAGGTTATTAGATACAGGAAATTAAGTTACAGAAAATAAGATTTTGGAGAAAGATGAAGACGTTTCATGTTGCTGTTTTTTTTTTCTTTTATTAGAGAAGAGTGTAACAGAGGTCCAGGACAACCCTAACCCAGTCAACCTGTGGGAGGAGAGCAGAGTGGAGGATGAGCTCTCCCCCGAGGAGATCCAGATGGTATGGCTCTTGGTAGACCTCTTAAAATCTAATATAAGTAGATGATGAAGTGTATCCAAACTGTTATATAACCATTGTTAATTTTCTTGCTTTATTGCCATGTGTCTGTTTAGTTTGAGCAGGAGAACCAGAGGTTGGTGAGCGAGATGAACAGCCTGGTGGATGAAGTCCGGTGAGTCACCCTGAATAAACACATTACTCTCTCTTTTCATTAAGTCTGTTGTGCCCGGGGTTTTACCAGGAGATGTCATGTTGTCCGCATGTCAGTGGCACATAAATGAAAAGTATTTTTAGAGGAGCTCTGAAAAGTCTCGATACACTCTGGTGTGAATGGGTGACACTGTGTTGCATCCTGCCATTTAATTTGAAAAATGTCAGGAAATCCCTGGTGAGAAAGACGGCGGTTATGTAAGAAGAAACAAACCCTGTTTGCTCACATGCCCACAAAGTCAGTGAAATGCTCTCAGTGAAATGCTTTGAACAGATGTTTCTTTGGTGGAAATTTGAAAATAACAAAGCTGGAGATTTCTCTGCAGACTATTTTTGTTTACTTTTGTTCTCCTTCAGGCAAATTGAAGGGAAGGTGGTGGAGATTTCTCGGCTGCAGGAGATCTTTTCTGAGAAAGTCCTTCAGCAGGTGAGCTGATTTTTTTTTTTTTCAGTTTTGTTCACCTGTTTTATTTAATGCCCAGAGTTGAACACAGACGTGTTGTCTGCCCCACCTTTTAACAGGAGACAGAGATAGACAATATTCATCAGCTGGTGGTTGGCGCTACAGAAAATGTCAAAGAAGGCAATGAGGATATACGAGAGGTAACACACCTTGTATTTACAAGTCATACTTCCCATATTTAGTGAGAAATCTGATCATTACAATGTGTTTTTTCTTTTTTTCATTTCCATCTCAAGGCCATTAAAAACAACGCCGGCTTCCGGGTTTGGATCCTGTTTTTCCTCGTCATGTGCTCCTTCTCTCTGCTCTTCCTGGACTGGTATGACAGCTAACAGAGCTCGCCAGCATGGACTGTATATAACAGCAAGGAAAATCTCTGACTCTGGCACATAAGAAGGGGTGTACAACACTGAGACTGGATGTACAGTTTTACATGCTGGACCTGATGAAGATTCTGGGTCCAGGAGGAGAGTAGCAGATCAGCCTTTTGATGCCTACTGTCTATCTTCAGTATTTAAAGCACTTCTTTGCCATCAGGCTTTGTATTGCTTGAAATGTGTGTGCATTTAGATGGTCTGTCTTTCTCTACCACTGATGATAGTAATGATAACAGTGGTTATAAGAAGTGATATTGGTTTGAATGGCAGAGACAAAAACACCCTTATGTCGGTTTATTTATGGAACAGATGAGCAGATACTGTGTAGACTGGCGTTTCACCGACTTTCTCATGTACACTTTTTAGTGACATTATTAATGTGTGTTCCTAAATGACTGGTTAATTAAACACTAGTGTCAAATGTGATGTTTTTTTTGTTGTGTCTAAGGCAACTGTAAGCATCAGAGCATTCTTTGTGTCAATCAGAGTTTCACTGTACCCACACACCACTTAAACTCAAGTAAAATGAAGCATTGTCTCAGTGAAATACTGTGTTGTTTTTATTGAGTGAATGGCATGATGATGCAGCAGTTAGCACTTCCTCCTCAAGAAAGAAAGTCTTTGGTTGCCAGCTGCAGCCCTTCTTTCTCCTTCCGCAATGCCAAGAGGTGTGAGCATAAGCCAGAGAATTTTCCTCTTTTCCTTGAAGATGTCAGATGAATGAATGAATATCTTATTTTTGTGTCCGGAGTTATGTACGACTCCTCCCTTATGGAATCATCCAGACACATTCACTCAACTTAAGTATTACTACCAGCAGGCATCATTTAGAAAATAGGATTTCACACTTAAATAATAACACATCATATCCATCCGTCCTACCCAAACTGATAGATCATCTTCAGGCAAATTTCTGTCTCCCAGTTCCCATAACTACTGATATTAAAACACATCTGATCTGTGCACAAAGCCATTTCTGTAATCGTACAAATTCTACTTTACTTATTTTTCATATTTTTAATCCTTATATGTCAATTTGCAATAGCTTATTAATTGCATATTTATGTAAGCTTTCAGTTAACATCAAGAGCACCAAAAGCCTGTTTGTCAATGTCAGTCGGCACGAATGGTTTTTAGCAGGATATTTTATTCCCACTGTCTCGATATTTGAGCTAATTACTTTTTTAAGAATTAACTGTTACAATAAAAGAAGCTCTTCATTTTTTCCATGATCCACTCTCAAGAAATATTAAACTGTAAATCATCACTCTGTCAAGTTTGAGGGCCTTTTCCTCACTGATAGGATTTACTGTTGAAATAGCTTGATTTAAAAAATCTGCTTGGACATTGGCATGAAATGTGGGCACTTTATTTCAGCTTTTCATTTAACATTTTTATGTAGCAAATGCACTTCAATGGCAATCATTACATTGTTTGAAAAAGGTTCATCCTTTGTGACAGTTTAATTTAAAAGACACATACAGAAAAGAAGCAACAGGACAAGCAACTACTGTCAGATAGTTTCACTACATCAACCTAAGTCTAGTATCTGTAATGGCTACAAACAGCCATAGAAAATGGTGACATTTATCAATGCGAAGCATTGCACAATACAGTGTCTTCACTAGAAAAGCAAAAACATTCAGTACAGTGGCAGAAACTGTATGCTAAGAAAGTATCCATTGAGTGAGTCAGCAAAGAAAAGCACACGGTGTTCACAAAGAGTTCAAATGAATGAAAACAATCATTAATGCTGGTTAAAAAGATCTGAAGCATCAAATACGAAAATCTCCCTAACAGCACCTTGCACTGCGCTGGCTCAAGACAACATCATTAAAACTGTCATGTTTATCGCTGGTTAAAAGGTTACCTTCAGGTCAAGCCTCATATATTCACAATATCATGACCATGAAAGAGTTTAATACAGATGACCCCAGGGGTAGACAGAGAATGAACCACCTGCTGAGGTCAGACATGCACTAACAGTACTTAATGTGTTTGAAAAGAAAGAGAGAGAGTAAGGGAGAGGTTCAGGGCAAACTGTTTTCAGAGTCCCGCGCGCATGTGAGATAAAACAAGCGACGCAGACAATACATGGTTCACAGTCATGTCACAATGTGAGTATTAAAGTGAGTTCTGTTACAAGTGTGTGTGTGTGTGTGTGTACAAAGACAGTGAGTGTGTGTCAGTGTGTGTGTTTTTTTGTTGGCTTTATCTACACATTCACCACCCTGTTTTTAAAGTGTAAATAAATAACAACATATGCGATTCAAACAAACCATGAATCCACCAAACTGCAGGCTTCTTCAAAGCTTACACAGATTTCCTGCTATGGCACACATCAGCAGACCAAACAACATCAACAAGGCAGCAGAGCTCCTCAGGCAACAAGAAAAGTACATTTTTCACCCACAGAAAGCCAGGGACCGCTCTGAGGTTTGCTTGAATGGCACAGCCAGGTTATTATTTATTTATTTTCTGCAGCAGGTGAGGCCGCCCTCTGAATTCAGCTTGGTTAGGCTAGTTTCTGAGCAGTCTCCGTCTCCTGCTGTGTGACCTTCTCCTCTGACATGATGGTCATCCACGGTGATACTGACCGGGTGATGGTCTGCTTGGCGAGGTTGTAGTGGTTGATGAGGGTGAAGAGTCGTCCACGGCCCCCGGGGCCTTGAGGGGGAAAGCCACCATACATCCCGGCCGGCATGCAGCGACCTTGCTGCTCCAAAAAGAAAGGGAACAAGATTTAAAATACCAGCATGAGAAAAAAGAGACAACAACATAAAGAAAATACAACATAAACTAATAGCGACTAACAATGACTTGAAGAGTAATGTCAGATTCTTGAAAAACTGTGTGAGCTGTGCCAGCTCTTAAAAGGGGGAAAGAATGGCAGATGCTTGCTTCAAGGTTTGGTTTGGTCCAGTGAGCCCTGTTTGAACTAATCAAAAAGCTCTTTCCTCAACCACAGCATGTGTCAGATGGAAACAGGGCGCAGTTAAATGAGGCTGTCAATAACATCCAGGCCTGCAAAATTCATAATTCTAGGAACTGTAGGAACGTCCCGTTCTTTTATTGACTCCACAGCCCAGGTACCAGGAACTATTTTAGTCACCCGAACCCCGTCTAGAGGAATCATTTTGCTTCTACTTCAGAGTGGGTACTCTCCCAGCACAAGAGAGTCAGTGAGGGCTCACAAAACCTTAGAAATGAAGAAAAACACCAACAAATGGATCAACTTTACAGTCCAGGCATTATTGAACGTTTATATGACTGAGAAGGTACAAGCTGGAACACTCAGCCCCTGTATTTGTCAACAGAGCTGTCATTGGAAGTAGCTTCAAATGTTATGGCTCCCCAGCTCCTAAACATTTGTGTCATCTATTTTGATTTACGCTCCAAAGTGCCGCCTCGAGTACAAGCAGAAGAAAAAGCAACAGCTGGACCAGGAGTGACAACCTAGCTCCTCATCCTCTTTCTCCCCAACACATGTACTCAGCCATCAAGCAGCACAGTGCAACATGAAAGGTCCTGGACAGACAGACAGAGGTCATGGTTTGGACTGTCAGGACTTGACATTGCTCTACTGTGCCTGTGAGAGTTTTTGCTCTGGTTTTCACCCACAGAAAAAAAGGGAAAATTTTAATTCAAAGCATGAAGGTCAAAACTTGAATATATTCTTGAAATGACATACTTTCTGTGCAGTTGGATTTCTGTAGAGCAATGTGAAGTAAGTGTTTTCTGAGTGTTCTTGAACAAAGCATCGTACACTGTGTGCCATAAAGTCTTTGAAGGTAAATCAAAACTTTTGGATCACAAGATTCAAAACAGGTACAAAAAAACATTATGGTGTAATGCTAAATGAGCATTTAGTCAATGCATAGTTACAGTGTCACACTTTGTTTTTACAACAATTCAACTACGCTGACTAAATGAAAATCAAAATTTCTGCACCTAAATGAACATTTTATCAAATTAAATTCTGTAAGGTAAATTAAGGTAAATGTTCAAAATCAGAATAGACATTTAAGATTCATTATTCCATGTGCATTAACATCTGATATACACAGTTATCTTAACTAGTAACATGTTTAGATGGATTTTTAATTAATCGATTGAAAGACAAAGATTTCAGAGAACAGCTGATATTGCTGTCAATACTAAAATGCATTATTCTGCACATTTGATATGCGGGGTTAGGGTTCATTAGAATTAACTCACAAAAATAATGGTGATATTGGCCTTGTGAAGGCTGATGCCAATGTGATGCTGATCTAGTCAAGATACCAATTATCGGCCAACCAATTAATTAATCGGTCCATCTCTGTTTCATAATTTTGTAATGAATGTAATATATTTTAAAATGGCAGGCATGAGGTATTCTATATAATTAATTGTACTCAAATGTCCTTTATAATGGAACAAAATATGGGTAAAATTTAAATTAGCACACAGCCTTCACTGCACCAAAATGTCACATTCACACTATCACAGAAGAGCGACAATTGTAGTAACACTCCTGTTTCCACAAAATCAAGCCCTTTTTAAGTTTATGCATTTAGATCGTGGGATTGGGGTGGGAATGAGGTGGGAATGAGGGGATGGGCTGGGGTAGATTTGGGTATTCTTTGTTTCTTTTATCCTTTTTTCTGTGTAAAAAACTTTGTGCTACATGGTTGTGTATGAAAAATGCTATATATATATAAAGACTGACTGATTGATTGATTGATTGATTGATTGATTGATTGATTGATTGATTGATTGATTGATTGACTGATTGTAGTAAGTTGGTTAACATTAATAGACAGAAGAGTTTATCAAGAGAAAGTATGCTAATAAGTGTTTACCGTGTAAATAAAGCTGTCAGGGCAGGGCTGCTCGTACTGATAGACCTTGTAGACGACCAGAAACACCACGCACACCAGGAAGGCCAGGGCACAGATCACCAGCAACGTCACCTGTGTGAGACACACAACAACTTCATCATCAGACCTGTACGACAAATCTACAAGATGTGTGACAGTGACAGAAACAAGAATAACAAACCCAGATTGAGCTTTCATGGATTATTTTCTCTTTCCTTTTCATAACAACTTCAATAGCAGGTGTAGGTGTACAGATGTACTAATCTATACTTTATATGGGTGACTTGTAGCCAATTAGAGACTTCATGCAATGAAATACTAACTAGACATGAAAAAGGTTTGTATGACCATCTGTAAACTCCATCACTCAGATCTCAGGGGAGTTATGTAACAGCTACAGATGCTCGACAGGGGAGAGACAAGGTGTGGGAGAAATCCTCCCATTATTGCTAAGATGTAAAGAGCTGTTCAGAAGTTACTCTGAGTCTGTAAATGTGCGAAACCTTTTACTGAATTACTTTCAAGCAACATCTTAAATGTAATATTTACATGACAGACATGTGCGACAGAGCAACTGTAAAATCCTGATGTGAATGCTGATTTTTGTTGCATGCAGTGCTGACGGAATATTTATGAGGATTTCTTGGATTAATAATTGAAGTACATTTTGTTCCTTGTGGTTCAATCGCAGGTGTGACAAGAGTAATAAACTCTATGTGTCATTAGAATAAAAAGGTATTCTTCTATCCTTCTTTTTGAACCCTGCCATAACAGAGCAGACAAGGAAACCTGCTCAGAGGAAAGCAACAGGAGATTATAAAAGAGACTATGTGCGATGAAAGGGCCGCCTGCTGCATTTCAAAGCACCAGTGTGAGGACGAGCGATGTGTACTCTGAGACACTGATGCGTCTCCTTGGCTTTCAGATGTTTTGAGAATTAAAGCTCTATGATGAAACGGGGCTTGGCACATCCCAGAGATGATTTCATCTGTTGATTCTGAATATGGAGGGAGATTATTGCAGAGCCTGTGCTCAGAAACTGTTTGAGTTTCATTTCCTACATTTGTAATTCAGCGAACATACCCTGCTGGAGCCAGAGTTTAGACTTTTTTGGGGCTTTTTATTGAAGAACAATATATGTTGTCTGATGCTTCTCTAAGTGTGCACAGTTAAACACATCTGCCGGTGAGGGGGGTGGTGGGAGTGATGCAGCCTTTGGAGGCCATCGCCATGGCAGCAGCTGAATTAATGAGCATTTCAGGGCGGGGTTAAGTGAGTCATTGTGCATTATAGCTCCCTGTGTAGCCCTGCAGGATAACAAGGCTGCACAGGACACAGGACACCTCCACCTCCACCTCACACGGGGGGTAAGATGGAGGTGTCATGAACTCATGAAGACAGAGTGTGTGGCTGGGATTGGAGATGGGCTACTCTGATGGAGGGGACAGCTGTCGCCTCCACGGCTCATGTGCATGTGTGGGAGTGGAAGAGAAATGGGAGAGTGTCTGAAACACAGATGGCGACAGAAGTATCAATCTTACTTTGAGTCGCTCTGAAACGCCTTCGATGATGCTTATGGAGAACTCTGCGATTTTCGGAGATCGTAGCTTCCCCTTCTTGCTCTCAGCATCATAGTCTGCCTTTGTCTTCACCACCACCTGAGAGAAAAATACACAACACATACAGAAAAGGACCAGCTTTCAGCTTCAGGAGCAATCTAAAAAAAAAAAAGAATAGACCACACAAACTCAACCTGGAAAACATTAGATGTATTTTTGCACACATGGAATTAATATATTTGCTGAATGATTAAAAATGTCATACAAATGTGAATCCATATGTGAATCACCTTCTTAATTAGACTAATTGGGATTACAGATAACCAAAATAAAGGCAAGTGTTTTAATTTAACACCAGATTTAAAAGATAAAAGACAAAAAATCATACCTTATCAGGTGGAGGAAACTGCAGCTGGCTGGCATCTAGCGGCGTTATGAGGGGAATGGTGTCAAATCCGTCTTCAGAGACCACCTTCCCGTTATTTTTCTCGCTGAAATTATTCCCCAGTTTAACCATTTTCCTTGCACTTCAACACCAACCTGAAAGACGTACACAAATGCGTTTTAATGACCATTCTTTGCTCCTCTATGATGATTTATGGCGTATTTTCTTTGCAAACAGCAGCATAATATAAGCCAAACGATGTGCACGGTGGCTTTGTGGGCCGGGAGACAGCCTGTTTTCCACAAAGCGCAGCAGAGAGGACACAAGGCTTCGACAGAGCAGACAGATGCGCACACGTGAAATAAAATCTAATGTACCGAATTCAAACACTCACCAGCTCAGATTAATGTGGGGAATTCAAGCAGCCTGTCTTTCTTGGTGTGACTGCTCTGTGGATCCGGTGCTCCTGGGTGTTTTTAAGGTGTGACGCAGCCGATTTACCGGGGAGCTCGTGCACAATATGGCCAGCCGGGTTTACGCGTCGATTTTCCTCCGAGCTGGATGCTGCTGCTGCTGCTCGTGGCTGCACTGCAAGTGATGTAACGTCCTCATCACAGACACACACATCTGAGCAGGGGGAGACGTTTTACAGTTCAAGATTTTCAGCAATACTGTGAATAGAATTATTATTATTAGTGTGTTCACAGATAAGGAAAATATTTTTTTTTCATAGTATTTTTAGAGAATTTAAATTGAAGTTAATATAAGTAAACCTGGGATTTTTTCCTGCTGCATTCAGCATTCGAAAGAATTGGCTACAGCAGCAGATTTGAGACACTTCTACACCTAAAAAAATCTGACTTTATGCAGAGATAGTGTTGGATTTTTTTGTGGACTTAATATGTATTATGTAAAGCCAGCCAGTGATGCTTATAACTTCAGTTTTATCTTTATATTTAAAGAGCTTGAATCATACGTTCAATGTTGAAAGATTTTTGTTAAAGCTCCTGTGAGGAGCTTTCTGTTTATGTTGATTTTGGAATCCCTTGTGGACAAAGTGGGTATCCCTTCTTTCTTAGCTAATTTTGTCATGTGTAAGTGTACATTGTGTATTTAAACAAGGTTATTAACCATCTATATGGTGTCATTATAAATCCTTAAACTGTTAACAAACACTTGACAAGTCATTAATAACTCAATTATTAACAGTTTACTCATGATCTATTAACTACTTAGAACGGATCGTTATTATAAACTGTTACCAACTATTTAGTTTTCTAACGTGAATATTCAACTTCCAAAACACAAAAACTAAATAGTTGGTAACACTATAATAACTATCCATTATAACTAGTTAATAGATCATTAGTAAACTGTTAATTAATAAGTTATTAACTAGTTATAATGAGTAGTTATTATAAAGTGTAACCAACTATTCCGTTTTCCATAACTGAGACTGTGAGACATGGAGAGGAAACAGGTGAAAAGGTGTAAATTTTTTGTGTTTGGAAGTTGAATATTCACACAGGTTGACTACTTTTATTATTCTTACATGAATGACAGAGTTAAAAAGAGATAACTCATTCAATCACAAACATTTGAGTGGGCATCCATATCAATAATCATTACTGAAGTGAATGCTAGGACATAGATGATTGGACTGCATGACATCTAACCTGTGATCCACCCCTTTTGTTCCTCGGACAGACTGTCAAGTCACAGACAGTCTCTAAATAGGTATGGAAAATTACTGTGATAAAAGGAAACCAGAGCATTTACAATGCAAATACTCCACACCTACATAGATTCAGCCTTTTCTCAGCCTGGAAATGTAAATATTCTGAACTTTTTCTGCAGCATGTGGCCAAGGATATTTGTCGTTGAAGGGTTAAATAAGCTATAACATACCAAGATGAGTGAAGTATTTCTTGTGATTTTCAGCAAACAACTCGGCAAAGCATTTTCTTTCAGCAAATTCTTCTTCACTATTGACAACTGAAGGTCGGACTTTTTCATGTTTTGAGCAAACAAAGCCCTGAATGTATTTCCATCATATACAAAGAGATGCTGGCATGAGCTGTATGTGCATAACATCTGGTACCTTGTTGCCAGGTTACAGGGTGCAAGGAAAGGACGCATAAATGAAAAAGGCCACTCTATTATGAGGGGACAGCTACAGAGAAAAAATATTGATCTCATAACAAACAGAAAACTCGTTTCTGCCTGCCTGGGGACCATGACAGTGGCCTGTAGATTTCACTCCTGATAGACACAGCTTCTTAAGGATTTCAATGTTTGTCTTTGCACTCACGTTTGTCCTTATATAATTCTTAGACTAGCAAAATACACACTCTATCAAAACATAAAAAAGGCATGAAAAAGAAAGTAAACAATGAGGCACAACTGTTTTAATGTCCACACTTACTGTTGGCAGCAGCAAGAAGATGTGTTGCACTGGCTTTTGCTACAACTAGTTGACTTCTCAGTATTAACCACTAGAGGGAGACTCTAACTCACTTCTTTGCAACCCATGCATGATTTTTTTAGTGTAATGATTGCTGCTGCCGTTATATGGGATGATGATCTTTACTTCAGTTGACAAAGCTGTGAAGTAATGAAAGTGACACCTCAACAAATGTTTACTTTCATGGATATGTGATGCACAGTTTTAGGGAGGCAGTCATGAAACTAAAATACTGCAGAGGAAAGACCACAGAAGAGTAGTGTACAGGTAAAAAATTATACAAAAGATCTGCATTCTAAATTTTGGTAAAAGTCGCATTTAAAACTACTAAGATTAGCAATAAGACCCATTCAGCAGGACTCACATTTCTGAATATTGTATTTTACACTATTGGATTGTCCTGACTTCACATTGACTGACTCAAATATGTCACGGCTGCAAGGGGAAGGACTAATTTAATTCACATGTGCATTGAATTTTGTATATTTTCTGGTTGCATGTTATTCATCATTTTTGTTGAACTATATTTTTATTATAATGTAGAATTACAAAGGCAGCTCAGCACTAAAGATGTGGGATAATTCCAGAGCAGTTTAATTTCAGTTATTGCCTACAAACTATTGTAGAGTTAAAGCACAGCATTTCAAAAGCAAAATCTGCAATAGCTGGATGTTTTCAGGCTCATTTCATCTTACCATGTCATTGTCATTACACTCTACAAAATATACTGCACATAAATGTTTCATTGAGATCAATACTTGAAAAGAAACCAGATTAATGGAAAAACAGAAGCACATTTACAGTAAATGACATGAATTCAGTCTTACTGTGTAAAGTACTTTCTGAAACTAGATGAAAACATTTTTTACCACCGTGACATCCGTTTGTTTTTGGGTTAAGTAGATGATTCACAGCCTTTTAAATGTGAAGTTATTTTGGCATTATGCATTTGCAGTACATTCTCATTTCCAGTTAACATTTATTTGCACATCAAATCAATTGGATTTGCCACTTTTAGGGTTGGAGTTGCTTTTTCTTTGAGTAGAATTACTGTGTCTGAAATGTGTGACTCACACTTCAACCACTGAAAGGGGAAAACTGTGTTTATGATACAAACAAGCCATTACTGTGAGGCTTCAATTCTTAAGTGTACATAATATTGCAATGCTGCATGGGAATCTACACCAGTTTAAAACAAACAAGGTTGTAGAAGTGCAAGTAAAACTATGTATGGTAAAAGTGGAAATAAACTGAGAGGTAAATGCTGATACATACAGCAGCTGAAAATGCTGAAAATGTTTCACTGGTAACTTCCACAGTGCAAAGTGTGACTAAACCTTGTAACACTGAAAACTGCTGTGTCTTTAAAACTCCCTCTGCTCTTGGCCCTTTGCCCAGACTGTTCATTTCCCATTTCCCATCCAGCCACATGGACTGAGCTCCGCCACGCAGAGAGAACAAGTTTTTTCACTCAAAGAGAGCGGCACCTCCAACAGAAGTCGGGGGGGAAAAATCCATTCACAGCACCTTCAGGGATTTCTGTCACTTTCTGAGGACCTCAACTTCCCAGGAGATCTGTCACCACCCGTCAGCATTCAGAGAAACTCAGGTATGACTTACACAAACTGTGACAGCCGGCCGGTCTGTCTGTCTGTCTGTCTGTCTGTCAGGTGCCCCTTTAATCCTAACACTGCGAGTTCAGTGTCAGCGTGTTTGCTTTAGCTACTGTGTTTTTTTGGTCTTAGCCGGCCAGAAAACTCACTGAACATGTTCAAGTCCTGTTACAAAAGTTTTACTGCAATGTTTAAACTTTCGTCTTTTTCCCAAACACTAAGCCTCTTTTCATTAATCTATAATTCTAATCACAAGCTGGTCCAGGAGTCTTTGGCATGCCATATTGGCACTGAGATGTACTTGTGCCTATTATTGAACCTACGTACGTTGATAAGTGCTGCTTTTGTAAGTTTTGAAGTTAAAAGGTATATAAGTATTTGCAAGGTTAAAATTTAGCCTTAAATTCTAGAAAAAGGTTTAAAAAATAAGACCAAATTGTATTTTTGGCAAGAACAGTCATGTTTGAGTTGAAATTTCTCACCACAGGCAGCAGTAACTGAGGTGTGTAAACAGGATGCTCGTATACAAACACACATCTACATACAAATGCACACAGCACTGTATGCTCTGGTTGAATGAACAGGCTCAGACGCCAGCACCAAAATCAGCAATGTTGACGTAACAACCTAAGTGACGAGTGTGTCTTCACACCACCCAGTTTGTTGTTGTGTACACTGAGGCTGCAGCATGTGAGCGAGTGTGCTGCTGAGGTTTCTGGAGGATTTTCTGGGAACATGAGGTCAGAGGGAGGGAGACACACCCAGAGGCCCACTGTGCAGGAAGGGCCAAGGGTGGAAGACACTGAGCTGAGCTTTGATTGAGTCACTTGCTGGGAGGAAACTGTAGTTGTGTTGGAATTTCCATTCAGTTGAGAGCACAAGAATTTCACTCTGGATGTGGTATTTATACTGAAACACATGGTATGAAGGGCTACATACAGAAACCTCATGAGGTCTCAGAAAGGATTACACAATCTGCTTTATTTTTGCGCATAAGAGAATTTGGCAACAGTTTCCTTCTTTTAAAAAGTCAGATTTTCTTCATAAAAATAGGCTTGTATGCTCAAAAAGAAGAAACATATTCACATAGGAATGTGGCTGGAATGATGATTATTTCCTCTCCACTAAAAAAAAGATCATGCTGGATGACCCGTGAACTTCTGGAAGTATTTAAACCCCAACTTCCTGACATCTCCGCATGTGAGCAATCTCTTCCAAACAAGTGTTTTGTACTTGGAACTCCTCTGTCTACAGACTGAGGGTCAAAAAAAAAGATTTTAAAAGGTAAAACCTGCGACCACACTGTATATGCGTGCCACTGCTGTTCGTCTTTATTGTGGCTCTGTTGCCATTGGGAAGAAACATGGCTGGGAAGTCTGAGTGGGCCGGAAGTGCAGAGAAGTGGAGGGGGGAGAGGTTGAGTCAACACAGGACTGTTTCTCAGACATGTGTCGCTTCTGGTCTCGTGCCTCTCAATAGAGACACAGAATGAGATTGCGATAACGCATAGTCACAGGCACAGATAGACAGACAATCACAGTCTGGCCAGAATGAAATGAAACTGGTGAAGGGAAATGAATTTTCTGTATCAGTCAGGGTCATAAAAAGGGTAAGAGAATTAGGCAGTAGTGACCTTCAAAAACAGTTTAAATGTTTAGTTTTTAGAAATATGTTTTTAATGGTCTTCTGATTGAAAACATACTTGTGACATTCCCAATCTTCAACATTTTCCATCAAGGTTTTTTTATACCAAACTACAAGTTTCTCTTTTTTATCTGTGGCCAAAATGTAGAAAGTCCATGTGTCCAAAAACATAATACTCTTAAAATAAATTGACTTTAAAATGAAAACCCTGTGATTCACACGACTGTACTGTGTAACCTCTATATATCTCAAAGATTTTCATTCTGTCACACAGCTGCTCTGATTTATATTTACAGTATCTATATAAAAAAAACATGGTGTATTCCTGGAGTACAACAAGCTGTGGTCGGCTGTGAGCAACACAGCACACCACACAAGCTCTCAAACACAAAACTACAATTTAAAGCTTTTAAATAGTGAAGCCAGCATGACCATTTTTTTTTCTAGTTGAACCAAAATTACAGACTTTAGTTTGCCATACTGGTAGCACAGCGTAGCCCAGCCCTGGACCATGACAGAAAGCCAAAGTAATGCATGACATACCGCCCACTGTAGGGAAACTCTGAGTAGTGATGATGATGATGATGATGATGATGATGATGGAGTCGATTTGCTTCGCCTCTTGTAGTGTACACAGCCTACCACTTGATGTTGATAAAGAGGTAGAACTGGACAACCTCAGGCAGGGAAACACGGGTTGTCTCCCACTGAGCAACAGACGGCTATTAGACGTTTAGTTTTTTTTTTAAAACCTAATTTCAACCATCTAGATTCTGTATATTTTGAGACAGAATTGAGACATTGCACTTAAACTCATTATGCAATAACTATTTTTTAAAAAAAGCATATGTGATTTGCATAACTGATCTCCAAGTACTTAACCAAAATAATTATGATAGCTGTTGAGCAACATACAGTTAATACTGATATAGCCCAGATTTAGATTTAGTCTACACTTGGTCTAAATTTAAACTGATTTCAGACCAGTCGTCTAGGCTACATTTAGACTTCTATTAGACCTCTTTTAGACCAAAAAATGCTCAGTGGGCTTCTCTCTCAATTTACATCATAAGAAACAGAGAGAAAAAAAACCCTCAGACAAAAAGAAGCTCTAAACATGCAGAACGACAGAACCAAAAGTTTTTAGTCTAAGAATTCTGCTAATGTGTCCAAATGAGGTTGCTGCTTAATTTAGTTCAAGTTTCACCAGTGTGAAAATCCTAAAATTCATATCAGACAGATGAAAATATTTGCATGACTTTATTTGTATGCGGTCTGATTTGAATAACTGTAATCCAACATAATTTCACTTTTATTCGGTAAACTATAGTTTCCTTATTTTTCTCTTCAATACAAAGGGTCCATTTGAAACATACACTTTTAATCTAAAGATTAATTTTCAGCTTTTTATGCCTTTAATGAGAAGACAGGACAGCAGTCAGGGTCAGAAACGGAGATAAGAGGAGTTAACATGAGGAAGGGGGCAGTCAGACTCAGGTCAGCAGGTAAACTGGATTTAATTTTTTATTCAATTAATCTAATTGTGTTGATATTAAACCTTTAATGGTTACATGAAAATAATTATCGTTCATGTTTAACTTCTGTCTCATCTTATCAAGATGAGGAGTGTAGATGTAACAATACCTGAAACACTCAGTGACATCAGAGACATACCTCTGTTATCTGAAGCCCTCCCTTTTTCTTTGTTAGAGCTTATTTGAAAATGGAGTACACACCACTGACTTTGCAGGTCTGTGTGATTGGGTTCAACTATGTTTGGCATGACAAAAAGGAACAACCTCTGCCTGCTCCTCAACCTCTGACCTTGGTTCAGCTCAGTTCAAACCTTGGCAGGGTGGTAAACAAGGTGTCATCACGAGAGCGACAGATTGCAATAGCAAGTTTTTGTGACTCAAAATTCTGGGTTGCCTTTGCTTTCAAAACTTTCATCACTCTGTCTTTTCTCTTGCTCTGTTTGGTCTTACACATAAGAGCACTTTTCTTGAAAATACACATGTAGTGACATAATATATGGCACCTACAAGCCCTTTTGTGCTCTTTGTTAAATGTTTGTGAGGCTTAGGCTTGCCTGAATAATCTAGAGCAATTTGTGAACCATACAGCATTTTAGTGCAGAACTAAATTTCAAAGATAACTTGTTTTTCCGCTAGCGTGCAAAAAGCACAGTCCAAAATAAATTGTTGCCTTAGGAAGTGTCACATTTTCTCACTCTGAGTAAAATAAGAGCAAACTTTCTCCAAGATTTATAGGCACTGGCACTGCCAATGATTTATACACTGAATGTTCTTGGAAAACGCATCATGGGCAGCCAATCAGAAGAGATTCAGTTACTGATATGTTGTTTAAGCACAAAACCAGCCATGGAAAGATCTCAAACATACAGTGATTTTAGCCTAGAGGACTTTAAATCACTGCGTGTTTGGCTTAACAACATCTGAAGAAATTACATTATGAAGAGGCAGCACTTGGGAGAACAGTGGCCCAGTGTTAGACTGAATACTCCCGCACAGTCAGGAACTGGTCAAGCCAGATCTCTGAAAGAGCCCTGAGCCACATCCCCACCAACAACTGAATTCTCACTTTATCTCATGACCAGCATCATCCCTTTATGGTTTAGACTTTCCACCCAATACAAACAGGCGCAGAAGACAGAGGCGGAACCCTCCCAGTTTTATGACACCTTAGTATCAGCTGTTTGATGTTTGCTCGTGGTAAGAGCAGTTAAACTGAGGGAGGAGACTTTAGCAGGGAGGGGCGGAAGGACCCACCTGTCAGGAGAGAAGAAGAAACCTGACAGGAGAGTAGCTGAACTGACAACACAGTGTATGAGGAGGGAAGGAAGGAAGGTATGTCCACAAGCTGGAGGAAACGTACAGTTGGCATGTTTGACCATTGAACTGAAGCGACAGAGGATCCAAAATGGGTGGAAATATAAGCCAGAGGAAGAACAGCAAGAGAGCCAGCTCCAAGAGTCACGCCAACAGTGTCATGTGAGTCAAATCTTTCACCTGTTTTGATGCTGAGTGATTTAGGAGTTCATCCTGGAAAGCCTGTTTCACAGTCTTAATTCAGTGACTTTCAGTTAAATAAAATGGATAGTTACTCCTCTCTCACATTTACAGTTCACGTTTGTTTGGCAATTTGCAGAAACCGTGAGAATATAAAATAAACTACAAAGTTTCACTGTTTCATAAGCTGCAACACTGAGCTTAAAACTACACTTACATTCTTCTCCAGTGGGTATAACAGTGGCTTCTGTTCAAGTGCACGCTTGCACACACATGCAAATATTCACACACCCTCAAAATGAACCCCCAGATAAAGACAGCAAACAGATGGACTATTGAACATGTTTGCTCACTGGTCTTACAGAGGAGTATGTGGATATTTCCCTATGCTTTTAAACAAACAAACAAGAGACAGCAGGATCAGGACGAGATTTTTGCAATAAATTTTAAAAAAACAATGGGAACCATCTTTGATTTTCATTTTGCAACGTTTACTGACAAAAAAAAAAAAAAGAAAAGAGTGCTGGGAAAGTTTTACACCGAGTAGTTGTGACTGGTTTGACACGATTACTTACAGGTTGCCAAAACATATCCAAAGTAGTCTTAGAAGCATGATCTCATTGTGAGAAATAGAGCTTCCCTGTGTCAATGTTTGCTTGAGGCGATTCAAGTCCTTGTGAGAGAGGCACAGTGGCATTTCTGCCCTGTGAAAACTCACAACAGAAAAACACAACGCTGCTCTTCTTTAAGGACAGCAATGTTTCCCACAGTTCACAGACCACAATCTACACCCACGGCTGATAAACTTAACTAACGTAGTTTGTAAATTGCCTGTGACTTAATTGTGCTTACAGTCAACCATGTGTCCTCATGCTGAAGGCTGAACCAATAAAACTCAGCATATCTCTTATGCTTACTTTAGTTCGCAGACAGAGGAGACTCCCTTTACTGATAGTAAACCTCCCAGCCTATAAAACAAACACTGATGTACAAAGTCATCTATTTCTCACTTCTTCTTCATGTATTGAATTCTGGTTGTGTGTCTGTCATCTCAGCCTCCTCTGATTTGACCCAGGCTTTGGCTGAGCTGTCCTGTGTTTTAGACGGCAGCATGTCAGGCTGGCAGGAATCAGCAAATCTCTCTCGTGCTTTCTCCCAGTTCTTCTGAGACTTTGATTTGGTTATAGAGACGCTGTCTAGGGACATAGCTGCAGCAGCCCCCAAACCTGACTGAGACTTTCTGATCTTTAGTTCAATCTGTGGAGAAAGAACCAACAACAAAAAAAAGGTCAACAAAAAATTCTTTAGCTGTGATAAGTATTTGAATCATGTCAGAAACTACCGGATGCTCTTACAGGGTTTTTCATTCCAGTCCCCTCTTTGCCCAGCCCCTCCCCTTTCTTCCAGCCCATCTTTTCCAGCATCTTCCGTCCTTTGTTGACTTCAGAGATTTCCCTTAAAGAGTGGAGAAAAAAACATTGTTAGCAATTCATCTAGTGTTCTTCACTTGAAGGGATAGTCCGGCGTAAAATTTATTCTTAAAAGGATATTCCAGAGTAAAATTAACGTACGGTCAAACACACCGTAACACCGAGTTAGACACACCCTCGAGAGATGAATGTCGGTGACCACTTGCTTCTCTAGTTATACCAACTTCAGTAACGACCGCAGATAGCAATACACAGCAGTCTAAGGAGCCACACACAAACCTTAAACAAAAAGCCACTTTATAGCCACAAATAATGCTCAGAACAGCACCTAACTTCATCAACAGTACATGCAGGGTCCCAGCCATAGTACTAGTCACCAAGCATCTTTTTAACTTTGTGCGGAGACCTCGGGCGAGTCCATTACCGACTGCAGCGGGATGACGCAGCTCAAGGAAGAACATTTATGATCATTTCTTTAAGGAAATGCAATCAGACAGAGATGCTAAGGCAGAAGAACTACTGTGTCTGCAGTGCAAAATGATTAATATGATTATTATTATTATCATTTCCTTGAAGTAATAATCATAGTAATTATTTTGCACTGCAGACGCGGTAGATCTTCTGCCTTAGCATCTCTGTCTGATTGCATTTCCTTAAAGAAATGATCATAAATGTTCTTCCTTGAGCTGCATCACCCCGCTGAAGTCGGTGATGGACTCGTCCGAGGTCTCCCTACAAAAAAGCGGCTGCTGGAAGAGAGTGAATGAGTTTGACTTTGCTTAACAAATCAGGCAAAGCTAAAAACCTGTTTGGTGGCTATTGCTGTGGCTGGGACCCTATATGTACTGTTGATGAAGTTAGCTGCTGTTCTGAGCATTATTTGTGGCTATAGAGTGGCGTTTTGGTTGCGGTGTGCGCGTGGAGACGTAGACCACTGTGTATTGCTATCATGCGGTCGTTACTAAAGTTGGTATAACTAGAAAGCAAGAGGTTGGCAACATTCATCTCTCGAGAGAGAGAGTGTCAAACTCTGTGTTACAGTGTGTTTGGCCCTAACTTAATATTACTCCAGATTATCCCTTTAAGAAAATGACAATGTACTTACTCGTGAACAGAAGCTGGAGCATCATCTCTCTGGAAAACACCCTCACTACCCACCGTCTGTCTCCTTGACTCTGCTCTGTCTTTGTATTTAGGGTTTTTCAGGGCTTTGGTCCCCTCAAACTCACCGGTCTGTTTACAAAAAAAGCAGGGACAGGATTGGCTATTTATGAAAAGTGGGATTAAAACGTGAACTGGCTGCCCGTTTACCTGATTCACTTACCTGCAGGCCATATTTAGCCTTCATCTGCTTCAGCTCCTTCTGCCTCAGCGCTTCTTTATCCTCTTTAGAGAGAGTAAGGCCTTGAGGAAAATGAAGAAGAGACATATTCCTCACATTACAGTTTAAATATGAAGGCATTTCAAGCTTTTTAAACATGTGTGAGCAAGTTCAGGAATCTATAACATTAATTTCTCTTAAGGTGTCTCACCTGCTGTTTCCTCTTTCCTATGCTTGCTAAGGTGAGCCATCACCTGGCCAGGTTCACAGCCATCACAGGTGTCCGTCCCTGAGTGTATGTGAAAGGACAGCACGGTCTCTCCCATCTTCACTTCATCACCGTGCATCAGTGCATGTGGCTCACACTTGGTTTTTGGCTGCATGAGGAACATTATTGTGTCATTACTGGGTGGATTTTTTTCCATTACTAAAGTGGAGCCAAAAATGAGAGATAACTAGCCACCTGTAAGATCCGGTTCCCATTGATAACTGTTCCATTCTGGCTCCCCTGGTCCACCAGCATGTAGCCCTGCAGCTCCTGGTCAAAGTACACCTCTGCATGGAACTTAAACCAAGCACAGTTCAGAGTTATTACCATCATGTAATCCTGCAACGCACCAATGAAAAATGTTGATCTTTGTGGGGAAATCGAAGAGCAGAGAAGTACCTTGCTGACTCCTACTTCTGGTATTCGGATTGCATGGTCCATTTCTTTTTCTCTAAAGAAGAAATAAAGCAGGTTGTCTTCAAGAAGTTTGGATTCATGTTTCCTACATTGGCAACACTTTCTGAAACTTTGCTGAATTACTTTTGCAGGGTATGAAAAGGTTATGACGAACCTGCCGATGGTGGCCGGAGAGTCGGCTGTGATGATGTACAGAGTGCCCACCTGCAGCACTGGTGATCTGACCACCGTTACTCTCACACAAGGAGGCCAAATTTCTTTAACTGCTTAAAAAAGAAAAAAAACATGCATTAGTCAAAAGAACACGCAATCTCAGGGAGGAAAAGTACAATTTAATTAGACAAAATTTCCCTAAAAGATTTATCTAATGCACCCATGAATTTTAAGTTAAGATGTGTGGCATGACCAGGCTCTGAATTTCTCTCATCTTCCTCTCACCTTCCTGAATCTGAGTCTCCATTTCTGACTCAGGGCTTTCCTGCTGGAGGGAGCTAGGAGATGATGACAACGAGTGATCTGACTCCCTGTGCTCTGTCTCCGACTCTGTGATCTCACCCTCCTCCGGTTCACTGCTCCCCCTTAGGTCATCACTCAGAGCCGGGCTTTTTTTCTTCTTCTGCTTTTTTGACTTGGATGATTTTCTTTTCTTCCTGGATCTTTCCCTCTCATCGTGATGAGAACCGTTCTTCTGTTTCTTCCTCTTTGAAGAGGATTTCTCTCTCTCGTCACGGTTTTTCGAAGAGTCTCTCCTCCGTGGTGTCTGATCTGGACTGCACGACCTTCGCTTCTGTTTTTCAGGTTCCGTTTTCCTTTTAGATGTTCGTTTTTCGACCCACTCAGTTTCCTCTTCTTTCATTTTAACTTCATCAAATGTGCCTCCCTGCTATCAGACAGTCAGCAGTAAGATCAGTATTTCCATTAATGTTCACTAACAGCAGGCAAGTTGGCTTTGTAGATCCCATATCCAATCTGTTGCCTGATGCGGATTTCATGGTTTCAGTCTTCAGGGAGACTTCACTCCTGATCTTCTCCAAATTAAGTGATCCTATTACAAGTGATCCAATCCTCTACTAATTTCTAGCCCATGATGGTGTACAAATTTATGAGTGATCTTTTTTGAAACACTCAAGAACTCATAGTGTCATGCTAGCAAGTCTGATGACCTGTGTCATGAATCAGTGAATGGTTGGTAATTCTACTTCAACTTTTCCAAGTATCCCTCCCACACACACACACACACACACACACACACCACTGACTGTCTAAATCATAGTCAAACACTTCGAAGGTCTGCCCAAAACTAAGGAGTACCCATACCTGTTAAGTGCTGTTGTATGTGATGTATAACTGTAATTGCAGAAACTATTCTTGCTCAAATAAAAAAAAACTGGACAATTCTTTTGAATTGTTTTCAGTCTTGATATTAAAAGGTGTACCTCTGTGTGAAGCAGTATCCCAGTAAGAAGAAATCTTCATTTTAGCCAATGACTTAGTCACCTCTTGCACCTAGGTCAGAGGACATTCTTTTAGTCTGCTGGTCTAGTAGTTATTCAAAAATAATAAAACAGATATTTGAAGACTGAAACCATGAAATTTTTGACAAGACAGTGTTTTTAGGTGAAACTACAAAGTCCAAAGCCAGCTGTCAGGTATACACAAACAACAAATCTCTTCCTGCATCTAGGAAAGATCCAGGTGGTTACCTTTTCATCCTGATGCAAGGTCTTCTTGAACCACTTCTTGGACTTTCTGTCTTTCTTATCAGCACCACTGTTGTCTTGATGAGGCTCTGCAGTAGTTTGTGCAGCAGGAATCTCAATCCGGGAATGAAATTGGTACTTCCCACTCTCTGCATCATAGTAGTAGTAAATGCCTGTGTTGGCATCATAGTATAACTGACTGACCTGTGGAGGGAAAAATGTGTCAAGTTACACCTCTAAATTTCTGCTATAAGCAGCCTTATCTTACCATGAATAGTGTAAGTGACAAACCGAGTCATAGTAGAAACCAGTGCTGTGATCATAGTACATCCCAGTAGTTTCATCAAAGACAAACCCAGTCTGTGTCATGGCCTGTTCTGCAGTGGCTCTCAACATGTCTGCTATGGATCCTCCATCACCCTCCTGTAAGAGACAGCATTAACTCAAATGTCTAACACACACAAATCAACTATTTCATTTTTGTCATGTTTCAGTACATAAACAACATTATAGAAAAACAAACCTCTGCTGGCACTGCCACACTGCTGTCAGGTTGCTCCGGCACATCAGCAGCTACGGCTTCATTCGTTGCTGACACCTCATCTGCTGGACTGCCATTAGCTGCACACGCCGCTGATTCCACTGTATCCAATCCCTCCTGAACGTAAGGGGCCTGTGTGTCCTCGGTGTATGTGGCCTCTGGGTTCTGACTATAACCTCCATAATAGTAATTGTAGTAGTCTGGAAAAAGTAGAGATAGTTTCAACACTTAACACCTTATCTTATAAAATATTCATTTTACACACTTAATGTACATAAAAAGAAACCAACCAGTTTCTGTCCAGACATATTCCTCTGTCTGGGTCTCACTGCTGACTTTGTCTTTATCTCTTTTCTTACGGTCATGAATCTCTGCACTCAGCTGGTCCACCTGAAACAATATGTTTTCATATTAGAGGCAGACAGAAGAGCAGTGCCTAAGCCATTTAGAGTGAATCAACTGACACAAAAGCAAGGTAGCTACAGTATACTCTCTTCCTGGTTCCTATAATTTGCGTATTTCAAACATTACCATTTTCTTATTTTAATATTAGTAGGGAGGAGTGGGGTAAGGTGAGCCAAAGGGTAAGTTGAGCCACCCCTTGTTGTCCAAAAAAATATTTTTCACTCTTTTAAGTGAATTTAGTCTGTCATAAGTTTTATTAGCATTGTGTTCAGACCAAAAAAAGATCATTTAAATTTGTTTTAGACATCAATTGTGGTATCTAGGAGCTACAACATGAGGTCAAAGACCTAACATAAGTCCACCATTTTAGCTTAGAGGACTAAAAAAGTCATGATAGTAGTTCTGGGGTAAGTTGAGCCAGTGGTTCATCTGAGAAAGTAAAGGAGTCTGATGAGAGGATCAGAGTTTCAGTTCAGATTGTTGAAATGTGTTACTTTTTCTTTTCAAAAATACAGCTGTGAATATTCTGAATCACTTGAAGACATTCTCATGTTAAAACGTTTTTTTACAAAACAGCTTTTTAGCAGTTATATACAATAATAATAAAAAGAATTATTGTACCAGTTGAATAGCGTATAATAGATAAAAATACAAATGAATGTGAAGAAGTGACTGTTATTTAGGAAGATAGACGGTGAGGGAGGGCTGGGGTGAAGAGTGGGGGGGGTAATAGGGATATGGCTCAACTTACCCCGCTCCTATGGTCAACTTACCCCATACACGAGGTAAGTTGACCATAGGAGACCACTTTTTTTGGCATGCTGTATTATCAAAACAGTTATGTTTACACTCATTCTGTTGGTTTGCAGGAATGCACAACATGTTGAAATATATGTAGATACACTAGTTAGAGACAAAACTATGATTGCCTTGATGTAGTAATCTGAAATATGAAAAATGGTTCATCTTACCCCACTCTCCCCTACTGTCGTGAAAAGCTCAAACAGAATAAACCCATGAAATGCAGACAGAGGTCTGTCTAGTAGCTCTTCTGACTGTCGTGATTGTCTGACCTGTTTCCTCAGATCCTCGTTGTAGGTCTCTGTGCTCCTCTGTAGTCTCTCAGACTGGTTCAGTTGTTTCTGTAACTTGCTCAGCTCAGATCTGCATTCACTCAGCTCCTGCTGCAAAGACTCCACTTTCAGTCGGAGCTCAGCAACTTCACACTCCCTCTCCTCTTCTCCACCTCCATTCTCCATTAATTCAACTAAAAACGAAAACATCAATGTTTAACACCTCAGCAGCATGATGAAGTCTGTTAATCTCATTAATCTGTAAATAAACCTCTGTGGCAGTGCTAAATTAACCAAACATTAGTTGCCCCGCTTTGAAACCCTGAACCGCTTACCCTTTGCTTCGTGCTCGTCTCCTCCGCAATGAATTTTCTGTCAGCCCGGCACATGAACCGACCTGAAAATAGTTGAAAATAGACATTTTGTAACTACAGAGTGTTTCTGACACAGCCGGGTACATGTTATTGATAATTTGACAGTTACAATTATAACCGTTTCACTGTTTACTGTCCACTCTGACCACAACCGCCATTTAGCACACTAGCTAACTACGTCACTACGAGGCACTTCTTCTTCTTCGGGTTCGGAGGACTTACGCTTTCCCCGGAGAGCTTTACTGCCACCTATCGAGGAACACACAGACAGTCCGAAATATTTTTTTGTTTCAAACTAATTTCTAAGTCATTATTTAGTTTAACCTTATTTTCCATGCTCTTTTTAAATTTCCATATTCAATTTTGACGTCGATTTCGGAGCACGGTAAGCGTCATAGAAAAACATACATGATTTTATTTGCTTACACTTTTCACAATCTATTTTGTTTAGTTTATAATATTCTGTACAAAGAATATGACATTAGTTTGTGATGAAGGTGAGTGCGTGGATTTATTATTATTATTATTATTATCATTGTTAAAAAATGTAAGTTGCCACAAATTGTTAATTTATGGTAAGATATTTAATACCAGTAGTTTCTTGGTGAGCATGTTGACTTTTACTGTTGTCAGGCGCATCAAATGCAAACAGGTGTCAAATGCAAAAGAAGAGTTTTTGTGTAAACTTTAAAATAAGTATTCATAGGAGTCACAACATGCAAAACAGTTGTTCCAACATAAACATGTTGTTATGCCTTTTTACCAGTAGATGTCACTGCAACACAATAATTCTGCTTGTACTCTGAGTACTTCTTGGGCCTGATCGGGTACAAATTAACAGCAGGATGTGTACTGTTATATTCTTTTTTTTTTAACCAGCAGCTTGTCATCTTTTTCTTTATGATGATTGTGCACGTCTTACTGTTCAAGTACTCTTTCTCAAAGTCTACTTGCCGTTTTAGGGCCTACATCACCACTGAATGTGACTCACATTTTCTCACCGCTGACCTCAGCTACACACTACTTTACTTTTTCAAAATAGCCATCCTCCCTGTCACTTCGTCATTCATTTCCTCTGTGTATCCACTCTTATTTCCACATCTAGGAGACAGGCTATTACATAACGAAGTGGCTCCACTGTCTCCTGAAAGTGATTACAGTATCTCTATTCATGGCAACAGTGTTTCGAAATACCATACCCTCCTCAGGGTGCATGTCATGTGTTTATGTGCACATTTTATTACTGCATTTCTTCTGACACTTCAACCATGAAGCTAAATAGCAGGATAATTTTGTTAGTGCATGCAAACCTGACATGGAGACTTAACATAAACATGTCATCGGGCGTGTTTGTGCGGAGGCAGGCAGAATTTGGGTTGCGATGTTAATTGAGGAGAAACTCCATGATAGTGCCAGAGAGCCAGATTGTTTTCCTTTCTTGACATCTTCAGGGACTTTCTGTTGCCCAAAGATGCCTTTTTTCGGTTCCTCCTGCTGTGTTTGAAATCTGAGCTCTTCTGAGTTTTGTTTAGATTCTGGTGGAGTGTCAGACTCCTTGGCAGGAGTCTGGTGGCTGTGGTGGTGCTTTGAAGAATAGGGCGGTCTTTTATCTGGAGACACACACAGCTGCTGTCAAGCTACCTACCGATGTTTATTGACTCCATTTTTAGACATAGAGCTTTTAAAGAAGTGGAGAAGATGGAAGTATCAGCTCAGGTTTCTTTCATGTTTTTTTTTATGATTTGCAGTAAAATACAGTCATGATTTTATGCAAGGAGTGGTAAAATGACACCTTCCTTATGTAACATAATGATCCTGGCTTCTATGTGTTTTCTACCGGCCCAGCCTCACTGTTGGAACAGGGAGACTGGATCTGTGGCAAAGACAATAGTTCCTCTCTGATAGTTTATTGTTAAAAATAACTCCCACAGATACAGAGAACAGAAACACCATCTCTCTAAATTTTCTTGTGTTGTAGCTTTTAACCATATAGATAACACCTTAAGAATTTTGACACTAATTGTTATCCATGATCCTTTGTTTCAGAATAAGCCTTAACTCTCCACCGTAGCTCAAAGACATAAGAAGCCTGGTGCTTCCGGTCATTTTACCTAACAGACAATAAAGTCATACTAGCCCCATGATACAGGCAGAAAAGTGATCCATAGGCTTCCAGTGATTATCTCTCAGTGCTACCCCCTATTTGCCCATAATCATCACAGGCAGAGATTCCCTTTGCCTAACCCTAGACTACAAGCTCCACTGGACCCAGACTTTTAATAAGAGGGCAGAGGATGAACCCCACCCTCTTGGTACAAAGTGGAAACTCTGAGCCTTACTGAGGCACATTTTTCTCTCCTTCTCCAGTGGAATTAGGGAGGAGTTTTTTTCTGCTGGTTGGCCAAGCCAAACCCTGAAGGAGCTTGTGGAGGGAGAGCAGACTATTACAAAACAATATAGATAGATTGCGCGTCCGTGACTTAATCATATCAGCTTGAATGCACAAAGTCGGTCTCTGTTTGATGTTTTCAACTAATACGTGTGTGATCTCTTTTATGATTAAGATGGTCTGTAATATAAAACTGTTCTCCTAGACATGAAAGATTTTGGATGAGTTAGTTGCCTCACCTTTACATTTTAATTTAAAATCAGCAAATTGACTTGTGCACATATTATTCTTGGCTGAAATCATTCCTCTTACCAGTTTAAGGAAACATCTGTTTTCTGTCAAAAATCTCAACTAATTTAGGATTTTTGAAGCTGATATAAGTCACTGTATTAATATGGACAAAACAACACCAAGATAAATTTGGAGCAATCATGAACCTAATGTTCCTGTGAGGAGTTTTTATTCAATAATGTTTAACTATAATGGTAAAAGTGATGACCTTCCAAAACAAATGATATATTAATACTTTTTCACAGTTTTCAATGCCAGTAACCACTCTGCGGATGAGGGCAGGGGATGGAGTTATGTGTCAGACTAGACGATTGATGAAACAGCTCTTTTTTTATCCACTGGAAATGTTTATAATAGGGATATATTGGACCAAGAGGAGACAGAAGGATGAGATTTTGTTTCCATTCAGAAAACATTACAGAACAAGATCAGGAAAAAGGTGAAGGGTATGAAATTGTTTTCAGGAGGCCAGAATTAGCATATGTGAGGGGGGTATGGGTACATAATAATCAAATTTCAGAGATTAAACATCTCAGAATAACAAACAGTAATCAAGCCCATGACATTAACAAAAGGACTTCATTTAAAGGCTATCATGATGAAGCCAATGGTAAATGTCTCTGATTCTGTGGCCACAGATTGCATTGAAGCAGGGAGTTTAAACAGCAGTCAGAAAGATAACTCAAAGCTGTACGACCATCTCTGACTTTATTTAGCTGGAGGGAGTTATGAGGCATTCAAGAATTTAATATTTCCCCCATAAAACACAGGGGGATATAGGTTACAGGTTATAAATAATTCATAAGACAACAACAAATATTGTGTGAGCAAGAAACTTGTCCTTGATGGATCAAGTACACACAGGAGAAAACAAGGGGCCTGGGATGGAGCCTTGGGGGACACCGCTAGACATCAACAATTACTGAAAAGAATGTGTTTTTGACAAGTAGGCTTTAAATTAGCCTGAAACTTGAGGGTTGTTTTCCATAAGAAGTTTTTTGTATGTCACAGTTCTTATGGTCCACATAAAGAGTCTCCAGTTGACACAAAGTAGTGACTTTGCTTTTTTTAGTGACATCAGTTTAGAGCAGTGGTACTCAACTGGTGGGTCCCGACCCAACACCTGGTCAAAAAAGTAAATATTTAATGCGCATCTGATGTTTGACATGTCTTTTATTTTGAAAAATAGCTTATTTTGAATGGCACATGTCGTGGTCCTCCTCGGTTTCTCATTAATGTGGCCTGTATGCAGTAAAGATACATGGTTTTTTGTTTATTTGTTTGCTTTTTGTCTTTATTTTGTGCAATTTGATATTTATTCACTTTTGTCCATGCTGTTGCATGGTCCTCCCCTAGTTCTTATGAATGTGCTCTGAATGCAGAGTTGCATATAAATCAAATTTTTCATTTTGCTGGTCTCCATTTTGTGCATTTTGATATTTACTGTATATGCAACTTTAGTAGTTTTCGTCCTCAGTTCATGTGATCTGAAATTTTTAATAAAAACTAAATTCGCTTGGTTTGAATTTTATAAAAGTAGGTTGTGACTTAAGGACCATGGGAAAATGTGGGTCCCAGAGTGAGACCAGTTGAGAACCACTGGTGTAGAGAACAGTCTCATATAGTTGATCAGACACAGAGATATGATGTCTTCATTCACTTGCTTTTATTTGATGATTTTTAACAATTTGTTCCTGCCTTAGATTTTACAAAGGGTTTTTAACAATCCATTAATTAGTGTATTCAAAGAGGTAATTCCATGTCAGCACAGTGGTTTGAACTGTTACCTCAGACAAATTGAATCCAGCCAGGTAGATCTCCTGAGGCTACCCTACAGAACTGGTTCCCCTGGTCATGCATGCCTGCCACTGGATGGGAGAAACAGTTAACTGTTGAAGTGCCCGAGGAGGCAGTGGAGGCTTTAAAATCCAGCCCCACATTCCTAACCTCTCTTAGGGCTATAAAGTGTGGAGCCCCAACAGTTCAGCTCCTCCTCTTTCTCCTCCTTCTGTGTTTGTTTTCTGACTCCCTCCTCTTGCTTCAGAGTGCATGAGCGATCTGACAGGGATGTACCACTCTCTCTAACCACAGGGGAGGAATTTCACAGTTTTGAGGAGGTGCGTTTGCTTTTAGAGCTTCTAGCTTCCTGCCTCCCCTACTGAGCTTTTCATCGGTGGACTGGCCCGAGGTGGAGGGTTGGAGGGGGGGTTTCAGAGAAGAAGAGAGTGAGAGAGAGCTGCATTTGGAAACCCAGCTGATCAGAGCTGTGGTATTCAGCTATAGAGGCAGAGGAAGAGAAGAGAGAGCGTGACTGGAAAAGAGAAGAGAAGATAGAGAACTCAGTTGATGTTTTTGTGATTACAAGACTGAGAGTACAGAGATAGATGAGTAGAAAAAGCATGTCTCTTTCCTTCTATGAGAAAAAGAGAACTCAAAAAGAGAGAGAGGCTCTTTTAAAAGATGTGAGAGCTGTCGGTAGGGTGGAAATCTGAGGAGGAACCGTGCAGAAAAGGGTCTGTCAGGCTCTGGAAACCTGGCCACTAAATACCTGAATCAACCAAGGATTGAAGAACCCCCTTGGAGAGAAGAAGAGGAGGGATGTCTTGGCTGTCACCCGTGTCATGGGCCAAATGGACATGGACGGCCGTGAGAGGGGGAGAAGAAGGAGAGGAGGATGGTGAGGGGCAGGAGGCCAGCGAGGAGAGGGAGCAATTTGGAGCGAGAGGAGAGGAAGAGGAGGAGGAGGAGGAGAGATCTCAAAGCTGCAGGCAAGTGTTGTGCTTGAGCTCCTGAGACATCTGAAAACTGTGATTCACAGTGTATGGACTTGGTGTTTTTTTTTTTTCCACATGTGTGTTCATGAGTGTGTGTGTTTGTGTTTCCACCTGTCAGAGCTTGGGCACTCTTACATTTTGAGTGTCACATGGAAAGGTCAGATAAAAGGAGAGACTGAACATATCTGATCTGATTTACATCAGGGTTTTTTTTTGTCAGCATGCAGAAATGTCAGCTGTATTCCTGCAGAGCTGACATGTTTCTGGCCTTGTAGCGGTTAAACTGTACTGAATGTGTTTCCTCAGCCTCACTGGTACATCCTCATTTGTATCGCCTCACTTTAATATCACACACTCCAACACTGCAGTCAGGTAGTTGACTGATGTAATCATTACACATGTCCTTTTGTCTCACTTCCTCGTGTGAGCTTTGATATGATCACAACCATTGTTCCAACTTTGTAAACATTTAAGACTACTGCTACCTTTTTTACGCTGACCTCTACACTCTTTACAATCTATGTTTGCGAACGATCTGGCAGATCTGTAGATATTGAACCAGAACCACATCAATACTACAGTGGTGTTGCTTCCTAAAGTGATCAGATCAAACTGAGTGCTGCTGTACAACACATCCAACATGTTTTGCATTTATGTTCAGTTTGTAAGTTGCAGTCTTATGCCTCTTTCTGTAACGTGCTCAACACGTGACAGGAAAGACTGAGCTGGGGTGCCTTATTTCCTCTTTCTCTTGAGTTATCACTCAGTCTTTAACCTTGTTTACCATTACTTGTGTGAGTCAAATAGTGCCAAAAGTTGTCATGACACGTTGAAAGAGATCAGGTCTGAGGAGAAAGTAAGGTATGATGTAATGCAGTGTGAAGAATTTTACACAAGTTCTTCTTTAATGTAACAAACACAGGAGGAAATACAATCCTTGCTGTTTTCACGCCAGAAGTTATCGGCTTCTAAAAGGTATTCAGGTAGAACAATTTTGAGAGAAAACATCACGCTTCAGTGAAAGAGCTGATAGAAGGGAAATGAACCAAAAAAGTCGTTGAACATATTCTTCAATACATTTTTTGTGTGTCTTGAATCAAATATTATCTCACATAAGGGAAAGCTTTACATTTGTTCTCTTTACTCGTACAAAGCACACCTAAGTGCAGTTCTGTTTATTCAGGTGTTGTTTACAGTCACAGTGCTCATTAGGCTTTTTTTCAGTGTACATAGTTCCAGCATTTGCACCTCTGTTATGTAACAATCCTTCTGTCCTCCTACTGCCTGATGATGGTTGTAATGTTTGGGAACTTCATGCTCCCTCTCTCTCTCGCTCTCTCGGGCAACTCACACACTTGTAAATCACGTCTCGGGCTTATCAGAATTGGTCACCTGGAAAACGAGAAAGAACAGGTTCAGGGGTCAGGGGTCACAGGACGTGGTGCCTGTGTTAACGGGGATGCTGGAAGCTCGGCTCAGGGTGGAGTTCGGGTTTTATAGGCTGACTGACCAAACAGAGGTTTTTGTGAAGACCTGGGCTGTAAATGAGGTTTTGTGTTGGGTCCAGGAGGACTCAGTGGTCCTGAAGTTTTGAGTCTTTTTCTGTTGTTATCCTTTGCACAGTTGATCATGTCCTGGTTTTCTCTGTCAGAGTTTTGTGATTGAATTTGATAGAGTTTTGTGACAAAGGACAGACTGATAATAAAGGTTGGTTTAAAAAAAATCTCTCTTTCTCTCTCTCTCTCTCACTCTCACTCCCTTTCTCTCTCTCTCTATCTCTTCTCTCAACAGCTCTGACTCAGACGGCCACTTTGACACCCCTGAAGCAGTAACTCCTATCCGCGCCCCTCCGCCCATTCCAGGAGAGCTGGAGAACAACAACGTCGATGCAGACAAAACTGGTGAGACCACTGCTGAGCCTAGAAGAGATGCAGAGAGATAAATATGAGCAGAGATGGAGTTTGGAAGTGTCTGAGGTGCAAAAATACTTCAGGGGTGGCTGAAAGTTCTGATTAAGATGACAGATACTCAACAGATGTTGTTAAAAGCCCTTTCAAGCACGCAGACAGGGTGTCCCTAGCTCAAGTTGCCATGGAAACAAGAGTCTTTTTATGTTGCTGCAGGTGATCTGACATTACATCATAGCACATGTGTTTGTTTTTATTTGATAAAAGGAATATTTTCTCTAGGTCATTGCTATATCTTAAAAAGTGTATATTTTTACAGTGCACTTTTGGGCTCATAAGACCCCCCTCACTGTGTCCGATGTGTTTCAGGTTCTCTGTGTCAGAGTAATTGGATACATGTGCAGTTTGAAGTTCTCAGGAATCTACCCACCTTCAGCATTTTGGGCTGAAAATTGGAATATATCTGCCTTTCTATTAATACATAATAAGTACATTTTCAATTACGGCTCATACAGATGTGTTGTTACACTAATATATTGCAAGTACCTGCGGTTACTTATTACTGAATCATGTTCTGCATGCCTGGTATGTGAGCTGGTATGCACTGAGAGGATGTTTGGGTGTGATCAAGGCAGCAGCATCATTGTCATTTGAATCACTGAGAGGAGGAGCTTCTCATAGAGTCAGGGTGGGAAAGGCCTTTGCTCTGGAATTCAACAGGTTCAACAAAGGCTATGGTTCACCCCGTTTTGTGTCAGTAACTGATAAAGGTCAGCGTGAGGGGAGGGACTGAACAAAGCATGTTATCTAGCCAAAAACATCACGAGGAACGCCTTTAAACAAGAAGGAGGACGTATGTTTAGGTGGGAGAGCTATCTTTTTTTGGTTGGAATGAATTAATCCTATAAAAAATAGCTTTAAAGAGTGTAGACTGAGAAGGTTAACGTGGAGCAAGGTGGGAGTCTGTATTTGAGTGAATCACAAACATGTGTATAAAGAAGCCTGAATCCTGGCAGACTGAAGCTGGAGTGCCACTAGAAACTTCTTTGAATGTAAACATGCTGAAGGCTATTTGTCAAAGTACATCTAAAATCTCCAGGTTCTCTGTGTTGTAATATGAAAACACACAGACTCTGATTTATGTCATCTAACAAAGAAGGTGACACACAAAATTACAGACTGTAACAAAGCCCACAAAGAAATGTAATTTGATAATGTTGACTACTGATAGTTGCTTGGGCATGTCTTGAAGTAAAAGATACTCCACCTCAGATGATATAATTCATCATCATAACAATTTCTATGTTTCAGAGTTTTAGTTTTTTGTAAATCCTGAATATGATTTACTGTGGAAACATGTTTCAAACAGCACAAAGGATGGTGGGTTCAGGGATTCTTCTCTCAGATTTGGACGTGAGATCAGATATGCTAGATGTCTTCACAAGACGGCTGTAAGCATCAGCAATAGTCCATGAGCCAGGGAATTTTCACTTCTAGGTACACTGGTGTATACCTCAGTTTAAGCCCATGCTCAGGATATCTTACAGTAGAGGTCATTTTAGATCTTCAAACTGTCAGTGATTACATTTTTCCACAGTTTTTGCCTAAATTACTTGTTTTTTTTTTGTCCTGTGACATCTAAAAAAACCATGGACACAAAACACAGACACTGGGATACTCACAGGACTCTTATGTTTCAGTACATATATGATAGGACCACACTATTTCATTGTGAGATGTTACTGTGAGCCGTAAATTATTAGAACGACTTTGGCAAAAAAACTTTTTCATTTCAAGTAGTTGTACTTACTTTGTAATTGGTAAGTGACAGGCCAAACACAAAATTAATCTGTAACATTGAAAAAACATTGTTAGCGCTGTGATTCTGTACTGACTCACAGTTTTACCTCAGTTTTTAGGGATTCCCATGTTGAACACCATTGGTCAAATAGTCATCAGACATTTTTTATTGTACACCTTTCATTGTGCACCTACAATCAAATTCAATCAATCAATCAAATTTTATTTATATAGCGCCAATTCACAACAGTCGTCATCTTAAGACAGTGACAATAGGGTTTCCATCACCCTAACTATAAACAACTTCTGTGCAAAGGTACTTGCTATAGTATTTTTAGTCACGTAGGAACAAAAAGGTAAATAAAATGCAAACCAATTCTTCAAAATAAGATCCAATTAGACCTCATATTTTGGGTTTTATTTTAAGCAGAAATTTAAAATTTCTCCCTGCGGTGACTTTATTCTGCCTGAAAATTCCCAACAGTTAGAGGACAAGAAGGGGATCTTAACACTGACTATTGAATTTGCATGAGGATCAGTCAGGGATATGTTTGTATGGGCATGTCAGATTGCAGGAATACTTTGACAGTGACATTCTGGCGACATGCTAATCTGACTGGAAGTAGGTAGAAAAACAGCAGACCGTACTTGTCTCCTAGCAACATAATATTACAGGAGTATGACAGAGAGGATGACAGGCGTACTGAAAAATGTCGATGTGTCAAACTGTTCTCTGGAGGCATTAATCACTACCACAACCACTGCCTTCAAGACACAAACAGGAAAACCAGAGCTCTCTTTGTATTCTTTATATCAAGTGTCTTTCGCACTACTTCAAATCTCATAGCCCTCATAGTAAGACATCACCATGGCAACAGCAGCGAGTGGAACAGTTTGCCTGCTTGTGACCAATCAGAAGTCAGCTACATCTGAGTTCAGTTTTGATTGGATAGGCGTTCATAGGCAGAAGTGTGAGAGCACCTATGAATTTTTGCTCTATTAACATGTTTTTAATCTGTGTTTCCCCCTCAGATGTGGATCAAGAGGAGCACCTGATAGTGACTGCTCCTGTTGGGGATCAGGATACTTTTCTCAGTCACAGCATGGGTCAGGATGAGCCTGTCCTCCCACTGGAGGATGCCCCACTCGAGGGAAACATCCAGATCCCAGAGGCAGAGCAAACAGAGAGTCTTCCAGAGGCTGTGGGATTTGTGCCAGACCCCCATGTATCTTTGGTGACGGAAATGCCTGAAGTTTCTGAATGCACAGTGCTCAAGTCTGAGCCACACCCAGAACCAGTTCCAGTCTTAGATTTACACCCTGTCCCAGATGTGGTTCAAGCTTTGGCCCCTTCCTCTGCTCCCACTGCTCTTTCCTTTGCTCCTGCCCCAGCTTCTGTTCCAACTCCTACACCAGCTCCAGCACCAGCTCCTGCACAGGTCTTGCAGCCTGACTCAGTCCAGATCAGTGAACCTGAGGTCAGCCTCGCTCCAGAGCAGAAACAGGAATCAGAGTGCAGTGAACTGAAACAAGCAGAGCCAACCAAAAAGACTAAGACCAGCAAGTCCAAGCCCCCAGCCCTGAAGATGAAGGCCTCACAGGATGAACTCGCACCATCAAATGAGGAGCAAGAGCTTCCTGTTCCCAAGGGCTCTTACAAATTTGACCCTGACCAGCTGGATGACAGTTTTAACCCCTTCACAAGTGGTGGATCTAAAATTCAGAACTCTCCCCCACCATGTGGTGTAAGCTCTCTCCCCAGACTTGAACCAATTGGTAGCTCATTGCCCGCCTGCGAGGACAGCGCGGCAGCTCCAGCTGAATCAGAGACAATGAAGTCATCAGAGTCAAAGCCTATGGTGCTAGAGTTTGGTCTGGATGAGAAGGTGGTCAGCAAGCCACCTCCAAGGAAATTAGGGGGTAAAAAGACAATCAGCAAGCTGGCAGTGAAGAAACAGAAGCCCAAAGGATCAGAGGCTTCCTGTGTACCTGCACCAGAACCCACAGTGTCCGAGATAGATTCCCAACCAGCACCAGAACCTGTTTCAGATCCTCTTCCTGAGCCTGCTTTGCCAGTTTCAGACTCTGCCGCACCTCTTAACCTTGACGATGTCCCCATTCCTAAAACTGGATCTTATAACTTTGACCCCAGCCAGTGGGATGATCCAAATTTTAATCCGTTTGGGAGCAATAGCAAGATGGAAAGCTCACCGGAGTTACCTAAGCTTTCATATAATTTTGATCCAGACAATTTTGATGACTCTGTGGACCCTTTTAAACCCTCTAAAAGCCTCAGCAAGGAGGAAACATCGAATAGTGCGCCTCAGCCGGAGAAAAGTGTGAGAGACGGAGGCAAACAGACAGCAGGGGAAAAGAAAGTAAGGCAGATTCCTAAGAAAAGCAAAGAAAGAACAGTCAAGTAAGTTCAATTCATCTCCTGCTTGAATTTTGATGTCGTAACATGAACACAAGATAACTTTGTAACTTTAGCAAAAACATTATTATTGAATTAAATGGTTGGATGCATGCCAAACAGTGCTTTGAGAACGTGCCAAACACTTAACACTGCATACTGACCTTTGATGCAAGTTATTTATAGACTTTCAAAAGTGCTGCAAGCTGCGTTGGTTCGCTCTATATTTAGTTTTTCCAGTCTTTGTCTCGTGTGTAGGCTTAAACTTGAAATCTATCCTCTGAGAATCTAACATGCTGAGCTGAACCCCTTTAGTCACTCACATGCTCTCCTCTCTCCCCTCTTAATTTCTTTCATCAATACCCACCCCCCCTCATTCTCCATCCCTCCTTCTTCCTGTCTGTTACGCAACCCCTCCAAACTCTGCTTTCGTCCTCCTTTCTTGGCCTTCAGGACATCTGAACAAGTCAAGTTTCTCTGTTTTCTGTTGTAAGTACTTTCACTATAGAGGCTTTCTCTCCCTCATGCATGCTGACTTACCATTTTATTGTCATTGTCGCATGTGCTGTGTCAGAACTGAGTGTGGAGGGAGCACGTAAGGACAAAATAGTCTGCCTCTGTTTGTTTCACCTCACCTAAAAAGGCTGTCCCCTCTTACATCAGCAAATGAGTGTATATACCCTTGTGTGATCCTTACAAAATCCAGTGAGCAATCTTAGGGTTGTCCACGCTGTGTAGGAACTCAAATGTTGAAGAATCTTGATCTGTTTATTTGAAGAGTTTTGTTGCTATCATGTGCTTGTTTTTGTAGGAATTCCTGCAAAGTTCAAAAGTATGATGAGAGCCAGTCCCTGGTGCTCGACGTGTGCAATCAGGTACTGTGTGACTGTAACTGTAAAAGTTGTGTCAGCTGGTGTGTTTCACCTTTACTGCAGTGATGCTGCAGTGATGCCCGTTACTCAGCAGCTGACCAACACTTTGGCCTCACCTCCTTGCACTCTCACACACACACACACACGCACAAACACAGTAACACAAGCTGACAGGAGCATCAGCAGTGTCTCTGCAGTGCCTGTTTGGCATGGTGACAGCTGTGTGACTTATCTCTCTGCAGTTGAGTATTAGATCACTGCTCCTGTGTGCCCTCAACATCATCACCTCTGATATCATACCAGAGTCTCTAAGATAAGACAGACTGTCAGGGCCACCTTATGACAGATATCCAGGATAATGCATCTGTGATTGTTTGAAAACTGTAGTTATAAAAACTGTAGTCTCTTTAAATCTCTGTGATTGTTCTGTAGTCTTACTTTATATTGCTTAAAACAAAGTCTTTTCTTTTAACACATTATTAAGGTCCAAAATAAATGCAAAATAATCCTCTTGAAATGTTGGTCTTATCTTTCCCTTTGTTCCTAGGAGGAGGATGAGGTGGTTGTTAATACCCCAGAGATCACTCAGCGAGTGCATCACGCCACTGATGAAGAAAAGCTTGCCTCTACCGGCATCATGGGCCAGACAGCTGACATCCAAGAGGAAAAAGTGGAACCTGAATGCAACAAAGAGCTTGCAAAGAAACAGACGATCTCTGAAAAGTCAGTCCTGGATGGTAAGTCATGGTAAAGCTCTTCTTCTCAGTGTAGAAAAAGCAAAACACAGAGTACTTAGACTTTTGGTTTCACTGATAGAACCTTTGTATCGCATCGAGTCTTAAATTTACATCACAGCTCACGGTAGCAATCTAAACACTTAAATCCAGGATGTTTTATAGTATGAAGAAAGCATCATAAATATACAAAATACTTGTTATACTCGGTGGTATCTTTTATTCCACACAAGTTTCAAAGTTTATTCATGATGCGTTAAGTATTGTCGTGCTTAAAGAACGCTGTAAGTTCATCTTAGGTGAGTGTACGCGATAGGTATGGTGTAAAAGAAGTAGCCATGATTAAAGATGTTCCTGTCAGACAGTTGGAAAAGAGAAAAGGAGACTGAATCAGTTATATAACAGCTTCTGTTAGACCATTGGCAACAGCAAAGCAGTCAGAGTGTTTAACTTTATAAGGGAGAAAAACAGAGAAAGCTCACTGCCCAAAAAAACACTCTTGGATATAGAAAAGTGAAACATTTTTGGACGAATATTTCATACAGTTGCACATAAAAACAGTTTGCAGGGGGTATTAACTTTTTTTGTCTTGTTTATAAAATTATCTCATGAAAAGTAAAGGGTTTACTTTTAGTGCTAAAGTTCAAGTAATGACTCAGTCCATCTTTATTCATACGGCTCCAATGCACAACATTATCTCAGGAGTGTTTTAAGCACAGATAGCTTTCTTTGAAGATTTGTTTTTTTTACTTTATAACTTAGATAAAGATCAGAAGTTGAATAAAAAAATAATAATCTAATGACAAATCTTTTTGCCCTTAAAGATGCTGAAACAAAGACTGCAGATCACCTCGAGAAAGAAACCTGCAGTCTGAAAGATGAGACAGTAAGTAGACTTGGAGAACCACAGGGGAGGGAGCAGTATGAAAATTTAAATATCAGCAGCTTGTTTTGCACCAGCTGTTTTTCATTCTATCAGAAAGCCATAAAACTTGTTTTTATGTTTGTACTAGTTGCTTTCTTGTGCCTCAACAGCTGTTTTACTTTGATTATTTAATGGCATTCACTTACACAATATTTGTCTTAAGATAGCAGTAATTGCACCTTAAGGTTTTACAAACATTTGTATAATATAATAAAATCAACAAAATGTAAACACTGTTTTCAGAGAGCACTCTTTGCAAATTAATCATGTGATCTGAAATGGAAAGTAAAAACAGCAGCTCAAAGGATTTGCCAAATGTAATCAGTCTTCTCGAATCATTTGTCAGCTATCTTTTCTGCTTTCTCTGCAGTGTGAGATATCCATGTGCCAAAAAGCAAAGGTGACGTTCAGTGAGGAGACAGACACAGCTGCTCTTTCCCAGGATAATGTCCCTCTGAGTGAGATGGACAAAGCTGCTGTGCTCACCCTGATCAGAGAAGAGGTACATCACTACCACACAGTCACGAAAAGATATATATATATAAGTCAGACCTAAACAACTCCTGTCTTTTCCTATAATCAGATCATCACTAAAGAGATTGAGGTCAATGAGTGGAAGAGGAAGTACGAGGAGAGTAGAGCTGAGGTTTTGGAGATGAGGTACAGAGCTTCACTGCTGCTGCTGCTGCTGCACATTTTAACAGGTTGATAAATCAAGAAAATTAAGTTGACAAATGTTAAACTCTGTTCTTATTTCAACAGGGCGATAGTTGCAGAGTATGAGAAAACAGTTGCACAGATGATTGGTAAGTTGCTGCCACCTAGTGGTACAATGTTTGTTCATAACTGTACTATGTTATGGCTGCAGTGTGCAGATGTTATTGTAGACAAATGTGAGAAATTTTACATAAATAGGAGGATCAGGGCACCATTATTTTCAAAGGTTCGGACTATTGCCTTGAAAATTTCTTCAGATTATCGTTTTTATCAGTAGACTCTGGCTGTTTTCTCTAATATTGCGTCGATTTTTGGGGTGCATTACATCAGTGTGCAATTGAAATTTTTATCATCAAGTATAGTTCAGCGTAATGTGCACTGACTGTGCAGTTCTTGTTACAGCTGAATATCATCACCCTATTAAAATAATAGCCTGAGTCATTGTTTGACGAAAATGAGTTTTTGGCCTAAATCATCTCCTGATAATGCTGGCCATCTCTGGTAAAATCGCCTAAATCCTAAAGGTGATTTTACCAGAGATGGCCAGCATTATCAAGAGATGACTGAGGCCAAAAACGTATTTTTTAGTAAATATTTTTCAATTATTTCAAGAAGAGATAGAACAAGTTATGAAACAAATATGATCATATTGGTCGAAAAGTTGTTATTGTCCAGCTAAGGGGTTAAAAAGGCATCCTAAAACACATTAAATAAACCATCAGAGCAATTGTAATGCAAAACACAAGAAACACAATTGTTGACATAAAGGATTGAGTAATAAAACATGCATGAGCAGAAGAGGAAAAACTACAATCAAGCTTGACGTACATCAGTAGCAAAAAAACTCTTCCTATGCTTTCTTTCAAAAATTTCATTCTATTGCTTTTAACTAAATGTTGATAACAAACACCTTTTGTCCAAAGATATGAGTCTCAAGCCAAGTAGGAAATAAACCCAAATTGGTCCCTTCAAGGCTGAAAGCTGTAACTGGACTTGTGCTTAAAGTCTACAGATTACAAACAATAGATGAAATCTCTGTTTCTTCAAACTTAAAAACGTGTGTCATATCTGTACAATTAAGCAACAAACACTGGTGATGATAGTTTTGGTTCTATCTGGTGTTACTAGATCAAATTCAGCTTGCATCAGCCAGTGCTGTTACAGTTCAGGTAAAATATAGATATAGATTTAGTTGCACATCCAGCCTCTTACTTTCTTTATGTCTAATACTGTGACTCATCTGTTGGTTGCAGAGGATGAGCAGCAGCAAAAAACCGTGTCCTGCAGTAAATCAGTCAGGCAGTTGACCTTAGAGAGGGATCAGGCCATCGCTGACCTCAATTCTGTGGAGCGCTCCTTTGCAGACCTCTTCAGGAGATATGAGAACATGAAAGGAGTCCTAGAAGGCTTCAAGAAGGTCAGTAGAGCTTCAGTTTGAATCACATGAAATATTGCACAAATAATTGCCTGATCTGTCTTAAATCTCCTCATGAATCTCCCTAGAATGAAGAGGTGCTGAAGAAATGTGCACAGGATTACCTGATGAGAATCAAGCAGGAGGAGCAAAGATACCAAACCCTTAAGGTTCATGCTGAAGAGAAATTGGACAAGTAAGCTTCCCATTCTGCATTTTCCAGGGATTAATCATCAGACAGGGTATTAATCATGAAAAGGCATTTGCATTGCAGAGCTTGTCATCTTTCTCCAACAGGGCTAATGAGGAGATAGCACAGGTACGTGGCAAGGCCAATGCTGAGAGTGTCGCATTAAATGCCAGCCTGAGAAAGGAGCAGATGAAAGTGGAGTCCCTGGAAAGAGCTGTCCTTCAAAAGGTATGAGTACTGCAGACGTGATTAAAAATGATCCATTAGGTTAAACACTCCTGATAATTGAGGTCAAAACTCTTTCTTTGGAAGAGTTTGTGTCTATTTTAAAGTCTTAACTGTGCCAAAAGAGGCTGAGTCAAGCAGCCCCCCCACAGATCAATAAGTTATTGCTAAATGCATTGTGATTATGCGGATGTTATTGTACACAAGTGTAATCAAATTTGAGAAATTTTACATAAATAGGAGGATCAGGGCACCATTATTTTCAAAGGTTAGGACTATTGCTTTAACAAATTTCTTCAGAACTCGTCTATTTCTGTCTTCTCTCACAGTCTTTGTCAGTTTAAAGTATAGAAATGTCTTTGAATCAGATTTTAACTCCTCCATGAGGATAAAAATCAGAAACTCTTTGTTCCTTTTTCATTAGATAAGATCGTTTTTAGCTGTCTGATTATCCAATAAATCTAAAAGCAAAATCCTGCCCCCTTGGTTTAAAATGTTGGGGGGAAAAGAAAAGCAGAATCGTGCTTTCTGATTTCAGTACAGAAGAAAGTGTTAAACTCACAAAAATCTAGAAGATGCTGGTCTTCTGTCTTTTAAATGCACGTTGCTATCGCTCGAGCTTTGCACCTGACACTAGGGGGCAGTGTCTTACATACTGAAACCACAGAGACAAGAAATATTTACTGATACCTGAAATAAATAGGAAACAGGGAGAGAAGAGAAATGTTAAGAACAGTAGACAGACTGTATATAAACCCTTTTAGGTGTGAACATGAGTTCTGCTGCAAAAACATTTTAAAGACCAACAGAAATACTTCTTGAAAATTATGTCTCTGTCCTGTTATTTTCACTTTACCATCATTTTTTAAACATTCTTCCTCTTTTGTCTCTTACAGAATCAAGAGATCGAGGAGCTCACAAAGATCTGCGATGAACTGATTGCCAAACTGGGAACAGAATGAAGGACCTTCAATCAAACATTTAAAGAAACATTCATGTAAATTTTGTAGATGATCACACTCAAGCACATGTCTACTCTTTTTTCTTAATTATTATTATTTTTATTATTATAAGTATTATTTGTTGATACATCCTTTTTACAGCAGTTGCCTTCTTTAATTTCTTTTTGCATTAAAACTGAAACCACAACAATAACTGATCAAGTTGTTGATCACAGTATGGCAGTGAAGAATTCAAACCAACCCACTTTATTTAGAAAGTACATATAAAAAAAAAATGTTTTCCAAATAAAACAAGTTAAAACACAAAGAAAATAAAATCACAAAAGAGCACAAAAGAGTATAAATCGTAGTTTTAATTGTAAAACACAGTGAAACTCTCATGCTGGATTAAAAGCCAATGAATAAAAATATGTTTTGAGACGTGATTTGAGGGCAAAGAAGCACAAAATTAACAGGAAGAGAGTTTTAATCATCACTATGAAATGGCCTCAGTTAGGGAATGGTTGAATGGTTGATCCTTTTCTTTGAAATGTGTGTACATCTTAAACCGTTTCATTTTTTTTCATTGCTTATTTAACACAAAAGTGAAGAGAAAAGAAAGTGATGATCTACTAAAGGACAAATCTGTTTGATGAGTGCCTGAACTATCTACACAGTGTTTGTTTTTGGACTACACATTTTTTGGATGAAGACTTTTTAGTGGTGTTGATTTTCTTCTTTTAAAGAAATTAACTATGTCAAATCAGAGAGTATCTCATCAGTTGCCTTCAGTGTCTTAAATTTTCATAGGTTCAAATATACAATGAGTGAAGAAGTGTTCAGTTCTCCAGTTTGAATTATAAGTAGAATATGATCCCAATGACAGAGAGCACTTAAATTGACCACATTTTCAATTTAGTTCAAAGCTGGATCAGTAATAAACTTGCTCTTATGATGCGAATTCATTCAGCCAGGTGCAATGTTTGATTTCTTCATTTTGGGAAGTGTAAAAAGTATGATTTATGTTCTATTGCTGCCATGTAGATACATTGATTCTGTCCATGTTTTATCTGGGGGTCCAAATGTTGCTGGTGTGCCTTTGTTTTGTCTGTTTTGTAAAAAGTTCTCAACCTCAGTTGCCAAAATATACTGTAAAACTCGTACATCTTTTACGATCAAATATTACGAACAACAGTGAGCTCAATGAATTTTGCTGTATCTGCAGTACATTATCAGGCATACATAGTCAGCTACATTACTCTTTAAGGTCTGTGTGTCTTGGTGAGCATGTACTAATCCTCTTGGCTAAAGGTTTGACTGTTTCTGATCTGACTGAAGCTGAAGGAACGCACAGGTGTATCTTTAGACAGAAATGTTTTGGATAAAGATGGCACATTCTTGTTTTACATCAGCACAATCAATTGCCAAATGTCATTGTAAATAAGATTGGTTTGCTGTTGCAGTGCTGTTACATACGTATGAAGGTGCTTCTTAATGCAAGCTCATTGTCAAAGTAAAGTATGTGTACATTTTATATTTTATCTTGAAAATATTTGTAAAATTTATGATTTGAGTATACACAGATTGTTAATTGCGAATTTTGTGCAATTCTGAATAAATGATAAAGATGAGTGTCAAGCCAGTGTCCATCTGTGTCTGTATCTTTTAGAAGGATTGAAAAAATTAGATGTTCCTTATTCCTGAGGGGGGATATTCCACATTTACAGCACAATATGACAGATACAGAAAGAGAAAAATCAAAAGATAAAGAAACTTTGAGTTAAAAAAAAGATATGTGCATGAGTCATATATACATCTGTACAGAATTTACATAATAATATGATTCATAGAATTCACGGAAAACTCTTTTTAGCTCTGAGTCTGCTCTTGCTGTAGCCGTAAACATAAACAGACAGACTCAGTCATTGTTTATTTCTGCAGGTCGTCCAGAGGCCAAACCTTACGCTTGTTTTCATGCTGTTACCGCTGTCATACTATTGTCTTTGCAAACATATCATTAGTGGCATTTTGTTTGTGAGTCAATGACCTGAAGTTTCCTCCAAGAGTCTGATAGACAGTGTCTGCATAACACAGTCTCTGTTTGTGTGGCCTGATCCTCAACAGTTACGTGTCAGTGTCTGTAAGCAGATCACAGTTTTTAATCATTTCTATATATGATGCACTGTGCATTTACAACATTATATTAAAATATCATCACAGGTTTTAACCAGGATACAGTGAATTAAGAAGAAATCACAACTATGTGGCTATCATCATACATATACCATCATAAAGACAAACTAAGACGATGATTGATTTAGGGACGACCTGTAACAACAGAACTGCAACTGGTACTTGATCAGATAATAACCCACTGATGGGACACAATAACTTACATATCCATAGACTCTCCCGTCCTCATCGTGTATGTGTTTAGAAAAAAAGTGAAAATATAACTTGCTGAATTGCCTCGGTCAGTTTTAGACAATTCTATCACAAAAATTCACCTATTACAAGTCTTAATGCTTAATGCTTTCAATAACATGTGCTCTCTGGACATACACTCCAGTGTTGTCACTCTTTTCCTGAGTTTTCCATTTACTCTACCCTGTCGGCCCTTGTTGTAGCTTTTCACCACTTGGTGGTGTCCTTACACACAGCAGCACCACAAACTTAGAGTCTGTCCTGATGGGACCTTCAGAGGAGTTTTTCCCTCTGTTTCCCAGATCAGTTAGAGAGCAGAGACATACCTGTAAAAAGGTAGTGGAGTCTTTTAGTTTGTTTTTATCGGTCTGTCATTGAAATGACCTTTAAATCATCCATGGCATTATGTTATGAAACCATGAGGACTTACTTTTGTTTACTTTTATTTAATCCATTGACAAAACTGTAGGTAAAACATTAGAGAGGTAAAAGGTGTTGATTTTCTGATAAATCTGTTTTTCTATGGTATTAACATGCAGCAAATCCTTGATTTAATTGTGAAATTTAGTGGCTGGATGGTAGTGAAATTTAAAGACCGGTTTATCATCTAATGGCACCAAGAAGTTTTGGATGTGGGACTACTTAAGGGACGCCTATCAAAGACAGCTTGAACCGCTATTTGAAATATGTCACTGTTGATAACATATTGAAGTAAGTAAGTAAATTTTATTTATATAGCACTTTTCATAGATAAAATCAGTGCTTTACAATGAGGATAAACTGCAATGGAATACAGAGAAACACAGTACGTATAATGGCACAGATACAAATACTTCACAGAGGCCCCACAACGTCGACATCAGTTAAAAGCCTGTCTAAAACTTTCAGTAGACTCTGTGCTGCGTAAGGTCAATGGTAGTGCATTCCAGAGGCGAGAAGGGCAGTCACCTCGTGTTTAAAAACGGGTGCGAGGGACTATCAGGAGTTTGTGGTCTAATGACCTTAGTGACCGTGAGGGGGAATAAGATCTCAGAAGCTCAGTGATGTAAGAGGGAGCTTGATCATGGAGGGCTCTAAAAGCAAGAACTAAAATCTTCAAATGAATCCAGTTACAAGCCTTGCAGCTGCTGACTTGACTGCTTATTCATATCAATGGGACTAAAGACTATAATCATATTTGATACAGACCAGAGCTCTGATACAGATAATGATTGAAATTCCCTTCAGGGATCAATAAAGTTCTTATATTATCTTATCCTAATAAACAAACTTTTATCAAGAGAAGTAAGAGATCTCTTAACTTTGTGATGTAAACACTAAAGAAGACTTAATGCATTGCACTTTTCAATCATTTAAATCTGTAAGAATAAGAAGGGCTAAACTTGATAGACTGAGTCTTTTATAACCGGAGATCCCTGTTCTTGGTCCTCCTCTCAGCTGCTGTAATGTGTTTTTGTAACCCTGGTGATCAAGCAGGAGTGGGCGGGTTCAGGATGCTGAGGCGGCCTCTGATTGGCTGCTTTGTGTGCTGAGGAGTGGGACGGGCGCACGCTGCCAGCTGAGAGGGGAGCACAGAGAGGGGTACTAAAGGGACAAAGAGGGGAGCTGTCTCTCACATCTCATCCTCAGCAACAGGTTGTAAACGTCCTGGAAGGTCTTTGCTGTTTTTCTTCGTCCGTCAGCGTAAGTGTGAACTTTCACTTTTTGAATATAGTTTAACTTGTCGACCGATTATGTGAAGTAGTTTCGCAAGTGCCAAAGTTGTGTGTGATATTTAGAAAAACTTTTCGCAGAGATTCAGTTTCGGATTGCATATGACATATTTGTTTGCAAAAGTGAACTTAGTGACAAAGATTGCTGTGTGACCGCAACATTTTTTCCTCAATCTAAACCTTGTGCTGAAGTTGTAGATCTCTTTTGTCACTTTTTTGCTGCTCGGGGATTAGCTGGCTCTTGATTTTTGGTTTATGCTCTCCAGAATTGAACAATAGTGCTTTACACTGTAAGACTTCTGGCTTTGACCTGAGTGAGAAATACATTCAGTATGAGGAATTTTGGGTTTTCCCCTGCAGAGACTTATTGTTTGGCATTGCTGCTCTTGTGCAAGACTTCAGGGGTAAATATCCACGCAACACCATGTTCAAGCTGCAAAAGTTTTTGCCTGGTTCCTTATTCCAGGTTTAATGTTTAACTCTTTTTTCAATTTTTTATTTACTGGCTGCTTTAAGTAGAAATATTTTTTCTGTGGAAGATCTGTGTGTAAACTGAGCATTCCTCCGCAGGAAGTAGGTGTGTCTGCACTGGTTTTGTAAGCAGTTTCATCCTCAAGACACCTTCATGAGAGGTGCTCATTTTTCATAAATCAGGTAATGAGTCGTTGTTAGCAGACAGTCAGGATGTTTGTTCTCCTAGGGCTGTTTGGATGTGCCCTCTGAACCCTGATGAGTTAATCTGAAACTATGATTACTGATCCCATGACTCTGAAGCTGTAAGTAAAGACACACTGAATGCTACAGGCCATATTACTATAAAGTAGCTCTTTGCTTCTGCTGAAGTGGTTCCTTTCATGAAAAGATAAACCAGATGTTTCAGAGGACCACAAATGACGTCTGGTGCACTCCAGGGGTGTCCTTTCAAGCCTGTGCACTCTGCAGTTTGTTGGGCTGTTTCTATGACGTCAACTTAGAAAGGCACCCCCTTACTCAAGACATAGAGGTCTTCTTACTTTCACTGTCTCCCTCCCCTCCTTTTACTCCAGGAACATTCCTCCCTCTGGGCTTTAGTCCCTCCCTCTGTTGACACTTTCATGGTTTGCCATGAAATATTAAGGTGGAGTCAACTTTTCCCTCTGACCCACAGTTGTTCAGCCCTCAGGCACACAGATGAGCAGATAAATGAGAGGGGCAGCACCCACCCTGCGGGAGTCCACATTTGCTCTCCATTTGGCTGTCAGAGAGACAGAGACAGGAAGACGGACAGGAATCCTTCTCCCAAGCAAAACAATCTTGATTCTAATGCAACCCTGAAAAAATCTCTGTCTGTTCACTCTCCCTGGCTCTTTAATGGATTTTCACTGTTTTCTGAGAGTACTGTAAAACTGTGGCGAGTTCTGCTCGTGATTCACAAGCTTCTACTTGTGGTTACATAGAGGCCGGTGAGAGGTTTGTGTAAGTCTGATCATGGCCAAACTAAACTGTTACAGCACAAGACTGTACTCTCAAACTGCTCACTCGTTCAAATTATGGATAAAACTACCCACATACCACAAATTACTGTCTGCCAGTCTTTAGATAACAGCCAGCCCACAAGTGAACTCTGTGGACTTTGCCGTGGAAGTCCATCTTGTGCAGCAACACTTACGAGTGTAAAGCAGCAAAGACAACCAGAAATTCAGAAAAAAAGGGTCTTTGCTATTAAGGTGACATTAAATCACTAAGTGATTAAAAATATAATGAATTGCTTTACTTTTGTGTTCTTTTGGGCTGTTTGTTCTGCCTACAGATGAGCTGTTTAAGACATACAACACCTATAATGGCTCCTATATAAAGTTTTCCCCATTCCTAGAAGACCCGCAGTAAACAAAATTATGTTAGACCAAGCAGACTGTATGTTTCAAAATCAATACAGTAATTTTTATGACCACTACAGAGAAACTACAGTACGTTACAGTTGTTCTTAGGTAAATCTAACCGGACATATGTGGGAAGATTAGAAAACACTTAGAAAACAGTCAAAAGTGAGTCATTATTTAATGAGGCTAAATACAGAGTCTGTAGGCGAACATTGTCGGGGTGGATTGCAAATAGTGGTGAACATAAGCAGAGCTCGCAGCTCTAGCCTTTGGTCTTCCTTACTTACAGGTAAACGTCTAAATGCTTGAGCTGATCATGCATTACCCAGGTTAGGTTATAGTTGTATGCCAGTTTAACCAGACGCATCCAGCTTAACCTCCCTTTTCTTGATCAAATGACTTATATGCGCTTATGTAAATTGTAGCTCAGTAGTAGCTGAGTATTATTGCGTATAGCAATAATGCAACAGAGCGTTATACAGAGCTATAGTCCTGGCTAGCGACAGGTGGCTGTGACGTAGCATTTGACCAGAATTTCAGGCCCACAATATTAAAAGTATTAGTGATTCATTTAACTGACTACTAATTAATGATAGTGACATTGTTTAATGTTTAAGTTGACTTAACGGAGACATGTCTAAATTAAAGCACCCATGTGTAGTTAACCTGGTCATGAAACGGACTGAAATTGAAACTGATGTCTCTTTGTGATTTACAAAAGTAAGACTGATTATTTCTTTGTTGTTGTTTATGCGTAAAAGAGTTGCCAGGGTAGATGTCAAAGGAAACTATTCTTTGCACACTGTTGAAAAAGCCGTTTATTTTGTTATTTTTCCATAGAAAAGATTCTTGATTTGTGTTTGGCTTCTAGAGGAAGTAGGGCAGATACTTTTGTTCACACTATTTATAAATGTTCTGTACAGATCAGCAAATCCATAAGTGTCTAACTGGCTTTTACTTGATGAAGTCCTCTCACTTTAACTCTGGTTTGGATCAAATCAGCCTGTAAGATCTTTTATTAATCATGCCTTTGTTTTGTTTTTGTCTCTTCGTAGATCTTTGTCCACCTCCAGCATCATGCTTCGCCTGGTCACCATTCACTGTCTAGTTTCCACCCTAATGTTAACATGGCCGCTGTGCTACGCCCAGTCAGACTCTGGCACCCCAACCATCCAGCTACGTCTAGCCGGGGAGAAGCGGAAACATTACGAGGGTCGTGTGGAGGTTTTCTACAATGGAGAGTGGGGGACAGTGTGTGATGATGACTTCTCCATCCAAGCTGCTCAAGTGGTGTGCAGAGAGCTTGGTTTTATTGATGCCGAGTCCTGGTCTCCATCATCCAAATATGGAAGAGGAGAAGGTAAGAAAACTAGCACCTAATTTATTTCGAGGGTCTGCTGGGTTTCAGGGATTTAAACTGAACATTGCAATTAAGATTCATTTTTTTTAAATATACAATTATAATCAAGTTACCTTGTTGAGCAAGACTTGAGGTGACCATTTGATGCCGTATGTGGACTAATTCATCATTTTACCGACCACGTTCAAAAGCAGTATATGTATTGATACTATATTCATGTGTTCATGGAAATCCTTAAATGAGGTATCCATTCCCTCAAGTCACTCTGCTAGTATCCACTGGCACTGGTTTTCCCATTAGTGGAGGACTCAGACACTGCAGTCAGGTCTGAACATGAGAGTCAAGGGGGGTTGGGTGGGGGAGTCTTAGTGGAAACACTGATTGTGTAAACTAGACACCCACACAAAGACGTAATCTTAACTCCCCTTACTCTGTCTTGTATGAATTCCACCAACACTGTAAAAACACTGATGAGATTGCAGCAGTAAATGTGATAGCTGCTGGCTGCTGCTGCTGCTGGTAAATGTCACTTGATGGCTGTTAATTAACTCTGTGGCCCTTGTTAAAAGCACATGTTTTCCCACAGGGTCTGCCACATCCAGGCGGCCACTACAAACGCACAGTAATTGAATTAGCAACTTATTTCCAGAAGCACAACAGTATTTAGAGCATTTCTGTAATCCCACTGATGCATATGCTCTTGCATGAGAAAAATATTTACAAGAACAATTAACAAGCAGTTTTATGTATATGTCTGCACTGCCTGAGATGACAGACAAATGGTGGTACTGCTTTTAATGTCGCGACTGTAAACAAAAAAGGGAAGGATCCATGTGCAGAACCAAAAATGATTTATTCAAAAAAGAAAGAAATAAGAAGCAACAAAAACTCACTTACAAAACAATCCAACCAAAAGAAATCCCAAAGTCAAAAACACAAGGAGCCAAATCCAAGGAACAAAAAACCACAAGGAGACACTGGAGACACTGGAGTCACAAAGAGGCATTGACATACATTCACACACAACACAAAATGAACCAACCAAGAAACAGGGGAAGACAAGGGCACACAGGGAAACGAGCAACGAGAGGCAGGTGAGACACTAAGATACAGGTGCAGACAATCACAGAGGAGGGAAAACCGAGGAAGTAAAATAAGACTAGAAACACAGGGAATAAACTACTACAAAATAAAACAGGAAACACTGAAAACTGATAAGGAATAAAACACTGAGAACACGAGGGAACCAGGTCAGACACAAACTGAAAACTCACAAGAAAGGGCTACAGGGGAACAGGAACAATAGGGCACAGAAACACTAGGGAAAATACACTCAATTCACAGGGAAAAACTCCATAAACAGAACATAATGTGACATTCAAGAAATAGAGCTTCAAAGTTGTGCAAGGGTTTACAAATGTTTATAAAAGACACTGATGTCTTTTTGAATATCTAATGTCGCATTGAGAGGTGGGGCTGGATGTTTAATTTTGGTATCCAGCGTGTTCTGACTAAGCATGCATCCTGTCAAAACCCAAATTACCCACCATGTTCTGGGTAATGAGAAATGTGCGCTTCGTGTTCTGACAAATCGATGTTTAGTTTGTGGGAGAAGTATTATGAAAGCCGTGTATTTGCTGTTTAGAGCAGCTGTGTGTGAATGTGAGTGGGCGGAAACAACTGTTGTCCAGGTTTTCTTGTTGCCGGTGGAGACACATGGCCATAAAAGTGATCAAGGGCATTTTCCATCCACCATCATAATGTCTCATGTGCCAGTGAAAATAAGCACCAAATGCTTCTAATTGAAGACATCACTGTATAACTAGTAGGAGGACATCCTTTTGGATGCACAGTGGTTTTCCTGCTGGCGTGTTCGTATCTGTCCCTCAGTCGCCTCTACACAGTTATGATTTGCAAGTGTAACAAGATTTGTGCAATGTGTAAAAATAACAAGGTGGGAAACAGGACCGACTGCTCCGAGTTTAGATGCTTGTTGCGAAGAAAATAAGAGCCTACTTTTAAAAAGTCATGGCTTACTATTAACTCTCCCCACCCCTTCTTTTTCTTGTGAAAGTGTGTTCGTGGATGGCCTTTGAATGGTAGTTTAAACACAGCACAGAAACTGGCTGGGTGATTGTTTAAAAAAAGGTGTACTATGACCAAGCTGGTTCATACTTGGAAACTCTGCAGTATGATGTTCCAGAGAAATTAACTCTCAGCGAGGGACAGCAAAGTGACAGTGTAAAATGAAGTCATTCCTTAGTATGATCAGGGTTTTCTGTGGGAACGTGCCGAGACCTTCAGAATGATGAGCAGTCCATTAGTTGTTTCCATGACAACAGTCCTGCGGTTTCAACCCCCCTTCATGTCTGAGTCAGGATGGACAGCTGGACAGCAGATGAACGCATTACAACATTAACTTGGCAGGTTATGGCTGGAAGAATGAGTCAGTTTATGTTGGAGACCAAACACATCTCCACGTGAGTAGGTTTACCGTTCCTTTGAATGGATTTCAGTGGAAATGCTAAAACAGTTTTCAAAAGTTGGTGATGCTCAACTTGTACCTGTTAAAGCATAACTAATATCCCATCTGTATTTTCTCACGAATTTATCCCTTAGACAGAGAAGGTACCTGAGACTGGGGCTTTATCCCCATTTAGAGAAGGATATGATTTATGAGAGCGAGTGTCAGTAACAGATTCAACATGAAGGCCAAACAGCTGTCCTAAACTCCAGCGTGTAAGAACTCTTGTGTAACATATGTGTAACTTAAAACCAGCATTAAAAAAAGAAGCCCTACAGTATGAGAAAGCAGCATACAGCCTTATATCAGAGTTGAAGTTTACAATAATATCTAATATTTATACATCTGTTTTTAGAAGAATGTTTGGTGACGTTTTTAGATTTCTCTTTTGACCTTATCAATAAATCAGCGCTGTAGCATTCAACAGATCAAAGTAAAACCAGCAAAGCAAAATCAAACCGCTTATTCAGTCTGCTGCAAGAAAGTTTGATCATATTATGTATGTCTGTGCTTCTCACTCTTCAGGCCACATCTGGCTGGACAACGTGCACTGCACTGGTGGAGAAAAGAGCCTGGCTCAGTGCAAGTCCAATGGCTTTGGAGTGACTGACTGCAAGCATTCAGAGGATGTCGGAGTGGTGTGCACCCAGAAGCGCATTCCTGGCTTCAAGTTCATCCGGAACCAGGCCAACAACGATGAGGTAGGTTTTCACAGACAAACACACTCACCAACAAGCCTGCACTCAGTTTACCCATGCCTATATGCAAATGAACTCACAGAAGTGCAAAGACCAAGGTGGGGTTGCTTTATTAGATAATCGATAACACCCCAGTAGCAACTACACAGGGTTCAAGTACACACAGGCAAGGTTAACAGATGTTAAGAACAATAAAAAATGGAAGAAAGGATAGGCTTTGGGTGAGGGAAAGAATTTCAAAGGGTGCAGACATCGCTTCAAGCACAAAGAAGTGAAATACTTTCTTTGAATGCTTCCAACTTTCCAGTCTGAGCCAGACAGATCAGTGGGCTGGATGTAATGTCTGTCTGTAGATATTATGAGCAGCAATTTAAAATGATGAAACCGGTTCTGATCAAAGACGCAAAACGCATCATGTAAAATATACATAATGTAGATCTATTTAAACTGGCTACATAACTTTTACTCCACCTGGTCTTGGAAAACAAATGGGCATAGGACAGGATTTTGTAATCATCTTTACATACAGTTCATAACATTACCAGAGGGATGAAAGATATATTAAATTCAACAAACCATTCTTGTTTATTTTCAGTTATGAAAATGAATGGCTCTTGCTCTGAGTTTCGTAAATTATGTTGTTAAATGTCAAATGTCATGTTTTTATCCGTCTTCGTATTCATTAGTGGTAGGACAGATATAATCAGTACAAGCAAGCCACTGATCGCTTTAGCTGTAAAGTTGGCTAGCTAGACAACTTATTGCCTGTTGAATTCAGTGATGTGAAAAATCTCTGTGTGTTAAACCCTTTAATTTGATTAAAAATGGCTCAATTAGTGCTGATTCTAACATATGTACTAAATGAGACAGCAAGTCCTTCATATCTGCCATGACATCAAGCCTGTGAAAGAGTCACCCTGCAGCATTCAACTGTACACTCCAAAATGTGCACTAATGACTTTCCCAGGCTCTTATTAGTCCGACCCTGCAGACCCCTACTTTGCAGTCTGGAAGATTTTTGGGATGACTCACAGAGAGGGAAGACCGTCCTGTCTCGCTGCAGACAAACTCCTTTGTACCGGATGGAAAGTCAGTGTGGGTTAGCGTACGTGACTGGAGATAAGGAGAGAGGAGAGAATAGGGGGTTTTCTTCAGCCTGTCAGAGAGAGAGTTATTAAAACACTCTGCCATGAAGAGTTTCCCTATTAAATCCAGACTGAGAGAGATGAAGCAACAGTTCTTTGGCTGCTTGCAAGATAGTAGATGATTTACCTCTATGGATGCTTTCATATGAAGTTTGCTTGCTTACATTGGAAGTTTGACTACGTTACCAGACTCACTACAAGAACAGTGCCTTTGTTTTTCTCACTGGATTCAATTAAGACAACACGCATCTGAAATCCATGTGTTGCCTCTCTGTCTCATGCCTAATGTGTCAGGGGAACAAAGATGACGAGAGAGAGTTTTAAATCCTCAATGATAGACAACTGAAATGGATTCACAGCATTCTTAATTTTACGAGCAATGGGTGTCAGCAGCCCCTTCTTGTTCCCTGTTTGCTTTGTGCATTTAGGGTCTCTGGTGTGTTAGTGCAGTAAGGTCCCACACCCTGTAAATATTTCCTTGGTCTGGTCCTTGCCTTTTAAGCGGCAGGGGAGGGAATGGTAAAACGTGCAGCTACACCTCTTTAACCATGCCTGAACTGACGTAAGCAATGGGCAGCACTGTTCCTTTAATCTGTTTACTCACAGCATGAATTGACATTTTGTGCTCTATCTGGGAAGTTAACACCCTTACTGAGTGTGCCCACAGTCCAAGGAAAGGTCAGTGCTAAAAATGTGGAGTCACTGTTATTTTTTACTCCTCTGTGAATGCTTTTAGCTGAGAGATGATAAATATTTATGTCTGAAGTGCAATGTCTCTACTTGGGGTTCTCACTGGCTCTGTTGTGTCTGTATATATTACAAGATTCAAGTACCTGAAGAGAGGTAGAAAGTTGAATTACAGGGAATTATTTCAAGGATGCAGGTAGTATTTTTACACAAAGTTGTGGTAAATGTTTTTCTTATAAAGTTACAATTTGTTTTTGTGAGGCAAACTACTTTACTGTATATGTGAATATGAACAGATACAGATACAGCTTTAACTACAAACAACAGTCCTCTAGAAACATCAGTCTTTCATTAATGACAACATCTGCATCTCCTGGCAAGAGGTGCAACTGAGGACATTTTACCTCATGAGCCAAAGTTATATGAGGATACTACCTTCACATAGTATGCAGAGACTAGCAGGTATCCTGGAAACTAATTCCTTAGTCCCTTTCTCTGTTGCTCGAAGCTCTTGTTAGAGTTGTCATTTAACCTTTGACCTCCAACCTCGGCTTTGTTGAAACAAAATCAGTCTTGAAGCTGTCTGCTATGATCCCCGCTCTGAAGAGAAAAGCCACATCTCTCACCATCTCAACATCTGTCAGCTTGTTATGCAACTCTCCCGACAAAGCGAAGGAACATACATTCCCGGGTGTATCATTGTGATAAATAATGTTTCTTATTTTATCATGCAGCGTCTAATTCTCCAAATGTTGAACAAGCCATCCCTGAAATCTGTTCAATCTGAAACAATGGGAGTCTTAATTTATCCTAACCAGTTTCTTTGTTAACAAGCATGTGTTTGTGTCAGATGCAGTCTGTGAGTCAGTAGTTGGGGGGTTAGATTCATTGGCAGCACCACTTAGTAAGGAGCCAGGAAACTTTTGTTTATCATCTGTTTGGGACTTTTCATCCAACTCTGCCATGTTCCATTATTGTTCACGTGTGAATGGCATACTGCACGTGCCACCAGTGCTGAATGCATCCCCAGAAGATGCTTCAGATTTCAGTCTGTATGTGTGAGATGTTTATAAGAGTGGGTGATGTGTCATTAAAGGATAATTATAGGCTTGGGGTTTAATAGGAGTTATCCCGGGCCATCTAACTCAGCGTGATTTCCTAAAAAGCTGTTGTTTGCTGGTGTTGCGTAATACATTGTCTCCTGCAGAAAGGAAATTTTCTGTGGGAATTGTCGCTAAGGTAAGCATAGTTCACTTTTATCTGCCCCCTTTTAAATAAAACAATCCATGTCTTTTTGTGTAAACCATTGCGAATTTGAAGTCCAGATAAACCCCCCCAAAAGCAGCTGCAGTTACGTGGCAGCAGCTCTTAACCACAGCCAAACACTTAGATCTAGAGTCAACACAAAGACGTCAACAGCCAGTCGCAACAACAGAACGCAGCACTGAAACGCATTTTCATTCCTTGCGCATCTACACAGGGCAAAGGTTGCACTTCTCCATGAGGCATGACAGTCTCCTCTTACAAGAATTCAGTTCCTCACACTCACTGCTGAACAACGAAAAGGAAACCCGAGCCCAAACTTGGATTGTCCTCCCACACAATGTATGCAAGGGGCTTGTGAGGGAAGAGGGGCTGAGGGGAGAAAAGGTTGATGTGTGTCTGGAGGCTTAAAGCCAGTTTCTCTTCTGTGGATAAAGTAGCAGACAGTTTCCCCACATGTTCAACAGCTGGATCCCATTGTGGCCTCAGCTCTGCTTTAAGCTGCAAAATGCCCAAAATCCAGTCTTATATCAGTCATACTTTAACTTTATGGGCCCCTATTCGTACATTGTGTAGTCTCATACCCAGAGAACATGCGTATTAAAACTAAAGCTTTAGATATTACATAAATACATTTTTTCAATTAATCTGCGCCTGGCCAAAATAACTTTTTGAAATGTTTTGATTTAAAGGCGCAACTTTACAACTCCAGCACACAGTGATATTTCAACAGAGATCATATAAGCTAAAAGAAAACTACTTTATGGAAATAAGTCACTGATGTGTTGATGGCAAGATGAGAAAATTGATACCATTCTCGTCTGTGACCAAATGAAGCCATGGGGTTTATGTGCTGTATCATGATGACTGTGAGCTTTCTCTCACAGGCACACATTTTCAGGAAGTGTTGTGTTTATGCAGGAAATTTTCTGTCATGAAACTCTGTGTGAAGCTACAGATTGTTGCACACATTAAGATGAAAAGCTAAAAGAATTTAAAAGGGAATTTAAAAGTCTTTCAGTCTTGAAGCTAACAGTGCTTCATCTCATATAGTGAGTCATGGCACTCAACAAGAAAGTCATCCATGCACTGCTACTTGCTCTTCTTTCTGCAGTTATGATTATTTTGGGATAATAAATCTTGTCTTTTATTCTGTAAATCAACTTATAAATATGAAGTGAATGAAAACCCCTTATCACTCCTCTATGAGCCAAACTGCAGTACTCTTTGATTATTACTGACTACACTGTCCAGCAGGTTCAGAAATTTCACTTAAAAGTTTTGTGTTATTACGACAAAGTATTAGGGCCACATTAAGAAAACAAAAATTTAAGACTTCGAGATTAATTTACGAGAATAAAGTCATTACTAATGAGAATAAAGTCGTAATAAAGGAATTACTTATGAGGGTAAAGTCAGAATAAAGTCCTTATATTCTAACCTGTTGTTTAAGATGACAGTTGTTGAAATGAGAGCCATGGAGCATTTCATGAAAATGTACTTCGATATAGGTTTCTCAAACAAGGAGATACTTCATCTTTTGGCACATCAGTATCACATTATTATAAGTATTATAATGATGTTATTATGACTTTATTCTCATAACTAATTACTGTATTAGACTTTATTCTCATTGGTAATGACTTTATTCTCGTAAATTAACAACTTGAATCTCAAAGTATAAATTTTTGTTTCTTAGTGTGGCCCTAATACTCTGTTGTATGATATAAAAGTTGATATCAAATTAAAATGGTTTTTCGCGGACGAGGTTTGTGTGTGTGTGTGAGTGTGTAGGTTTGTTTTTATACAGGTGTGATCTACCTGTTATGATTATTTATGTTTCCTTCCTTCATGGACACGGACATTGCAGCACTAGGCTTGCTAATAGGTATTCCAGATGCAACACACACACACACACACACACACACATACACTAACACACACACACACACGTACACACGTACACAGTCAAATCAGGCACACTGGGGGCCATGAGTGGGGTGGAGCAGATGTGAAAGTCATTTCAAAGAGCCTCGCTGTTCTCCTGCTTTTTCATCTAAACTGTGGACTGATTATCATTTGTACTGAATGTGTTTTGCAGAGTGGGGTGGGGTAGGTGGGTGTGTGGGAGGGGTGTGGATGGGTGGGGGCACGTGCAGATAAACGTGCGGCGCGGCTGGGAGGCTGATTAAAGTGGAAGAAATGCACAGTAGTGGAAGCATTAGTCAGACACTGGCTAGACCGCAGGCTCATGTTCACACATCTACTGAGTGAGGGAACCCAGTCAGAAAAACAAGTCTGCCGTCCGGTTGGAAAACATTCAGTAATGGTCAAAGCTCACTTCACAGACCGGTAATGAAAAGAATGAATCAAACAATGTTTTTCTTTTTTTGGACAACACGAGACCATGAATGTGTGACTTTAAACAATAGTTACAACATTTATTTACACAATGAGGTAATGACGAGTGTGTTCAGTGTGGCTTTTTCACTATTCAATATTCTCACCGCAGCCAATGATGCTGCAGTCATCAGACTAAACATTTAAACAAGAAATACTAGTTATTAAGGATATTTTCATACTGGGCAGGGCTGTACTTTAGAGGGAGTGCTCTCATAATGAATCACTCACTATAGTGCAGCAGCACACAGGGGATGACTGTAAGATCAGCTAACTTTAAATGCTCAATAAAGAATCAGCTTCAGCTTAAATCTATGAACTGTATATAGAGGAGAAAAGCCAAGCCACAGTGGCACATTTTGGTTTTACACAACTTTGACAGAGAGGATATTTTGTTTATATTACAAAAGTTCAGAAGGTTTCTTAACTTCTTAGTGACCCTAGCTTGCTGTTTGTACTTCTTTCCAGTCTTTGTGCCAAGCTAGTTTAAATTTCAGCTGAAGGTATGCTTCATATTTGCCATGCGGTGATAAGCGATATATGTCTCCTCATGTAATTCTAGATAAGATAGCAAAATATTTCCTAGAACATTGAACTGATTCCCAAGATTTTATTCCCAGAAGCACTTTGTTATGTGAGTTTTCCAAGTAAAGTTTCAAGTGTCTTTCAGTCGTGGCAGGTGAGAAAATATCTTCATGTTTCATGTTCTTTGTTTTTCTCAGTTACTTTCTACTTCTCCAGCATTTTTCCTCAAAGAAAGCTAAAAAAGTGACCGGTGTGGAGATTATTTGAGCTTGTGCCAAACTGGATTATGCTGAATTTATGTCTAATGGTCTGAGTTTGGGGAAATGTCTGGACTGATCCCAGCTGTGGGAGGGTGTGGGTCGTCGCTCGGCCTCACGTTTAGACAGGCAGTTTCCTCTGTCTGAGCCAAATGCAACACTCGTCAAATGTATCTCTGTACCCCATTTCAATCTCACCTTGTTCCTCCTGGTCTGTCTGGTGTTTTAGTCTCACACCTGGCTTCATTTTGATTACTCAGGTTTTCCATTTGGTCTTGTGCCTTTGTATCAGTCTCTGTGTGTGGTATTCAAGTTAATTTGTTGTTTTTAGTGAGCTTTGTGGTGTTTATGTCGATAGTTTAGATGGATGTTTTGAAGCTACTAACACCAAAGCACTGAGATAGGGTTAAAAATTGAGAACATGAGATCCCTGATCACGGTCACGTCTCCTCACCTTCTCCTCCTGCCAGCACAGACGGAAAACACTCTGTCATGCTATGGCCTGCAGGAATGTGTTCATGAAAGAGTGGTTTTTACCCACTCTAACCGCTGCGGTCAGAGGGAGGACGGGGGTCACTGTAGAAACAGTCTGACTTAGTCTTGGTTCCTCGTGTGCTGCAGTCTTTGGCAAACTGAGACCTTGGAGCCTTAAACATTCCCTCAGGCTGACGCCATCTCAGGAAACCACCCTGTGGGCAAAGGTTTAATATTTCTGCCTGGATGTAGAGCCTTTTTTTGCAGCAGTGGAGAAGCAGGCTGTGTCAGCATTTGCATGCCACAGAGCAGAGTTTTGGCTCTTTTCGGCACCCACGGTGCAACCTCACACCCAGCCAGGAACTAACTGGATAACTAGGTGCTGGGAGGGAAATGAACAATGGTAGAGTTATGGGGTAGTTGTTTTCCCATTAAACTGTGGGGGTCAAAGGTTGCCATTCCTTACTGATTTAGGGGTCTTCAAGACACATGATAGCGTACCAACTGTGGCTGGTGGCCCTGATCTGACAAACGGGCTTTACAGCTAGCTTTATAGTAGACTGTGGACCACCCGCAAATTCTCGCCTTACCTGAACTCTGTCAGAACTTACTGTCTTTAAAACTTGATTTATTACCAACATGTTCAGGAGTTTTGTTTCTTCTTTAACTTGATCTATCAGTGTTCTCTTTTTCTGCTCATCCAAGTTATCTTAGATACAGGCGAGAATTTAAGTCCCAGTTGCTTTAACACTTAGGTAAAAGCAAAAGACTCGTAAGACTAGTTTTATTTTCCTCTGATTCATCTCAGTATTGCAGAGATGTTTTAGACAGTGATGCTTCACTTTGTACCTGAAACCTGAATTGTTCATCTGAACTTCAAGCTCTAAAAACAGAGATGGCAGAAAAATTCCAGAGATTCGTGAACCCTCCCAAGGCTCAGCCACCCTCAACAAGTTTGAACAAGGATTTTATCCGCTGATTTTTTCCATTTTTCTTTGTGTATCTTTAAACACATGTGCAAACTTTGCAGGCCCTGAAAGGTTACTGAAGGATTTCTTTTTTTTCTGCAGCATGTTTCCTTTTTCTTACAGTACACACCCGGTTTGTGACTCATAGGCTGTACAGTATTTACAATAAATCAAGCAGAACAGTTAACGGGAAGTACAAATAAAGCGACATCCTCTCAATAACATTCCTGTATATTGGACAGCTCAGAATTCAACTGAGATTACATTCACTGATTATGCAACTTTGTATATGAAGCTATAACTCTCTGTCAGTGTGGTTTATAAGAAAGTTGAGTGCGTCACTGCACGTTTGCAGGAACATGAAGAAAGGGGAAAAGAATGAGTTACCAAATTCATCCTGCAGCAGTGTCAAGAAAGATAAAAATACAGCTGCATACAGATAGTGGCTGACTGATGCTTGTACCTGATGTTGTGAATGAAATTAAAAGTACCTCTAAAACAAAGAAATGAATGAAACTACAGTGTTTTGTCTTCAGGTTTCCACAGATATTCCACAGATGAAAAAATCGTATCGAAATTTCTAAACATAACTGTAATTCTGAATGATAAAACATTTCTCCTGCTGTGCTTCTCAGGCTCTGACAGTGCAGGTTGAGGATGTGAGGATCAGAGCCACTTACTCTCACAGGAAAAGGATTCCCATCACTGACGGCTTCTTGGAGGTGAAAGATGGAGGCAAATGGAGACAGATCTGCAACGAAGGCTGGACAGAGATGAACACCAGGGTCATCTGCGGCATGCACGGCTTCCCTGGGGCCAAACGGTTAAATACCCGACCCTACAAGTGAGTGATGGTGCCAGGACAGAGTTGTTAACTTACCATTGTACAAGTCTTCAATAAGTTTATTTCTCTAAGTAGCAGTAGGTTGGGTTACTTAGTGTCCAGGTGATAGAAATATATCAATGATCATTCTTTGCTTACATATGTGTGAAAAAAAAAACGATGATATCACTCTTTTTACGTAAAAATATTACATTTGATGGAAGGTATGATTAGTGTATGTTGATTTTAAGCCTTAGCCTGTTTAGGTCTGTTCAGCTGAAACAAACTTATGTAACCACGTTTGTTTACACTAGTCATCACTCATCTCCCCATCCACTCTGCACACCGACATAAAACAGACTCAAGCATGAAAATTCTTGACCGAAAGCCAGCTGCAGTCTGAGTTTTTAGAGAATGAAGGATGGGACTTTCTGGGAAACGACTTGCTGCACTACAGTAAAAAACAGTGGCTCTTTTGGCTTTATCAAACTATTTCCCCCTGAGCAGGAGTGTGAACATGCTGTCCTTGTTAAATATCAAAACCATGTAGCCCATTACAAAGCCAGCTTTTTCCTAGAACTCTTGTCCCCTTATGTTTATTTTGGTAACATGGGCAGCCGAGTTCAAAACAACACAGATGCGGACTGCAAAATACAAATACCATATGAGGAAGTTTCTTGGTCTAGTCGCTGCATGAAAGAAGACAGCTTGTTGTTCTTTAAAATAGCAATGTCTAAAATTCAAATCAGATCTTGAAAAGAAATGTCTCCCTGCACTCCATGAAGATTGAGGCTTAGGTGAAGGGCTGCATTTTCATTATTATTTTTAATTAGAGGATAGGTTGTCCATAAAAGTTGTTGAAAATGCTTCTTACAATTACTTAGAGCCCAAACAATATCCCGAAGTTGCATGTTTGACCAACAAATGATACAAAACCCAAATAAATCACTTTTACCATCTGCCATGACATAAAAAAGCGGAAGACGCTCACATTTTTGCTTGAACCAGCAAATCTCAACACTTTTTTATTCGCTCAAAAGTTGACTTATACAACTTACTGATTATCCAACTTATTGGTAGATCAATTACATAACAACATCTACATAACAAGTAAACTCAGTAATTACTGTTGCTTTGGTTCGACGGTCATTAAAGTTTACACAATTACATGAGTTTATGTCGTTCAGAATACACATCCAGTCAGCGTTGGTCTCCCGGAGCTTCAAACTCACCACTGTTAAATCTAAACCAGACATAAGAATTAACTCTTAAACACTGAGTCAGTGGAATAAGTATGTATCCAAGGTTGTAACTTTAATGTTTTAGCTTTCTGTAGCATGAAGACAAAGGATAAGAAGCTGACTTTCATTAGAAATGTTTCTACATTTTAAAGTTTTGGAAATCACTATCTTATTTGATTCAGCTCATAAAGTACTTTTTGGCATGTAAGGGTAGAAAAAAAAAGTATGAGATGCAGCAAACCAACAGAAAACATCTTTCATTTTGTTTTTCACATTTGTAAGCATGTCGTGTTGTTGCTATGGCCCTGCAGGGCTCCACTGAGGAGGAAAACTATCTCATTGAGTCAGTATTTTATCTGCAAAAGGATCTCCTCACTAAACAAAGCAGAGACAGCTCCACAAAATTAAAACCTCTGAATCAAAGTTGGCACCTCTTCAAATTTAACCAACCATAAATAGTTCTTGTTTTTAAACTGTCTTAGTGCTTCATTCTGTTTAGGGCATCTGGATAAACTGCATGAGGGGCTGTAAATGTGGCTCATGCTGCTTTCATTACATGGTCTGCTTCTTTTGAGGCTCAGACCTGATGCAAGCCCCTCTGTTGTTGGGGTCTTCAATGACCCTAAGTTGATGGCTTCCAAACAAGTACAGGGGTCATGGGAATGTTAAGGTATTCTCACAACAATTACCCCATTGAGCTTGACCAAAAGGATGAGCATTGTTCTTTACACTTAATGACTAAAAGCCTCACCCCCCTATTGTACATTTAGGTAACACTTTACTTGACGCCTATCTCTACAACGTATTATAAATATATGTATAATGTGTTATAATCCCGTTATAGCACTGTATAACTTTTACGGTTATTAACACTCATAAATGATCATAATGCTTTATAGCAATAATCAATAATTACAATAATCACATAGCAATAAACACATTATAAAGCATTTTATCATGACTTACAAGGTCAGGTATTATAATGTGTTATAACTATAAACAACTCACTGACAATGCCCACATAGATAATGCATTATATATATATTTATGATGTGTTATAATTTGCTCATAAACTTTAATAACTATCATTATTAACACTCATTGATTATCATGAGGCTTTATAACAGTAAGCATAACACCATATTTTACCATATTTTTAAAACTATATTAAAAAATTCATCACTTCACATTCATACCTAACCATCGACAGATCAAGTCAATCCAATCCAATCAGTAACAAGCTGCTCTGAAAGCTCCTCTTTGATGCAGTGGCATGTTCTTGTGGAAAACTCTCAACATCTGAGTCGTAAAAGAGAGGTGAGCCTTAAGTGTTGGATAACAGCCTCCCATCTGCTCTGAATGCATCAAAAGGAGTACTTTAAAAAAAAAACACGTGCTGCAGGAAATCCATGCCACAATGACATACCATCAGATAGCCAAAAAACGACAGAGATGATTCATGTCCTCTGTGTTGGATGTTCTCTCTGAGGCAGTCTGCACATTTTGGCTTGATCTGACACACATGGGAACTTGAAAGACTGAAAAAATGTTGGTCATTAATCTTCAAAGAATCCTTTCTGGTGTTTGCAGTGACTTGTTAACACACACACAGAAAAAAAGCGGTTTTATTTATCACAATTTGTGCTTTCCTTTTCAGATTGCTGGCCAAGCGCCGTAAGAAGAACTACTGGGGTTTCTCTGTCAACTGCACAGGAAATGAGGCTGACCTCTCTGATTGTAAGCTGGGCCGAGAGATCGAGCTGAAGGGAAACCTCACTTGTGAGCATGGCATGCCTGTAGTGGTCAGCTGTGTGCCTGGACGTGCCTTTGCTCCCAGCGTCAGTGCAGGCTTCAGGAAGGCTTACAGGGTGGAGGTGGGTCCGATTGCGGACACTACTTTTCTTCAGAGAAACATATCAGTTAGCTGTTTCTTTGTATCAGAAAACCTGAGTGTCTCCTCTTAGATAAAGGGCAGTGATGTATTATTTTAAGATAAACTCCCTGCCCAGCACAAAGTGTTGGCCTTTTGTGATCCAACATCTAACTGAAAACATTCAGCAGGCTGCCTCACACTTTGGTTGTGCCATATGGACAGTGTTAATCTCAAACACTGCAGATGTTCATACCATCTGAGATTTTTTCTTCAAGGTTAGATCTGGATGTTTACACAAGAAAAGCTGCTTAAAGTTAAATGTCCAAATCAAAATCCGTTTATCTTGTAGATATGCTGTTGAGTCATTTTTTTACATTAGGAAAACCACAGCCCTTTCAAGAGAAACACAGGGTTGAGTTAGTAGTTCAGTTTCCCGTAATCAGTAGTAGATATAAGTCCATTGCTGGCTTACAACATCGCCTGCTAATGACCAAGAGGTCATGTAGACAAGCATCTGGAGACACTTAAATGGATGAACACTAAACAAATGCCATGTTTAAAATCAAAACATCATTTTCTAAGACTATGTTTACTGTATAAATTAAGTTGTCACCAAGATAAACACCTTTTTATATTCCAGTCAGCAAAGCATTAAACCATGTAAACCAAGTTGCACATACTTAACTGAAGTTAGTCTAAATAGTCTTATAGTCTAAATACTGCATTCAAGTTATTTATTATGACTCAAGTACAGTTAAAGTGATAAGGCCATCTGCTGCTGTAGAAATATGCAAAAGTAACCGTTTCCTTTAAAATTCATCAACTCAGACTGTTTACTGACTGTTTTTCACAGCAACCCTTGGTGCGCCTTAGAGGGGGAGCTATGATCGGTGAGGGACGAGTGGAGGTGTTAAAGAACGGAGAGTGGGGGACTGTATGTGACGACAACTGGAACATTCGAGCGGCCACTGTGGTGTGTCGAGAGCTTGGATTTGGGAGCGCCAAAGAGGCCTTGACTGGTGCCCGACTAGGACAAGGTATGCACGGATCAGTACTGCTGTGTATAGTCATTCACTGATATGTGTTAAGTGTGCTGCAATATGATTATAAACTGAAGAGATATCATTATGTTTTCCTCAGACTTGAAATTGAGATGAATATTTTCTAAAAGGAGATTCATAATTTAAAAATAGAAAAAAAAAGGGCTGTCCTGATTGAAAAGCTTTGCAGGTGTTTCTGGCTGCCAAATCCTCAAAGGGATATTCTGGCGTAAAATTTATTTAGGGTCAAACACACTGTAACACCAAGTTAGACACCCCCTCGAGAGATGAATTTTGCTGACCACTTGCTTCTCTGGTTATACCAACTTTAGTAAAGACTGCACGATAACAATACACAGCGGTCTGAGGAGCCATCAACCAAACCTCAACCAAAACGCCACTCTATAGCCACAAATAATGCTCAGAACAGCACCTAACTTCATCAACGGTACATATAGGGTCTTAGCCACAGCACTAGCCATCAAACATCTTTTAAGCTTTGCCTAATTTCTAAAGCAAAGAAACTAAACACAACTCACCTAATTTCTTCCAGCGGCCGCTTGTTTGTAGCAAGACCTCAGGACAGTCCATTACAGACTGCTGCAGGGAGACGCAGCTCAAGGAAGAACATTTATGATCATTTCTAAATGGAAATGCAATCAGACCAAGACACTAAAGGCAGAAGGACTACCATGTCTGCAGTGCAACATGATTAATATGGTGATTATTACGTCAAGGAAATCAATCAATCAATCAATCAATCAACTTTATTTCTATAGCACATTTAAAAGAACCACAAGGGTAGCCAAAGTGCTGTACAATGACACATAAAAACAAATAAAACAATCAAAGTAATGATCATAAATGTTCTTCCTTGAGCTGCGTCACCCCACAGCAGTCCGTAAAGGACTGGTCCGAGGTCTCGCTACAAACAAGCGGCTGCTGGAAGAGAGTAGGTGAGTTGTGTTTAGTCTCTTTGCTAAAGAAATTAGGCAAAGCTAAAAAGATGTTTGGTGGCTAGTACTATGGCTGGGACTCTATATGTACCGTTGATGAAGTTAGGTGCTGTTCTGAGCATTATTTGTGGCTATAGAGTGGCTTTCTGTATTGCTATCGTGCGGTCATTACAAAAGTTAGCATGACTAGAGAAGTAAGCGGTCGGCAACATTCATCTCTTGAGAGGGTGTCTAACTTGGTGTTACGGTGTGTTTGACCCTAACTTAATTTTACACCGGAATATCCCTTTAAGGGAAATAAATTCAGTGATTCTTAAAAAGTTGAGTTCAAAAAGGAAATCAGTCAATGTTAAGTTGTTAGCCTTTTTGAGATTCTGCCCTGAGAAACCAAACTTGTTTGCACTGAGAATGAAATTGTCTAATTATCCTTGATGCTTACTGACGCCACACACAGGAGCGTAGGAGACCATAGTCACCATCAGGGTTAACCAGAGATGGTTATAGGACTCAACTGTGCACAGGTTTATAGATTTAAAAACTCCTCACATTCAGTACTTAAACATTCAACAAAGGTCCAAGCACAACTTCAAGCAGAACTCAATCCCAGCTGTGAAAACGAAGGTGTGGACTGAAACCAGCCACATCCATCTCCACCTTTTCTTTGGTCTCTGTATCCCCACCTGCTTTTGTCCACTTCAGTCAGTCCAGACTTTAAGTCAGCATAGAAAGATGCATGGAGTAGCATATTAATTTTTATAACCTGACCTCAATACTGATTCTGTGTAATGCAATATACCGCTGCATTATAAAAATCATATGTGCGTCGAAGCAGTTGTTTCCACTTGGGCGTTATTCTGACAGCAAAACACAAGGGTGCACAAAATGTTCTTGCAAAAGAAAAAAAACAGGCTTTATGAGATCCAGCAGAGGAACTCAGTTTTGGAGAGTGCACGGGGTTATTTAAGGGCTTTTCTGTATGGGCTGACCACCAGATTCTAACATTCGTGTCACGTACAGACTGTAGGCTGGAAAAGATGATGATGTTTGTTTTCCAGAGTCACTGATGTGGATAAAAAAATGACAATAAAACTTAAACGCTGTTTTGTAATTTAATAGGAGTGTAGGTTTTTCCAATACAATCATTGTAGTTTTGTGTTTCTACATACTTTAAGCTCCAAAGCGATCCAGAGTTTTGTTAAACCCGCTGCATTTTTCTGTCACCTTTATGAGTAAAATATGTTTATTTCTTCTCTATCGAGTCTAATCAATCATCTGTTGGATGAGGCACTGACTATGAGATAACACCAACTCTGCTTGCTTCCTGTTGTGATTTTATTTTCTTCACCAGCTGCCAGTCAGCCTCAGTGTCTGGCTGCAGTTTCTGAAATCACATCACTAGAGACATTCTACCCGAGTCACATGTGACTAAAACCAGCATGGAGAGAATACTCTCACATGTTATTGTGGAAAGTCTGACTTTTATTTTTCTCTCAAAAAAGAAAAGAAGATGCAGAGAGGAATTTTTTTACAGGTCTCAAGTGTCAAATTTTCACTCAACGGGGCTGACACGGCTTATTTCCTATGTGCTTGGGTTCAAGGAAACAGGACATCGTACATCTGTCTCTAGGTGGACATGTTGTCCTGACCAAACGCTGGTTTAGTCATCAAGAATACTCAAAGGAGATGTTTGACTCTACCTGTTTTTCAATTTTTTAGTCACAGAAAGTTAAATCATGGGTTGAACTGAAGAAACCCTCTGTTATGTTTGTCTGATTTATGTGTTTTCTTACAGGTATTGGGCCGGTCCACATGAACGAGGTGGAGTGTTCTGGCTTTGAAAAATCTCTGACAGAGTGTTACTTCAACCGTGAAGCTCTTGGCTGCAGCCATGAGGAAGATGCAGCAGTCAGGTGTAATGTTCCTGCTATGGGCTTCAACAAAAGAGTGAGTACTTCTGTTTACCTGAGAGACATAAAAAAGACCTTTCACAAAGAGGTAGCTCACATCTGTGGTTTTCCTTCCTTAGCTTCGGTTAAATGGCGGCCGTAATCCCTATGAGGGCCGAGTGGAGGTTCTGACTGAGAGGAACGGCTCTCTGGTGTGGGGGACAGTGTGCAGTACCAGTTGGGGGACCATGGAGGCCATGGTAGTGTGCAGGCAGCTTGGCTTGGGCTTTGCCAGCCATGCTTTTCAAGTAAGTTCTCTGACATAAATGTCGACAGCCTCTGCCACCACTGAACGAATGCTGTGTAAATGGGTGGATGCGGCACGCAATGTAAAAATGCTGTGAGGGGTCAGAAGACTAGAAGAAGCACTATATAAATACAATCTGTTTTACCATTTATGGTACGGAGGAAAGGGGATGGATTTGCTCTTTAACCACACCTTTAATGCTATCATCCTTATTTAGTGAAGTGCAGGAGATAAAATGCAGGTTGCATACATGCATGATTAGAAGTAGATAAAGCTGTTTTACCCATTTTACTCTGTGTGTGTGTGAAGCGGTGGATGCCATAAACTCTCACTCTTACAAGCTTGAACTTTATTGATCCTTGAGGGCAAAGAAAAGACAGTGACAGTCTTGGAAACATCAAAAACACCCAGTTGAGAGGGTCAGCTATGTTCAACCTATGACACAGATGAGTTTTACAGTCCTCAGCAGGAGTGATGGGGAAGCCTCCTCTGCTGTTTGAAGTTTTATTTTGGAGTCTTATCCTGCTAAAGCCCAGCAGGACTTAACAGCGTCACAGTCTAACAGTGCTGACGGTTACTTTCTGCATTTTTAAAGGAGACCCCAGAGCTCCCTTTGAGTCATGAGGTGACAGGCTGGTAAAATTGATGCAGTTAAAGTCCCCCGCCTCCTCCTATGTGCAGAAACCAGTGGGGTAATTATGGTTGATAGGTGATGATATAGGCCTGGAAAATATTTGTGAATCATGACAACAGCAGGAGGTTTTATGAGTGGAACCTGGACAGGATCTGTTGGAGGCTGTTTATCTCACTATAGTGTGTTAAGAGACAATTATGGGCAATGCTTCTTTAATATAGCAACAGGCAAACATGTCATTATGTGTTTGTAGTCACTGCTGGAGCCCTCATCTTTTGGTCAACTACAATCCAGCATCATGTTCTCTGACTTACTGTAAAATAAAATGTCTGATGACATGTATTTATTTCCCCTCTCAAAATAATAACCTTTTCCAAGTCAAATAACCAGAGGATGATATCATAATAACACATCCCTTTGACAGCACATGCCATAGGTTGCCATTATAAGTTCTCAAATTAACAGCAAGCTTAGGGGTGATAAATGTCTGCTCCCTGTTACCACAGCAGAGAAGCATCGGCCCCTCCGGAGACTCTTTCCTGTCTGACTCTTAAATACTTCTGCAGGCAAAATCCACCACCACATGGAACAAATGACACAGAGCTCAAGCTATACCACTGCGTGACTGTCCACCTCAGCCCACCATCATGCTCCCACATCTATATCCCTAGCTCAATCCCTCACTTCCTGGGAAGTTGATGGAAAGTATTCTCTCATTGGTCGTTATCTGTGGTCAGCAAAATGTTGTAATAAGGCTGAGTCAGCAGCACTGTGAGGACAACAGAATATCCCCTGCTTGTGTGTGTGTGTGTGTGGGATGGATGCTCTGATTAGATTTGCCTTGTGGGAAATCTGGGATCAAATGTCTACTTATTGAAGTCAAGAGGAAAAACGTGGATAATAACTAGACCTAAAAAGCTCTGACACAAACTTCCAAAACTGTTTAAGCACGATATTTTCATCTTTTTGTTCCAGTAAACTCTAGTAAACATAGATGGACCAAAGACTGTATATACATATATATATATATCGATAGATATCTATATTTATATGTATATGTATCTATATACAGTTTTAGAGATGGACTGATGTATTAAAACTTAATTGCTTTTTTGTACAACATAGAGATAGACATTGTTAGCATGGCTTATTATTATTATTATTATTATTATTATTATTATTATTAAGACTAGAAACTTGTAAACCAATAGCCTGAAAGTGTGAAACAAAAAAAACAAAAAAACAATTATGGTGCCAAATTTCAGCCATGAACTGTGGCTGCATTTTTGTACAGATTGACAAATGACATGTCTCAATAAGTGGTTTTGGCCTCTCTTTTCTGTCATTATCTATAATCTAAACAGATGTTGGCTCTATGTTTTCCATTAAGACATTCAAGTGATATCATTCCTCTCGTTTAACTACACTCAACTTGGACTGGCTCACTCGACTACCCCGAAGCCTTGGCTGGTCCTCATACCTTAGAGGAAAAACTGACATGACCCGGGAAAACCCCAGAACAACAAAAGTAATGAAGACAGAAACAGACAGGCCTAGAGGTGTGTGCTGAAGAGATCGAGGGATGTAGATTAGACAGTTGTGAAAGAAAATGTCTCAGTGAATGCTGTGACTTTAAATGTCTGCATTCACGACAATGTATTTGCAATGTCGCGTCACTTTTTCAGCAGCACTCTCCCGTAAAGTCACTTGTTGATCTGCTTGGTCTGACTTATATCTGTGTTTCTCATTCATCAGGAAACTTGGTACTGGGCTGGAGATCCTTCAGCTGATGCTATTGTGATGAGCGGAGTGAGATGTTCCGGGACTGAGCTGACACTGGATCAGTGTCTACATCATGGGAAACACATTGACTGTCCCAAAGGAGGGGGCAAATTTGCTGCTGGAGTCTCTTGTACTTTAAGTAAGAGAGTATATAGATACTCTTCTTTTGTGGTATCATACAACTTATTTGAGAATTTGGGGGTTTTCTGATTCATGTTGTTCCTAAATGCCACTTATTTTCTCTCTCTCCCAGCTGCCCCAGACCTGGTCCTCAGTTCTCAAGCTGTTGAGCAGACCACCTACCTGGAAGACAGGCCCATGTACGCACTGCAGTGTGCCCATGAAGAGCGCTGTCTGTCCTTGAGCGCTGACAAAGCCGACTCCACTTCCTACCGCCGCCTCCTTCGCTTCTCTTCACAAATCCACAACAACGGCCAGTCAGACTTCAGGCCACGAGCTGCACATCACTCCTGGGTTTGGCACGAGTGTCACAGGTGAGACATAATGGTGGTGTTTGTATTTGCCTCTCTTTTAACATGTGGACTGTAAAGAAATCAGAGGTGTTTATACCCAACACTCCTTTGTATTACAATAACTCAAACACTGATCACTGATATTTGACCAGCTGCGACACACTGTCATTAAAGGGATATTCTGGCGTAAAATTAATTTAGGGTCAAACAGACTGTAAAACTGAGTTAGACACCCCCTCGAGAGATGAATGTTGCTGACCTCTTGCTTCTCTAGTTATACCAACTTTAGTAACAACTGCACGATAACAATACACAGTGGTCTGAGGAGCCATATGTAAACCTCAACCAAAACACCACTCTATAGCCACAAATAATGCTCAGAACAGCACCTAACTTCATCAACGGTACATATAGAGTCCCAGCCATAGTAGTGGCCACCAAACATCTTTTTTGCTTTGCCTAATGCTTTAGCAAAGAGACCAAACACAACTCACCTACTCTCTTCCGGCAGCTTGTTTGTAGCGAGACCTCAGGCCAGTCCATTATGGACAGCTGCGGGGTGACGCAGGTCAAGGAAGAACATTTATGATCATTTCTCCCTGGAACTGCAATCAGACCGAGACGCTAAGGCAGAAGAACTACCGCATCTGCAGTGCAAAATGATTAATATGATGATTATTACTTCAAGGAAATTATAAAGAAGGGGGTGTCTAACTTGGTGTTACGGTGTGTTTGACCCCAAATTCATTTTATGCCGGAATATCCCTTTAATTGTTAACATTGTGATAATTAACTTGAAACCTTTTTATGTAGAGGACAAATAGATTCACTTTTATTAATTAAGTGCTTATTCCAAACATGCGACCCTAAGACACTTTAAAAGAGAAGCAGCTTAGACAGTACTGGTTTTTTTTTGGTAGTTTACACAGGCCCACCATGAGCAAGCCAACATATGGCTACTGTGGCAAGGAAAAAACTCCTTTTAAAAGGAATAAACCACAAGCAGAACCAAGTTCATTGGGTACGTCCATCTGCTTTGACTGGGAGGGCTGAAGAGGTTGAACAGAGGGAGAGACAGACAGAGATGGAAAGAGACAAAATACAAGGCTACAGCAACAACCGATTCTGCAGACTCATTTGTACAATGTTAAAGGCCAAATGTGTGTAAAATCAGCAATAATAGAGTGGAAATGATGATTTAAGTATAGCTGACAATTAATACCATGACAGTTAAGGTCAACATGTCTGTTATTAGCATTTACAACTCTAATAAATACAATAAGGAAAAAAAAATAGCTGTAAGAGTAAATACTAGTCTACAGTTGGTGGACTGAACACAGTTCTTCCCTTATGCTGAAATTCAGGCTGTGTTGAAAGGTGATAACAACACTGGTGACAATAGTGGACTTATTCTATCTGACATATATAGTCTGTTTATTATAGTTTCATATTTAGACCCAGAAGAGTGAGGGTAACAATCTGCTGAAAAGGAGATGGAGAATTCAGTGTTCTGGCTTCTAGTGAATGATGTACAGATTTAGTTTTTTTTTATGTTTAAACTGAGTTTAAAAAAAAAGTAATAACAGCCTACTTCCTTCAAAGTTCATTCACTCCACAGACATCTATGTTTTCGCTGCCCTCCTGCATGTTGCATGCATAAGTGTATGTTAGAAATTGCGGGGCTGCTAAAAGTAGAAATAAATATATAGGATGTTTGACCATTGTGTGTTTTTTCTATCCGATCCAGACATTACCACAGCATGGAGGTTTTCACTCACTATGACCTGCTGAGTCTAAACGGCACCAAAGTAGCAGAGGGACACAAAGCCAGCTTCTGTCTGGAGGACACGCATTGTGACGAAGGTAAATAAAGCTGCGTTACTTTTTGCTTCATTTTTATAATATACTGGGCTTTGTGCAGGGTTCATCTTACAGAGTTTCTGTCATACAACTGAATAATAACTGAAGCGATTTTTCATGTTGACAACAGGTATCCAGAAAAGGTACGAATGTGCAAACTTCGGGGCTCAGGGCATCACAGTAGGCTGCTGGGATACCTACAGACATGACATTGACTGTCAGTGGATTGACATCACTGATGTGAAGCCTGGGGACTACATCTTCCAGGTAAAATACTCGGTCTAGACATAAAAGATTTATTCCATCTGCTGGAAAGACTGTTTCATCAGCAGCCAGCTCAGCCTTACAGACCAAACATATTCCTCGACTTTCCACCTATCTGCATCTGCCTCTCTTTGGCTTTTAGCCTGAGTACACTCACATTGAGACATGAATAAGCAAGCAGGGGTTAAGAGAGGACACAACTTAGTAAAGCTGCTACAAAGCTGAATTTGCTATCTTCAAGTTATAAGACATCCAACAAGAAAAAAACCTTTTGTCTGCTTTCAGAACTTGTATTCTGTTAGGTCACACTGTTACCCTGGTGCTACAATCTCATTCTGTATTCAGAATTGTGTGTATAAATCTGCTGTTATATCAGTAAGTCATGAATAAATAAAGAATAAGATGATGCTTGTTAATGATCAACAAAAACTGCTTTTGCTCTTGCAGATTGTTATAAACCCAAACTATGAAGTTGCAGAATCAGATTACACCAACAACATAATGAAGTGCCGCTCCCGGTACGATGGCCAGAGGATATGGACGTACAACTGTCATATAGGTAAGAGTTTAACCTTGCAAAGATCAACATCTCCTCAACATGAACCAGACTATGTTTGATCTCATTCATGCTAAAGATAGGTTTGTTTATTTATTGAACCTTTATTTAACTGGGAAAAAAACTCAATGAGGTGGAAAGTTACTGTCATAAGTCTCATCTCTTTTAAGGAGTATCCTGCTCGAGAAAGGCAGCATAATAATCAACATTTGAATAAAAACAAGAGCATTTTAACAGTTTAATGATAGAGTTCATCTTGAACAGTGAACACTGATCTCACTAGACTGTAAAGTATTTCTGATTATCTACAGTTATTAGTAACCTTTTGTTTACCACCAACACTTCAAAAATGGTCATACTATTTACTAGGTAAAAGTAGACGGTTAAAGATAAGAGATAAGAATTTTATTGATCCTGAAGGGAAACTGAACTGTCAGTTGTCTTGTGTCATCTACTATTTACAGAAGAATTAAACAGTCTGATGGCTGTGGGTACAAAAATCTGTTTACTAATAAAAAAAAAAAGTACTATGAACTATTGACAAAGGTTTGGCTCACCAGGTCAGTATCCTAATTACCCTACAGCATAACTGGCTGCAGTGATGTGTATATTTAAATTTTACAGCATTAACTCAATGACAAAAGTAAAGAATAACATTTTCATTGGACAGTTCCATATTGAATGCTTTAATCAGTCCTCCCTGAAAATCCTCGATGAATGCAGATAAATGTACGACAACAGAAATAACACAAAGCTATCATTTCAGGAAAATATCCTATGTCTAACAAACACAATGCTCTGCATGTTAACTCAGTACAAACTTAGTAAATCCCATCTATGAGCAATCTTCCTTCACAGAGGTAAGATATGTGTTGACAGGAGTTAGTCAATGACAGTGACAGAAAATGACTGAGCAGTAACACTGAGTTAGACTCCATGAGGACAAATTTGACTTAATTAAAAACTTATGAAACCTTCAAGTTCCATTTAATGTGGAGAAAGAAAAACTGAACACTTTGCCTCAAAAAGCATCCATGACAATTAAACTTTGTGTTAGACAAATGCATTTAAAAAATAACATCAGTTTTTAACAAAAACGGGAAAAAAAGATCTTTCTTATCCAGTAAGACAACACTGTCTTTTAAATCACTATCTTTTCTTAGATACACTTTGTTATCTTTGCCACAGATCAGATTCACTCAATTTACATTTATAAGTTTAAGTTTTGTACTGCCCGTAAAAAACAAGTTGTGACAACAACACACAAAGTATTGAACATCTGCAACCAAATCCTGAGAGTCCTTCGAGTAAGATGAAACCAAAAACCAGTTTGTAGGGTCTTAGTGGCATCTAGTGGTGATGTTGCAAATGGCAACCACTTCCCTCATACCGCGGCAGCTAACTAAAGACTCTACTGAGCTTGAATTTGTTTTGTCCCTTTTGAGCGTTTAAGAGACTTAATGCCCTTTAGTGCAAAAGATGGTCTCTATTCAAGAGGACTCAAAAGGGCTTATTTGAAGATAAGAGGTTCTAGGTTAGTGCTGTGGCACAATGACATGCTCATGTTAAGAGGCTACAGTTTAATACTAGCAATGTAGTTTCAATTACTATCTGCAGCCATGGCGCTCCAAACTCTCTCTTCCAGCCTCCGACTCTACCCACCGTCCTGTCCTCTCAATAAAGGCCTACAAGCCCCAAACTGAATGAAACAAAAACAAAGCAGATTTCAGTTACCCATCCCGCTTAACCTTTGCAAGGAGAAACTTCCTGCCTTGAAACACCTTTCAACAACATGTAATCGAACACTTCTGTGGGGCTATCACATCATGTGGCATCAGCCTGGAACTTTCACTTCCTCCACCGTACAACACTGGTGCATCGTTGTTTTATAATCACTGAATTGAACATGAAACTGCGGTCATTTTCTACGACGTAACAGCAACTTTGATTCTGCGTTCAGCTCAAGGGAACCCTAGCAGGGTTGATGTTGCTTATCCACAGCAGTCACTCTCTTCAGACTTTGCCTTGACCGCCCATCTCTTTGAACTGATCAGTACAGCAGGAGAACAGGACTGGGTGGAGAACTTCTACTTGTAGTCCAAGATGGCCAGTGTGCTGAAGCAGACCTCTGCCAGACCTCTGTGTTAAAAAAATTGAATAAATACACATTAAGAATACACTTTTTTTTTTGTTAGAGGATAGATGTGCTTCAAAGTTAGTCAGTGACAGAAAATGGAATTGTAGTTCTGCTGTCTCTGGTCACTTCATTTTCTCTCTTGTCATTACTTCACAGGTGGCACACTGGGCACAGACATAGATGAAATGTTCCCTGGGTTGCTGACCAACCAGATTTCCCACAGGTAGACCACCAATGGACAACACAGACATACGAATATGAATATTTGACAACCACTAGAGGAGCAGAGCTTGATTGCTGTTGGGCTCAGGACTCAACAAGTACAAAGGGCAAAGACTCAAGGGGAGGAAAAACTACTCGCTTACTCAATTTGTTGCCCACATTCAAGTGTTCTTATTTTTTTAATGCCTTGTTGCCTTTGTTTAAGTGAAATGAAGGTTTTGACCTGGTGCTTTTTAGGAGAGATGTTTCAGCAAGTTGCAGTCGAATAACTTATTAAATAAAACGCTTTAGCAGTTGTCTTTCCTACCAAAGTTTTCAGAGTTTGTTGACAGCCTAAAATCAAAAACCATTAGATGAGACCCATACACTTATGTGGATTTCCTTTGGAGGACTGAACATAGTTTGCTGCTAAATCTGGTGCTACGATGAAATTTTGCACTTTGCGTGTTTCATGTTACAGGAAACAGAGGCAGTACGTTTTTGTGATTACTGTAACGAACCCTTTCACAAGATTCTGTAAGTGACAAGAATGAAAAATCTTGACATACGACTAAAACTGAAACTTAGAGTAATAGAAGTTGGATTGACTTGTACATTGTTAGTCAGGGTGCCTCTAAAGATGACTGCATTACATTTTGTTTATCTATGATAACAGCGAATGGATTTGTTCCATTTTGAAATGTTCAGCCAAAAACTGTCAGCATGAAGCTGTGGGGGAAAAGTGCCTTTGTTTCCAGGATTTTGCATTTTTCATACTTGAGCTTCATCTTTTATTTATTAATATTTTCTTCTTGGTTCCATCATAAGACATTTTGTATCATCATGTTATGTGCATCCCCTAAGCTCGTCTCTTGTTGTTCAAGTTTTGTTACATCATTACCATCAGGGACTATGATTACATTGTGGATGTTGTGTAAAAGCCACAAATGTATGTGAAAATGCCTTCTTTTTGTTGTGTAAATTAGTTTTTTTAATGTAGCAAGATCAAGAATCCTTCATTTTAAAAGGGTACTTGTTGCCTGCTGCCTTACTGTTTTTATTTTGTATGCATGGGTGAATGTGGAAAATAATGCATTTTTTGAAATAAAAAAATGGTCAAAGCAGGAACTCTTCTCCACGTGGAGTCTTTTTTTTTATGTTTCAGTGTATGGAAATAAGGTCAAGCATGAAAGTAGACATAGCAAATAGCATTAACATGCCATGAGTTCATGCATTCCATAGTTGGTGGTTCTATGTATGCTATCTGTGTGCTATTTCACATTCTACGTTTGGCGCTCTGCTTATCTGCAAACGGCGATGAAAAATTCTGTCAATAATTGCAAATACTAAATCAGAGTCAACTCATTTATAAAAACTTCTCATTGCATAACAAATGGACTCAAACACTAATGCATTTAACTTCATCCCATCTTTTGTTCGTCTGTTTACCTGCATCAGCCAACAGTGTTAGCGTCCCTTTTAGTATCTTTGCACTCTGCCCCGTCCCTGCAGCCCAAGTGCTCTGGTCACCATCCTCTGAGCTACAGCACAGTCTGTTCTTGGGCGTTCCTTCACAGGCTGGATGAACTCTGTAATATAGCACAGAGATCACCATTTCAGTGCTAGGACAAATATGCAAGAAATCACAGCATGGGGTTCCAAGACATGGCCAAAAGAAAGATATGATGGTTAAATGTGCCACAACAAGCATTTCACAAAGGTGCTCAGATGAGTTTAGTTCATTTTCTACCTGCATGTCGGAAGGCCTTCCCTTTAGCTTTTTTACTCCCTTCAGCTAGAGATCTAGCCTTCAGCAGTGGATGGGAGATGGAGAGGGCATGAAGTGCTGCAGATAGTATTGGTGAATACATGAGCACATTTTAACCTTTTTGTTCATTATTTAACCTCAATCCCAGTTTAGTGAGTTCTCTTACCTGCCGATTCACAGGAGAAAACACCCAATGCGTGTGTGTTATCAATCCACTTGATCTTCATTCCACCCTCACTGTGAAAGACAAGAGTGGCAGAATGGGGAATACAGTATGTCTTGTTTAGAGAAAAAATTGTGTCTAATAAAAAAAAAAAAAAGACACACATTACCTATAGATATAAACTGATAAAAAAAAAGAGGTTTCTTTGTTTGCACCTGTAATCTGCAAAGGCACCCAGGAGGTCATCAGTTTTGAACATAGCCGGAAAGTTATAGATCTCAATCACATAGCGGAGGTCATCTGGGTTTATAAACACATTCTCATATAAGGAGTAGTCTTTCTGAGCAGGCTCGATGGAAAAATTCACTCCTTCTTTTAGATGTGCCTTGATCTGATGAGACAAACACAAAATGACTGGATACAATTTCTGAAGTGCAAAATCAACCTGGTAACAGAACAACAGATCGAGGATCATACCAAACTAGCAAGATCCTCCTCATCCTCTTCTAGAGACATGTCAGCTAAGCAGGACACAGTCTGGTCCCACACGAGGGGCTCAGTGCCATGAAGAGTTTGCGGCGTCTCAGGATAAAATTCTGAACTGTCAGGATCATGTCTGGGGACACTGTTTGGGATGGTTTCTTGTCCAGATGTGGATGAAGACTTGATGTTCTCTGTAGTTTCCGGTCTGGAACAGGAGTCAGACAAGCTGCTAATGCTGCTACAGCTACTTGTAGCCTGACTGTGCACCTCTTGGTCCTCAGAGGGTCCCTGTGGCTTTTGTAAGGACAGTCTCTGGCGAACGGCTCTTGGCATGTAAAGTGGTTTGTCTGGCCTTTTAGGTCCTCGGCTTCGTGGTGGGACAGAGGTTTTAGGCTTCAGATCATTCTCCGTTTCACTCTGGGTGTTGTTGCTCTCCAGGTCACTGTCCTTCTCCACCTCATCCCTGCAGAAAAATAGCAGTGTTTTCACAGTGGAACAAAATTAGATCAAGAGAAAAATAAACATCAGAAATGTGAAGCAAAAAGCTACAAATACCGGTGTGAGCTTCGGTCAGAAAGTGCACTGCTGGCAAGATGGTCAGTGCATCTCAAATACAAAAGTTCTCAAAGTTCTACCTTTCAAATTTTGACCCAAAACACTCATAATCATTTAAACAACACATCTAATCTCAATCTTGCTGTTAAACCCAAGTCACATCAGATTTGCGTGTTTTAAAATACTGGAGATACATTGAGTGGTGATGTAGAAATATAAGCATCTAGGACAGCATTTATTTTTCATCATCAATTAGTTTGTTTTTTCGTTACTTTTTGAAAGTTTCAACATTAGAAAATCTAGTGACCACTGTTAATTTAGTACCTGAGCTCTGAGTAGCAGACCACCACCTGACGGCACCACTTCTCCCCCACTGAGAAGGTAGTGAGCTCAGGCAGGTCCTCGATGGTTCTGTGAATCAAATACCTCAGTCTGCTGGATAGAGGGGGGAACACAAGCACCCTAGGCGAAGAGACGAGAGACATGGAGGACTTGAGAGTGCTGAGACTAAGTGTGCATTTACATTTAAAATATATAACCAAACCTTGCTGTTGAGGCTCAAACATTATCTTATTGTCAAAAGTCAACATTAACCTTTCAGAAATATATCTGAATCTGTGGTATTCCCTGATCCTTATAGTAAATACTTTGAAAATAAAGTTAGAGATGGCCTTTGGCTTTATCACTTGCTGTGAAACATGACACTCATGAGGTTCCTATCTACTTATGAGAGGATGATCAAGTAATTCATTAGTCATCTGGGGTGAACCTGTTTAAAGCAATGAGGTAGGACTACAAGGCCATTTGAAACAGCATCTATCTCTCTATTTATCTCTATAATTGCAAAAAGGTCCAGTGAGAAGCCACGCTGCAACAAAAGTGGCAAGCGCATGTAAACAATGAAACTTTCACTAGCATTCAATAACTACTTTAGGATCAAAGTTACCAGTTTCAGAAAACAAGAACTATAGAAGTTTCATAATAGACCAATTAATTACATGTAAAGTCCTGGAAGGGCTAAGGGATCATTATCATGACACCATGATACCAGCAACAGATTTAATCTCTTCTTCTGTATTTTTCACTGTCATCAGGAATGTTTAATTAATCCAGAGATTTGGAGAGCATGTCTACCACTAGTTTCTGTGGGAACTGATGCTTAAGTGGTTCCTAGGGGGAGAATATTTAACAAAAGGTATATAGTAGAGAGATGCACAGTGGATTTATAAGTACTGTATGTGCGCTTACTCTGCCTCACACACGTAGGTTATATCTGTATGTGAGCTCAAACCTTACCTCCCACGGTCGCTCTTTTCTTCGTACAATTCAATCTCACTCTTGACATTATGCACGAATTGACACTCGTCCTTTGCAAGATGATTATAAAATGCCATCGAAACCCGGGCACACCAAGGTGGACAGAAGACAAACCCTGTGGTAGACAATACCAGGACAAAGTAAACTTAGCAGTCACGGTAAACTCTACACAGAGGGGCCCATTGGTGTTTCGGTTTCCGGTAACCCTGTTAACTGGCGACTCTCGTCTGAATGCGTCAGTCGATGTCGTAATTGCGACAGCTGTGGAAACACGAACAGTGTGACTGAACCCTCGTTTGTTTTTTAATATAATATCCAAAATATTCTCGTAAAATACGTCTTCAATAAAGGAAACGACAGAAATTCACGTGACATTTTCTTTATACCCGTTGTAACCACGACAACCAGAGACGCAACGGGATGAAAGTGTCAAGATAAGAGGGTCACACTTTTGACCGAAACACCGGCTACTTAGCTGACGTTGTTGGAAATGCTGGGATAAATAAACCTTCGCAAGTGAAACAGATTTTTTTTCCAAACATAAATCTAACTGGCTATGTTTTTACTATCAAAAATATGTTCCCACAAATACCCCAATTCTAAAACAAAGCGAAGTGACTTGAGTTTACGTTTAGGCACGAGAGTAACCGAAAGTCTATTAGTCATTAGCAAACATGTGCTTATTAGCGATCATTGACCGAAAAACTTTAGCTTTCCTACTTTTAACTTGGGTTTTCACTGTGAAGTTGCTTCCATGGTAACCCGACCACTGGTATAAAAGTCATTGACAGCACCGTTTTTACAGCTAGCTTCTCTATTTTAGCTAGCGGAAGCATTCGTATGTGTCAATTCACGAAGACATCCGGTCAGATCTCTTCAAAATAAAACCGATCTCTTCGCAAATCTCAGAATCACTATTTGCGCGAGTGAAAGGTGAGCTTGTATGGTCATTATTTTAGACTTTTTCTGCATTTTTTGGAGTGACTGTATTCATTAGAAATATCCTTATTCCATCAAGCCAAAATGGGCATTCCATATATTCATTATGCTATTTACACAATCCACATTTGTTATGACAGATGTTTACAGTGCATTCTACTTTCATGTTGTTATACTGGGTACTTAATTTCAGATTTCTTCCATCTCATTCTTGCTATAAAGGTTGAACATTTTGGAACTTCAGATCGTTATCCCAGATATCTGTCAAATTTTTTTGTATTCCAAAATACATTTTGACCTCCTATGTCCGTATTGAAGATATCTGGATTGGGGTAGAAGGTATTCCTAGGAGGAATTAATCACAGACATCTCAATTATCCTGTCTTGATCTATAGGATATTGAGATTTCGCTTATCAGAAAATGTAAATCATAATACATGATGGTCAAAATGACCATGAATGTACCGGTAAAACATTATATCCATAGTTGAAATGATTTATGTGGATATCACAAAATAGTGTTGAGAATATCTTTGATTTTCAGTGGGGAGAGAACAGTCTTCAGTACCAACACAGTTGTGCTTATCATTGGGCATAAACATGCTTCTTCTGTCTACAGCCTACAGCACAAAAAAAGTCTTAGTAACACATTGCCCACACATTTGCCAAAAGTTTATCGCACTATGCCTTTTTAAATGTAATAAATAGTCAAACACATGAGTCACAGTTAAGAGAAACAAGGGCTTTTTAATTCGATAAAACAGAAAAGACACTTGTAAGAAAAGTACACAATTTTTATCAACCGCCCACTATCGCAACCATTAGTGGAGTTCAGTGTTTAAGGTTTCTGTGGTGTTTGTGATAATGTTAAGGGAATGACATTCGCAATATATATAAAGTGATCTTTATGAGTTACAAATTAACAGGGTTGATTTATGAGATCAAGTGCGGAGTCATGTTATAAGTGAGTATAGTAAACATGCTCCATCATACCTCGAGTTCAGATCTTACCTTACAACATGAGTATTTCAAGAGACATACTCCCATATCAGTCACATTCAACAGATAAGAAAACATGTGCCTCAACAAAGGCTACAACCTCCATGTCAATACTTTAGAGCACTGCCTACATCATAATAACCATCGTAAGACTGCGCCAGCAAATTTGACCCAACATATTTTACTAACGTTTCTAGGAGATTACAAATTGACTTTATAGTACTGGTATTAGCATAAGAATAAACAAGTCCAATCACTTATATTAACCATGGTCAAAAAGTTGTATTTAACACAATGGCACTATTTATAGAGACTGGCTTGTTGAACTAGGACATAATCTATACATCACTGCATTTATAAAAAAGACATGAAGACACTTGTACAAACATAGAAGGAAAGGCAGACAGTAGAGTATTTATAAATAACAGAGAAAAGAAAAGATCAAAATTATATACATCCATTCGGGTGAAGCAGATGTCTGAGTATGTGCTGCCACACACTTTTAGAGTATCTGGCCAGTCATAAGCCTACACATAAGGGAAGAGAGAAAGAAAAGACAACAGCTTCACAGTGGGTAGAAAAAAATTGAGGCATTAACAGGATCATTGTTGATAGGAGGCTTGATGATGAGCATTTAACTTTAATAAACTGTGAAACATTTTCTTTTTCTAATGAGTACATGGCCGCACACATATGTGCTTATAGTATTAAGTAGTACATCCTGCGTTCTAACTAATATACTATTCATTTTGAAAGTAAACATATTGTCAGCCCAGTTGTAGAGGTAACAAGCAGTACAAACATGATATAGATAGTCTTCAAGGGTAGTTTTGTTTGTCTCTGTATGTCAAACTTTGACATTGAATGTTAAATGAAGCTCCAGTCTGCAGTTGGTCAAATGATAATATAGAAAGACTCACAATCTATTCCTGTATAAAGAACAAAATAACCCCTGAATGTCTAATGCTGTTGTAAGATACCACCCCAAAAGACTTGTTTCTTGATTTGATTTAAAAAGAAAAATTAAAAAAAAGGAAAACAGGAGCTCCCACAAACTCATGTGGACCTGACTCAGCATTAAAAACATTTACAAGACTCCATACCCCAAATCTCTTTATCTTCCAGAGCCAATACTTCTGTCCTCAAAGATGGTGATTTCAACCTAGAAAAAAAAGCTTGTTAAGGGAAATAAACAATGCTCCATCCCCACTCCCAAACTTGATCCTAAACAATTACACTTGATCATGTGATAGCTTGCAACAAAGAAATTTATTATATGAAAATTTAACCCTGGGGCTGTGTAAAGATCTGCATCACTGTGATCAAACTCTGAAACAGGCAAACTCCAGTTTTGTTAGTTGAATAAGTCAGATATTGCGCAGGTAAAGGATACAACTCTCAGACCCCTCTCAATGGGGTCGGTCAACAGCAAACCCCTGGGTGCGTATATCTTCTCATTCTGGTCCTTTATATACCTGGCAATCTTCTTTAACACCTGTGTAAAGTGTTTGAGGGGGTAAAACACATTAAATGAGATAAAGATATGTACAACCAACCAGACACAATGAATATGTAAACTGATCCAACCCAATCCAATCTGCTTTATTTATATAGCACATTTTAAAAAACCTCCAAGTCTAACAAAGTGCTGCACAATAAAATTAAAGGAACAGACAACGCTGAAAACATCAAGATGGAAGAAATAAAAGCAGATGAATTTTTTTTTAAATGAAATAAAAACACAAAAGCATAAAAGAAATTAAAGTAATAAAAGGAAATTAAAAGGACAGAGATCACACATCTCTCATGCTGAGCTAAAAGCAAAGGAATAAAAATGAGTTTTAAGATGTGATTTAAAAGTAGAAAGAGCGGGGAATGTTTTAATCTTGAGTGGCAATTCATTCCATAAACTGATGATGGACTCAAAATGGAAACAGTTTTACCTTTTCATAGTGTGTCTCCATGCAGAGAAAAATTGTGTAGGCTGTTAAACAGGCAAGACAGCCCTCAAAGTAAGACTTTCCTCCCAGCTTTTCTGCCTCTGCGTACAGATTGTTCAGAGTCTGTATGGTTTCCTCAAACTGCTGCTTGTCCAGCTAAAACCACACAAAAAAATTGACATTATTTCAACCTTCGTTTCAAGATCTTAACCTCAGTCAACAAGGAAAGCAGCCATGAAAACACTGTTCATACCCTTGATTCCAGCTCAGAAGGGAACTTGGTCTGGAACTTGCAGATGGTTCCTGAGCTGTAGTCTCTCTGGACAAACACTTTGGAGGACACAGCTGGCTGCTGGAGGTCCTGTAAGCTGTGGGTCTAAACAAAACACCAGATTTACTCACAGGAGTGTGTTTCAGGACTGTCAATACGATGGTTTAGGGATGTTAGGCCGACTGTAAAGCAAGCTAACCAACCACAGTGAGCTCAAATCATTTGTTCGTGATAATAAAAAAAACCTACAACAATCTACAAAGCAGTTCAGGTGTTGGGTCGAAGTCTGGTTTTCTATCAGATTGGGTTTCTAGTGGCATCGCCGTCAGGAAAAAATGTACAATTAAACACCCTTAACCTATACAATTTTTAGACACAAACATGATATCGTCGATGGCTTATTCTACTGTCAGTGAATTATTAAATATTAAAATTCATATGATACGGGTTAACAGAAGCTAGCTAAAACTACGATGGCGTTAGCTTCCGCTGCTAAAGCTTCGACGTCACTGTAGAGTATGAAAATTATCTTTACTTTCTGAAATCAACACACATCAACAGATGAGAGATAACATGTCAAATACACTGGTAGTCAATACCGTGGCAGTATATCAACGAATAAACCTTTTAGCCCTTACCTCAGCCATGGTGGACGTTTGGCCTGGAGCTGCAACACAGCTATACCACCCCACAAGTCCAGTGACACTTCCGGTCTGTTACTCACAAAATAAAAGTCGTCTTCAAACAAAGCAAAACACAGTTCATGACTGCAATTCAGTGTTTTGAGTTTTCATCAACACTTGACTCTGGAGCAAAGCTCAGACTTTTGGGGTTCAAATTATCATGGACTTAGGTTCCAGATATTCGAAAATTTGTACAATTAATTTTATAAAACTCTAGCACAGAGCTTCACAATTAAAGTATATTTTAAAAAGATAGGTAAGATAGATATGCATAAACTTCACTTACATTTGTTCAAATGTTTCGGTTTTGTTGTGAATGGCATAGCATTGTACGGTGGCCGAGAACCACCACTGCTGCAAATTAAAAAAAAAAAAAAAAAAAAAGAATGCAAAAAAAAAAGGAGTCACAACGGAAGTTACTGATGATAAAAAAAAAAAGAAACAGAAGCCTGCTGCAAATAAAATAGAAACGTGCAAATAAAAAAAGCCACAATGGAAGTGAGCGGCCAGGGACGGGTGTTTTGCGATCTAGGCACAGAACGTAACAACAGGAAGACGAGCAAAGAAGTAAGTGGAAAGGTTATTGTGAATTTCGTTTCGTAAACTTTTCAATGTGTCATTTGGTTAAGCCAAGTTGTGCCTCAGTCGATATAAAGTTGAACTAAAGCTAACACTACACAGGCATCCTCAAGTGGATGTATCATCATTATTGATCCCTGGCAGCTCACCCTGATGTGGCTTTTTTAATTGCATCCTTTTATTCTAGCAGTAAATACCTTTTTTTCCCTTGTATCACCACTTTTTTTGCATTGTTAACTTCCTCCGTTTTTTTTTTGCATTCTTTATTTGCAGCAGTGGCGGTTCTCGGCCACCGTAAAATTGCATCTAATATTAGGTTGAGATAGGCGACATGTAGATTTCTTTCAGTGTTTCAATGATAGTGTGGTATATGTACAATAAGCTCTACATAGAATCACTTTCACAAATAAGAACTTAAACTCCAAAGTCAAAGTGTTTTAATCAAGACAATACAAAGGTAAATTATATGTCTAAATTCACTGCTGGGGGGAAATGACAGAAAAATTGATCATACTCCACTAAATAGGCTACCTTTTAAAATATTGGCAAAAACTTTGAAAGTGACAAAAAAATAAGGGCAAGGCTTTTGTTCTATGTAGTAAAGAACTTCTAAAAGCACAGGATAAAATCTTCAGTGGCCTACGGGATGTGCAAAAAGCACACAGACCTTAAGTTCTGAGAAAAATACTCATCGGCTTTTATTTTGAAAGCTGACACGCCCAAAACGGAAGTTTAGAATCGTTTTTGCAATTTCACAAATGACGTTATGCTTCATGTCACTTCCGATGCATGTTTACTCATGAATCAGGATAAGTAGCCGATTAAATGAAGTCCAATTTTCTGCATACCACTATTTCTGTTGGCAATATGAGTTTCATCTTGAGACCCAGCACTGAAGCGTTATAAAACCATTACTCATCCGGATACTGGGCCACTGTGTACACACCATATACTCAAATTACTGGATATGAACACATTTTTGCCCTATGAACATTTACAACTCCAAGTCTCTTACCGTGGATATCAAAGGTCTACCGCCATATTGAGGCCGATTGGCATTACAAAGTACCACTACATTCAAGATGCATTCAAGACTTGGTCACGTATGTTGACCTTTGTTGGCATTCCATTATTTCCTTTCAGGTTTTATTGTATTTCCTGATTTTGTACTGACCATGTTGAGCCACGGCTTCAAGACCTACAGTCTCACTTAAAGCAATCAATTGTTTAATGGCGAGAAAAAAAACAGACACCCCCCACACGAACTTAATGGACTTTTCTTTTATTGAGTCAGTCTTATTTGTCTCGTATGCACTTGTTCACGGCAGAGAACTTAGTCGAACAGACCAAAGCCCATGTCGTCATCTGATTCTTCAGACTCTTCCTTAACCTCCTCCTTGGCAGCAGCTGGAGCAGCTGCAGTCTCAGCAGCTGCTGCAGGGGCTGCAACTGCAGCAAATGCAGATGGGTCTGCCAGGAAGGCCTTGACCTGCAAAAGATGTAAACAAAAATTAATCCAGCAACAAATATGTCATATATAGTACCAGTACTGAATTTCTCCTCAGGGATGAATAAAGTTCTTCTCATCCCAAGAGAGGCATCATGGTACATTCTGCATCTACAACAGGGTTGTCTGAGACAGTAACTCAGTTGACATACAATGAAAAATTCTTTGCATTATGTTGAGCTGTGCAGTGTTTGCCCAGAAACCTGTCCTACAGATTGAATATGACAAGTTATCAGTTTGATAAGTTTACCTTGTCGGCGAGAGGGAAGGAGTAATCAGTTTCCACAGCAATAGCCAGGACTCTCTTGTAGCCGTTGATGACAGAGTGGGGGACAGATGCCAAAGTGGGGTAGCCAATCTCGAGACACACGCTAGCGATGTTCCTCACACCCTTGAATAAATCATATTTCAAGTTAGTGGACCAATAATGTGCTTGTAGTGCAAAAATATAAAAAAATTGAAGTCAATTTTATTTTGAATTTCAATGCTAAACCTGTTATCGTACCTCCAGGAATCTGGTATGCAGGGAAGCCTCTGTGATGTCAAGAACCTCAGGACTGTACACGCTGCCATTGTCATACACTTGCTGGATGATGAGCCCATAGGAAAAGGGCGAGATGTTCAGCATGTTGAGGAGTGTGGCCTCGCTGGCACCAACCTTGTCGCCGGTCTTGATCAGATTGACATCACTCTGGGGGGAGAGAAAGGCAAAATTACACCCAGGTTCAACATCATGCTTTCATTGAAGGCTGAAACAATTCAGCAGAAAACTCACTGCAAATTCATTTTGTGCAGAAACCTCAATTCCAACTACTGTAGTATGGTTGTTTTCAGACTCACCAAGATTTCAATGGTTCCCCTGGAGATCTTGGTGGTGATACCCAGAGCCTGGAAGAAAGAGGTCTTCTCAGGACCCAAACCAGTGTTCTGGGCAGGCACAGTCACATCACAAGGGGCGATAGCTCCAGCACGGGCAGCTGCAGGTACCTGTGATAGTGAAAATCAGTTAATCCCTTGCCATGGCTCTATCAAATCCTCATTACATTTCAATATTGACTCTGAAATTTTTTTAAATGACTGATTTGTGTTTGAAACCTTACGTCCCTGGCAGTCAAGAGAAGATGACAGACAGGGATAGCGAGGAAACAAATTGTTGTTTGCAGGGGGAACGACAACGCAGTACCGCACAAGCTGCATTGTAACTTATCCTGCATCTTAATATCCGAGTGTATGTGTTTAATATTAACAGCCTACCAGGTTTTCTCTATTTAATGGCAAATTTCTGCCCTTCACTTTTATCTTTTGAACCAATAAATAAGAACAGAATAAAAAATAAAATAAAAAAAATTGTATAAAAAAAAAAAAATCATTGCTGTATTTGTCTTGTATATTTTATGAAAAGGAAGTTGATAGTTTTGGTGAAATGTTGACCCTGTTTGGCCCTCAGGTTAGACCTAAATCCAGATTATGACCCTTGCTGAGGTTAATTTGACACCCCTGAATTATACTTTCAGCTTTCTTGTGTTGGAGTGCAGTTTGTTTTGCATGTAATATACTTAAATTAATTTGTAGGTTTGGGCCAATTATTGATGGTAGCCTGACAAAATTAACTTCTCTAGTATCATTGTCCTACAGCTCTAAAGACACAGGAGGAAACTTTCAGAACGTTGCAGAATCTGGAGTTGAGGTGCACAAATGAATCTACCCATCAAGTGCTCCTATAAATCAAAACATTGTAATCCTGCTTACGAATTTTCACTGGGATTCTTACCTTGTTGGCCAGCAGCATGTCCCTGACCTCAGCCAAATCTTCTTTGGTGAAGACGAAACCCACATTTCCTTTAATGTGGGGCAGGAGCCTGTCAAATCACAGCATCAACCATTAAAACAGGTCAACTCAGGCAAACGTTTAGACCAAGCGTGAACAGGCTGATATGTCTGAGACCTTGAGTCCCTGGTTACCGGGAGGAAATAGGCAGACAGGGATAGCTGGAAACAGATTGTTGTTTGCAGGGGGAACGACAAAGCAGTACCGCACAAGCTGCATTGTAACTAATCCTGCACACATTTTTAAGAAGATAGATCTGTGAACTCACTTTTCCAAGGCTGGGTTGTTCTCCAGATGACCACGAATGGCTTTGCGCATCATGGTGTTTTTACCCATCAGCACAACAGCCTTCTCTCGCAGAGACAGACGGATGGTCTGCATCTGTTTGGAGCCCACGTTGTCTGCCCCCACGATGAAGCATTTTGGATAGTCATCCAGGAGTTGCTACAAAAACAAAGTGCAATAAATAAAACAATTAGAACAAACTGACAGCCTAACACAGTGGTAACAATCTGAATCGGTTTATTTGTCAATGTTATTTGGGGGGGATCGTGCCGTACTTACGATGATCTTCAGGAAGTAGTTGGACTTCCACGTGGCCCTGTCTTCCCTGGGCATCTTTGCAGTGCTTCCAAGGATCGCCTGACAGCTGGTTTAAAGACAAGGTAGTACCTACACGGGGAAAATTTAAGTTAAGACCATTTTTCAGACATACGCTACTCTTTATGGTACCGTCCAGTATGACATGTGGTGGTTAGCTAACGTTAGCCGGCTAACGGCAAGCTAGCGATATCATGACAGGCCGCGCTAACGTTAAAAACACAACACCGCTCTATAACAGACCCCTCGATGTAAATATAGGTTAAACTTGTGTTTTATTATTTAGGTTTAAAACTGTAGCGTGTGTAATAGTGCTGAAAACAAGTTACGAGTCTTCGGAAAATAAGAGTGAAAATCCCTTACCGAGTACCGTAGGGTCGCGTGAAAGAAAGAGGAAGCGGGAGGACAGAGAGAGAAATATATACCAACAAGTTGACCAATCACAAGCGAGCTAAGGGCCCTGGGTACACAGCGATTGGAGGATTGATGTGTCAATCATTTATTTTCGTCTTCTTTCCTTTTCTGAGGCTCAAGACCATAGATATATAGAAAGACTAGATAGTGTACCTACGCTGTGAGCCAGAGCAGTGGATTAAACAGTTTGCAGATGGGTATTTTGACAACACTGAGAATATTTTCAGGTCATATCCCACCTCTGTTATGAGTCCTATATTGACAAAGCAGGGGCAAGTTTTGCTGGGTTGGCATTAAGTATGTCCACACTCTGACAAATGAACAGTAGCCTACATCATGACCCTTTCTCTGTAGGACAAAGATATCAAAAAATGAATTCAACTTTAAGAGTCAAGACAATGAACCTTTTAAAGCATAAATGAGGTCTAAAGGGCCAAAAAACGGCGGAAGAAAAAAAAATTAAAGAAATAGTAGAATAACAATAAGTGGAAATGCTTAATCAGCATTTCCACTTAAATATTGATCCGTGTGTGTGGGTTTCCTGTACGCTTCAAGGTTGAGACACCCATCTGCCTCCAAGTGTACAGCACATTCCATCAAAATGTAAAAACACATGAATACAGTCCGATAAATGATAAAAATGTCCTCTTTTAATTTATTAGTTTCCAAAAACATCTAATGTATCAAACGAGATGAATAAATATATTTGTAAAATTTAAAGGACATTTTGATTTTTTTTATTTTCAGTAGTAAGTGAAATAAACATTTCAGCCCCAATTTTTTTTTTGAAATTTCTGGCCATAATTTGTGGTGTCAGACATTAAAGGGCTACAGAGGTAAATGCTGTAGCAAAGATGACTTATTTATCTCATTAAGTCCCAAATACTTTACTAGACTTTATCAGAAAGCTCAGACTACCTCACTTGCAAATCAAACTAAATGTTCAATCAATGTTACATCTTAAACCTTTTATACAGTCCACAACAAGATGATCTGACAGACCATCTGATATCAGAATTTTACAGGTTATTTGATAATAAACTGCCCTAATTTTTTCCTGAGGGAGCGTCTCAAAATAGCTTTGTTTCAAGAGATGGTCACTTCAGTTCCCCACAACAACAAAGAAGGTTCCATCACTGACAATCTGTGTCTGATATCTGTGCTCATATTTGCTTTCATAATTTTTAAAAGACTTATAATGGCGCTGGACCTTATCATTGGAGAAACACATTCAGGGTTCTTGTAAAAAAAATTCTAACAGACAACATCAGGCTACACAAACATTTTGGATTTTTTTGGAAAGTATAAGGATAATGGTTTCATCTTGTTTTAAGACTTCTGTAAGTATAAAGGCCTTGATACGGTGTAGCAATAATTCATTTGGCAGTCTGTAAGGACATTTGACTTTGATGAGTGTTTCTCTACTGCCTTTAACACTCTTTACAAGAGCAGTGATAGTTTCAATTAACTGTTGGTACATCCCCTAGATTAAATTGCATCAGAAGCAAGGTTGTCCCACCTCCTCCTCCTGATAGTAACTAATCGTGTTAAACCAGTGTGACATGTGGTAGTTCTTGTCTTGGTAAAGAATTTGCCATAACTCAACTACTGGATGACACCGCACAGATTTCAAAGAATGAAAATCAAATTTCTATGTGATAGGGAAGTTCCCAAAGGCTCCCAGTTCGTGCCTGAATAAAAAAACCTACTAACTTAAGGCTATTAAGGACTGCCCTGAAGAAACACTTCATATTGTTCCAACATAAAATAAGGTGTAACATTTAGTTATATTAATGACTAAGGATCAACATAAAACGTTCAATTTAATGTTGAATTTAATAAAATTATACAAAAAAACTCAAAGAAAGTTAGACTGTCATCTCTAAAGGGATTTATCATCAAGATGCAAAATCTTGCCAGCTAGGGTTGAGGGAATCTTCCACCTGATACATGATTTTATATAAAGAAACACAGCACACATCAGGCTACTAGTTGAAAACAGATCTTATGAATTCATATTTGGGAACTTTTACATTTTAATTAAATTGAAGATAAATTTGGATACAAAAGTCTTTAACTGAGTACATTATTCCTCTCCGTATTTTGTAAAAATTAAGGGGATTTAATCCTTTTTTTTTTTTACTGTGTTTTGGCAGAATTCCTGTTCAAATCTCTGATTTCCATCATCAAGCTCTCTTGTCACAGTCTCTCATTTACTAACACAGTTTTTCCACCTCTGACATCTCTGAAGTAAATCATCATCAAGATGCAAAATCTTGCCAGCTAAGGTTGAGTGAATCTCCCACCTGATACATGATTTTATATAAAGAAACACAGCACACCTCAGGCTACTAGATGAAAACAGAGGTGAGTTAAATTAGGGGGGGGTGTTACAATTTGATTAAATTTAGATAAATTTGGATACAACACTCAGTAAAAACCCAACCACAACTGAGTACATTATTCCTCTCCTTATTTTGTAAAAATTAAGGGGACTTGGTCGAGAGCACGAGAGCAACTGCCATGCTGGAAGTTCCTTCCCGCTTCCTAAGCATTAGTATATTTTTTTTCCGTTTCTGATTTTGGTATTTTTACCCCAGTTTTAGTGATGCAGAGATGTAATTAAAATCTCACCCAATACTGTAAAATGTTTGGGCACAAAAGACCAAAAAAATACAAAAGGATAGCAGAGATACATGTGAGAAAGTAACATCATACACTTTGTAGACCAACGAATGGCAGAAATAAAGTTCCTCTTTTATTTGCAGCAGTTATAATCACCAGTCAGTAATCAGGGCCCACATGGGCTTCCACCCCCCAAAAAAAACTCAAATGTCAAATGAGACAACTTAAAAGGTGAAAGATCACATGAATGTCTCTACTTTCAAAGTTCACTTACTCTTATAAACAGAAAAGGCTTTGATTTATTTTTGTGATTTCTCTGTTAGAAGTAGAATTTAAGGCGACATACATAAGCAGATAAAAATAATTGGGAAAAATTAACTGTGAAATTTTGTTAATTTTTCCCTGCTACCTTTTGTAAATCTGAAATAGCTACAAGTGAACACTTTATTATCTGCTGAGTGACTTAATACAGACGATTTTTTCTTTTGTCTTGGCTCGTCTTTACAGTGTAAACCTTTGGGTGAAACCACAGCAGACAAAGCCTCTCCCAGAGTTCAGCACACAGAGAGTCAAATCACAGGAAAGGTTAACAACTCCACAGTGTGTAAGACCTTATTGCATCGACACATTTTGGCACAAGAACAAACATCTTCACAAAGTAAAAACAATCTGAATTTGGACACTGTGTTTTCACTCGTTGCACACTTAGTGATCAAAATTAAAGACAAAAAAAAAAAAATACAGTCAGAATAATCACATTGTCCTGTGTTAAAATATGGTAGCAAGGAGAAGAAAAAAGAAATAAGTTCTTACATAGATTTTGAGAGAAGCCTGGCCCTGGCTCAGTGATTCGTTCTGATTCCTGACCAGCTGTTATTAACATCCAGCTTTAATCAGTAAACCAATACAAAACTCAGTTAGCAGGATCAAATCATACGGGCTGCATTTCCTTAAAAGTCTGACACTGGAGTCAAAGCTGGTACGCATTTCTGTGTGAAAACAGGGTCAACTACTGATGGCCTAAATGCCGATAGAGCCAGCTCTTTGCATATCAGTGTGAGCCAAACAGCTCAAAAATATATATTTTCATAGAAACAGCGACAAAACACAGTTCTGTCACAAAGTCGAGCATAACAGCTATATAAATGTTAGATTCTGATTGTAACAGCGACTGGCAGCAAGTGCTGATAAAGTCTCACCTATAAGAGAGCATGCTTTAAATCAAAATGCACAACTACAATTGAAACCTTGAACCAGTCATATTGATATACTTAATACAGTGATAAATTCACAACAGTAGCAATAGTAAAATATGGAAAGAAAAATGTTGAACTGAACCATCAAATGTTTACTAAACTTTGATTATGAAGTACAGAAATTTAACAAGGGTCTGGCATGTTTTGATTGCACCTTGTCTCCAATTTTAATATCCATTCTACAAACTGGGTATTATCCTTATTGACCTACTTTTCAATATGAACTGCAACCCTTTTATTTTTCATTACTGACAGTAGTGACAACACACCCTTTATATGAAAATCTGTTTAAAATCAAGAGAGCGAAAAAGTTTTATGTCATTACCTACTCGTGTCTGATTTCACTTCCAGTGTTGGATAATGACTTTACCGAAGCACAAAGGTGAATGTCATCTAGGCTGAAAGTGATGATCTTCATAGGAAAATGTTAGAAAAAATTATAATTTTGTTGAAAACTGTAAACTGCACCTTAAGACGGTCTCATCAAGAGATCTGTGGTTGGAGTGTGCAAAGAGAGTGAGCTGTTGTTTTAAAGAAATGAAGGAGTTCAGTGTATGTGTGCATGTGATGTGGAGTATATCAGTGGTTGTCTTGAATGGCACCTTAATAGTTTCCGAAGCTAGAAAAATACATCTTTACATTGGCTATTCCAACACTCATGGGCCGAGACTAGGTTATTCAACACTCAATGTATTTTAAAACGGCTTAAGTTGACCTTGTGTGGTCCATGCATTTCTACCACCACATGGTGCAGGGTCTTGCCCTGCACTGGGGGATTAAAACCATTTACACCTATGGTCTTGCTCTGGCCTGTGTATGTTAGGTATTACACACACACACACAGATGAGGACAAATGGACTTCTTTTCTTTGATGCAAACAGGAATTAAAGTTGAAATAAAAATCTCTTTGGGCGCTGTTAAAAACGTCTTTAGCAAAAGTGTGAAATGCCCAGCCTGAGAGGTTGGACAGGCAAGAGAGTCCCTTCAGTGGCAAAGGTGAAAGGTCAGACACATTTACCCCCCTTAATCAAAAAATCCACACCCTCAGTTTCAATGATCACATCACCCACTCAAACATGCTCGACATTTGAGTGCGCACACATTCACACATGCACTCAGTCGTGTAAATGAATGTGACGGCTTGTGCGCATACACATTTCGACACACACGTTCTAGCTGAAGAGTTTAATGAAGCAGCCCTGGCAGTAGGGCTTGTCGTTTTGCTCTTTGAAGGTGCCTTTGTTGAGCTGCTTGAGGCAGAAAGCGCACACAAAGTGCTCAGGGTGGAACTTCTTGCCCATGGCTGTGATGCAGCGGCCGGTGATGGGTTTCTGGCAGCCGGAGCACAGCGAGCCACGCCGCTCATGATAGTGTGCCTCGCAGTACGGCTGTCCATCATGGTCAAAGAAGCTGCCATTTACGAATGGCGTGAAGCACTCCTGGGGAAACAGAGGATACAAGCGTAGAATTGATGATAACTGTTCACATCAAATGCACAACTTTATTTTGTCATACAACTCACCCTGCAGACAAAGCATTCTGGGTGCCAGAGTGAATTAAGAGCAGAGATGTAGTTCTCCAGAATGGCTCGTGCACAGCCACCACATTTCGGGGCAAACATGTCAAAGTAGTCCTTTCTGCAGAAGGCTTTTCCATCCTTCTCATGGAAACCTAGAGGGCAGTAAAGATGCAGACTGAATCCTCCAGTGTGCTATTTTTAAGAACAAAAAATGTGCAAATATTTGTCCAAACAATTCTTTAAGTGCGTAATTTCTAAATGAGCACCTTCTGGGCCGAAAAAGGCTCCACACTGAGCGCAGAAGAAGTGCTCTGGATGCCAGGTTTTGTCCAAAGCGGTCACCACTTTCTGAAAAACAAAAAAGAAACACATGCACTGTCACGGACCTTGAGCTTGAAGGTATGACACAGCAAAAACATTGTAAAAAGGAATGGTTCTCCATGTTGCTTTGACACACAGGCCACAAATAACGTTAACACAAAGTTTCTGTCGGTCGTTAAGGGAGAAAGAATCATTTACAGAGAGTCAGAGGCCAGGAGAGGGCAGGCTTTGTCCACAGAGGCAGTGTAGGAGGTGCTGCAGTCCTATGACCCTTACCTCATGATTTCCAGGCCTGAGAGCATTTTGTAGCAGCCTCACACAGAAACATATATACAGCTTAAATATAACAGAGAATTTAAAACATCCTCAACTAATTCAGCTGAAAAAGATTGCTCATTGCAGATTTACTTTCTTTTTATGTGGCCCTTTAGAGTGGCTCTTTACTTTGCCACCAGGGGGTGCAGTGTTGAAAGAGAGGGGTTAAATCAGGGGAGGCAATCAGATACAGAATGACAACAGTGTTAAGAAATGCTGCATATAAATGGGCAACGCTGAAGTACTTTAATTTGAAACCTGACAAACGCAGAAAAGGCAGACAGACGCACTGAAAGAGCGATATAGGAAACCTGGACAGTGACTCATGTTGGATTTACGTAGAAAAATGTCCACTGTCCACTTCTCTTCCAGTATCTGTGTCAATGTGTAATGTGTATGTCTGTGTGTTTGTGTAGTGTGTGTGCTAAGACTAAAAATGACCCCGATGGGAGTGTGTCACGGTGTGGATGAGACTGAGTGGTGACAAGTGAAAGAGGAGAGAAGCATGTGTGACAAATGCAGATCTGCATGCACAATGCAACTGGAAGTTACTTCTACTGCCTCTAAGCTTGTTTGTGCGCGTGTGTGTGTGTGTTGAAGAGAGAGAGAGAGAGAGAGAGAGAGAGAGAGAGAGAGAGAGAGTATGTGTCTAATTAACCTTCAATATCTGCCTTAGAAATAAATCCATTTCCGACACGCAGTGATTTTTCCAGTAAGGACTTAATCCATTAAGTTATGAATAAATAAATATCATTACCCATCACCCATCCATCCCACTTTGTGTGTTTGTGTGTATTTGCATCACTTACATCCAGTATAGGTCCATTGCAGTAGTGGCATCTTGGTGAGAACAGGTTATGGTAATCTTTCTCACAGTAAGGCTGCCCCTCACGCTCAAAGAAGTTTCTGGAGCCGATCTCCTCCTGGCAGTGGGTGCACACGAAGTGCTCAGGGTGCCACGTTCTGCCCATGGCTGTCACCACCTGGTGCGGGGAGACACAGTGCATTAAATAAAAATGAGGTTCTGAGGGAAAGACCTGGCTCAGCAGAGGAAATCACTGCAGCTTTGCATGGAAGTAGCAAAGGAGACCTTGCCAAGAGCAGCAGATGCAGGACTTCTAAGTGAATGCTTAACAGATGAAGATGTAGATTTCCCCAAATAAATGGTAATTTATACAAATAATCCGAGCTCCATTTCACCTGGGTCACATTTCGCACAAAATATGCTTGCGCCTGTTTACACAAGCATCAAAGTCACAGAGTAGATAAACGTAATGAAACACAGAATGAAATCATCTTAAGTTATTTTTCTCTACCAACAGCTTGCCAATTAAATAAAGCTGCATTATTGATAGACTTTCTGACGTGGCCCTTAAGCATCAACACAGCCTGAGATGAAACGTGAGCCAACTCTGCACAGCCCCTTAAACTTTGGCAAGTACATCTGGAGTGAATTCTTACTTTCAGCACAACTTTCTATCCAAGTTTGAGCCTGTTTGATACCCTGAATCATGTTCTACACTAAGTATACAAGAGTGTTATCAATATAAAAGTTTGAAGTGTAACATTTAGAAATGCAATGATTTCTATGTGTGTGTCTTACCTGGCCAACAATGGGTTTCTTGCAGGCTCCACAAACACCTTTAGCCACCGTCTGGACCCCCAGTCTGTTGAGATCCGACTGAAGGCTCCCCAGCATGTTGTCCAATTTGTTGGCAGGTTTTGGGGGACCCGTTGGGGAAGTCTTCCCCTGTGACTGGATCTGATGGAAATGGAAGACCAAAGTTGACCAATAAGATATGTGGAAGGCTGACACAACATGAAGAACTTTTGATAAATACCATAGTGGTTAATACTCCACATACAAAGCAGCTCATGACATTTATTCAGAGGTCTTGATTCAGGGAGATTTTTTCAGTCACGCATGGTGGGGTCTTTTGGGACCAGAGTCCAGCTTTATTACATTCATGTCCATGTGTTCTGCATATGTTCATAAAACTCTGGATCATAGTATTTCAGACTTACCTACTGTTCTGCTACATAAACCTTAAACTCAATGCCACTTTTGAAAGTAAACTACCTTTGCAAAAATTTGCCGCAACAGTCTCTGCCTGTAATGCTAGTAGGGCTTGGCGAAAAAACGATAACAACATAAATATATATCAAAAATTAATTTCCCACAATATCAATATAAAACATGGTCAATGTGCCTTTCAATAGTCAGCATTCTGCCATGTTTTAGTAGACTATACAAATAGCCAATGAAGAGAGGAGTTGCTCCAGGTCCGCTTCATGCTGAACCAAATGCCTGTGCAGCTCAAACAGACGACCATTCAGTCCACTTTACAAAACGTCGAAGAGACACACAGACTTCACAGATGCAGTAGCTTATTGTATTGCAAAAGACATGCTACCAATAAGCACTGTTAAACTTCACTTTTTATATCGTGATATATATCGATATCGACTGATGTGAAAAAAAATATATCGAGATAAACTTTTCCCTTATCGCCCAGCCCTAAATGCTAGTAGTAAAACAAGAGAAATACACAGATGATAGTGAGCTGACTTTTTTCAGGTTAGCCAGGATGACATGGAGGATAAACTAGATCCAATGTTTGCAAGCCTTCATGAAAACTCTCTCATGTCAGTTTTGTGTCAGTAAATGTCTCTGGCTACAGAAATGTAAGCAAGCACACAGCGTCTTGGATGGTGTGGTTATTGGAGCTTCATGACTCTCACATTCCTCTGAGAGAGAAAATAGCATCTCTGCTGCATGTATTCTCTCACTCCCCCATACACACAAATAAAACAGCCACCGGGTCTTTGACCTGGGTGCAAATCATATTCCAGCACTCATATTAAACACCTGCTCTTCACCAAAACTAATTCGGTAAAAGGCTCCATGATTCTCAAAGGGGTAACGTCACATGGCATTTAACTCAAACATGCTGCTATCTAACCCAGTGGGACATGTTGACGGAAGTCCTGTGGGAAATGTTATAACTGTACTGGTAACTGTGCTGTCATGTGGCAGATTGGGTTTCAGTTCCACTGCGAGCATACCATTCCTGCCCACGGTAGGAAAGTTAGTGTAACAGGAACATGGGGGGGTAACACTCTTCTTTCCTCTAAGCTCTTAAACTCTGCATGCACTTGAGCACAGCCACTGGCGCCGTCAGATGTCAGAATTAGAAATGGGGCTCAGTCATTCTAGCCTAAACGTCAGCACTGCTCAAAACCTGGACCGACTGGATTTTGAACAAAGCTCTGCGGTTGCCATTTAGAGGTGAGCCCGGAGGTCAAAACCAGAGCCAAACAGGCCAAACTCACACACGACCAAAGGTGCAACTGCTTGAATTTTTACCATATGACTCATGCTTTGATCAAACGGCTCAAAACAAAGACAGAAGTGTCTGAGAGAAAATAGAAAGGGAGTTTAAGGTCAGTGAAAGTAGAGATGCAGAGTGGTGATCCGTGCCTGCAGTGGAGGGAAGATGGGGTCGTACTCAGTCTGGCAACCCACTGATACAAAGACCTTGGGAGGTGGTGGAGGCGTGATGGGCTTTGGAGGGGGGCTAGGTGATGGAGGAGGCTGGACAGGGGGAGGTGTGGGATCCCTGGGGGGAGGTGTGGGCTCTTTTGGGGGTGGAGGGGTTGGTTCTCGTGGAGGGGGAGGGGTTGGAGGGGGTGGAGGTAGTGGCGGAGGAGTCTGCTTGACAGGAGGTGGCTTTTTGGGTGCTGGGGGGGATTGTGCATGGGGGAGGACTTTTCTCTGTGGGGCAGGTGATTCTGGAGGGATAATTATTTTCTGAGAAAAGGAAGGAAAAGGGAAACAGCAGAGAGATGAGAGCCAACAAGTACAGGTATGAAAAAGACATCAAAATGTTAGAAAGAAAGAAAATAAAAGTGTTTAAAGTTGCTGAAGACGAACAACATTTCCGTTTTTATTCAAAGTTTGCTTGATATTATCTCGACTAAAAATGAACAACTGTATTTCCAACTTAGTTTAATGCTGTCTGAGGACAGCACTGACTCCCTCTTGCTGTGTGCCACTGTCGTCTACCTTGTCCACAGCTGGCTGGGCTCCCTCTTCCCGCGCTCGCTGAGGATTGGACATTACAATGACTCCTTCTGTCAGCCAATCATCTGGCTGCTGCTTACGCCTGCGCTCTACTCGCCCAATTCCCAGCTTCCCCTGAAGTTCCTCGATGAGTCGGTCTTGAGAGTTGCTCTTGTTCACAATGATCGGTCCCATTTTACGTCTTAACATTCCATCTTTGTACATCGGATGCACGTTGGAGGTTTCTTTAGTGCGGCGGATGACCGACTTGAGCTGGAGAGTACATGATATAAGTATTTGCAATTCACCAGAAAAAGTCCACGTAAAGGTGCAAATACAAGCAGGCCAGGCACAGCGTCTCTCATTTAAGTGGAAAACCTGATCAGGTGACGGCTAAGGAAAAACGTTTGTACAAGTATTCAGGAGGTTTTCTCAAGCACTTGTGAATCTCATCAAAACTTCCAATAAAAGCAAAGCACAGCCACCCAATCGATCTCAAAACTTTGCATGAAACTCTGTTACGGCATGCCGGAATAGAAACAACACAGGCCTTTCACAATGTCTTGCACAACAAATCTGAGCTAAAGCAAGTCCAAAAACCTGTGGAGCGCAGCGCTTGCAGGTTCTTTAAAAACATGAGCACAGAAATGACACCATCAATGATTAAAAACACATTTTATGCATCATCCGCAGGTTGCATCAATATCACAGGCCAAACCCTATGACTAACACAGCGATGTCAACTGGAGCAAGTAAGGGCGTGCAGAAACCTCCTTTCAGCAAAGCTTTCAACATCAGCCACAAATAGTCCATACAGGGAGATTTCCCCCTCGAGGCATTTTGCAATTCCTGTGCAGTGACACCACATGCATCACACCACAAAGATGGAAGAAATTCTCTCATCAACACACTGTTTTTGTACTTTAAAAAAAAGCCCTACAATTTGTCAGAGATACTCTCCCAAAACAAGCTTATGGAGGTATCTAGCTGAGCCACACTCAGTTAGAATAATGTAACACAGTGGTTCTGCCCTTATTGTCAGAGATAATTAATGTCTTAGGCCACATGGCCAAATAATAGAGAGACCCCATGGGGTAATAAAGCCTCTCAAGCTGTATGCCAGCAGCTTATTTTGGGAGAGTCGAGTTTATGTGTCCTACTTGGCCAGAAGCAGATAGTCGCTCAACAGCAGAGGGCTGCTGTAAGGGCAGGTCTAGTGTTGCATCTGGTGTCCCGGGGCAGGAGGAGGGGGTAAGGCACTCGTCTATCCAGCTGGACTCAGTCATGGGTGTGAGAGTTCCCTCTCGGCTGACATCGGGGTAAATTCCGTCTTCTTCCTCCCAAGATCTGTCCTCAACTCCAGGCATAACACCGGCGGTTGGCAGGTTGTCACTTGGTTGGGTACAATCAGGAGACAAGAGCTTGTCTAAAGCATCATCCAGCAGAGGCTCCCGGCACGGCCAAGTTAAGTCCAGTAGCTCATGTCCATGCTTTTCTGTCAGAGGGGGTGACAGGCTTTTTGGCAGTACAGGGCCAAATGAGACTGGTGAAGCCCTGGGACTGCTGGAGGCTGGAACAGTGTAATTTTTTCTAATGAGTGATGCAGGACTCTTGGGAAGTGCGGTTTCAGTCTTAACGGTTGGTACTGGGCTTGAAAGTCTTGGAAGAACTACTGGGCTGGCACTCTTTGACAGGGTTTCAGGACTTGAAGTTTTCGGTGGACCCTCTAGAGTTGAGATAATAGGGACAGGTACAGGACTTGCAGTCTTTGGAACTGGACTCGATAGTCTTGGTATTGACATTGGACTAGCACTCTTGGGAACTGTTTCTGGACTAGCATTCTTTGGTGCAGTTACAGGACTAGAGATGATAGGGACTGTCACTGGACTTGCACTATTTGGAGTTGGACTTGATATCCTTGGAACTGTGACTGGACTGGCTGTCTTTACGGGTGATATTAGACAACTACTATTAGTAACTGGACTACAGCTTTTAGGAACTGGGCTTGGACTTTTTGAGCATTTAAGATCAGGGGGGCTCTGGCTTTTAGCTCTATGAACTGGACTGGCTTTTGCAGACACAGAAACAGGACTCGGGCTGTTTGACACTGCAACTGGACTGGAGCTCTGTGAGGTTGGCACAGGGCTGAAACTCTTTCCAACCACAACTGGACTCCAGCTCTTTTCAGGTGGACTTGAGACTTTACCATGAGCAACTTCAGAGGCTTCACCTTGACTAGGAGGCTTTGCAGTACTAGAAATACTGAGGGTCTCCACAGTAGAGATCTCAGAGGTTACAATGACACCATCATCTATCTGTTGGACCTGGGTGCACTGAAGGCCACTGGATGATGAAATCACAACTGTGGAACGAGCTGAGGATGTAGGGACCGAACAGCCATCCTCATCTATATGGAGCTCCAAAGAAAAAGGGGAAGAGGGGGGAGTATCATAGTGTGAGGGTGGGGGAGTATCCACTGAACCAATATTAGCATTTGAAAACGGAGCAGTGACTGCTTGTACAAATGGTGAACCAGCTAGAAGTGAAGGGTCTACAATTGTCTCCTGATTCACAGACAACTGAGAACCAGACTAAATCAGGTGCAGGGATGTGAAGATTGCAGTGTTGAAAGACAGGACGGACATGGTGGTGGAAAAAAAAAGAGAAAGACACCAGGAGAAACACATTGAGAATGAAAAGAATGATAAGACAACTGTCTCGCAATGGATGCAAAGTATGAGAAGTGTTCACTCAAGTTTCTTACATGAGAAAAAAAATCTACAACAAAGTAGTTTACTGAAATAATCAATTTCATTTGTGCTGAACCACAATCACTTCAAATCTCAAAATTTAAACGGCTTTACACTTAAAAGGTCTCAACACAAGAGGACCCGTGTAATTTAAAGAAACATGGATTTCCTTGTGTCTAATGGATTAGATGTGAGATTTTATGAAACTGTTGTATGTTAAAAGGTGGGGTAGGCAGAAATCCGTTAAAAAAGCATCTTTTTTTGTGGTGCATCTACAAAAAAGATTTTTATATCAGTCATTAGTTAATATTATATCATATATCATATCATATATCATATCATCAATATGATATCATATAGTTAATATTAATATCAGTCATCAGCTATTAGTTATTGATGACATTTGGTAATATAACGATATCGTTGTGTTTTGTTTTGTCTGTGGAGTCAACATTTTCGATTTTTTGAGCGGCCCGCTCTTTCTGACTGTAAACAAAGCCATTCTCTGCCTCCCCCAACCTGAATGATTGTGAGGCGGATGCTGCTCTTTAGTGCTAATTGGTTGTAAGGCAAATGATGCTCCCCTGTGTAGTTCACAAGCCCAAACAAAGTTAGTGTGCTACAATATCGGACGGTAGAAACCAACCAGAAAGTACAGAAAATTGTCTGAATCCACCCTTAGCCACGAATGCCAGCACAAGCAAGAAAATGAAGTAAATACCGTGGACTCTGGCGGAAAAACAGGTGCTTAAAACAGAGGTAGACCGGACAAGACTTTAGGATCTTCCGGACCCTGTAACCTTTCTGCTGGACAGTTAAACTGCTTTAACATAGTAAGCCAAGTGTCTGTAACAGAAGTATTTCTTGTCAAACGGGACCTGCTGCATGTTGTAGCGCTGCTAAATTGTTTACCTCGGGTCCTGGACTATGTCACTTTATTCTACTTGTAGAAGTCCAGCAAACGTTGTGTTTGCTGGTAGTCTGTTGGCATCTACAGTAGCACCAATGCTTTTCATTTTCACATTAACTGGGCCCCATTTGTAATCACCCGAAGTATTTATCTGCATTATATCTGAATTTAATTGGAACGATACGAGTGAGGACGAGCATCTGTTTGTGGGCGGGGCTTGCTGGAGCAGAGACAGAGGGGAGAGGAGGAGCTGAGGGGAAAACTGGTTCGGAGGGGTAGTGTTTACATTAGAGCTGCACAATATATCGTTTCAGCATCGTCATCCCGATGTATGTGTGTGCAATAGTCACATCGCAGGCTGAGGTGAACGAACTCAGTTAATTTAAAGGGTAACTGACTGAGATACACTGCATGTGACTCTGCATGTGCTGTGCAGCGATCCACCAATCACCTTCGTCCTTTACTCAGCTGCCGATCAGACTACCCTGCCAGCTGTCAATCAAAATCAGAGAGGAGGAAACCCACCCCTGCACATTGCCTGCACATGGAGTGAGTTGCTGGCGCTGCTGGTATTGAGCCGAGAAACGCATGTCCACTGAAAATTACTTTCAGAACTTTACTCACGACTGTTTAGCCCAACAAATAAGAACTGTATGGGTTTTAAAATGTTTATTTCCGTGGACCACTCTACTATAAGTGGTGCGCGTTTTGCGAGGTGCATGCAATTCTAGGAGGACATGTGTTTCTCGGCACAACACCGGTAAAACAACGATTGCAAAATGAGCAACGAACAAGACTATATCGCAGGGTTGAGAAAAATCGCAATGTTAGTTTTTTTCAATATTGTGCAGCCTTAGATTACATTCAAGATTTCTCCCAAAAACTGGCAATTCCTCAGATCCTGCCTACCCCACCTTTAACCAGATTTAAACTTCAACAAAGTGTCAACGGAAGAAGACCAGTGTAATTTAAAGAAACTTGGATTTCCTTGTGTTTAATGGGTTAGATATGAACTTTCATGAAACTGCCTGTTGTATGTTCATTTTGTAGCGTTAACCCCAAAAATTCCTCTTTAGTTGTAAACTGCAGGATCATTTATGTATATTGCAAGGAAGTTCAAATGCCATCTGGATGCCGGCAGCAACCCTCAAATACCTCTTGTAGGAAACAGTCAGTGAATAGATATGATTCATTTTTACAACTAACTGAATATTTGTGCAACAAAATAGGTCGTCAAGAGCTAGAAAACAAGAGCTTCCTTATTTGATCTACAAACTGCCATGGCACAAAATCAACCCACTTGTGAACTGAACTCACATTGCTTTGGACCTTGAAGTCGGACAGTGAGGCCATTAACTCGTCAAGCTCTCGAGTGGCGGAGGACGCAGACATTCTGGCTTGCTGCTGTGCTGGTGTTTCCTCTTGTCCATCTGTTTGTTCGTCAGACACGGCCAGTGGTGTGGGACTAAAGCAGAAAAGAAGTCGACTAAATTTATGGATGCTTAACTTTAAAAGGTCATATACGTCTCCTGAGCAAATTCTTTTTCCGACTTCACTGAATGATAGTTTCTTTATTGCTTTGATAAATTTAATACATACATGGGTGAGGGCACAGAACTTTCCAGCTCATCTAGAAGACTCTCTACACTTGGTCGTACATCCTCTATTCCTCGAGCTGCTCCAACACGTTTCGGCTTCTCTAATACGGGTGGAGCTACCTTCCCTGCAATGGAGACTCCATTTTCTTGGATATGGTGAACGATGCTGCTGGCAGGCAAAGGAGGGGCTGTTTCTTCTGATATAAAAAATGGTGCATAATAGAAAATATGATCAAGACCGAAAATACATAGTTCAGAAACAGAATTGTTAAATGTGAGTGTGGCATCGAAGTTCCTCCACAAAAACATGAAACAAGATCAGACAAAGTTATGTTGGTGTACCTTCTGTGGGGAAGGCAGGTGTGCTTTGCTGGACAGCATTGAGCTCCAGCAGCAGGCGGTCCAGCTCTGACAGGTTACTGCCCAAGGATGAGTTCATGGCGACAGCTGATGAGTCACTATTCTTCTGTTTATTAGGAAAACTGTGCAGACAGACAGAAAGAGAGAGAGAGAGAGAGAGAGAGAGAGAGAGAGAGAGATGATCATCATGAATTAAAATGCTGCTGCTACAAACTGGATGTATTTTTTTAACAGAACTGTCAGTCAAGTACTAAATTACAGAAATCCAGAACAGCCATGGATTTTTTTATGCACCGTTATCTTGTGATAACAACTTATCTTGATATAACAAAGTTCGTTTTTTTGTGATGATGAATTATTTTTTTCTCGTTATCTCGACACAACAAAGATTGTTTTTTCGTGATAACGGAAATGGCGTTTTCGCTGACCTGAGCTATAACTTTTAAAAACTCCTTTCTAGATTGGGATATTTCTGAAACACCGTGGCCACTGTTGTCAACAGCAGGTCGGGTTTTCAATGAAAACACTGATGGCACGCTCCACTTTCCTCATGCACATTACACTTTCAACATGGGAAATTCAAACTGCCATGCGTGGATTGGACAACAACAGTAACAATGGCAGACACATTATTAATTAGTTCATTATCACAAGAAAATTATCTTTTTTTTTGTTAAGATAATAAGTCGTTATCACAAGATAACAGTGCATGAAAAAAGAGAAATTCATGGCCGTTTTTGTCTTCTGTACATAAATAGAAGCACTCATTTATAGAGTTGAAGACAATATAATGGACTTTTTTTGCAGGATGCCGGGTGCCAAAATGGGGTCTCTTTTTCCAAAAGAGTTTTTTTTTTTTTGCATTTAGGGGGTACAGGGTATTGTTGAACTTTGTATTAACTCACCTGTATACGTGGTCCTCTTCACCAGTGGGTTGGGTTGGACTGTTGCTCTCTCTGGACCAAGGACTTCTCTGAGCTGGACTGAAGGACTAAAGAGAGGAAGTAAAGTCAGGGATAGAGAGACTTAAAATGTCTGTTCACTGATGAAATATGAATAACTCTACATCAGTTCATCACACGATAGCAGGCATATTTGTGTCTCTTCACCTCGGTTTCATCTAGTCCGTTCTGCTCTGACAGGGCTGGTGGAGAGCAGATGTTTTGCTGGATTTGACCCCCAACAGGGATGGAGTAGGCGGTCTCCTCAGACAGGAAGAGTGGGCGCTTGGAAATGTGGGATGTTGTGGACTCAAGGTCCGCCAACAAAGCATCTGCAGAGATAGAAAACAAAGACTTTATCATCATAGGTCTGAAGCTAATTATATTTCCCTGTAGCCCCGGGGACAGGTCTGCGTATATTGTTCTTTGTTCCAGAGGAGGCCTGAAAAAAGGTGTCATACAACTTCTTGAACGGTAGTTGTCCTTTTTAATGTCTGCTGTTGTACTGAGCCATTGCAACCATTGCTTTGTAAACAGTACAGCAAATCTGCAGGTGGATTCCCAGAGTAATAACGGCAAAATGGGTTTCTGATGTTTTTATTTATCAGTGAAGGAAATCTCAAGTTAATACATTATCATAAAGAGTGATATGATGCAACACACCACTCCATGCCACAGCACACTTTATCCTAAAGAAAAATGTCATCACTGCCATCTGTGTTGGATGTCTTCAACATGGTAATTTTAAATCCAATTTAAAAACATTTAAAGAACAAACAACTATAGGTCAATAAAGAAGCCCAGAAGCACACACCAATCATAACTGCATCTCATACACATCACCATATTGCACATTAGGGATGTCCTGATCCGGTATTGATATCAAATATCTGTCCGGTACCAGCAAAAAACAAATATCGGATTATATCGGCCTGCATCTAAAATCTCCGATATCAGCACTTTGATACTTGGCAGTCCATTCCAGACTCCACTCCAGCACCTCTATTTAGCAGCACTCGGATACAGCATGCAGAGGCCACATAATCACAACAACAGTGTGTACTAAAGTACTAACACAGTATCAAGGGGTAGGAGTGATCTTGACCGTGTGGTAGTATTTTTTTCCAAAATAGACGTAGCAGCTGAGTGCAAAACTTGTCATGAACAAGTTTGTGCTATATCAGATCAATATCAGTATCTACCAATACTGGAGGCTACAATATTAGTATCGTATTGGAAGTAAAAAAGTTGTGTCCCATTGCAATGTTCAAATGAGGAAAAGCTCACTGTTTTTAACATTTGAATGTCCAATATTTTGCCCTGTTTAATGCCAGGCAACTCATGACAAGTTCCATAAACACAGGATCCAACAATCACACCTCTTTCACAATCAGTCCAATCCCCATGTGCAGTGACATCAGGTAGGCTGGAGTTGTAAAAGTTGAACCGCACAGACTGCCATAGCCACTCCTTTGGTTACTCATTGACCCTTGTCTGCCCACAGCCCTGACATGTCTTCAATCCAAGAGTCACAGTCAAGTCTGAGACCATGTCATACCTGCTTATATTTATCATCTGACAGCAACCACCCTTACATGAAGGGGTCATTTAGTACTCTGAGAGGAAGAAAACAACTACTTATTCAGCGGCTCTAACCAGCAGGTAGAAGGACACATAACATTACGGGGGATTTGAAGAAGAGCTCAGACTGTATTACTGAATACTTGGCTTATTTTAGCGCGCTCACTCACCACAGCAGGGTTTAGTTTCTCTTGAACTTCACAAGTACAACAAACAAAACCCCTAACAAGACGTAAGGAAGCATATGTTAACAGACTCAAATACAACATTTAGATTTGTGCATTATCATATATTTTCATCATATCAGTATGTTTCAGACTGTTGAGGGTGTTGTTCATCAGAAATCCACAAAATGATAGAAAATTCCAGTCAAACTCAAAGAAATAAAAGGTTAGATGCTGATCAAGTACAATCAAGCTACAATCAATGATTGATCTTTATTGCAGCAAGATTTTCAAAGTACAGTTAGCGGAGTATTTAAAAATGTTTACATAAAACTGCATTATTGCTCGTATGTCCGAGATGTTTGCGATATCAAATACAATCCACAACATAAAGCAATGGGGCAAGAAAATTATCAAACATAAAATAGTTAATATAGAGAAGTGACGTACCTTAAAAAAGACAAGACATGACACCGAGGGAAATGAAGAGGTGATAATACAGAGAAAGAGGAAGAGGCAAAAGAGGAACTGGGCAACCCAAACAGACTGTCTGCCAGGCAGGAACTGCCTCTCTTAACTCTACAATCAGTATAAGAGAGGAAGAGTGAGGAGGGTGAGGGGGGGATCCATGTGAGAGCAGAGCAGAGGGTCAGGGTACAGAGGAGAGGGAGGGGTTAAAATTAACGCCAGCTCTGACCTCGCAGCCTTAAAGCTCAAGTAAGAGACAGTACTCACGCAAATGACTCCCCTGCTGGAAACTGTCTTGAGGACGGAGTTGTCCAACTTTGGCTTGACTATGTTACAGCAGATGAAGAGTACACACAGTTGTGAAATGAGGAAGGCTGAGAGCAAGCAGAGCTTATCATCACAGACATGCCCGACAAAGGGAGTGGTATCACAAAGGTATATTAAGGTACAGTCAGCCCCTCCTACACACTGTCAGCACACACTCTGCTGAGGTTTGTCCTGACTCACACTCAGATTTCAATGATCACTGAACGTATCAGGATAAAAAAAAAATGAATAAGGAACTGCAACCATCACTGGATTGACTTGTTAGTTGTACAACACAAACTGAATCTGAGCCTCATTTGAAGGCGATGAATCTCAGATTCCTGCCTTGAAATGTCAATATTTTCTGGTTTCTTTGCCTCCGTCTGACAGTTATCTACATATCTTTGAATCATGGAAAAAAACAAGATCTAAGGGTGTAATATTGACCTTTGGAGAGCACTTGGGTGATTTCATAATGAACAGTACAATCTACAGGGATGAAAGAGGTCGTCAGTAGTAGCCCTCTGAGGATAAATACGATGTGAGGATAAAAAAAGGACCCCTGGAAATGAACTTCATACGTCCAATATAAAAATGAAAGCTGAGACAGCACAGCGTAGTAACGTCAGTGCAGAGGACTTTTAGACTGTCATGTTTCCCAGACTGAGAGGAGACACAGCAGAACCAGAGCCAGATCAGTACAAGATCCACTTGGCCGGACTTCACATTAGCATGATTAGCATGGCTGAGATGCCAGTTGACTTGGTTTCACAGCGGAGACTCCGTTCTGGACACAGAAGCCCAACACATTCCTCTGAGCTTCATTATGGACACAGCACAGCCTGCTGTTTACACTGCTGCAGCCAGCTCGTGCTGGGTTGTAGATAAAACAAACCGATGAGGGTAAAAGGGCTGCCAATCTTTGTAGTTCATACCAAGTTTGGTATATGATGAAGGCTGATATTGACAGATGCTAAAGACTATCAAAGAGGCTGGTGTGCCAAAAAATGCAGTCTCTAGGCTTTACTTTTGGTCCTCAAGAAGAGGAAGTCAGCAATGATGAGCTAAATCTTTGAGGTTTTTGCTCACTGGTGAACTCAGAAGCAGAAGTCAAGAGTTCAGAAGACTTACAATGCAGCCAAGTGATATGGTTAAAGACTGCCCTACATTTTCACACTCAGGAGTACTAGAGAGACAAAGCTAAAGGGCAGCTAGAATGGCTGGGACAATACGCTTTTCTCCCGATTCGATTCTTCTACGATTTTTTGGATGCCGAATCAATTTCAATTGCAATTCTACGATATTGTCGATTTTCTAAATCTTAAGTCTGCATTTTTAACACCAGTGAAACAGTTGAATGATTAGGATTGTCTACTGACTATTCCAGGAACCATATTTCCCCAAAAAATACACATCACATGTAAGTCAGTTTTTAAGATTTATTCTTAAATTTGAAAAAAAAAAGGACTTTTGAACAAAAAAATTACACATTACATTAATTTAAACATTGTGAAACCAAAAATCATGATACTTATGTGAATTGATTTTTCTCCCACCCCTGGTAGCTCGATCAGACGAATGTGAATGCTCAGCAGGAAGGAGGTGAAAACAGTCCACAACAACTCCAACACTTCTGCAGAAACTTCCCTATCAAATGTAAGGCCTCAGTGCATTTCTGCTGCTGGTGTCAGAACAAAGTTTTGATGCAGCTGGAGGAGACCTCCGTCAGCAGATGTTAGTCCAGATGGTTTACTCAAGAGATGTTAATCAACTTAGCTTTGGAGCTGCACCGGCCTAACCCTGTTCACAAAGAATCTGCTGCTCCCAAACAGAATTACACAAAACACAAACCCCCAGGCTATATGAAACACTTACCCTGTAAGACAGCAGCTCTTGTGTGATCTGTGCGTCTAAAAAGTCTGACATGAAAAATTCAACAGCTCAAAGAAGAGGCTTGATTACAATTCTAATTTAGAGGATACAGGCTGAACATTAAATATGAAAACTAGGGTCTTTGTTCATTGAATACCAAGTGTAAGACATGCTCTGGCCTATCCAGAAACTACACAAACACACAGAGGTGTGTCAGCCTCCTGTGCCAAGGGAACATACCGTGACACACTGGTGCACAGAGCAGACACGTTCCCCAGTGACCAAAAATGGAACTACAGTCAAACAAGGAACTCAAAGGAGACATGCAAGTGCTCAGTCTTCAAAGCCAGCCTCCTAAATCCTCCTTATCCTTTGGAGAGAACTTTTTTTGGAGCATATTTCCGTATATTTTTGGAAACTCAGGTAAGAGGCTTCCCTGAGCATTGCTGTTTGATGTTAAAGGAATAAAACGAGGTAAAGCCTTGAGAGACATCATTTCCCTGAGAAGCAGTAGTTAGTTTGAGAGGGTGACAGATTCAGTTCTGCCCATTTAAATCAGGCTACACTCACCCAGAACTTACACAGTCTGCTCTTTATTTACAGCCACAAACAAACAAACAAACAAACAAAAACACCAGCTTTCTGTTAGCGTTCATGTCCATGACACCAAATATGATACGGCAGGGCACAGCTGGGCTCAAACAATGAGGAATGGCAGAGGGAGAAGCGAGGAAGAGATAGCGGGTGAAACTGAGGAAGTGTGTGCGTGCGTGCGTGCATGTGTGTGTGTGTCTGCACGAGCAGTCGGCAAATCCTCAGAGGCTAGAATGTGGGTTGACGCAGATTACGGAGACTCCCTTCCTCCCAGATGAATGGTGTGCATTTTAATTACACAAACGCTGCTCAGCATGGGGCTCATTACTGGAAAGAGAGAAGGAAAGCGAGAGAGAGAGAGAGAGAGGGAGAGAGAGAGTGAGAGAGAGAGAGAGATAAAAAGGGGACTGGGAGGATTGGTGTGGTAAAGGAAGGGTTTGAAAAGACAGGAAAATTAGACATCCAGGGAGGGGGCTGGAGGGGAAATGAGGGGATGTAAAGGAAGCTGTGAGCTATGTAAACAGTAAAAGGAAGGACAGATGTTGGGCGAGCATTTGAATTGCAACCAATTAAAGTCAGAAACAACTTTTAAAATAGAAATAAAATCGATACAGAGGCATTCATTTACTTTGTGAGGTTGGATTTGATCGAAGTGCCTCATGTCATCAGAGGCAGGACAGGACATCCTGCATGCTGGAGCCCCCGTCAGTGCTGACCACTGCACAGAGTGAATCAATGCTGTCCACAACTCAACACATCCCATGTTTATTTAGCTCTGCTGGAAAGAAATGTAACACAACACGGCCTAAAACTGCCTCCAGGGGGTGATGTCGAGTTGTGTGTAAGAGCCAAACACGCCCCTTTGCTTTTTTTTTTTTTTTCGGATTCAAGGCAGGTTTACAAAGCGGGCTTTATCTCTGTGAGGTTTATAAATGTCGAGGTTTTCACTGAGATACGAGCTGACACCAAAGTGAAACTAACAGGGCGAATATCGGCTCCGAAGATTCTGTCAGTGCAGCAACTTCACCTGTGTTGCCTGACCTCCTTTCCACATCTCCCTACCCTCATTCCTTTAATTTCTTCCCCTCTGTATCTGATGTGTTTCAAGGTGCACGCTGGCTGATACGAATTCCTTACATGCCGCAGCTCGTCTTCCAAATATGAGGGAAGGAGCATGGAGATGGTGGGAAATGCAAGGTGTGCGCAAGACAGTGCGATAAGGAAGAAACGGAGAAGCTAAAGGCAAGATAGGACAGATGAAAAATTCAAAATGTCAGCTGTTAAACAAAGACTTTTTGTATAGCTGGTTTAAGGTGCCTGGATGTGTTGTTCAAAAACTAACAAGTAAAAACAATCTCCATTGTAAGAAAAAAAGGCTTTAATGTTCATCAAACCTGATGTGACAGCTTTTCATGCTAGGCTGTAAGAGAGACGGTCTTTCAGAGTGAAACAAGCCGACAGACCGTCACAGAGATGATGAATCCCTCTCTTCACTTCCAGTAGAGAGAAAAAAGAAAATCAGGACAAGATGGGCTCAAATGCACTTCTACTTTTCTCTCCTTCAGGCTCCTGTTACACAGCAGAAGGCTTGTGCCTGTGCTCATTTGGTGCGCTTCAGCGGGCACACAAAATTTAATCAGACTGGAAACACACAAAAACACACACACAAGCATACAGGTGCACCAGAGGAACAACAACACTACACACAGGTGCCTCTCAGCCCGGCTGCCCACACATACCAGAGACACACTGAGGCATCTAGGTCCACTATAAATATCTACCCGCCCAACCCTGACCCGTGGGAGCAGACACATACAGGAGGTGATGAATGTCCACGCTGGTCAAAGCATCATCATCACAGACCACCCAACCGGCCAATGCTGTGTATTACATTACAGCTCCACAGTGCTGCCTGTTTCATACACTCCTTCAACAACAAAAGAGTGGTTGTAGCTTCCTCGTGTGACGACGATCAATGAAGTTCTGCTGCCACAAAAGCTTTCAAATGAAAATGCACGACAGCTCACCCTTGCAATTAAGTCGCAGCAAACGGCGGCTGCTTACACAGCTGCTTGCGCTCCACTTTAAACTGTTCAATACAATTACAGCGAGTCTGTTACTCTGTTCACACAAGTGCAATTAAAAGAATTCAAGGATTGTTGCTTAAATGTTGCACCCCCATATTTGACAGAGACAGATTGTAGAGAAATTACACTTTTATAGAGAACACGGCTGCTTTGTTACAAATAAAGTCCAGTGTCAGCTCATGTAGACTTCGTATCACAGTTCTCAAATGAAGATGAAAATACTCTGCAATGTAACTCAAAGTGCACACTGAGGAAGCTGATGCAAATGTGCTGCTAATGAGAGACGCAGCGACAAAAAATAAACAGCTTCAAAAAGTAGGGGCTGTTTCTGTCGCCTGCTGTGAAGCTGCACATAAGAGGGTTGTTATTGATACTTTTGTGCAGGCACTTGTGCGTGTGCAGCGCCTGAGTCAGAGATATAACTCCCCAAGTGGGCAATAAAGTCGAATGTATTGTGTCATGAGGTATTGTGTGGCTTTGTGTGCATAGGTGCATCTCAGTAAGTCAGGATATCATGACAGATTTTAATATTTTTTACTCATCTTTGAAAGTGAAAATTAAATGTATTACAGATTCTTCACAAGTTTACCAACCATCGTTCCTATTCTCATTGATAGTGATAGCCTACAGCTCTAAAATTAAAAATTTGCAGTTCAAATCACTTCATTTTAAGTGTGATTAATTCACTATTTAAACAGTAAAAGTACCAGGCATCATTCAGGGTAGTTCAGAGCATGCAACCACAATACTGGGGAAACTGCTGACTTGATGGTTGTCCACAAGATGATCGGAAAATGATCCCCAAAGCAAACCAGATGATAGGAAAGGGTGCATTAGCAACAAGGATCACTGCAGCTTTGAAGGGAGTGTCAAGACAAATCAATTCAAGGACTTAGGAGAGCTCCACAACGAGCCGACTGAGGCTGGTGTCAGTACGCCAAGACCCAGCATGCACACACATCTTCAGGAAAGGAGCCGCAATTGTCACAATCTTCTTATCAAGCCACTCCAGAACCAGAGACAATGTCAGAAACGACTTATCTTGGCCGAAGAAGCTGCTGCTCAGTGGTTCTCAGTCCTCTCTTTAGATGAAAGCGAAATTTAAATTTCATTTGGAAATCAAGGTCCTAGAGTCTGGAGGGGTACAGAATCCAGGGTGTTTGAAGTCCAGTGTGAAGTCCCAGCTGTCTTTGATGGTTTGAGGATGTCATATCTGCTGTTGGACCACTCCGTTTTATCAAGTCAATACAGCTGCCTACTGAGACATTCTTCATGCTTCTTTAGCACCTTCTGAAAGTATCAAAACTACTACTAAATGGCTTGCTGACCATGATTTCATTGTCCTTTATTGGCCAGACAACTTACCCTATCTGATTAGAACCCCCCAAAAAAGACCAACAGGAGGCATCTATTGGAGCAAACTAAGTAGGACTGAGCGATATGTCCTCAAATCAATATCAATTTATTGAACAATTCACCTTGATAACGATAAATGAACAATAGCTACTCCGCAAGCTGCTCACCCCCTCCCACATTAACTTCGTCTACTTCAGCGGCCGCTCCAGCTGCTACAACTTTCGAACCGTTCTCCAACTCCTCACCTGTCTTTCCCTCTTTGTTATCGACTGGATGGGGTGGAGTCACATCTCTGACGTAGGACAGCGTCTTAAAGGGACATGAGACCAAAGCCTACCTACACACATCCAAAACCAACTTTTATTTATGTATTTTTTGACACTGAATATTTTAACATGGGCAGAATGACGTTGGTTATTGTTGTAAATTTCGGCATCAGTAAATTTTCGGTTTATCGCCCAGCTCTAGAACTGAGCTTCAATAGCAGTTCAGCAGTGCCACAGACTCCACGTCATTAATGATCATTGATAAAAAGTATTGTAAATAAACATACTCTTCTAAAGCTGAACAATTTCATTTTAAATCCTTTTTTTGGAATAATCTTAGAAAATACTGACATAAATCAAGATACTGTATTTCTGATTTTTTTATCGGCTATGAGCAAAATCCATCACAAATATTTCTGATTACATGTCATGAATATAGAAGTTTACTTTTTTTGCATTGGACAATGAAAAAAAAAGATCTTTTTCTGAACTTTTAAATTAAATGAGATGTACTTGTATCCCAGTCTGATCCTTGCTCAGGGGTCTTTGTTGCCAACAGCTGTGAGAGTGATTTATAAAATAACTGTATATTAGCAGTAAATGACATAAAGAAAAAGACAGCAACAAGCTAATAATAACCACGAGGAAGCACCGAGGAGCAGCATATGTCACTGATTAATCGGTATAGACACAACAGAGCGTAATTTCAGTGTTTTTTTTTTTTTTCAAGGTGCTTCTAAAGAAGTGAAAAAGTTGCTCTGTGCACCATCTGAACCAGCTGTTTGCTTGATAATTCACTATTTCACGCTGATATGCTTTGGAATAAAAATAAAAATTTCATCAATTTTCTGGAGTAAACTCATGATTAAACATGTCTTCTGGTCTTCATGTCATCGAGCCTGTTGAGGTTGCAGCCACAGCTCATAAGTTAAGAGCCACACTTTTCCCACCTCATCTGTTTACTGACACCCTAAAAGTGACACCTCTTGAGCCGTCTCTCAGGAAGCTGACATGTGTTCAACCGCAACAAATGAGTAAGAGAAAACTGCAGTACCTGTGGTATCAAAAAAAGGGTTCACATATCCACCTCCCCCATTAGTACAACTGTCTCAAACAAAAAACTCATTACTGGTTCTTGTTTACTTGTTTTTCACTTTGCAGCTCAAAATTAAATGTACGACAAATTCAAGCTATAACTCCAGGCATTAGGTTTTTTTGTCATCACTTCCACACTGGCTCTCTTGCATTATTAAATATGCCCTTTTCTCCAAATCTTCTTTCAAACATTTTCAGTGCTGTGTGATTGCTTTGTAATTGTTGTGTTTTTCAAAACTATTCACTTGTGGAGACTATAAAACTCCACTGAACTGTATCATCCCATTAGAGAAAAATCATTAATTAAAGGATTTTTTTAATGTTTGAATTATTCATCAAGCTCTACATATCGCTCTAGGAACTGATGGGGAAAAAAAAATGGAATCAAGCGTTTCTGTGGCTGAAATAAACCCACACGGTCGAAGATAAAACGCCCTCATTTGTGTGTCTTCCACCCACCTCCTCTTATTCCCCTCAGTGGAAGGCTTACAGAGCAACACAGAGGTAGTTTGTGGGCGCAAAAGCTTTCCTGTGGTTTCTTCAGTCCCCCCGTGGTTATTTTGAGCGCCTGTGTGAATGCTGTAGTGGTAAAAGCACTGCAGAAGAACTGAAGGTGCTTCTCGAAAAGACCGCGCCGACTCAAGCTTCTTTGGAGTTTCGGGTGAAATGAGAGCATGAGCAAAATGAACTGTGATAACACGTTATATGTTGTTGTACTATTTGTTTTACGTCAAAGTAACACAAACACTTTTTAAAAACTTATTGACAATATTAAGTCACCATTTTCTGTTTGTAATGTCTGCCCTTAAAGATTATACACCTATATTTCATCTACAATACTCACATTTGCACATTTTTCCTAGTTATGATAAAAAATGTGATCGCTGTCTCTCTATTTCTCATGTTAGTTTAACCTTGACTTGATTTTGAACACATCAACTCTATGGAAAAAAAATATAACTGTGCAACATATCGAACAGGGGTGGAAATCACTAGTAGCCCCATGATATAGTATTATCACGATACTCGGGCCACGATGTTGCGATTTTTAACATTTTGCAATATAGTGAGTATTATGATACAATATATTGCGATATATACGTTTTTTTTCAACTGTTTAGCTAATTTAGCATTTGGTTATCCTTTATGTCTTATTTACAATGTATGTTATTTTCATGTGGCACATCTTGCAAATCTTTTTATATTTGTTGCATTAACTTTCTCCTGCTCTTTGATGTCACCTCTGCCAACCTCACTGGACACAGTTGATGGTATTTTTCCATTACCATAGATTTGACTTTGTATTAACAATTAAATTGAAAAATCAATATTTGGTAAATGAGCGATAAGATACATCATTAGACAAAATATCGCAATACTATGCTGTATCGATTTTTGTATCAATCCGTGTACATGCAATTGACCAACAAAGCCACTTTTGTTCTGACTTTGTTTACACACCAAAGTCAGAATCTTAATTTTAGGCTTAATAAATCAGGTCATTTGAGTCAGTTTCACATGTAATTTATGAATTATGAGTATCCCAAGGTGGGGGCTTTCTTAATTCTCATGAATCATCTGAAGGGGATTTTCTCCTCTTCTCAACTTGAGCCAATCCCTCCATCAAATTCAAAAAGTTGTGAAAAATCGAGCTACCTCAGTTTAAATATGACTGTCTGTATAGATGTTGTGATGATCAGGGAGTCTTTCTCTCTTCGCATTATCAGTCCTGTCTGGTTCAGTCTTTTCTGGGTTAAAGTAGGTCACAGCACCAGAAACAGGCTGGTCTTTGTCCCCCTCTAGCAGAACAAGGACAGAGGGAAGATGATGGAGAGGAGGGTTTGTGAGGTTCCTAAAGCTGGACAGATTACTTCACTTTACAACAGCCAGCTCAGTAAATGTGACAAAACCTGCGTATATAAACTATAAACCTGACCGGAGCATCACTGATGTTTTCATCAACCCAAGTGGGGTCCAGATCAAGCTTTCTGAATGATCTTCTCTAACAAGCCAGATGCTTATTGTATCACTTCAGTTCAAGCAATCTGGAACACACACCCATATCTAACCAAGTTTTGCTCACATGCACACAGCCACTTGTCCTCCACCCCCACCGACTGTCCAGTTCATCAAAGGCCTTCATTGTGGTGGCTTTGTATCCCAAATAGGGCAGTACCAGACCAGTGGTGTTTTTCAGACTATTTAAACCTACACTGAGGCCAGAGGGAACCTGCTGGCCACAAGCTTATTTCCTAATAAAGCAACAATGTGTTATCTAAGCCTGCAGCCAGCTCGACTTTACAATCTCTGGGATAAATGACATTTAGAAAGCAGTTAGGAAGAAGCTGGCAAAACTCTGCAGGTGTATCTGAAAGGTAATCCAACACTTTATGAGCTTTATCTAAAACAGAGTAAAAAAATCTCCACATTTAAATTGCAGTTTTCTCTGGGAACGCTGTACTGAAATCCTGCTGGTATTAGTCATAACATTTTGCAAGTATCTTCTTCTACTTGGCACCAGCTGTTTTCTTACTAAGGCTTCCACCTGAGGATCACATCAGCTGAGCTGTCAGTCACTGTAAGTGTCAGGACCAGACTCTCTCGGCAGGGGTCTTAACCCTTCAGGGCAGCCTGTCATGCTTTCATAGAGAATAAACTGGGAAAAATGATAGTACAGAATGTGATAAAATGGAAAGAAAAATGTCTTCTTCTTTTGCTCCATTTCTTCATTGACAGCATGCTACATCAAGCTAATGAGCTGATCTGGTCGCCTGGAACCAGAGCAGGAAAACAGCGAAAACATCATAAAAGAAACTCATGATTTTAAAACCCAACAACAACAACAAAAAAAAAACAGTTTCCTCTAGTTACATTACAGAAGTGATCAAAATAGCACAAGATGAGGCATGTCCATGAGTGAATATGACTAACATGATGTCTGGAGCCATCAGCAGACTGTTTTGTTGAACAATGAAGAGGTCACCAAAGGGACTTCCTGTTCTGTCCATGTGTCAGACTGGATGAGAGTCCGCTAAATAAAAAAAGACCCTACTGAGCTCTGTAAGCACCAGGCTCTCCCCCATACTGTATGACACCCGAGTCTATAATTAAAACTGTGCCGCTTTTGACCACAACCATATTTTGCTTGGACCCATACAGGCCTAAATATGTTTTTCCGCTTTAAGGTCTTTTCCCACATAAACATTGGTTGTAAAAACCTACAGTAGCTGCTCGGATATCGACCCCGCAGGCTGTTGTTATGCTGCGCTGGGCCCAGGAGAGATGACATGACTGTTGGCTGAGTGTAGAGCTGTCGCTGCTTAGTCAGCTTCCCCTTCAGAGCTGTCTGTCCACACCAGCAGACCGCGATCGGGAGCTTGTGTGCGAGCTTTGTCTGTCCCAATGTATGTGTGTGTTTTCATGTGTGCATACACCATATGTTTCCGAGCCTCACGGCGTTTTAATTTGAAGTCAAACAGATGGACATACACTGGAGGGGATAAAGGGGATTCTCTCAAGCCTTAAGATGCTACATTGACTGTGTGTGTGTGTGTGTGTGTGTGTGTGTATGTGTGATTTATATGCATGTGCCGCACACAAGAGACTTATCATCGAGTGCAGGCTTGCCCCTTGCTACATTAAGTTAAGGGTTACTGAAGATGTAATTTGCAACGACAAAGTGCAAGGCTTCTGAGCTCAAGTGAAGAGGAAGTTAACTGAAGGGGGATTTTGGCTGTGGAACTTCCAAGTCTGGACAGACTTCACACTCAAAATAGTATCTAAGTGAATGAGTTTTACATTTCCACAGAGTTGAGGGGATTACAAGAAACAGATGAAAAATTAAAGCAGAGGAGTCCAAGAAACTCTGCCTTAAGAGTTCCTAGAATGCATTTACTTTCAACAATGCTGGGTACTACACTTCCCACGATGCAATGTAATGACATCTTTTGTACCCTCGGTTTTTAAGTTTTTGTGTTGAACATCTAGAAGACTTCAGGATCATATTAAGTTACCCCCTGAGGGGACAATTACACATATCAAAGGGTTCTGAACGCCTATGAAACTCATTATACTGCTAATCTTGGTCTCTACTAGGGCTGGGCAATATGGGAAGAAGTTTATCACAATATATTTGTTCCTATCAGACGATATTGATATGTATCACGATATAAAAAATCACTTGTCAATCTTAAATGAAATTTAACATGACCTCAGAAAACTAAAATACCTCCTCACCACTGACGTTTTCATGCCAGTGTTGTTGACGATGTCGTCATCTGTTCAGCCTTCATCTGCATTTCTGTCGGGGGTACCGTAGCACTCATTTCTTTTTTTCTCACCGACAGTGCTGCCGGCTTCACGTGTTAAAGTGCAATGGTTGTGTGTAGCTGCTGCCTGCTACTACGCAGTTGTTTGCTACTTGGTTCTAATTCAGCACGTGTAGTGGCGTGGCACGACCGAGAGCAACTCCCTTTTTCATTGGCTATTTGTATAGTCTACCAAAACATGGCAGAATGCTGACATATTGACCATGTTTCATATTGATACCGAGGGAAATGAATTTTCGATATGCATCATTATTGTTTTATCGCCCAGCCCTCGTCTCTACGAAAGCAAACAAGACGCTCAGGGAAAAGACCTCATTTTTATATGATCACTTGAAAAAAACAACTCTCTGTCGGAGCAAGGCACAGCGTTCAGAGGAGCAGTTTCTAATCCTAAAAGAAAAGCATTCAAGATGAGTGATAGTTTTGCAGCTAGAATACAGCAGGAGGATTTCTTTTCCTCTGACAGGATCAGCAAATAAACTAGTCTTGACAGTTTTTCTACTGGGGCAGAAAAAATAGACTCAAAACTGAAGTTCCTCACAGTAGCTTTAAAAAAAAAAAACACTGATACCACTCTCACGTCTGTTTGCAAAATACACAGCTGCCCTCACACAAAAAGAGTAAACAGAATGAGACTGCTGGCCTGATTTTGTCAGGAGTTAGCAAAATCCAGTTCCCAGTGCTGCTACAGGTCACAAAGAAATATCTGGTGTCTCATTTATTTAGCAGTTCTGAATGTTTTAAAAGTATCATGGTGTTCAAATTGTTGCGAGTCGGTCCTCCTTTTGTCGCCAAAACAGGTCTAACAAAGATGACTATCTTTTAGCTCAACTCTTTTAGTTATATTAATGTGCAGAGTGATCTATAGTTAAGCATACGAAGAGTTATGGCTTCTCTGTTTGATGGCTGTTGACCAGGTGGAAAGATTATGGCCTCAAAGTCACCTTTTAGAAGGTTTTTACCAAAGCCAGAAGCTTGTCAGAGCAAACATTTCCAACATAGTGACCTCTATAGTTGGGATTCATGGGTCTCTTCAGAAACCAGTAAGTAATGTTGTGGTGACAACTTCCATGTTAATGAGTTCATAGTTAATTCTGATCAATATAACCACAAATATAGCACACTTTAAAACACAATACACTTCCTCTGGTTTTCAGTCCCCATGAACATCAAATTGTGATGTTTTTACAGTTTGTTCAGGTTTAATGAACCGATTAGTTAGCTTTACAGTATTGGTAATCAAGTGGTCTCACTTTTAATAAGTCATTTCCCCGTCTTTTCATTGCTAGTCTATACCAGCTTCTGTTTGTAGCTTCATATAGCATTGAAACATCAGAGTAATCTGTTCATCTGGCAAAGACAGTGGGAGTGGGCTTGTTCCCTAAGATATTATCAAATGATTGAATTACAGTCTTGCTCTGTGGAGAATCACGTGGAAACAGTAATCATTACTGTGCATATATAACTCTATGTAATACACTGAAAACTATTGTTACTGCTGCAAATTAATCTTGGACCAAAGTTTCACGATTCACAGCAACACAAAATCACTTTAAAATATCCTCTAAAACATGAACAACTCTATTCACAAAACTGTAGCTATAACAAACATAACTTAATTATAATCTTAACGGAAATCATAGCTCGCTCCTCCTGGTGTAAACAAAACTGACTGCTAAAGGCGTGCAGCTGGGAGGCACAAGAGAAATGAGGCTATTACTCAGAGGGAGTGTGACACGGATGTCATTCATGCCTGAGCGGTGGATTTCAGTCTTTAATAGAGTACGTGGAGAAAATGTCAAAGTCCGCATGGAAGCTGTCTGATGTTTCCTTTGGTGTATCAACAATAGACTGATCTAAATTTAGACTCGGTTGAGTATCTAGGCTACATCAGATCTCATTTGGAGTTAGAGAAGAACTACTTCACCCACACCCACTCCATGAGTGACATTTCCAACGCTGCAGCTGCGGTGCTGACAGGGCTCTGGGGAATCACTTCACATCAAATGATGCTACTAAAGCGACAGTAAAACAAATCAGACACAGGGAAAAGAAAGCGGTTACTAGGTTTGCAGACAAGAAAAGGGAAATACTGGAAGGTAGAGTAGCTGAAAAGTCAGTAAAAGGAAGTTAACTTTGAAGGTTCGTTGACATTCATGGCTTGTTGGTGCAGGCCCAGAGCAGCGAAGCACAGAGCAATGCTTGGCAGCACTGATTGCTGAGGAGAGGAGGTCAATGAAAGTTTGCCTCAGAACATGCTACAGCATCAAAACGGCCAAGACTGCATAAGTAGGTGGAGAAAGTATAAAGTTGATCAAAGATCGAATGATTGCAATTAGACATCATCCTCGATCAGAATCTTGCTCTTCTGCGAACTCAGTCAGCTTTAAACTGTCGATAGATTGCAGCCTGCAGCTTCCCATGTGGTTCACCACAGGAATGGTGAGGAGTGGGAAGAGAAAGACAGAGGGGTGGGGCACTGTAGTGTTTAAGGAGGATAAGATTTTGGCTGTGACCCAATCTCCGCATGTGGTTCTGATCCACTCCAACGCCCTGACTGTGAGCAGCACTAACACTGCTCCTACGCGTGGTGCTGCGAGAACATGAGGGTATATAACAGTGAATGCGTCCAAATGTTGCATGACAGGAGTGATGCTACAGGGGTACCGACAACCACTTTCATCTCACGGCTGTGCAGGCAATTCAAGAGTGAAAAAGTTACAAATGAGCAGCACAAGTTGGGGAAATGAAAAAGGGAGATATCAGCTGGTTGCTGGAAGGTTTCTAGGTCTCACTGGTTGCGCTTGAAAAGAAGGACTCCTTGGCTAAAAATACACGACTGCTTTGCTTCACTTCAAGGCTTTGGAGGGTGCTTCTTTAGATTCACAGCTCTATTAAAAAGTTTATAACTTCAAAACTTTCAACTTTGGTGAACTTACTGAGGAAAGATTTAACTCTGTAACTCCTACCTTCCACCACCCTTAAGCACGAGAGAGATACAACATTGGACAGGAGTGTATCTGGCATTTCTCTCAGTTTGTGTGCCATATTTTTATGAGTCTCTGCTAAAACGATGACAGAATTTACAACCCTGTGACATGGTAATCATACAGGGTTGTGTAACACCCTTTTTTTAAGCAGCTACTTAAAGGAAAGCCCTTCACCCACGTAAGCTGAGAAGGTATCCATAAATATTGACTGGATATAGAATAACCAATGCTCTTGTTGCAGTCTCACTCTCACCAAGATGTTTTGACCCATGTAAGATCCATCCAGATGTTCTGCTCACAAATATTACAAACATAAATTACAGTTGTGCACAACATTACACACCTTTGAATGGAAATGATATGTTTGCCAAAGTTGTATCATTAAATGCCACTGAAGTCCACCTGCAGCTTCCAGAGGGCGGTAAAACTTGACTGGATGGCTTTTGAAAGACATTTATCATCCTTGACTTTATGAATGCATTTGGGCTCTTTTTTAGCTGCCAATGAACCTGACTCCTTCGATGCATTTCACGGATGTTCTGCTAAACTTAACCTTGCAGTTGTCAGGGAATAAGTCGAAGTCTTGTAATTACAAACTGCAGAGTCAATGCTTGTAAATGAATACAACAAAACCTCTGATCCAGATGGCACCATGCAAGCTGCATTACTCCAGTGGTTTCCTTCTGTTTTTAATTAGGCTGCACACTCCTACACTGAACACTGAAGGGGGGTCTGCATTGCTGCTTGTATAAATTATTCTCCACCAATGAAATATACTTCTGAAAGATCCCCCGTGGCCTGCAGCAGTCTTATTATATCCGTGTCATGAAGTGCCATGCCGAAACAAGAAAGAGTTTTTGTCTCAATGCAAGAATTTTAAACAACTGAAATAATTTAAGAAACTGTCGTCACAGAGAGTCTGGAGAATTGGCAGACGATGTGCATGAGGAACATAATGCTGAGCTCTACACACCCTCTCTGTCACCAAAACCTGCCCTCAGGCTTTAAATTTTCTGCTATCATCAAGACTGCCATAAGTCTCTGAGTGGAGCTTAGTTCGTATCAAATAATCATATTTGAGCAAATTCAGCAACAGACAGCTGAAATTATCGTTGAATACAAGATGAAATACAATCACCTGCCACAACATTATGAACGCCTAAGCAATGAATGCAAACCAATAGAACAGCTCTTCAACAATGTTGTCTTTCAGAGAGCTTAGAAATATCCAGTTGACATGTTCGGACAGGTGATAGCTTTACCCTGTACTTTTTCAATAAACACATCATAGAGAGTGTACCAGAGTATGTTACAATGACAGGTGGTCTTTTATTCTGTTATATTTTTTCCACTTTATAGACAAACATAAATGGAGCTAAAATGTTAAGAACACCTTTCAATGTAGCATACACCGAAAACCACCAACCACAGTTAATTTGATAACCAATCATCACCTGTCTGAACGTGTAAAGAAGCAAAAAAAATGTATAAGCTTTGTAAAAAAGAGAGTTTATAGTAGGGCTGTAATAAAATCTACACTGAGGAAGGTGGAGACTATTCTCAAAAACATGGATCACCCACTTCACAACACCTTAATGGACCAAAGGTCCAATGGTGGTGGACGGCTCCTCTCTCAAGATTCAAAAGATCTTTTGTACCCACAGACATCAGACTGTACAACTCTTCTGTAAATAGTAGATGACTTCTAGAGACATGACAAATGAGACGATAGACAATTAAATTTTCCTTCGAGGACTATTACAGTTCTTCTTATTCTTAGATTGATGAAATGTTTATAATATTATGACTGGTTTAAGCCATAAGGAGGTTTCAATCAGCTGCAGGGAAACCACTCTTGTATTAATCTCTTTTGTAAGAATAGCCAGCTGTTTGGATCCCACCTGCAGCCCAGGCAGTTATGTAAACCTGACACTCAACAAGAGGGATTCAGAAGGACAGTGTGTCATCAAAAATGTCAATATAAATGTACATTCAGGGGGGTTAAAAGCATAAAAAGTTAAAGGAGCCATGCAGCAGTCTGTCATGACTTATAAGGGGGATGTGGGGAATTGTGGGGTGAATAAATCGCCCACAAACACTGACAATGCACCAACCAGAGCACACCGCAAAAATACGGTTTAACTTGATACACAACAGCAGAAAAAAACCTAATATGAGCAAATTATCATCGTCCACGCGCTGTTAGTGCTTTTTATGCCAGCACGCGGGGCCTTTCTAAGCATGTTGTCTCGCGCTGAGCTCAGCGGAACCTGAATAACTTAACCCACCTTGACATGTTTACATTGCAGACCTAAAACGACAACTACCAGCACATATCCTCGTTTAAAACCTCTCATTTGGTCCTGTGTGGATCCTGCGCTAACACAAAAGTGTTTACGCTGACACTACACACACGCGCGTGCGGTGTAAATGTTGCGTTCAGGGCGGGTGAACTTACCTAAATCATCCATGTTGGCCGGAAATCGTTCCAATGCTGAGAACCGGGACCGGTCCTCCTCCGTCGATCACAGCTGGATGGTCGGGGTCGAGTCAGCTTCAAATGGTTAAATCTCCGCTCTGAGGTCTTCTCTTCGCTGAATGCAGTGAAGTTTAGAAGTTACCCTGCTGCTCGACGAGCCACAACCACACTCACAAACACACACATACCATATTACTGCCCCCCTGGAGTCTCCTACAGTCCACATCCAGCCCCCTGCCAGCCCACAAGCACCGACACACGGGCGCCAGCGACATCTAGCGGCATAGAGCGGTACTGAAGAGACTGGAGGCTCCTAAAACAATACACTTAATTTCACGAAAAGACGTTAACGTTAGCTTTGAACAGCCTCAACCAGGCATTAATATGCCGATTTTTAAAGAAAAAGGTAAATAATGAAAAAATATTCTGGTTATTTATTCATAAGTACTGTTGTGAAACAAACTTTAAATCGTTACAGATTAAAAAAAAATCAACAAGAGCATAAAATCAAGTCCATTCTGCTGCGGGGTGACGCAGCTCAAGGAAGAACATTTATGATCATTTCTTTATCATTTCCTTGAAGTAATAATCACCATATTAATCATTTTGCACTGCAGACATGGTAGTTCTTCTGCCTTAGCGTCTCGGTCTGATTGTATTTCCATGAAGAAATGATTTTTGGCGTTTTGGTTGAGGCTTGTTTATGGCTCCTCAGACCGCTGTGTATTGCTATCGTGCGGTTGTCACTAAAGTTGGTATTACTAGAGAAGTAAGCGGTCGGCAACATTCATCTCTCGAGGGGGTGTCTAACTCTGTGTTGCGTTGTGTTTGACCCTAAATTAATTTTACACCGGAATAAAATAACTTGTGAAATCAGAAATTTCCCTTTTTTAAATAATAGCCAATCTCCAGCAAGACATTATATCCATACAACATTTAGTTTGATCAATTCAGTTTGATAAATTGAGTGCGATTGAACATCAGGTAACATTCAACATCACTCTGCCGCAGCTTGGTACACTGACCCCAAAGTCCAATTAAATGACAAAGAAGAAAACACACAAACCAATCAAAACAATTACTAGAAAATAAAACAACACACCACAATGACAAATCACAAAAACACAATAAATTGAAATACAACATTACAAAACACAATGAAAAATCACTAAATCACTAAAGACAATCGATAAGAAAACAAAATAATTAATAAAAAATTACAACAAATATTGAAAATAAGAGATTACAAAAGGAAAATCAGAAAATACAGCGATAAATAAAGCGAAACAACTGTGAGAGCACACTCCCTCGCTCTCCTTCTCTCTCTGTGATTCTCCCAAACCCAGTTGTAGCAGGTAGCTGTCCAACATGAGTCTGGCCCTTCTCAAGGTTTCTGCCTATTAAGAGGGAAGTTTTTTCTTGCTACCATAACTTGCAAAATACTGCAAAGTGCTTCACTCGTGTTGGATGGGATGAGTCAAATCTTTCCCATCTCAAGGTTGGATCTTAGTAATACATCAAACAATGAGTGTGGTCTAGACCTGCTCTTATGTAAAGCATCTTTGGATAACAACTGTTTCTGAAACAATAAAGGACAATGTTAGATTGATAAGAGCTTCCCGAAAACACCTTGAAGATATAATGGGAAACAGACTCCTGAGAAGACTGGAGAAAAGTTCAGGACCCTTATTAAAAAACTTTTCAAAAGATGGAGGTGTTGAAGTTAGAGCATATGAAATGTGTTGAGAGTGCACATGGAGAGGCTGAGAGATGCAGAGAATCTGACAAGTCTCGAGAGATCTGTTTGAAAAGATGGAGATAAAACCAAGGAATCACAACATGAAGTTTCAGAATAAAGTGAGAGGCCTTTCTACTTATATCTTCAAACATTTCAGACTGATAGAGTGAGATTGGGAAAACAGAAAAAGAGGCTAAAAGTGGTTCTGGAATTTTAAAGCTCAGCTTGGCTGCTTGTGAATAGGGTTTATGAATTGAGTGAATGTCCTTGAAGAAAGAGTAATGATGATCAAGAAGAGACTGCAACACAAGGGGCTTGATTTCAAAGATGGACCCAGGGTCCTTTCATTGAGAAGCAGCAGCCTTCACCACTTCCCTAGTCATGTTAGACGGCAGGGCTTGCTTTTATAGGTGCTTTTACTTTAATTTACTAATTGATTAACTTCGAAAGCATCAATGTAAGTTCTTGATTGCTTTCTAGGCACACAAGGTTTGCTTGGTCCAGGTCTTGGACCTAGATTCTCTCCTACATGTTAGACAGCCAGGGCTTGCTTTTACAAATCCTGAATCCTTCTGTTTTTGGACAGTGGGTGTTTAAAACCATGGTCTTAACTATATGCGCGGAAAGTAATTCCTGTCTTGTTCACATGAAAAGTCCTTGCTCTGGATTAAAACCCTGAGTTTCTTCATTAAGAGGCTGAAGACTTCCACACCACAGGTAAGCCTTGCTCTGTTTGCTTTGAAAGAGTTTTCATTTTACTGTTTTGATGTTCAAAAGCACAGCATAAACTGCGTGTGAGGAAAGAAATTGTTATGCTATAAGGTAAGCTCCTTTTAGGTCTTGAGCCCAGGGGTCCTTTCCTTGAGAGGCAACAGCCTTCACCACTTCACTACATGTTGGGCTTGTGGATTGGTTATCGAACCAGCAAGCTTTACTGTTGCAAATGTTTCTTGGGCTGTTCGTTTCTTAATGAAGGAGGCTTTGCAGGAGCAAAGCAGCAATAGAGCATACAGAGACAAAGTTGGATCAGAAATCCTAAACTGGAGGATGTAAAGGAAGGGGGGAGTGGAGTAATAATCACAGATTTTGGTTCTTATTCTCAGCCCTAAACTTTCCCTTGATGTATTTTAAATAAAGGATGTGCAGGAGGACGGAGTTGTAGTGTTTGCTATGACTTTTGGTCCTGTACAGTAAGGGGATGGGATTAGGTGGCTATTGTGTGATCTAGCCTTCTTTTCAGACTGAGTATTTTGATATGATATCATAAACACAACATTCCTGCACTTTAGTGACCAACTGTGATCTAAAAAGAACTTTCTAAGTGAACAACATTCATCAGATTAAGGCTACTTTTGAAGAGCCAGCATCTACCCACTATGTTACTATGCAACTTGACTTTCAAGGATTGGACTGATATACTAATAGCACATTAAATTCACTCATTCATAATGTCATAACTATGGACCAGTTAGCGGCCAAATTTATTTAATCCCTCTGATATCATCACTGTGAATATCTGAAGAGAGTGTTTTGAATGTGAAGATTAGACACACTCTCAGAGCAAATCACTGCTCCTCTCAGAAAATTCATCAGGTTCTTTATTTTTTCCCTCAATGGTGGATAAAGACTAAAAGCCACTTAGCGCTGTGTTAAATCTCAATAAAAACCTCTCTGAGGGAGAATTAATTGCAGCTTCGGCACAGTTTGAAATGCTTCTCCAGCTTAATGATTGGATTCACATTCTCATCATATTCCAACAGGGATTTACGCCGTCACTGAGATTACAGAGTTTTTATGATTCTCTTACGTAAGGTTTTATCTATTTCATGTCATTTCAGCGGGATTTGTGTGGGAGCCATCAGTTGATAATTGGTTTGATTTTAGATAATTAAGAGATTAAGATCCTGTATAGTCATAATTTCAAAATAGCATGTTGATACTGTGCAAGTTTTTTCTCTTCTATTTCAGACGCCTTCAGATTGATTCATCTCTCATCTTCTCAACGACCACTAGAGGGAGTTTTTATACAGCTTTACAACCTTCAGTGATTTATCACTTCATATAACTAATGCTCTTTTTGTATATTATCATATCTTTTTGTACTATAATTTACATTTATATGCTGATTTTTTTAGAGAGGTAGCTTAAGAGGAGAGAAAGTGGAAAGCAATGTGCATTACTCTTGCAAAAGTATATTTGCATCCACAGTAAACAGGGATTTTGCTGCTATCCTTACAAAAATTATCCTTCTTTTGCTTCGTATATGAAAGACAGGAGATAAAAGGAGACACAAGTAGGTTGCAGGTCATCAGGAGTGAAAACATGTAAAAGAGTCAACAACTATTTCAAATGATCATTACAGTACCAGGAGAGACATGGTTGTATTAAGCATTCTTCTCTCTTTTTTCCCCCTCTATCTTAACCCTTTTCCTTTTAGGTTGTATTTTGTTGTTATAGGAGGGAAAACAATTGGAAGAAGAAACAGAAAAAAAAGATAAGGGGGAGCAATGTCAGATTGGAGGGGGAAATATTGAAAGATGACTGATGATGATAATAGATATTCACGATTTTTCAAAGTTCCCTTTTTCTTTTCAAGACATGGTTAAAACAGGAAACACAAACTGAGCATGTCCAAGTTATCTGAGCACTTATTGCGTATCACTTTCTGCTTTTCTCCTCCTCAGATAACAGTGTCTTAGCTCGGGATCAAACAAGGCAGCTCACCCTGCTCAGGACACCCCAGCTGGAATTAGCATAGATTTACACCCCCACCCTCATAACCCAGCTAAGGTCTGGCTTGTGAGGTAGGTGCGGCTGTAAAAGATCCTTTAGTGGCATCTGATTGTGTGCCTGACATCCAAACATCACAGCATAGCATCACCCTTGTCGCATCATCAGGGCACTAAAATAACAACAGGGCTTTGTCTTTCTAAAGTCCTCTGGGTCAGTAGCCAAATATTATCACATGCACACACACATATCCTCTTCGTGCATTTGTGTATTTGGGTGCACATGTCCCTCGAGAGACAATACTGCTCAGGGGTTTCAGGGGGACCACCAACTGCACATCCTCAGCTCTCAAGCACACACATTCGCTACCTAACATGGACTGGCAGCACTCGCTGGTTTTACCATGTGCTTTAGCTGTAATCTGATGATCACACTAACATCTGCGTACAACTCGCAGGATTAGAACAGACAGTTTATAAACATTTTAAACTGTTTACACTGTTAATTTTGTCTATTTTTCCTCACAAAGAGTTTGGAAAAAATGAAATAGAGGGCAGGTTTGTTCTTGTTATTTTAATTTTTTATTAGACGAACATCCACAGACCCAACAAATGGATAACTTCTATGAAAACTATGGGAAATGGTTTTTAAAATACAAAATGGGATGTGGGAAATGGCTTTGGATAATGCTGAAAAAGGAGTAAAAGAGCTCACTCTGCTGTTGATGCCCTGTGTCTGATATTAGGGCATAGAAGAGAAGTTTTTGACCCTCAACCCTCACCAGTGTTGTGTGTCTTTTAGTTTCAAGTCATCTACAGGCAACAGATAAGAGTTTTATTAGGTGAACATGTAGTGAACAAAGTTTACTCCTGGTCCTTTTCCTCTCCGTGGGTAATGATGTGGACAAGGTTCTTGTAGTCCAGGTTCCCTGCCACATCTGGGGGGAAGGCAGTGAACATCTGCTCCATCTAACAAAAAGAAAAGGCGTCCTTGTTATCAGAGATTCATGCTTCACACAAACAGACATATCACACCATGCACAAAAAGATGAGTGATGATTCAGGATGCCTTTTAAGAGAGGAAATGATTCTGAAGGGATCAGACAATCGTCACGGTGACAACTGCTATATTTGGGCCTACTTCTGCACAAAAGGCAAATCCCATGTAGCAACGATAATTAGACTAAAAGGACTGAATTGTACCTCTTCGGGGGTGAACCGATCAGCTTGTGTCGTAAGCATTTGTGTCACACTGAACAGGGAAAAGAGAAGAAAAAACACTTCATGAGATGATAAAGCTTGTGTTTATGTAGGAAATCAATGTGCAGGTCATAATCGCCTCAGTCATTGTGGAGTAGCACTAGAGAAATGATGCAGAATGGATCAGTCATAAATTGTGGGTGATAGCTTAGAGAGCACACTTCTTATAGTCTGTTTGGGTGCTCCGACTGAGGCATTGTGATGATTGGAGAGAGTTGAGTCACTTACTAGTCCTTCCTCAGCACACCTTTCCCCTCAGGGTCAAAGACTTTGAATGCATTTAGGATAGTCTCCTCCGGATCAGCACCTGGACACATTCAAACAGCGTGTTTAGACACAGCTTTACGTAAAGTCTTAATAAACATTAAGTGGTCATTCTTACCTTTCAGCTTCTCACCAAACATGGTGAGGAAGACGGTGAAGTTGATCGGGCCAGGAGCCTCTTTGAGCATCTCATCGATCTCCTCCTGTTTCACATTCAGACGTCCTGTGGTAAGGAGGTTTTGATATGAGTGTTTGATGAAAGCTGATAAATTACATTCAGATTGTTGCTTATCAAAGACATATTTTTCTTATAGTCCTTCTCTGCAACCACTCTGAGAGGTGAAAAAAATAACCAATGTGGACGATGTTGTATACCTAAAGCAGCAAAAGTGTCCCTCAGGTCATTTTTGTCAATGAAGCCATCTCTGTTCTGGTCCATGATAGTGAAGGCCTGAGGACAAAGCAAAAGACTCATTAGTCTTTTGTCATTAAAACGTTTTCTTCACAAAATCAGAGAGTTTAAGTCCAACCATTTCCATTTCTCTTACTCCTCTCAAATACTTGGTTCCATCTTTATAGGTGAACACAGTTAAGTATTTATATCCTGCAAGCCCCTGGGGTTTAGCCCGGCATCCAGGGCACGTCCAGCAGTTTATCTGCAGCCTAATCACTGCTGACACAGTCTGAATGTCTGGGCACCACTGACTGTCATACCAGCATACCACAAGTCTCACTGCTGCCAATTCTTGGACAGGAAAAAAGACAGGTGGGCATACTCTGACCATGAACAATGGAAATGTACTTCAACTACGAACAATGAAAATAGAAAGAAAAGGGAGCCTATGGAGTAAAGAAGCTAGAAAAGCTTCTGTATCTGTGTATTTAATAGACAGAAGCACTCTTCATGATCGGCTGACATGCGTATTCATGTATCCCATTCACACAATTCTTATGCCAGTCTGAGCCAAGTTTGTATATGAATGAAATCACGATTTGAGCAGCTTTTACCTCTTTAAATTCCTGGATCTGAGCCTGCTCAAACATGGAGAAGACGTTGGAGTTGGCTCCCTCTGCTGTCCTCTTCTTGGCTTTCTTGGGGGCCTTTTGGTATGATGACAGGAGGAGATTAGAGGAAAACAGCTTGCAATTTAAGATTATGATTCATGTTAGTATAATAAATTAAAAGGGATTAAGGGCTGAACAGAAACTTTAAATTCTATTAAATAAGATTAATTCAATTTTGCATCAAGATGAACAAAATTTTGGGGAAAAACAGACGACTGTTGAGAGCAACAATACTAAATGCATCCATCCTGTACAGATACATCCCGTGTTTAGTGAACACTTGGAGTAAAATAAAACCTTTGCAATGTGTTAACTTCATTTCAGTATTTCTTTCACATTTACTTCCCCATATCTTTTTTGTAAAGACTTACTACACATATGTATTTTTGGATAATTTGAGTACACAGATTTAATACTAAACTATTGCCCAAAAAAAGGTTGTGTAATGCATCCATCCTTGACTTACCATGGCTGAGCAGCTGGGAGGTCAGACCAACAATGATGCCAGTGAACAATAGGGAGATTGTGGGTATCCTTTTGTAGCCCCAACCCTCAGCTCCACTGGATGATATTTATAAACTATGTCCTCTTTAGGAAGTGACAGGTAAATGATGCTCCATACAACACACAGTATGACACACTCACAAAAAAATAACACACACACACACACACACACACACACACACACACACACACACACACACACCCCTCTGTAGTAGCCAGTGGCCCCGTGTTGTTATGATGGACATGAGACAAAGAGATTGGAATAACTGGTTTAGAATATCAAGAGCAGACTGAAGGTTAAAGCTCTTAATCACTTTAAACCGCCCTCAGTCCACAGACTACTGTCTATGACTGAAAAACACTTCTGTAGGACTCAGGACTGACTCTGGGAAAGGGACTCTACAAACTCAGGACAAAAAAAGTCTTCTGCTTCTGTTTCAGTGTGAATGATTTGAGTGCTACTGCCATAGACTTTGAACAAAACATCCAGCACACAGTGATTAAGTCCCCAAACTCCGCTACAGTCACTACAGTCAGACAGCTTGACAGCTCTCTGATTCTCTTCACAGAATTTGAAAATCAGTTAAAACACAATCTGAAATGTGTTTTCATGACCATTTAAAGTGGCATTAAGTCGGGAGATACAGTCCTGTTTTGCTTTTTTTAAGAATGAAAGCAGTTTAAACTTTTTTCTTACTGTCATGGTCAACATTCACGCATCAGATATAATCTTGTAGTTGTGAAAGTTGTGTTCAACTGATGGATAAATATATTGCAGCAGAATTTTGCCCATTCTGTTCAAAGAACTTAAATTGTATACATTCTTATTTAATTGACAAGTGAAATCAGCGGGTACATTTGAAGAGCTGGATTTCAAAGTTTAAAATTTCACAACACTGAACCTTCAAAGCCAGTATCTGTTCAGTTTTCATCTGGAGTTTTCCCCTTTTCACCATCCCATAAACTTTTTGGAGGTGCTGGTTTGGCCTAGTTGAGTTCTCATGCACCAAGTACAAAAGCTGTAGTTCTGAAAGCCCCACTCAGATTGTTTTTTTTTTTTTACTACTGAAAGTGTTCTCAGTGGTCTTTAAATTATGATTATAAAGTTTTAACCAAAAATCGCGTTACCTGTGTCATTTTCAAGGGCTTTTCTTCTGCAGAGCTCCAGTAGATCATTAGCAATTTGCCTCCGAGTCGTGGGCGGAGACAGCGCTGCTCTGCACACTCGTCTTCACGTTAGCTCGTAGCCTAACGTTGACGGTGTAGTAGAAATAGCAGGTAATATAGAAGCTATTCAGCTCTCGCACACTAATGTCTTTGGGGACATGATGAAAGCTAATATCATAATTAGCTTTCTTATGAGCATTGCAATCCGCTGACGCACACGCTTGTTCCGCGATCGTCCTCTGTATGTCTCCTCTATATGCAGAGTGTGGCCTGCATAGCGGGGTTCCGGGGGCGGCGCTTGGATTGGTTACGTATGAAATCTCACTGTTTCTGAACCTGGTTTGGGTCTGCCAGAGATTTGCAAGGATCTAAATACTCATAAAGGCAATTTTGCATTTAGTTTTCTCATGATTTGTCCTGTAGCATTAGAAAAATGGCATATGAACATATAAAAAAAAAAAAAACTAGAAAACCTGATTTTCATCAGAGTGGGTCCTTAAAGCAGACGGCTTGGGTTTGACTCTAAGCTGCATCCCTTTGCCACGTCATTCCACGCTACTATCCTGTGAATAAAAGCTTCAAAATCTCTGTTACATGTTAAAATCAAATATTCACCCAATGCTATCTTTTTTCCTTCAAATTAATGCCCATCATACCTGGAGTCCTCATGGAAGACAGAGCAAGAAATCACCAGCCTGTTGAGTTATATTTATTGACCTGTCAGGACTGTGTTACCACAAGCCTCAGTGACATTTCTCACATGCTTTTTCACATTTGGCGCCAGCTTTCCTTTCACCTACAAGAACATAGTATAGTATAGCACAGCACAGCATGTTTAAGATAAACTTTATTTACTCTTTAAAGGTAATATACTTCATATTTACACTGTTAAACCATGGGCTGGAAACATTTTCATTCCTACTGAAACATAACTGTCATTGTTTCTTTGCCTATTAAACCGTTAAACAAGGCAAACGATATGTTTCTGATTTCTTAATGTAACTGAGAGGACATGGACTCAGGAAACAATTGAATTTGAGGAAGTCTTTACACTCTACCCGGGTGTTGAGCTTTTAAGCGCTTGTGAAACTAAGCTTGGTGTTGTCAACAGCAGAAGGTGCAACATACTCAAGTGCAACTCTGCTGACAGTGAATGTGTCCTTACAATGTGCTATGTCCCTGTACCATTAACAGGTCACCCTATATCACAGGTCAAGAAAAGTGACAGTCTGTGAAAATGAGCCCAGTGGAACGGGGTGAGAAGGTGAGTCCTGGGTGGGTGGTCTATATATAAAGAGAGGCGCTGAGAGCTGACAAATAAAATGCTTTTGATGAACGAACAGCAGATGTCAGCGGTGTCATCTCACAGCGCCGCCGTGCGCACAAGGAGGTCAGAGTTAGAGGAGTTATTGTTAACTACAGAGCGGAGGCTATTGTTGAAATCTCCTCTCCTTCAGCTCCTCCCAGCCTGATGCAGCTACCGTGACTGGAATGGCAGGCCATTGTGGCATCAGCTAGCTCAGGGATCAGACGCCTAAAAATAGACTAACGGCCTCAAACACAATGGACATGGACAAATGGTCAAAAATGGCCCCAAGCGTGAGCAGAGAGGAGAGACACACAAGAAACAGGCTTCAAATATGATCAGATTTCATGTTTCTGTAATTTGAAATCACGGAAGAGCTCAAAATATCACAGGCAAGCATAATAAGGAGAATTGAAAGACCATGGTTGTAATATTTAATATTCTGTGACAAAATCTCTACAGGGGACGCTAATAAAACATTTGTTAGCAGACATCAATATCATATCCAGCGTTACAGCATTATGATTCAAGAGTATGTGAAAAGAAACCCAAGCGTAAAAGAATAAAAAAATAAAATCTAAGGATGAGAAATCCCTTTTCTGTTGAACCTTGTAGAGACCAGTGAAAAACCTGTGCAATCTGTAGCAATGAGTGCTCTCTGTTGACCAAGGAATCTGTTCTGTCTTCTGGGCTTCGATACATTCAGGGAGATATTAAAAATAACCATAGCTGACCAAGAAAGCAGAAACTAAATATTCTTCTTAAGACTTCTACTTTTTCCAGGCACACTTGGTATGTTGAAATGTGGCATATCATCTGTTAAAATCTGAACAAAAACCACTAAAATCTTGAATTTCAATAGATAAGATAATGATGTACAGTCTAATAGGTCAGTTGACAGTGAAAGTCAAACTATATTTGGACTGATTTGAGTGTCTTTGAGGTTGGACTGGCTGTTTAACATGCCAAGAGTGCCTTCATTTAAATAAAGAGTGTGATAATAATTATATGAACCTACTGTGCAAACTGTAACTGGTGAGAGTTAAAAAGAAAGGAGATATTATTCACGTGCTTCGCTGTTAAATGTTGGAATAAAAATATAACCCAAACGAGGCTGAAGCTGAAGACAACACTCCATTCATCTCAGATATACATATCCATGCCATTTACGAATCAGGAATAAAAACAAAGATTATTTTCATCTTCACCTTGCACAATTTTGGGTTATATACAATATAAGGGACATGGTACAAAAAGAAATGCTCAAGTACTATGTGTAAGCTTCAAACATGATCTTTTTTTTCGCCCGTCATATACTTCAGCACTGAGGTTTTTGCCTTTGACAGATGGAAGTGCATACACAAGTTGGATCCAGATACAATCACTCACTTGATAAAGAATGTCTTGACATGTTAGAAGAATATTCATCGGACATTCAAGAGGACACGTAATCACTTTTTTCTTTAACAAAAATAGACATGGCTTATCCAGCCTTGAAATTCCTTCTCAATATATATATAAAATTATGTCTCGTTTATTTACAGGCAGATAACGTTCTGAAGGATTAGAAAGTCCTGCTGAGGATTGTGGGTAGTGCAGTTTTTAGTGTTGAACTATCCGAGGGCAGACAATCATTGGACGTGTGGTTCTACAGGGCAGAGAGGGTTTGTGTATTTAATACTTTTGAATTTATTTGTGCTCCACCCGGGGCAGGTCACCTTATGTAACCACAGACTGAGATCAGCAGAGAATGATTGTAATCAGCTGGTTATGATTGTGTATTGACACGTCAGCACACGGCTGGAGTCTGAAATGCTTTTAGATGTGCAGAACTCTACTGCCCTGATCTGAAGCTACTAAGGAGAAAGCATGACAGGAGCCAGTTGTACTTCTGATAGATCGGATGAGCCTCTGCCACTTCCACTCGTGACGAACTCTGTGAATTCTTAAGCATCGACTTGGAAGGTGAAGTTGCTACGGCTGTGCTTTTTTTTTAAATCATAGAGCCACTACTGTCTTGTGTAATCTTAAAACTAGCAAAACCCACTGAGGACAGTCTGAACGTGAGATTTCAAATCTGACACTTTGTTTTTTTAAGGAGAAAATAAATTGATTTATAGATCCCTTCTACATCCACAAATATCCCTGCTCAGAAAGGTGTTAAAATATGGCATTTTGTTGACCTTGATTAACTTGGGTTTGTCTGTTGAGAAAAATAACCTGACTCTAATGACATCAATTTATTTCTCTCTCTCTCTCTCTGTTGTGACTGCTACAGTTGTTTCCTCTGTGGGCTTGTCAGCTTAGATGTCAGACAAAACTGATGTGTGGCAGTGTTTCGCCATGAGTTGGTGACATTCTCACTGGTTTTTTCTGCTTTGTCCTTTTACTGTGGTGTGGCGCTGCTGACTCTCAAACAGATGACTGATCCCAAACCTGGAAGATGGAGTCGAAAACAGAGAGTCAGACAAACACATACAAGGACTTGCCGATTGTTGAAGTAATTTGATGTTGACTGAAAACCACAGCAAAAACACACAATAAATGTAGCAAAAGCAAGTTTGTTTTTCAGCTTGATGGTTTGAATAGTGTTCCCACAGGCACACAGTGATAGTCTTCAATAAACTGACGTAAAAAAGCCAACCAGCTGAGTTTATTTGCCACCGTGTCAATATTTGCTTTGTATAACTAACACAAAATACAGCTGATGATTGCAGCTAGTTTTGCAGACAAAAAAAAAAATCAGACAAACTGGAATTGAGCCTGTTGATTCTCAGCCTTTAATGCCCTTTGTATCATATTTGATACATACTTTATGATACTTCTATTAAATCAATATGATCAACAAATTACAAAAAAAAAAAAAAAAAAAAAACCTGAATCTAGTCCGATAAATTATAAAAATTTCCTCTTGTAGTTTATCAGTTTCCAAAAACATCTTATGTATCAAATGAGATAAATATTTATATTTGTTTAATTTTAAGGACATTTTAATTTTTTGGTTTTCAGTAGTAATTGAAATAAACATTTCAGCTCCAAAAAAAATTGGAATTTTCTGGCCATAATTTGTGGTTTCAGGCATTAAAGGGCAAGAGTTGAAGGTTGGGGATCACTCAATGTAAATGGGTAAAATGACCAGGACATGTATCCTTTGGAGTCTTTGAATATCAGCGTTATGTTTCACAGCTAAAACCTTTTGCAGGATCAAGTCAAAAAGTCTCATCTTCAGGGGAACACTGATGCTAAAGTGTTGTTTTCATGACTGAGGTTCAGCAGTTAGAGTACAGCATCAAATGCAAACAGCAAATGTGGTGATATAGAGTAAAAAGAATCTGACTGACTGACAGACCTTGTTGACGGGGTTTATGGGTGTACGTCCAGAGCCAGTATGGAGTCTTTGGCGCTCCTCGTATCTTCCAGGCGACCTCTCCCTGTGAACTTCCATCATCCGGCCAGGAGAGCGGTCCATGCGAGGGTCAGCCATGGCCCTCCCTGGGGAGCGCTCTAACCGTGGGTCTGCCATGGCTCTTCCAGGGGACCCCATTATCCGGCTCTCCAGCATCCTACCTGGAGACTTCTCCCTTTCCAGTGGACGGCTTGGGGACTTGTCCCGTCGAAACTCTGTGCGGGCCTCTCGGTAGCGGTGAGGTGTGCCCGGGTCTCCGTGAACCATGGGATTGGCTGCCAGCCTCTTAGAGATGTGCTCGTTGTAAGAGGGAGGCCCACGCTTGTTAGGGCTGAGGAACCGGGGGATAAACACGATGAGGGAGTGATGGTCATTGGGGGAAATAGTTTTTAAATCAATGTGCGGGATTGGCTTGGCACAGTCAGGTCAACAGCGGGTGTTATGAGAACTGTGAATCAGGAATCAAGTCTGCCCCATGTTCAGTAGCTAACCAGAATAAAACTGTAGAATGAGGCCTTCATTGGCTTTCAAACATCTCCAAAAAGAGCATTCAGAGTGTTAAGGCTTCTTTTATTATTGAGATTCAAAATATGAGACCATAAGCACAACAAAACAGGAAGTCCATCTTTATTCTACGATTTCCTTTGACATTTAACAGGAGGTGTTAAAAATGTTTAAAATTTGAATATGAAAAATATTTTCAGGATCTGTTACAGATAAAAAACGAGCTCCTCCTCCTGTAAAGAGCAAAATGAAGGTGTTACTTTGCTGCTTGGATCAGATATTAAGACTGTAGTATTATCACCTCCACCCGTGGATGTTGACCTGTGCTGGCCAGTACCTGCTAATCCCACTGAACCTTTGAAAACACCAGTGACCGTGTGGTAAGGAGTGCAGTGTGCTTCTCTCAGTTGAAGCATTAAAACAAAAACAAGCAGAAAATGTTCAGGTGAATTTGTAAGATTTTTCAGACAAACTGTTTTGATGCTATAATCCTCATCTTTTCGCTTATATAAATAACAAATAAAAATGACACGATAAGAAAACTAATTTGAAAAAGGCCGAAGAGTTGGTTAAACACAACATTTCTGCTTTGAAATCTGTTTTTATTCAGGTGGTTATAATCCGTGTTTACAAACATTTTCAAACTTATTTGGAATTTTATGTCGTATGATATAAATTTGAAGTCGCTCTAGAAGCCTGCTTCATGTCTGGATTACACCCTATGGGGTTAATTACCACTAGAGCAACATGCCCACTTAGCATCACCCTTATTTAGCCACCTTACTAGATGCAAAATTGTGCAACATTTACAGATGAGAGAGGTGTAAACCCTAATGTGAAAAAAAAAATTATCACCCACTAACACCTACTGCATGACAGCCACCATTTAGGGTATAAATTAGGAGGAATTGGATAAATCGCTTTATTTAAAGAGCAGAGAGTAAGCATAGTCTGCAGAAAGTTTCATTAATAGTATTTGTTCTTACCTGCGACCGGAGCCGTTACGCTGCAAGTCTCCTCCACCTTCCTGGCTCTGAACCAGGTTTCCTTTGCAGCAAATGACCCTCAGTTTATTCTGGTAAGAAGATGCCAGGTAGATAGCCCCAGAGGAGATGGCTGGACCAAGGTAGCGTGGGTTGGGGATATCCAGGTGTGCATATGAGTGGGGCCTACGCAAAGACACAAACACTAGACTCAGGATTCTGAATGATGGTTCTGTTGAAGCTACAGTTTCATTCCTGTCATGTGAAATGTCACAGTGTTGAGATGTTTAAACACGTTGATAATGTTCATCAAGAAAATAAACGATTTTTGTAAAATCAAACTAGAGCACCAGAGCAGAAGGGATTCTTACCCCAGAGCAGCATGTCCCTGGATTTCAATAACATCCAGGGAATTGAAGTAGGTCACAAACAGGTAAGGCTCTCTGTAAGCTGCAAGAGCAAAATCAATAAATATCATCACACATAATGTATATTGATAAGTTGGAGAGAAAAAAAATCATTGTTAGGAGGTTTACACTCACCAAATGAAAGAGGCAAGCGGCTCCATTTGATGTCATCACTTCTACTCCTGCGGCCATATGCATCCACAAACACACCAAACTCTGCGACAAAAATGTTGACAACAACATGAGAAATCAAGAGTAGAGAACAAAAGCATAAGAACACCATCTACAGCTGGAATAAATGCACATTTTCCCCATTAGAAATTTAGCTCATCCCCTGATACGTGTCTCTATGACTAACAACAGCTCAAGGTATTATAAATTTATGCCCACACGTGCAGAAAATAATCTGTTTTACCATGGAAACAGAGCAGGTATTCATCCTTCTGTGGAGCAGTGGTGACCTGGATGATGGAGATAGGGAAGCTGTGGGAGGAAGCGGCGAAGACAGCTGAAGCGAGCGTCACGTCATTCTTATCCAGAAACTCTGTGAAGAGAAATCAAATCGCCGTCAGTGAGCTTACCCAGGTGTGAATGTTGAAACTTGACAGTGACAGAAAATCAACTGTGTAAACTTGCTTAGAGCACCATCTGGAAAACAGTATTCATTATTTTTAAAGTAACATCAACAGAAGATTCGCGTCCTGATGCCTACTATAAATAATATCAATCAATCAGTCAGAGTGGAGGTGGACCTACCTTCCAGCACGTACTGCTTCATCTCAATCTCATAGAACTTGTTGGTGCCGATGATGATACTGTAGCCGGTGAAGTGGATACAGCTGCACGGCTCTGATGTCTCAATCTCCTAAAAATACAAACAAAGTTAAACCATTTTTTCCCAGTTTCCTGTCTCTCCGAGGATCAACAGATCATCTCCTTTACTACAAAACAGATTTTTTTGAATGACTTTATCTTCTACGTGTCCATCATCGGCTGCACTCACCTTTCTGATACAGAACTTGTTCAGGCTTTCATTGAGTCGCAGAATTGTAATCTTGTTAGGCATAGCAGCACAGATACAGATGCCATTGTCTATCTGTTAAGAAAAAACAACAAGACTGCAATCAGGACAGCAGTAAATATCTACAATCAGACAGCACACCACTTTGCAATGGGGTTTTATTCTCGGCTCATTAAAACCTAGATTTTTCACGGTTAAAGTCACAAAAACGTAACACACCTTCCCCGAGGAGAAGAGGTGGCATCCCTTGACTGTCTCAAAGATGAAGGGGTTGAGGTCGGGTGGGGCAGGGAGATGGGATTGCGACAAAGACTGTTTGACCTTTTTGATCTCTACCAGACACAGGGCTCTGTCCTCTCCTGTAGGACAGGGTAAATACAACAATCAGAAACACAAGCAATCATGAATTCACATCTTTACCAGTTAGAGGTCTTAAAGTGCTAAAACAGTAGACACGATCCTTCATTTTCAAAGGACTGACATGCAGGCATTATCTGATTTATTTGGATCAGATCCTCTAAAACAAGAGTCAGTGCCCAGAATCATCCACTAACACAGAGATACAGATGCCTCACTGACCAGTGATCATCAGCAGCTTATCGAGGTCTTTCAGGATTTGAATCTGGAAAACGGAGGTCAGGCCAGGGATGTGGGTCAAAGAGTTCTTTATGACGTTCAGAGCGTACAGACCCTCCTCAGAGCCCACTAGCACGATCTGCGGAAGAGAATAAAGCAAAAAATAGATAAACATGAGGAAAACTTTTTTGTAATACTGTTGATGATGGTTTGTGTTTTTGTCACTCACCTGGTCAGTGAGAGGCAGAGTGCAATTGATGTCCAGACGGTCATCACCCTCTAGCTTGAGCAGAGAATTACCCAGAAGTTTCTGTTAGACAAGGAGAAAGAGAAAGGGGACAAAGCGGTGAGGAGGGTTAGGCAGATCTTCTCATGAATCAGTTGCTTCACTACAAAATACAGTTATTTCTGAACAGATGACAGCCAGCCGTTCCCAACTCAAACAGAAATTTCTGAAACCTGAACAAGAGAATCCATCTTTTAGCAATACATTTACATTCATCTGTAACAAAATAAATAATCCGTTGGAAAATTTCTATCAAAAACCTAAGAGCTGGTAAACAAGACTGGGGACAGCCAAGCTTTTGATGCAATCTTTTGAATACTTGACACTGTCTGATACGATTCATTCAGCATCATTGGCTGTATTACTCTTTACTGGGGGTGTCCCGATTCAACTTTTTTTTTTTTTTTTACCTCCAATATGATACCGATATTGTAGCCTTCAATACTGGCCGATACCGATATTGATCTGATATTGGCACAAACTTGTGCATGACAAGTTTTGCACTCAGCTGCAACGTCTTTTTCGGACTTTAATGAAAAATACTGTCACAGGGCCGACATCACTCCTACTCCTTGGTACTTTGTTAGTACCTAAGTACACACTGTTGTTGTGATTACATGTTCTCTACAGGCTGGATCTGTGTGCTGCTAGATAGAGGTGCTGTAGCGGAGTCTGGAATGGACTGCTTGTATCAGAGTTCTGATATCGGAAATTTTAGATGCAGGCCGATATTCAGTTTTTTGCTGATATCAGACAGATATCTGATATCAATATTGTATCAGGACACCCCTACTCTTTACTGTTGGGTTATAGAAATAAGTTACACACCAGTGAGTTGATGACCATTATGTTTGCAAAACAATGAAAATAAACCAGTTGGGCTGAAAGGGGTGGGACTACAGATCCCATACATACAGTATATATGTCAGACAGAAAGAGGACACCTAGAGTATGTCCACATAATTTTGTGCACTTATGGTTTTATTCCCTCTTTTACAGTGAAGCAAAACATGAATGTCATAACCATCTAATATTATTATGATTGAATATATGCCTTTATTTTACTGTCCATAGACAGACACATAATAGCATCAAGATATTAAACACTGTTTTTTAACCAAACAGTAAAACACAAGAGCAGAGTGCAACTAACCCACTGAGTCACAGTGTTGAAATTTTATGTACATATTTATTTACACGATAAAACATTGCAGTTGTTCCTAGACTGGTGTCCAAAGTGTGTCTTTTACAGCCTTAATTGTGGGAAAATATTTGTGAGGTGCTGAGCTGCAGTTCAGGGAAAATGTTAGGGGTGGGAATCACTAGTGGCCCCATGATACGATATTATCACGGTACTTGGGCCACGATACAATATTATTGTGATTTTTAACATTTTGCAATACATTGAGTATTGCGATACAATTTATTTGGATTTATACAATTTTTTCAACTGTTGAGCTAATTTAGCATTTGTCTTTCTTTTATGTTTGTCCTATTTACACAGTATTTTATTTTCATATAACACATCTTGCAAACCTTTTACATATATTTGTTGCACTAACTTTCTCCTGCTCTACCATGTCACCTTTGCCAACCTCACTGGACAACCAGGTGATTTTATTTTTCCATTATCATAGATTTTACTTTATATTAGCAATCAATTTGGAAAATTGATACTTGGTAAACGAGACGATACAATATATCACCAGACAAAATCTCGCAATACTATGCTGTATTGATTTTTCTCCCGCTCCTAGAAAATGTAACATAATTTTTGTCATTTATCACAGAAGATGAGCGCATGGGAACCTGCTTATAAAACAGCAATAAACACGTAAAAAAAACACCAACAGCAGAAGCCTGCAAACAGAAGTAAAGCCCAGTTTTCTGGAGGATTGTGTTCATGTGTCTGTGGTGTTTCAGTAGAGGGGGCTGCAGCAGTGCATGGCTTTTGAAGAATCATGCAGGAGATAGCATATGACACAAGGCCAGAGGTGCACAGCAGTGCTCATTCACATCCATGCACAATGCACATCTGTTTATCAGTGTTTGCTTTAAATGATGTGCCTACTTAATCACTGATGCTTTCATTACTGCCAGGATCTCAGCCTGGGACTGTGCTGATCTGCACTGAACCACATCACATCAGTGCTGTTAGCTTAACAGCACTTGTACAGCCACTGCATGCCCAGATGGTCGGTCGACTGAAGGCCAAGCATCATGCAGTCACGTACTGTACCTGAACCAGAGGGGAAAGGTTCTTCTGTCTTTTTGAAACACCTGCCTATAATGTGATCCACAACACCGAGTTGAATGGAAATACAAACGCACACAGTATCGTCACAACAACAACAAAGACAATGACAACACACAGATAGGAGACATGTAGGATGAGAACATGCAGAGAGAGAAAGAGGAGGGAGGAAGAGAAAAAGAAGTGAAAGCACTGGCTGATGTTTAATGGAGGCATTCAGTATAATTTGGCCTAGTTATACACCAAACAATACAGCCGCCCTGGGAAAAAGCTACTATTTGAAATGTGCATAGCAAGTGTTTTGGTCTTGTATAAGGAGACACTGAGCTGTCTCTCTTACACTTCTGATAGACAATCTCTTTTCTGCTTCTTACATAATCAAGCCTGACACGAGCTGAAAAATACAATAACAAATAACAAACACTTCTTACAGCATCAGCATCCACTTTGTCTCGGGATCCTCGGCTGCCAGCCACCACAGACTCCAGCACAGCCACCCAGCGCTGCTTGTCGGGGAAGCTGGGGGCCATGAAATAGAGGGACTGGCCTGGCCAGCAGGTGGTGTGGGGATGCGACTCCAGCTTCAACACGTATGGGATATCTGTGGATGGCCGGACACACACAGGCATCCACACACACAAACACAAACACAGCAAGAGGGATTGTTGGCCATATTGCTCACAGCTTAATTTCACAGCTGAGCAGAAGTGTCAACATTTTGTTGTATTTTGAGATCCAAAGTGTAGATGGGATGTGTGGATCCAATTTAAAATTTGTGGAGAGGATGATACACTCAAAGTCCAACAATAAGCTGAGTGTAGCGGGATTAGGTGGTATTGATCCAGTACCTGACTTGGCAGTGTTGATGAGCTCAGAGGCTCCAACAGCTCCATGAACAGTAACTTCTCCATCAGGCAGGCAGAGCTCAAACTCATCCTCAGGTTTTATACAGTCTAGAAGAAAAAGACCAAAAGCGTTTCATTGGATACTGCTGACATATATTATAGAGAACTATTTTTTCAAGAAATGAATCAGCAATGTTCAGAATATAAAATGAAATTCACACCTTCCCTGGGCTCAGTCTCGTAGATGGATACTTTGGTTCCGTCTAGCACCACATATTTCCTCTCCCAGCCCTGCTGACCACGCTTTCCATTCCTGTGTAAGCGAGCACACAAATGTATGTCAGAGCTGCAAAAAGCAAATAAAACAAACAAACAAAAGCATGCTGTTTAAGATCCATATAGTTGCAGGGCTGGGAGGGGGTCAAAGGTTACCTTGGCTGTTTCATCCATCCTTCCAGGCGAACGTGCCCGCTGGCCTCTTTGACCTGCAGTGCGGGAGAGTTTGCTTTTTCTCTACACAGAGCCTCTGAGAAATGAGTGGCATACTCAGCAGGTAGACCGCAGGTGGCAGGGAGACATGGTGAGCACTTAGGGTGACACAAGGTGTGACACTCTGTAAAGAGGAAACACAGTAAGGTGAAAATGCTGATGTTGGTTTATTATACTGTTCTATTTTTGTACACTAAGGTATTTGCAACACTAGATGGTTTGGAAATGTCTGAAGGCGGCGTGTTTTTCTTTTCCAGACTTGTGACAGTGGGAATTATAATGACAGCCAAAACAAGGCAAATCTGATTCCACCATATGAGGGAGACAAATGTGCTGGCTGCACGGCAAGAACTATTTTTAGTATTTTTTTGTTGAGGCTGGCCAATAAATTGTCCTTTGAAATATCTTCACATTTAGTGCTCCCAGCCAGAGTACAGCCTACGAACCTAGACAAGTGGCAGCCTGTCGTCCAAAATGCACTGTGTCCAGGCAGACAGCACACTTGGCAGCCCTCATGTTGAGGCCCACGGTGAAGCGATGAGGGATGTTGTGATGCATTCTCTCCTTGACACGACGACCAAACTCTGCGGAGCAAAAAAGGGAAAAAGGGCAATAGTTAGAGAAAAGAAAACTGCTAACATGACGTTGGATTAAATCACTTCAGAAGTTAGTCACAAGTCCTTAAGATCCATTTTTCAGAAGCATGGGGCCATTTGAGTAATGGATGCACTGTTTTTATGTCCACTTATTATAGGCAATGTATGACTCTTTTAGTACATCATCAGGAAGAATCCCCTCATGCATGCCAGTGACTATGGGACACATATAAATGTGTCCATTCATATAGAATATAAAACATAATATCAGGAAGGTCCAAACATGAGCTTTAAGAGTAAAGACTGAGGATTATTTACAGTTTGCCTGACAACATGACACAAGGACAGATGCACAGTAGGACATGAGAACAGGTATTTACGGTAAAACATGCATGAAAATGAATTCATGCATGTTCACAGACACTTCATGATGACTGCTAACTTACTTTCAAAGGTGACCCTCCTCTTTTCTGTGAGGAGCAAGAGGAAAGAGACAGAAAGGAGAGAGCAGTCTAACAACAGCTACATGAAACCAGAGGCACACGGACAGTCAGACAGGCCTGAATCGTAAAGCGAGTTTGTCAGAAACACGTGTTTCTCAACAAAAATACTTAAAAGTCTCTGCTGTTGTTACATAACCTTTGGGTTTTCACTTTCTTGCAATTGAGGGATCAGGCTTGAAATATTATTCCATTTTCTGAACTTAGTTTATTTTAAAATCTGTTTTCCAGATCCACTGAATCAGAGACTTGCTATATACACCCTAAAGAAAAGATACTGTGGCTTTGTAAAGCAGGAAAGCCTAGATTAAAACCAATGTAACCTTCCTCATCCACTATTCTTACTTTGTGATTCAGGCCTGGGCAGGATTACAATGTTAGCTGGATAAATCCACAGCAAATACGACAAAAACAACAGTTTCTTTTTTTTTAACTGAAGTTCATGCCCCTGAGCTGAATTTCAGGTTTAAAATGTACGGAGCAAAGTTATCCAATGCTAATTAACCTCATAATCCTGCTGCAAGAGACAGGCCATAGAAAAAAACACACATAAAAACACAAAACACAAACAACAAGGGAACAGAGAGTCTATTTGTGTTGACGCTGACAGTGTAAGGGTGAACACTCATGTCAGGGGAAATTTAAAGCTCTAAAACAAAAATTCTTGGTTCAATTCAGGCTGACATAGAGGGGGAAGCACTGAGTTCTCCGAAATACTACCTCATTTATCTGTGTGACTCACCTTCAGGGGTGGAGGTCTCCTTGCAGCGGGTGGAGGGGTTGAGCAGGCTGCTGGGGTTTGGCTGATGTTCTGGGGACTTGACAATAGCTGACATGAGGATTTGATGTCGAGCTTGAGCTGGCGTGGAGGGAGCAATGTGTTCCTGGGCTTTGAAATGAGCCGCTGTAGCACCATAAACAAATAAAACAACCCAATATTAGATTTGTGCTGCCATTAAGCGGGAAATATCTGGCTCCTCTACCAAAAAAAAAAACCTAACAGACTCCAGAATGAATCTCATAGGACCTGGAGGGTTTAGGTAATTGAGCAAGATGCTGCCATGGCAACAATGTTAAAAGATGTCTGGGTAGAGATAAGGGAGGAGGCACAATGCAGGATTTCCTGAGCTGATTTCGATTGTTGTTTCTTATCTCAGATGGCATATCCAGCTTTATGGTGTTATGAATTTTGAACAAAAATAGAATTACTGGATTTCCATCATCACCACCATCTCTGACGCTTTATCAGAAACAATTAAAACTCTGCAATAAAGAACAGCACAGACAAGGGATTTGTTTTGTCTCTGTTGCATGGCCTGGATTTTTATCTTTTCACAGTGTTGTGTGATTCCTTGCTGCCAAAGAAGCCCATAAGATACGCCACCAGGCTCATATTAAGAGTGGGACCCACCTTCTTCTCTGAGGGATCGAAGCTCTATCCTCATCTTCTGCAGGGCCTCTTCCAGCTCTGCACATCTGGAGCGCTCCTTCTCCAGTGCCAATTTCATGTCACCATACTGCAATGGGACAGCCGGCTGGGCCTGAGGAGCCAGCGCCCCATTAGTGGTTGTGCCTACATCCTCGCGACGACGCCCAAATATGCCCTGCTACAAGAGAGAAAACGTGTTATCAGCACTATGTAAAAACTACAAAATTACACCTTTTTGATTGAGCTTGTCCTCAGGCTTAAAATAGCATTTCCTCCAACCTTCTTTTTCTTAGTGGGTTGGTCCATTTTGGCCTGAAGGAAGTCAATGAGTTTGGTCTGCTGAGAGATGGTTCCCTCCATCTTCACCTTCTCATGGGAGTACACAGCCTACAGGAAGAAAAACAGACCATCAGAGAAGGAACAACAGAACTCCCGGTGAGAACAGAAGGATCTTCTTATCCTTGTGGTCCCTGCGAGACACCTTGTTACTTGCCAACATCAGTTGCACTATAGTAAGATCTCAATACGACTCTTCCTTTCTCAAGAGATAGTTTCATTCAGATGCAAGAGAACTGCACTGGGCACCTGTATATTTTCCAGCTGGAACTCCAGATCAGTCCGCTCGGTCTTTAGCATGTCGGTCTGGTCCAGGGCATCCTGCAGGCCTTGGGTCAATCGGAATATGTGGCTCTTCTGGAGGTCCATCTGTTGCTGCAGCTTCCCTTGCTGTGGGGAGGACAGTCAACAGAGATTTACATGAGGAAATAATTAAAACCAGACGACCTTCAGTCTGAGAGACAATACAAGCAGGCGTAACAACACGGAAACCAGTCGCATGTCTTAAACAGAATGCCATCTAACTTCTTAAAGCAAAGTAATTTTTGAAAAGGGTCTTTTTCTCAAAAACACTGAACCACTTTCTATGTTTAATCTTTAAGTTCTTAGGCAGATTATATATTCTGCTCTTTCACCTCTTCCATCAGCCTCTGTTTAAGCTCTCTCTCCGTCTCCAGTTTCTGCTGTAAACTGCGGGCGTTCATCTCCAGCATGGCGTGCTTCTTCTCCAGATCATTGAGCTGCAAGGAACGTGAAGAGCATTCATAATTACACACAAACAGGATGGATTTTGTCTCTTAAAATGAAAACAAATAGAGAGGATTAAAATACTTACAGTGTCAGATAGACTTTCAGCCTTCAGTCTCTGCTCCTTCAAAGCTTGCTGTAAGGCCAGTATCTCAGCTTTGTGCTCTTTGACTGCTAGTTCCACTGCCTGTCGGGACTCAGTGCTGCGCTGGTCTGCACGCAACCTGTAATCAGATTAATAAAAGGTCTCAATATAGCATATTGTCATTATGCCGTTTTCACAGAAAACAACACAAAGAAGGAAAAGTCTAGAGTATTGGTGCTTGTGTGTTACCTGTTCTGCTTCTCATTGTCCAATATTCTCTGCAGGTCTCTAGCGCGTCTCTCGGCTTGGCTTTTTTCATCCTCCAGGGCACCTCTCCAAGCTTCCCACTGCCTTTCCTTCTCCAGCAGCTCGTCATTTAGGGACTCCAACTCCACCACCTGCTCCTCCAGCATGCTGCATGTTGTCTTCAGAGTCTCAATGTTCTGGGAGGAAAATCGAAAGAGCAGACTGAAGGGAGCATCTTCTGGGTGAAACCACAGGTACTTATCTAACCACAGTATCAGAGGCTTTCACTAACATTGCTATATGCTAAAACAAAAAGAATAATTAGTTTAAACAAAATGAAGGACCAATATCTTTAACTTTGCGAAATAAGTGAATCTGAAGTACTGCTGGCCGTGTAGGTTCAAGAGCTTTGTTACCTGTTTCTGGTTGTTGAGGTGCATCTCACGGTCAGCCACCTCCCTCCTCAGCCTGTCCACCTCCTGGCTGAGCTGCAGCTGGTCCTCCCTCTCATCAGACGCTTCATCGAGCTGTTTGGACAGGTAGAAGTTCTGCCTGTTCAGCTCAGCGTTCTCCTGACTCAGCTGTGTAAGCTGCTCCTCCAGGTCAGTGATCACCTGAGGCAGCAGCACCAACAGTTAGAGGGAGGTGTTAGTCTTCAATTCGACAGTAAAGAGATATTCAGTCAAGTCATTCACGGTTTGAAAATAGTACGGTGATCCTTCAAACTCCATCACTTACACATTCAAGTTGTAGTTCGTTTATTGTAGGAAAATATAGAAGTAAATAACAAAAAAGGCCTTTTGGATGTGTAAAGGTATGATTTGTTGACCATTGTGCATAAAATAAGCCATAATCCAAGAACTGTATTTTCAAAACAGAATGAACTTCTAGAGTTTAACACGGAGCAACAGCGACTGAAGGGTCTTTCTTCGGTTGCAGACGGCAGAGACAAAAAGCTTTGGCAGCACTTACTGAGCAGCTGTCTCTCAAGGCATCAAACTTGCGCTGAATTTCATCTCTGTGATTCTGTGAGAAACAAGAGCAAATCAAGAGCGAAATCACAACTACATCTGCTATGACGACAACATTAAACAATGAAGAAGTGTATTGCTTGCAGCAATATTAGGATCAGAGCGAAACTAATCATGTGCTTTCCTTTCAACTGCGAGGAAAGACAGAATTGTCTCCACCTAAACATATTTTTCTCTGAATGTAAACATGCACTTGTGTCTCTATGGGACTCCTGGTGTCTGTTTGTCTTACCCTGAGGGCAGTGATCTCCTCCTCAGCTTCAGCGGTAGTCTCTTCCAGCTCGGTCTTTGCTTGCTGCAGCTGGCTCTCCAGGGCGAGACGTGCAGCCTGCAGGCTGCTAATCTGGGACTCGCGCTCCTGCAGGGAGAGGGTCAACTCTGACACCTGTCTCTTGATCTCCAGCTTCTCCTCTTCATGTTCCAGACCCATCTGCAAAAGAAAAAAAAGGATGGCGGTAAGCATATCATGGAGTAAATCAGACCTGAAACAGATTGTGTTTGCATTTAATATTCAGCTCTTTTTTAACCTGCTCAGAGCGAGCGCCAGATGGTAGGCGTTTTAGGACATCAGGGTGATTCAGAATTTTGGAGAGAATCTAAATACTGGTTGAGATAAACAGAGGACTGCTAGAAACAGTTTGACCCACATCGCTCTGTTGTGCAAACATTTTCTGGTGTCCTTCATACTCATTTGAAAGGGTTAGTTACTAATGACATATAGGATATCTTTGCTTTTGGAAGGACATTGCCAATCTCAAGACTACTTGGAGATTTTTGTGACTGCAATAAATACAAGACCAATTAAAACAGGGAAGTAATGAAGCAGAGCGGAAAAGTATCCAATTAAATTAAACTGAGGACCTACAAGCTGATTTGGCAAGTTAAGGAAAAAGAAAAAAAAGAATAATTAAGGGATGTTGGGAGACACGAATCAAACTGGGGGATGTAGAAATGCAGATACTAAGTGCAAAAAATGGACGATACAGAGGAGGATAGAATTAAAAATAAGACCTCTGCTAATTGGCTCTAAGCTGTCATATCTTAAGACCAGGTCACCAGATAATTAAGAACTCATCAGGGGTCTTTTAAAGTACACAAGTACGCTCATTGCTTGCATATAACTAGCTCTGAAACAGTCAAGTTTAGATCTGAAAGATGGAGCAGCAGATCTAAACTCAGAGAACATATTTTTATGTGGGGGAGGAAAATGTGTGTTTTTATGTGAGGGTGCAGCAAGGCCAGCAATTAGTGCCAATCTGTGCATCACATCTCAGCAGGAAGCATGTGTGGAGGTAGAGATATGACATCCAGAAGACAGGTTGTCTAATGGTAACATCGGCACACTGCACAGCTGAGGGGGGGGAGCTCTCAGGCTCGGAAAAGGTTGCACTGTGGTTCGTAAAAACATCAATTTTTTTAGAACAGGTTCAGTTCGGATGTGCCTAATGGTGTTTTTTTTTTATCAGATGACGAAGAAACATTATGTACTTTGAAAACTCCCAACTCCACTTTAATGCATTATCAAATATTTAGAGGTGAGTGTACAGCTGAAATAGGCAAAAAAATAAGCACTTTTCCTTTTGGCTTTTAATTAATGTATGAACGTTTGACTTCATTAAATCAAAGGGAGGTCAGATTGCAGACCACAGCAGATAGACAGATGGGATCCTTCTAAAGGACACTTCTGCAGGGCAGATGCCTCGTGATATCAGGGCTGTGACCTCAGTGATATGCCATACATTTATAAAATCAAAAGTCCTGTCATCTGTTTAAGGCAAATAAACAGACAGAGATTTTTGCAGAGATGGCAAACAGAGGCCTCGCTGAATCTGGATACAGCTTGTGTACAGGTCCAGGAGCAATTTTGTCGAAAAGCCATTACAGTCCTACAGTATTTAATTAGCTGTTAATCTGAAAGGGATCTGAGCTCACTCTCTGATCAGCTGCTTTAATCCCTTTTGTGGATAGTAATAATGTCAGGCTACATGGTGTGATAGCTGAGGTAAAATGTTTAATCTTGAGCAGCGTATCTGCTTCCTGTTGCCTTACTTCTCTCAGCCTGCTCTCCAGCTCCAACAGACGGGTCCTCTTGGTCTGCTCTTGCTGACTCATCTTCTCCAGGTGCTCCTCTAGTTTGGCATTTTGGGCCTCCAGCTTTCCTGCCTGAGACTCCAAATAGAACTTTTGCTGTCGAAGCTCTGATATCATCTCCTCCTGGGCTTTCCTGACAAAAATACACACAGGTGCCTTTTACATTGCATGCTTGGAAGCAGACAATTTTCAAAAATCGAGGCAGGGACAACAAGTAAGTTGTGGTGCTGTAGTTCATTCCCTCCAGCAAACAAAACCTCATGAGCTCCTGTAACATCAGTCACACCAAGAGCGTCTAATTATAGGCTACTTATAAAACTTTTTGATCAGCTGAAGTCATATTTTTATCCAAGCAATTTATTTGGCCACTTGGGGGCAGAAGACACAAACTGTGAGGGAAACTTAGACATATTAATTTTAAAGCTAATATGTATATTTACGAGCAAAACAGTTGGAAATGTACACAGCAACATAAACAACAACACTTGCATTCATTCCTTGAAATATTTGGGGAATATATTCACTCTCTTAAGCAATGTTTATTGTCTCTTGAAGGAAATGCGTAACTCAAGGGAACTTAATGATCCACGATGTGTAGGCAGCTACTGTAGTTGTGAAATTAAACAAAGTACTTGTTGTGTTGAGCAGATGGTGTTTGGAGGGTTTTGGGGGTTTACTGCTGAAAACGGCAAGGCGAACATCTTTATTAGAGTGGTGCTAATGAACCAAATCCTTACAATTAGAGGCAGCATAGTCAGAAGTTACTGGATACAAGTTCAGGTAATATTTCTCAGTTCATCACTGAAATTGTCTCCTGTTTTATTCTTACATTATTTTCAACCTGCACTATGATTTGGTTATTGTAGAAATACTTGTTTCAAGCGCTAAACCTCAGGAATGACAAGCAGTTTACACACCAGGAAGACTGATCAGCCATGGTGCAGGAAGATGTAAGTTCACACTAATGAAGCTATTGGAGGCTGGAGGGGACAGAGTCCGTGTAGGTGGGGGTCTCATAAAAAGCAGTGTGGTATGAAGGTCTAGTTAACTCACATATTCTTCTGGGTATAGATGCTGCTGTTTGCAGCCAGCTTGTTAGCCTCTGACAGCTCGGCGATACGCTGCTCAAGGTTCTTCATCTTGGAATCCATAGCATTAATAGTCTGTAGGAAGAAGGAGACAATAATATGTGCTGGAGATGTTATCCTTGGAAAGCATTCTCAAATTCAAGAATGTATTCACCCTAGATTGATAGTCAAATCCTGCCTACAGTCATGGTGTTCACGTAATTCAGCAAAACATTTTTACAGGAAACAGAATTTTGTACTGCAGAGAAATCCTATTAGACTCCATTAAGGTGTTGCCTGAATCTTCGCCTGTCAATGTCAGACGACTGCCTCTAAAAGCTTCTTAACTGCCTCAATTCTACCACATTAACCAGATTAGGACTTGAGCCCGGGCTTTATAATGCAAGATGAAGTACACTGCAATTTAATCAAAAGATACATTCCAATACATTTGAACCATTTTTAAAAAATAACCGTGTAAAGACAGAAAAAAACTATGACGGAGTCCAGTTGTCAAATTTTGCCAATGAACCCAGAGGGTAATGAAAATCTTCTTACTGCTTTCTGTTCACTGATGAGTTTGCAGTTTTCCCTTGACTCTTCCTCCTGCTGGGCTCTTCTGGCCTCCAGGCTCTCTTTGTCAGCCAGGTCAACCTTCATCTGAGCCTCTAAAACCTTTGTCAGACAAAGCATGTGAATATTACACTCCCCACTATTAATTTGTCATGATTACACAGAGGTCAAAATCTCTTATTTGTCATAAAGCAGTTCATGAAGGGAGATATCAAAACACACAAACATTTTTTTAAATGCACAACTTGGTGTGAATTTGATGTCAAAATGTGCAGCAATGCATGTGAGAGCTTCAACTTCATTCACTCAACTAGAATGGTTTATAAAATGGCAGGAGCGCAAGGAGTTACTACCCCTTGAACAATCTGTGGAGACTGTAACCTTCAAACCACTTACTAAAGCCTGTAAAATGGGCTTGTAGTGCATTGTCTCTGATGAATGAAACAAAATAATAAATCATTTATACCTTTAATCAACATTATCAGATAGACACAGTTTGTAGAAGGCTGGCCCACCTTGATCTTGTCTTCGTAAAGCCTCTCCTTCTGAGTCAGCTGAGTTTCCATCCTCTGTGCAGTTGACTGGGCATCCCTCAGGTTCTCCTCTAGTTCCTACAAGGGTATCATTCAAGACATTATTAGGCATAGTCCATGATGAATCTAATCTAAACTACACATTTCTCACATTTACGGTAACAACTGTATTCAAGATTGTTAGTGTCAAACAGGAAATAAACTATGAAAGGTTAGCTAATGAAGCTGCAGACCGCAAACACCACTGATAGCACAACATACAGAAAAACAATGTTAAACTGGGTAACAGCTGTTTAAGTAATACTACTCTAATAACAAATTCAACTTAAAAAAAAAAAAAGAGGAAAACTTGCACTGAAGAGCTGGAAATCCAAAAGTCGACTCAAGCGTTGCCTGTTCATGGTGATACCGTACAACTACTAGTATGTTCAATTCTATGTTTGTACCGATAAAGGTAGACTAAAGAAAAGCTCTCTAGGCAGAGTTGTGTGTGCGTGCATGCTATAAGATAACTGATGGAGCTGGACTGGGGACAGGGCTGGGTAAAAAGGAGGGGTGGGCAAGGGGGGTAAAATTAGGGGAAGAGTGGGTCGGAGTATTAGCGAGCCTTATCTGCAGCTCTCTCACCAGGATCTTTTCAGCCATCTGCTGAATCTGCTGGGATTTGGTCTGAATGTCATCTTTCAGCTTATTCTCCCGCCGCTCTACCATCTCTAGCCTCTTTACCTGGTTCTCCAAGGTCTTCCTGCCCTCCTGCTTACACAACAAAAAAACTTAACTTAAAGCAGACCACAAAGAAAAGATTGCCTTGTGTATGAATACACAATTTCTTAAAGAAACCATTATTATGTTACCAACACATTTGAATAATTTGTTATTGTGAGTTTACTCAGGTACCTCTGTCTCCCTCAGGCGGCGTTTTAAAGTGTCACTGGAGTCAGTTTTGCCTCGAAGACGCTCCAGGTCTCGTTCTAGTCGCTCTTTGGCCTGCCGCACATTCTGCAGCAGCTCAGTGGCCTCTGTGCTCGCTTTCACTGCCTGTGGGAGGTCAAAAGGTCAAAGGGTGTTACTTGATCTCAAGACAATCCTCCTAATATGCTTGGGCAATTCATACCCCAAGACACAGTGACAATAAATATCACTATGGATAAAATTGAGACCGAAACAAGCTGCAGAAGAAACATGAAAGTCTGTTTATTAAAAGGTCGTCCCTCTGTTGAGGATGGACAAGATGATAACTAATGTGATTTACTGGGTTAAAAAAACACTCAATCCAACTAAAATCCTTGAGTGTAATTAAAAGAAATGTTTTTGCTGCTTGTTGAAAGAAACCAAGACTTTTATGAATTTACCTTGGACAGCTTGTCTTGCAGCTCCTGGATTTTTACTTGCTGCTCAGAATTAGTCTGAAGAAGAAAACAAAACAGATTATATTCACATAAGAAGCTGGGCTGTAAAACAGTTTGAAGCCTGTAGCTCAGCATGATGGGTCTGATTTGTTACCTTCTCTAGTTTGGAGAGAAGTTCCTCCACCTCAGCTTTGCCCTGCTCTTTAGCCTGAAAATGATTGGCATCAAGTAAACACCGATCAATAAAATGCATTTCACTCACTTTTCAGCATTTGCAGAAGCAAAACAGTAGAAACAGCTGCCTGGACAGACTCTTCCAATTAACTTCCCAGGGTTCCTACAGCAGCAGCGTCCCATGATGACAGACTTTGATGTGAAGTGCCTCATCATGTTTTTTAACATTAACAATTAACAATTTTTGACATAACCAGCGAGGGCCTCTTGTACAAATGTACCTTCTGGATCCTTTGTTGGTATTCCACCGCTTTCCTCTTGAGTTCCTCACTTGTTTGCCTGGAGTCTCTGAGTTCAGATTCATAGAGGTCGCTGCGGCGGCGAGCAGCTGACAGGTCCTCCTCCAGCTGCCTGATGGTCACCTGCATCTCTTCCAGCTGGGCGTGGTACTCCTGCGAGCACAAAAGAAATGCAGTGAACATCAGCAAAGGGAAATGAGAGGTCAGGTGGTGCTGCACTTTTTATACTATATACAACACAATGTTGTGTATCATTGCATGTGTTTATATTATGAATTATCCAAGGACCTCAGACTGTGATTACACAAATTCTACAAGCTTGGGACTGTTGTCATCTTTGCAACAAAATCAGGTCTTTTTTTCCTCTTGAAAATGTTTATTTCTTCCCCCTTTAAGAAGAGCAAAACTACTTTGTGTGAAAATCTCCAGCAGGGTTTTATGTGTTTGTTTTGACGAGAAACAACAGCAGTGGGGGTTTTGTTTGGCACAGCCCAAACAGTGGAACAGAGTTTTCAACATGAGCAACAATTGCTGCCATGCTATACAGAAAAAGATGTACTTTGCAGATCTGCTGACTGTTTCATTGTGCAGTGATCTGCGGTACACTGCAGCCCTGATCATTTATTACTTTAAGTGTCAAATCAAATGCAAGAACTTAAGGCTTGCAGAGTTTCAGCTTCGCACAAAGACTTCAGGGATGTCAAGGGAAAATAAAAATAACTGCTTTAGTCATAAAAATGACCATCTAAGTAAGCTCTTAGCTATTAGATTGCCACTCTGTATGCCTCGTAATTGATAATCGATTAACAAATGGGCACAAAAAAGCAGGTAGTTAAAAGACCACTCAATACCTAAATCACCAAAGATGAAATCTCCTACCTGATACAAAGCAGATTTCTTTTTTTCTGGTTGAAACATTTACAAGTAAAACTTGATTCCCTGATTTGCATCATTAGTGCTGATTAGAATACTGTTCATGTTGTGTGTTATTTCCAAGGGAAGGGGGGGATCTCCAGAGTAATGATCAAAGTCTGCTTTGGTTTGTACCTTGCAGGAATACCATCTGCAGAGATGACCTTAAAGTGAGCTGAGAACAAGGGGGTCCTCAGAGGGGAAGCCCTGTCTGTGTAATAGGGACACACTGTGTCGAGTAAAATCTTTCTCCTCTCTAAACTAAAATAGTCTGAGGAGGACACTGCAGAAAGTCTCCTCTGGCTTTAAAAACACAATATAAATGCATTTTCTGTTTCACTTTTGGTATAAATACCTTGAAGTGTTTCTAAAAATAACTGGATGCACCATATCATTATGAAGATGAGGAGGAGGAGGAGGAGGAGACAGAGGGTTGTTGGAGTGAGACGATTTACATACTTGCTCTTTAATTTCCTGCAGCTTGTTGCTCTGCTCGCGGATGTCATGCAGCAGCTGCATGGCCTTGTCATCCTCTCTGGAGACCTCCACACGTGCCTCTTCCAAGCTCCGCTTTAGGCTCTACAAAAATACAAATCAAGGCTGCTGTTCAGTCGAATCAATACCTTTTTATTTTTGTATGTGTAGAAGGAATCACACAGGTAGACTAATGTGAGGAAAACACAAAGCTGTGTTGGAATATTATTATATTGCAGGCAATTCTTCAACATATACACAGACCGCCAGTTGTTATTATGACTCACACTGCACTCGGTAATGTAGGTGGCAAGGTCCTGCTCCAGAATGCTCCTCTGTGTCTCAGACGCCTTCAGCTCCACATCCTTCTGGTGGAGAACTGACTCCAGGTCAGTCATTTTACGCTGGAACCTGGAGATCTCCTGCTCCATCTTAATCCACGGGAAAAAAAAAACCCAGAGATATTAATACAATCAACAGAGGTCAGCAACTTAATAGTTTCTAATGTTGACTGTTTATTTAACTTCATGATGAATTAAACCAGACGGAAAAGTTTTTTAGTCAAAGATTTTAATGTTTGCTTCTAAATCCAACGAATCAACCAACTCAGAGTGATTTAAAAAATTGCAGAACAAGCTTAACTTGGATTCATACAGCATGAACAGAAGCCAAAAGAAACAAAATACACGGCACATTTGGTAACAAAACATAATATGGAATCATTTTTTGCTCAAAACAAAATCCCACAGTATGGAGCTAAAAAAACAAAACAAAAAAAAAAACAAATCAGTCTTGCCAGTCCACCAACTGTGTTCCTACCTCAGTCACCTCGTATTTAATTAGTTGAACTCCATTTGTATTTCAAATAAGACTGACATTATCAAAGACACTTATGATGAATTACTGGCATACTCAAAAAAGCAAAACAAAGGATTCAAGCACTGTCTCACCTTGTGACATTTGTCTTGAGTTTCTTGTAGTTCTCTGCTTTTCAGGTGTAGCTTCTTTTCCATGGAGTTGGTCTTAGCAGGAGAGTTGAGGCCCGCTGACACCGCTCTGAGGAGAAAGCAACATGTATGGATGCTCTTTGTAACTGTGCAAAGCAAACTCTTCGCACAGTACTGATATAAACTTGCTGCACATATAGTCTGATTCACTGCTGTAGATCTTAAGAGACGAGTAAGCAAATACCGATAACCTCAGATTATGTCTGTAATTTCAAAATATACTTAATGGGTGTAACTGAAAAGAGTAAAAATACTGTAAACTCTGCAATCATACCAGCTTATCAAATGAGGATAATTAACAATCTACTTTCATGACAAAGAACTGTCAAATGCAACAGCAAGCCTTGGCAGTATTATAGCTGTAATTAATTTGGCTGAAATGCAGCCACAACACCCACACATCAAAAATGAGCAACAGACAGAAAGAGAGAGAGAGAGGGAGAGAGAAAGAGGGCGTACAAATATGCATTGAATGGTTTCCTTTTTGTGGGAAGCTCTGAAAAACATGTAATCATAAGATTACAACTACCGACAACCAAGATAAGACTCAGTGAAGCATGAAGAAGTGAAAGAGCTGAATTCACATTAATTGGAGTTCATTTGTGAAGAAATGGACTTGATGGTCAACAAAGCTGTTTAGACACTGGAATAACTGTTTGCCTGACAAAATCATGTGACAGGAGAATTTAAATGATGCTTTGCTTTGGGTTGGTTTACCCAGGGCTCTGGGGAGAGTCTGATGCATTCACATCTCGAGTTTATGAAAGGGAGATGTGTGAATATGTTTCCATTTTTTCAGAACAATTTAGAGCACACAATTAAATCAAAGTCTTCTCAGGACAAGTCCAAAGACAACTGTGAGATATTAGTGTTGTAAATAAATGAATGGGTCTGTATGAATGAGCTCACAAACACTGCAGAGGGATCTTTATAATAAAGTTGACTCAGACTGAGTCACAGTGTTAAAAATAATCTAAAAGCAAGCGGCACTGCTCTCTTTCGCCTCTGCATCGAGAAATATCCCCCCTGACACACGCACGCACTCAAACACACGCACGCACACACACAAATAAAGCAGCATCAAGTACATATGGAAAAGGAGTACACAGTCACACATTTCGGTCTCACAGAACAAAACTGCAACGACCGATCCCGTCTTTCTTAGAGAAATCTAGATTAAAAGAGATGGTCCAGGGAGCTGAATCTGTGCCAATTAAAAATTGATGTTAGACAGCAAAATTCATTAAAGTTCCTCACTGCTGAGCTGAACAGTTTTGGGAGACTACTGTACTGATAATATGACCATTTAAATATCCTCACTGGGTTTTTTCTACAGTCAGTCTTCATATTTTTCCACTTATCTGAGAGACAGAAGTGCTGTACTTTAACTCTAAGTGAATATTTAGGATAGATGGATTTCTCCCTCAACTTCTGCCATTTGTGATGTGCACAGCTTTAAATTGAAAATAGGAGATTCAAAGATTGCATAGGTTTTGACAGAAGAGAAAGCCAGGCCACTTTTGTCTTTACTAAGGACGTTGGTAGTTTTCTCTCAACAGCAGAGGGAAAATAAATGAGAAGCCAGTGTGGGCTGCATTATTAAAAAAAGACTCCAGAGACTCAAGCAGAGGCAGGGACATGTGGAGATTATGCTGCGTAAAGGCGTTTTGCCGTTTTGAGTAGGTAAACAAAAACAATAGTAATTCACAGAAAATAATAATTCACAGATTCATGCAAATATCAGAGAAATGCAACCAAAACATAATCTACAACACACAAGAGACAACATACGATCATAGAGCTATCATCGTGAAGCAAAGTGACTGTGTCAAGAGTGGAAAATAACCCTCACTAGAATTCCTAATTCTAATGCAGTGTTTTACCCAACTCCTACAAAATTCTTAAGAAACCAATAACCACCAATTGACCATTTCCAGTCTCTAAGAGTGTGTACCAAAGACAGTGAATCAGTGATCCAGAATAAATGCTTTCCAAAATTCATCTTTAGAACTTGTTAAGTAAACAGTTTCAATGTAGTGTGTTACCTCTGACCTTTTTAATATCTTAGATGTCAAAGGTGAATGATACATACTTACAGTATGTCTCTTTATCAGTATTGTATTTTAGCAATCAATATCACAACAGGTGATATTTCACCTCAACAAAATAACACAGCAATTTTTCCAGTTTTCATCTAAGTAAACTTGCATAAAACAAGTCCAACAATCCTAGCCTGAAACTTTAGAAGAAAGAGTATAGACAATACAACACACGATCAGATTTTCTGTTGGAAAAAGTTATATCATTAACCTCCAGTGGGTGGCACTGTAAGGGTGTTGATTGCTTATCAAAAAGAGAAGACCTGCCGAGAAGAATAAATTGGTTTGGTATTTTGGTAACATCTCTGTCATTTAGACTTTGTGTCCCAATAGATCATGTAGACTGATGGGAGCAGTAGAGGAAAGGTCAGAGGGTGATTAAAATCAAACACTCCACTTCCAGGGACCATGATGGCCCCTGCAGTTCTTTAAATCAGGGTATTAGTTGTTAAGATACCCTTTTTTATGAAGAAACCCTGACCAGATGATGGTACCACATAAAGACTCCCTAGATTAGGAGGAGTCACCCTCTGGGAACTATGCGTATCCATATCTTAACCATCTGGCAGCATCAGTTTATTGCTGACCAGGTTTTACAATCTGACACACAACGCAAGAATACACTTAAAACTTGTTAAAGTGTGCATTTTTCAAAACACGCCAAAATTGTCCCTCAAAGATGCAATTTTTTTTAGAAACAGAGGTTTAAGCTTACGTTAAAGCCACCTTGACATTAAACCGTGAGATGCTGCATATGAATTTGAGGCAAGCTGTTAAGGGGATTTTGTTGTTGTTGTATTTTGCTAATGAGGAGTCAGGCAGACAAGTTCACAAAGAATGAAAGAAAAACACAGCAGGATCCCCCAAAACAAATGCTAAACAAATGATTAGCAATTCATTTTGGCTGGGCCGGGGTTCATTCAGTTCTTTTCTCCTTCTTGGTATTTTAATGAAAAATATGTATGCACATAAACACACACACGCACACACAAATCTGACACAGCCTATGAGTTCTTCTTGATCAAATGTAGCAAAGGAAACGGCTGGCTTCAGTTAAAAAACATGAGCAGATGACTGATGGTGTAACAGCAAGGGACAGAGACATTAGAAGAGAGAGAGAAAGAGGGAGAGAGAAAAAAGAAAGGAGGAGATGAGACGGGTAAAGATGGGGGTGGGGATTGGAAAAAAAAAAAAAGAAAAAAAAAAAAAAAAAACATCTCGTTGTAACCATAGAAATAGATTTTCTCCCCCAATCTGAGCTCTTATCCTTTTTCCCTGTCTAATCTGCAAACGCTTTTTCTTCCCTTTTCTGTTGCTGCTGCTGCTACTGCTGTCATGATCCGCAGTCTCCTGGACCATTAACCTGCTAGTGCACTGCCACGGGGCTGCAGAAATGAAAGCTATTCACATACATTATAATCAGAGGTTAAAGAGCCAAACACCACCAGGGATAATTACCATGCCCAAAACCCCATGCTGTAAAAGTCAGGAGCCCCATTATGCGACACAATAACAGAGAAAGCACAATAACAGCAGTGAGGGTGGGAATGTGTCTATGTCTGGGGTTCCACCTCTCAGCAAACCTCATTGACACACTCAGCCGCATACCAATCAGCACCGATGGCAAGATAACGACAGCTCACATCCTCTTGTCCATTCACTTGATGTATCTCTGCATCGGATCAACTATGTGTGATCCTGAAGCGGAAAATCAGGTATCAGAGGGAGAGAGCGCCAGGGAACAGGGAGATCCCTTCCCTCCTTGCTCCTCGTCTGACACAGCATATGGCCAAACCCATTTTGGCCCCAACAGGCACAACACTAATGACAGGGACTCACACATACTGCCCTGGGCATTACACTGGGTCACCCAAAACATAGCTTCTGTCTGAATAAAGAGTCAAATGGCAAAGCAGCTTTAAACAACAAAAGGTATGTAAGAGGTGTGTGCAGGAGGTCTCTGCGTTGAGGGGTCGTCTTAAAAAAAAAAGAAAAAAAAAAGAGAGAAAAAAGCCAAACAATACAGAGTAAACAGGTAGCACTTACTCGGTTTTTGCCAACGTCGTCAATGCTCTGCTGTAGAACCAGCCTAGAAAGGGCAGATCCTGGCCCTGGAAGCCCGCAGACAGAGCCCCTCGCTGGGCTGCTGAGGTTGGCCGGGGGGCTGCCTGCTCCGGCTCCTCAAAATTAGAGGTGTCATCTTCAGCGTGCAACGCAGGAACAAAAGGCGGGAGAACTGCAGGAGGAAGGATGAGAGGAGGAAGTAAGAGAGAACCAGGAATAAAAAAAAAGAGGCAGCAGTGAAAGAACCGGTCAAAGGTAAAAGAAATTTGGAAAAAAAGAAAAATAACACAACAAGGAGAAAGGGGAGAGAAAGGAGGGGAGGAGGAACGGAGCAGAGTGGAGGGAGCCTAGAGTGCGGTAAGTCGCGCGTTGATGCACATGCTGCCTCTGTCCCTCCCTCCTCCTCGCTCTCTCACTCTCCCATATACACATGCTCACTCGCTCTCCCTCACTGCAGCAGAGCAAGCTAATCAGCTGGAGCAAAGCTGAGGTATGAAGCACTATCTGCGCCTGACTATCGATACACAAAGACTGTGTTGTTTTTTTTATAAAAGCATTCATCTTTAGGATTCTGTTTGTATATTGTTTGTGATATTTATTGCTGAGAGAAAATAAATATTTAAAAATTACACTCAGGATAAAAATCAATAAATCTCTTCAGCAAACACAGGCACACGAGCCGCTGCATTTCAATCACTGTACCATAATCTGCTGATAATCAGGAGAGTTTAAAACAACAAGATTAATTAATATCCAGCACTGATAGGAGCATTTAACTGGGGAAAAAATGTGCAGAGATAGTGACGAGCATAACAAGATTTAGTTACTTTGGAAGGGAGGACTATTCATTGACTACACAAGGTTTTCTGCACAGCAAACTTAAGCCTCATCCCCTCTGCAGTTGAACGCTTTGACTCACAGAACCAGTATGGAGCTGCAGCTCTACAATGTGGCCATGTTCAATGCGATTATTCTTGAATATGGATGTTACAGGAAGGTTTTCCCACAGCTGCTCAGGTGAAAATGCCGCTCTCTTGTCATTCAGAGCGGTCTCACATTTGGTGGCAAACAACAAATGCACGTGTACTTGCAATGAGCGTGTGTGGTGTGAGCGGAAGAGATTGGTGCTGCATCTGTTGAAAGCTGATGAGTTGCAGATCTTTACTCTGTCTGCATCCCCTCTCTGTCTCCCTCCTATTTCCATCCTTAGGAAAGAGCTGGCTTATTGCCAACAGCACACAGTATCTCATTAATTTACTACCAGCAATACTATGGGAAACCCTACTCCTGTTTGTTGTCTATGTGCAACCATACACACATGGACACACAGACAGAACAGTAAAGTGCATTACAAACAGCATAAATATTTGAAAGGTTCTTTTGTATTGTCTTTTCAGGGACTTGATTATAGCTGTGCTGAATAATTTCAGGCTAAATCAGGCATTTTTACTTTTAAGAAAGAATAAAGGGTCTCAAGAGAGGAGAATCTTCCTTCTTACCTTGTCTTAAGTTGTTCCAGTCTACACTGGAGAAGAAAGAGTGACAGCGGAGTCCCTGGAAACCCAGCCGCTCTTTGGCTCCACACAGTAATCTCTGAAGTAGGTCTACAAACTGCTTACTGACTTGCGGCTCCCTTGGAAATTTAAGGAAGCGCTGGGGGCATACGTAGTTATAGATTCATTACATAATGCAAAGCTAGATCTTGTTTTTTCTTTGTTTGGTTTTCAACTGTACATTGATTCAGCTGCAGATGACAAGTATACTATTTAATTTTAAATTGCAGAACAACAGAAAATCTGATTTTACCAGTGGCAAGATCAGTTTAGGCTCTCATGTCAGTTTATGTACCTGAAAGTTTAGGATGTTGTGGATTGTTTTGGTAGACGTTCCACCAGAGAAGGGGGACTTGGCATAAATCATCTCATAGGCTATGACCCCAAGAGACCACCAGTCACATTCAACCCCATAGAAGCCGTTCGAGCCCCCATTCATAGCTTCCAGAACCTCAGGGGATAGGAAGTCCTGAGTACCGACTGGCACTGTGGGAGCGGCAACCTGAAAATACACAAATAAAACACCATGATGTCACTTTAAAACACAATGAAGTAATAGCAAACTCTGTAATCTACTTACTGTTTTGTTAGCAGTCAGCCTGGCAGCTGATCCGAAGTCTGCCAGCTTAATGTGACCGGTCCGATCGATGAGAACGTTCTCTGGTTTGACATCCCTGCAAGTGGATAGTTTAGAAGGGATTTGATAGTGCTTTTACAGAGCTGTTTGTAGCCTGAGTACTGTTATACGTCTGCCACTCTGATGATAATGGAATACATTTGTAAACTCCAGCAATGTTTTTGTGTTGCATAACTCACACTCAGTGCTTCAGGTTAAATTACAATGCTTCATTTCTCATGTCCAGTTAATGTTCTTCTGAATTATGAGCATTTGCCCCACAAGTGAAAACAAAAGGCAAACAAAGAATAATATTAAGGGAGGATTTAATAGTAAAAAAAAAAAAAAAAACACAAATTAGGATGTCTAGCGCTGCTCCTGCGATTGCTGTTTTCCCCAAAGCTTTTACACATTCATCCATTATCATTGAGAGGTTGAATTTTGTAGCTGGTAGTGTACCTGTGGACGTAGCCCAGCAGGTGTACAGCATGAATGGCCTCAACCAGCTCAGCTAAATAAAACTGAGCCATGGCCTCGTCAAACTGATCCTCATATCGGTTCATCAGGGACATCAGGTCACCACCTGGCAAGTACTCCATTGCCTGCAAAACACATTCATTTGTAGTGAGAAACATGAAATTATAGGCGACACATGAAACTTTGAATGTGGGATTGAATGTGATTATGATTATTAGTGCCCACAAGCTGCTTAAACATTTATGAATGCCTATGGATTGGTCTATATTTAGAAATTAACATAAAGCAACAAGTGAAGGAGCACGTGTGTCTCTGAGCTTCAAAGCCCGATTCAGCTGAAGCTTATAGGTTAGATCTCCTCATTATAGATTCAGTTATGTAACGCAGGATACTCTCTCAGATTTGTCTATGATACTGCAGTCAAAGGATGGGTCTTCAGTAGCTAAAAATACACCTGAAATGACTGCAACAGGCTTTTGCCTCAACTATCATTGGTTAAAGCAAGACATCATTAAATGCAGCACGCCACAAGAACAAACAAAACAGCAACAACAACAAATGTGTCATTAGGATGTGCAAAGTTTGCAAATGAGCATATCAACCTCGGTCATGTTTGGCACAGGGCTTGTTTATTTGCTTGCAGCCTTAGGCAAAAGCCATTGGTCAGGCTGACTCGAGCTATATGGTTGCAGCCATACAGCCTTAACAGGCGATAGTCCCTGGTGCATGAATGGTCGGTGAGTCTGAATGAAGGGGAGCATTCTCCAGTGTTACCTAGCAACAGGGAGACTGGGTGCCTCTCTGACACACGGGTAAAGATGGATGCTTTGTATTTTCCTCCATGCTCAGTTAGGGAGCAGAGTGAGACAGAGGGGGGAGAGCAAAGAGGGGAGGACGGAAAACTGGTGAAATACATGCAGGGGTTTATAGTGAGGTATAAAGAGAGGGTTTGATAAGGAAAAAGCAGCAGGATCGTTTTCCTACGTCTCTTGCCAGTCTAACAGGTAATCAGAGGAAAATATAGATTCCGTGTGAGGTTAATAGTCTTCAGGATAATTACACTAAATGCTCTCTGTGGGTAGAAAATTGACACTGGGCTTCATGGCTGACAATTAGGCTATTAGAGAGACATTAACATTTTGGAAAAGCTTCTTGATTACATGCTTAACCAGAATCAAAAAAGCATATTGTTAATTAGTTCTCAATGTCCACAGTAACTACAGATATCTATGGGCTGTTTCACTTATGGGTAATACATGGGAAGCCTGGAGAAATTGTAATTACGCCCTTGACTGTTGTATTTTTATTCCTTTTTTCAAAGTTTCATTTGCAGTAAGCTTGGTCTGCACGCAGCACCTCAATGGTGTTATGCAGTGGGGGGCAAGTATAAAAAAAAAAAAACAGCTGTTAATCAGAAAAAAAACCCTGGGGACTCTTGACTGAATTAGTGGCTACCATGCCAGCTAATAAAACAACTCACCAAAAAAAAAAAAAAAACAACTCTGAAGTTGCTGGAAATCTTCAGACAGAAACTTGCTCATACTGGATTCATAACATTTCTCCAACATGAACTTTTTCTCTTTGCTTACTTTAGATGTCCTCCTGTAGCAGTCCATGTACTATTCTGACTGATCCAACTGTCTTTCAGCAACTAACGTCTGATGCCCATTTTGGAAACCACAGTTGTGAAAGAAAAGAGAAAAATAAAACCTACCAACACATAAAAAATATGTACTGAGGCGCATAAAACACGTGTAGAAATAGATGACATAGCCATCTGGTTGTAAACTTAAATACATTTGAGTTCTTATTAAGAAGCCAAAGCTGGACCCAGTTTGACCAGCTTTGGAGATTGTAGGTGGTGGATTCTTTTCCCCTCCTGACTAAAGATATTGATCTCATCTACATTTGTATGTGTATATTCTTTGATATTTACATCCTAATTTCCCTTGAGTGTAGTTTTGATGGCATGCCAAAATATTTCCATTAGTGATATAGCATCCACTAACCAGCCAACTTATTAAACAATTATGAATATAATACAATCCAATACAACAGTTTTTCAATAAATTCAACTTTCAAGAAGATTAAACATGTTGCTCAAATGCACTGGCATATATGTGCATGTTTATTTTGTGTTTTTTTTCTTTCTATTTTTCATCGTATTCATACCGTGGTAGTCATTGTATTGTCGATACCCATGTTTTGTGCAAAAAAAACTTGAAAAAATAAAGTTGAAAAAAAAAAAAGAAAAAAAAGAAAAGAAAAAAAGAAAGAAGATTAAACATGTTAAAATCTTCACAGTGATAACTATTCTTTAAATTCATTGTTATGGTTGTAGTGGGTGTTGCTAGTGAACTTAAGTGTGTTGTGCTGAAAGATGTTCCTGATACTTTGCTCCCCTTATGTTTGTTAATGAAGTGTGAAAAATACAAAACCCAATTCCATTGAAGTTGGGAAATTGTGATAAACATAAATAAAAACAGAATACAATGATATGCAAATCCTTTTCAACCTATAGTCAATTGAATACACTACAAAGACGAGATATTTAATGTTGAAACTCATAAACTTTTTTTGCAAATAATAATTAACTCAGAATTTCATGGCTGCAACACGTGACAAAGAGGTTGGGAAAGGTGGCAAAAAACACAGAAATTTGAGGAATGCTCATCATACACCTATTTGGAACATCTCACAGGTGAGCAGGCTAATTGGGAACAGCTGGGTGCCATGATTGGGTATAAAATCAGGTTCCCCAAAAATTCTCACTCATTCACAAGCAAGGATGGGGCGAGGCTCACCACTTTGTGAACAACTGCGTGAGCAAATAGTCGAACCGGACTGTTATCGATGCAAAGTTCAAAAGCCAGCATCTGTGATGGTATGGGGGTGCATTAGTGCCCAAGGCATGGGTCACTTACACATCAGTGAAGGCAACATTAATGCTGAAAGGTACATACAGGTTTTGGTGCAACATGTGCTGCCATCCAAGCAACGTCTTTTTCATGGACGCCCCTGCTTATTTCAGCCAGACAATGCCAAGCCACATTCTGAATGTGTTACAACAGCGTGGCTTCATAGTAAAAGAGTGCGGGTACTCAATTGACCTGCCTGCAGTCCAGACCTGTCTCCCACTGAAAATGTGTGGCGCATTATGAAGCGTAAAATACGACAACAGAGACCCCAGACTGTTGAACAACTGAAGCTGTACATCAAGCAAGAATGGGAAAGAATTCCACCTTCAAAGCTTCAACAATTAGTCTCCTCAGTTCCCAAACGTTTCTTGAGTGTTGTTAAAAGGAAAGGTGATGTAACACAGTGCTAAACATGCCCCTGTCCCAACTACTTTGTCACATGTTGCAGCCACGAAATTCTGAGTTAATTATTATTTGCAAAAAGAAATAAAGTTTATGAGTTTGAACATTAAATATGTTGTCTTTGTAGTGTATTCAATTAAATACAGGTTGAAAAGGATTTGCAAATCATTGTATTCTGTTTTTATTTACGTTTATAACAATTTTCGTATAAGAAACACCTTCTAATATTACACACTTCAGCACACTATCACCATCCACTGTCTTCAATAATAAATATAAGTACAATTACCTGTCTGATCGTGTCCATAAAAACTGAAAATTTAGAGGCTTAATGTTAATAGAATTTGTGGTAGAGTCGTTGTACTGGATTGCATTAGATAGCCTTGGTGTTCAGAAGGTTATGGGCTGGTGTATGTGGTTAATGAAGAGAACATGAAGATGTATAACAGCAATGAAAAAAACATATTTCATGGCATAATATTAGTCTAGACCAATGGGCCGTGGCCTTTCATTACAAGTTTTAGGTCAGTCAAATTGATGTGGTTTAAAACACACCTTGAGGTACGTCATCTTCATTATAGGGCAAAAATGTCGCCTTTGTCACAGCATTATCTGGCACCACCAACTATCAAAATTATAATCTAATTTATTTGGCATTTGATCACCTCCTTACTTTCTTTTGACACACAAGTTTTGCAAACAAATCCTAAATTAATCTTCCAAAAAGGGCAAATGTGTGAAGAACTGCCAATTCAGTCTAGATGGAAAAAAATAAAACCCTGCAGTCTTACCAGGTAGACATGTTCTTTATCCTGGAAGGCGTACAAAAGCTCAGGGATCCAGGGACTGCTGCTCAGAGCCAAGATCCTTCGCTCCTCCTCATGAAAAACCACCTGACAAAATTTGAAATGAACTGCAATCAGCATTAAAACATTTACAGGAATGCGACAATATTTTAGCAAGTTGTAAATCAGCCAAATTAAGTCTTCTGTCTCAAGCACAGTCATCTGAGCTTCAATGGGATGTAAATGTTAACATTAAGTATTACTTTTATATAAATTGCATCATGATTCATGTATATTCAACAATTTCAGTGAAGGACTTCATGACTTTTTGTTCCTAGCTTTGGTTGATGTTGCTAATTAAATGAGTGGCACTGCACGAATCTGTCACCAATGACGTGATCAGATATTTACATATTAATACAAGTTTTTTTTATTGTACTAATCACTTCAGATTCTTTCCTGCTGCAGCTCGTGTACTATTCTGACTCAGATTTGTTCTGTTAGTCACATTACAGAGAGCACAGCTGTGAAGTCATGTACCCAGTTTTTGGTTTTGAATTCAACCCTACAGCACCCTCTTATGGGACTTTTAAACACTGCAATTCAGGATCAGCAGTCCACAGAAATGTGTTGTGGGGTACAGTACTTTGTGGACTTGGTCAGTTCCTAAGATGAAGATTGTACATGTGTTTCTTTTGCAATATTACGTCTTTTTTGTTATCAATATTGGGTCATGATTGTTTTGTGGTCTGTATCTGAGTTTTCATTAAAGTTCGTTTTGAATGCACACTTCATGGACATTAGAAATCTGCCTCAAGTTTCTGATCAGGCCTCAGAATCAGCAAGTAAGCAAAACTTTAGCCTTTGACAGTGGCTGAAATCAATGTTGTTGTTTTTTTAAGTTGTCTTGACCTTTGTATTTTGACACATTTAACCAAAAAAGGATATGCATTACTTGAAACATTTACAAGATTACAACATTAATATTGTTGAGTGCCTCAGTAAGACACAGAAGTGTTGCAATGAACTGTCATGTGCAACCTTTATGAAAAACAACTCTGTGAAATCCAGTTTATGACTACAGTATATTTTCACATGTGTATTCCCTAACATGATTAATAACATAGCAATCTGTATGAACTTTATGTTTATGGAACTTTATGGAAATACTGAAAATAAGTGACTGGTAAAATACACATTTTAATATGTTTAAGAATATTTTTAGCTACAAAGATCTTACATTTTCTTGAGTGCGTAGAAATGTCTTGTCCATAACTTTCAGAGCACAAACATCTCCGGTTGCTTTCTCCCGAGCAACTTTCACTTCAGCAAAGTGACCACGGCCCACCACTGCACAAACTTCAAAGTCGTGAAGCAAAGGCTGCAGGGATTGCAGCTCTGAGACCACATCAGAAACTGTTCAACAAGACACACAAAAACAGAGGTTTGATGAATCCAAGCAAAAAAACACAAGCATGTAAAATTGTGCGCATGATAATTACACATCAAGTCACATGATGTGATGTGACTGGTATCAAAGAGAGAATATTAATATTGTTTTCATGTTTTATTTGCTTATTATTACAGAGGACTTTGTTTTGCTGTGAGTACAAGTTAATTTTTGTTGTTTTCCCAAGAACAACTTATCTTATACTAGGGCAAAAAAGCTTCTGGTGATAAGAGGAACCTGTTGTTATTGTTACAATGAGATTAAATAAGTAGATCTATTATCATGATATTCCAAGATGACAGTAAAAATCTAAAAAAAGAGATGACACTTCAAAAAACAATGATGATGATTGTATGATTGTATGACTGTATGACCATTGTGGTTGATGTGTGGACATGTGGTTAGAGCTTTTTTTTTTTTTTAAATTCACATTTTAGGTAACACAAGACAAGACCATAATGCTCAACAAACAACAACCTCACGACAACATAAGACAAGACAAAACAACAACAAAAAAAGGAGGGGTTAGTGCATGCTCCTAATGCTCCTATTTAAGTAATAATTCATATATTGAAAGGGAGTATAACAAGATATCGACATTCATACAAGGTACATTGCAAACATGATGAATCAGGCCTCAACATGTTACAAACATCTTATTTGTTTCACTTTGCATCACAGTACATCAAAACAAAGAAAATCGCTACAGTGATAGTGAAGACAACTCACCCTTTCGCATCTGTTTCCAAATGACCTCAGATCTTGATTTATTATCATTCAGTTTGTCTGTGAGTCGCTCCATGCTTACAAGGTTAAAAACTCAGACAAGAAGGTTTCTATAGAAAAACAATTTGGTTTGGGAATTTTCCAATTAGATAAACTCATTCTCTTGGCAGCTAAAAAAAGCTATGCCAACTGTTTTCCTTTCCTGTTTGGGTTTCAGCTGTTTATCCCTCTGACCCAACAGACATAACGCTGGACATGGCGAAATATTAACATTAACAATCTTCAAATCAACTTGCAAACTTATTTCAAAAACAAATTAACAGCAGGGCAGAACCACAATATATGAATCAGGTTTCCCATTTGCTTGTGGTTAGAGCTTCTGCATTCAGGATCTGTAATATTGAACTAGAACAACTGCAAAACAGTAAATAAGTGCATTTTAGGAACCAAATTTTACATAAACTAAATACATCAACTGAAAGAATTCTGACTTTTTCAACTTCTCCCTCCTTGTGTGTTTTAAAGTTACACTTACACTTGTTGACAAAGTTTGCCACATGGTGTATTTTCATTAGCTCTGGGGAGCTGCACTCTTGGTAAAGCAGCAGAAGAGCCTCGAAAAGCTCCTCTCGACCTACAGTGCATCCTCCATGCTGCCCACTCAGGCCCACTCGGCCCTGAGGACACAACACAGTACAGAATGTCAGATTATTGCAGTTACTGCTGGTGGATAACTGTGCAAAAAGTCAACGAAGACGTATTCTGTACGCTACAGAGATGGAGGACATCGAGATAACACATGACTTTACCTGAAACACCTGATTGAGTCTCGAGCTGCGGATGGTGATGGGATCCGAGGAGGGAGACAGCGACTTCAGACTTCCTTGATTCACATATTTAAACTTCAACATGGTGTCCTAACGGCGGGTTACCTAAGGGGTTGAAAAATGACAGAAAAATGTGTCCTAACCGAGTTACATAGTTGCTGCTGCTTCACACTGAACGGTAAAATGAACGCACAAGTGTCAACAATGCGGCCATTTAGTGAGCCGAGCAGACGTTGGCTAGCGTTTGCTAACTTCACTAACAAAACAACAGACGTTAACGCGACCTTTGTGGGCTTTCTCGGGTGTAAGGTACAGTACGGTGCGGGAAGACAGTAGTATAATACTCACCACACTGCCATGTAGTAACTTAAACGCAATTGTCTTATATCTGCGGAGACATTGACGCGCTAAGGGGCACAATGTTTTCCTCCTGCCAACGTTGCTTCCGGTCAACTTTCAAATTTTGCGCGTTCGTCTCCCCCCTCGCGAGCTTGCTAAATCAAGCTGACGTCTGATTGGATGGCTGGAACTTTGTGGGCGGGTACAGTTCTCATTTTAACCAATGACAGCTAATGACTGCTGTCAACCACCGTACACTGACGTTCATTCATTGCAAGTAATGCTGGGTTTACATTACACGACTCTCCATCCGGTTTTAATGTCACACAGAGAATTTGCAAAAGTCGGGATAAAATCACAAGAGTTTTGCTAAAGCACTGGGAGTTACCTACTGCAACTGCACTACACTTTATTACTCTCCAACTCTCAGCTCAAAATAAAATGTGAACAAGTTGCGCTGATTATTTTGAATTATGACCACTCTTGTAGTACGGGAGACCGGGGCTTGTTGTCACACTTTTTACATTCTTATATATTTCTTGGAATCAATACATCATATACAAACAAAATGTGTACCAGATGAAAGACCAAAGTCTCAGGTATATATTTCGTATTCATGTCATTTTCATATCTTGTGTCAGTGCAGAGTTATAAGCAACCAAATAGAGAGTGTGAACATGTGACATGTTGCCCCTCCATCATGTAAGCTGTCTAACTACATGGGGTAAGGTGTCACGGTGGGTTTTGCAGCTAATAGAACAAGGCCAAAATCTTTTTGTTCTCATTTTTTTTTACATGAAAATGAACAAATGATCAAAATCAGGCACAGAAAATGCTTATCTTTGAGCTATTATGCATGCACTGGAGAGAGCTGTCTGACTCTGTATTTCAGCTGGGGTGAATGCTTTGCAGTACCGAGTCAAGGTATGGTAGTTGACATTAAAGTCCTTTATTGTACTCCAGATTGATTTATTAGCTAGGGTCACCTGACTGACTGCCCTCAGCATCACGTCAGGCACTGCACTGCCATGTTCTGTTTTTCTTTTGTAATTCCTGACCATGTCTTCTCTTTTTCTCCTCTCCTTTAACCTTCCTGTCGTGTTCGGGTCAATTCTGACCGATTTACAACTTAAAACTTAAAACAAACATAAATTTTGTATTTTACATCTGCCTCAAGACCTTATGATATCCATTTATATATAACATATAAAGGTGATAATGACCACTTTCATTAAACTTTGAATGTTGTAGTCAACTTTGTTACATCTGTGGTGTTCCCGGTCAAAAGTGACCGCCATAGGAGATGAATGGATATCCAGATTATATTCATCCATCAGATGATAAAACATCCCCATACACACTACCCCAACACAGACACACACAGACACACACGCACGCACGCACGCACGCACGCATGCACGCACACACACACACACACATCAGACTGTAAACTATTTTTTTTGTGGGGTACACATCTCTTTCCCACACTTATGCTCTGACCCTCCCACATGAACCACCTCCCAAATCAAACAGTGTATCATTTCTTTACTAGACTAGACAGGTGTCTGTTACGAGAACCCCATTTTCTTCCCATACACACACACAAACTATCAGACTGAAGTATATTTTTGGGGGGGTTTCACATCTCTTTCCCACACTTAGGTTCTGATCCTCCCACTAGAGACTCTAGACCTCATCTTTGAAGATAAAGAGGGCACTGAGGTTGAGCCAGAGATAGAGGAGGATGTCTCAGAAGTGGAAGACAACACCGATTTTGACCCAGACATTGAGGATACTGACATGTCAACTGATGTAGAGGAAGAAGCACCTGAAGAGCAGACACCTGAGGAGACATTCAAGTCCAAGAATGGAGATTTGGTGAGATACACTCTAGTAGATGAAATCCTTTTAGTTATACTAAGATGGACAACAGCGGTACATGGTGGCACCTTAGTGTGATGGGTAACACTGATGTCTAACAATGTACACATCTTGGGTTAAAATCCCAGCATTGACCCTCTTGTTTAAAACTAGCATGACCTGCCTGCTAACAAAGGGGTCTGGACTGTGATTTTAAATCAACACAATGTAATGGACAGGAGATATACAGTACCTGACATGTAAATGTAAAGCAGCATCTTGGTGTGACAGTTAAGTGCTGATGCTTCATGGCAAACAAGTTTTGAATTAAAGTTAAAGCAAGGGGGCTGTCTTGTATAGCTAAAAAGTTCGGGTAGGCTGGAAGATTCAGGGTTTAAATCCAGAACAGGGACTCATCATGTGTGCAAGAAAGAAGATGCAGTCCTCACTAACAGTTGAAACCATTATTTTGAACACCCATTGTCACAAATAAAAGAAACAAGGACTTTATAAAGTGCGAGAACTGCTGCCTCTCAGTGAAAGGATCCTGGGTTCAAGACCAGGACAGAAGCACACATTGTGTTCCTAGAAAGGTAACCTGAACTCACATCTACACTAACCTATGGTTTTGAACTTTATCAGTTAGAAAATCAAGGTATAAAGCATCTAGAAAAGCAAGCACTGCCTGACTAACCTGTAGTGTAGTGTAGTGTAGTGTAGTGTAGTGGGTGAAAGCTGCTGCCTCATCATGAATGGATTCTGGGTTCAAATCTAGGACAGAAGTACTGTATGCCAGCTTGAAACAATTGCTTTCTAAGGTGTGGTTTACATTGCTTCTTTATTAAACTTCATTGTCAAAAAGTAAAGGTAATAAGGACCAACGAAAGCCAGCACTACCAGGCAAACCTGTAGTCTTGAGGTTGTCTGTTTTCAAGCCTTTGTTAAGCTATTTTTAACCTTTCCAATCAGAGTTCAAGTAAGTTGCACATAATTGTCAATCACTTTCAGGCTCACCTGTGTAGTGGTGAAGGCTGCTTACTTTTCATCAAAGGATCCTTGTTAAAAATCCTGGACAGATGTGTGCAGACAGCCATTCCGGTGCGCCCCTTGTATGAAGGTGGCAGGGGTTTGATTCCCTCTTGTGGCATTTTTCCTGCATGTCATGCCCCACTCTCTGTCCTGTTTAAATTCTATTCATTGTCCTCATCTGTCATTAAATGCCATAAAAGCCCAAAATAAATCTTAAAGGAAAATCCTGGGGTCATTTCATGGTACTTCTTGTAAGTCAAGAAATAAACATTTATACTAACATCTATGTTTAGCTGTGTTTTTAATGCTCATGATTAGAAAATTAAAGTATAAATAGCACCTGGGAAAGCAGGTACTACCAGATTAACTTTTAGTGGAGTGGTGATGACTGCTGCCTTGCCATGCAAGATGCAAAAATCTTCAATTCAAATCTGGTACAGAGCCAGGAACAATTGCTTTCTCTATCGTTTAAGCTGTGGTTTGAAATACTTTTTTGAACTACATTTAAAAAAGTAGAGGTACTAAGGACCTACAAAAGGCAAACACTGCCAGGCTAACTTATAGTTTGATAGTGAAGGCTGCAGCCACTCTGTGGAATGATTCTGGGCTCAAACTTGTGGACCACTCCATGGAGAAAATTGCTGTTCTCACATTACATTTGAAGTTGTGCTTAATGAAAGGTGAAATCAAAAGACCTTAAAAAACAAACTGGACCATGCTTGCCTGTGGTGTGGTGGTGACGGTGCCAGCCTTTCAAAAAAAAAATCCTGGATACTAATCAGGCGCAAAAGAAACTCCTTTCTCAAATGTTGTTTGATAAGTATTTTTAAAGAAGCATCCTCAAATGGTGAAATAAAAATTCCAATTTAAGGAAGCACTATCAGGCAGTCCTGCGGTGAACTTAGTTCTTCAAGCTGACACAAATGGATGTAAATAAGGAAAAATCACAACAACATATTTCCTTTGCAGTCTTTGCAATTCATCACTTTATTTTAGGGTAATTTAAAGAAATCTCTGGTGTGATTGCTTGGTATACTGTCACTTCCAACCCTGTGTCATTTTTACAAAAAAAAAAAAAAAAAAAAAGGTTTATTTTGAAAGCTTCTCCAAAGATGCTTTTATGGAGTATCTTTTTGTGATAGTAATCGCCTTGCAATTTTTGGTGCTGATATGAATTTGTGTGTGGTGCGCAGGAAAAACTGACACAGTCTTTAAATATATGATATATGATGCCAGGGAGGATAATTATTTTCTAAGATTTAACCTCTTAAATACCATCATACCAAAACTATTATATTTAGGAGTCATTAATTATCTCACCAGGATTCCACAAAACAAATAAATAAATAGATAAATAAATACAATCATTTTCAGACAACTAAAATTCAGGGCCAGAACCTTTATTAACAGCAGATTTAAACATTACATAACTGTCAATTCTGTACCAGTTTTCAGAAATTGCATGCCAGATATTCTAGACTATATGGAGATGTGCAGTAGAGAGGCTGGGGACTTGCTTGCTGCTTTTCGCCTGCCCCAGTTGATGTAGGAGGTGCTGGAGTTGTGTTTAGGTCTGGGGTTGAGTTTGGGATTTAGGGTTGGGAGCAGGGGTAGGATTAGGTTTGGGTTTAGGGTTGGGATTAGGATTGGGATTGGGAGGTGCGGGAGAAGGGGCAATAAAGCATCCTCTCTTGTGCCACTGCATGTCCCGGACACGTCGGACGGACTGTATCAGAGGTGCAGCAGCTCCCCAATCGTTCCAGTGCTTGTAGTCTCCATGTTCAAACACATACTGGCGCCCTCTATAGCCTGGGTATGAGTACCCAACCCACCTTCCGGCAGAAGAGAAAGAGTTGAGTACAACATGGGAAAAGGAATTTATTCATAAACAAAAAATCATTGTAAATATTGTTTAAGGTTGGTACTTACGTTCCATTGACAGCTTTCACACTAGCCACACGGTCCTGGAAACTATATACCCACAGACTGGGGACATCATCATCAAAAATTTCCATCTTTCTACCTTCAAAGCCTGCATTCTCAAACAGGTGCAGCTTATGCTCTGCACTATCCTGAAAAAAAAAATCATAACAGGTTTTAGCATTTTTGCAAGGATGTCACATCTGTTAATATTACACTGACAATATACTGACCACTTTCAGAGGCCTAAAGGAACACAGCATGAAGCTATTCTGCCAGTTAGTCCAGGAGCTCCAGAGAGGATACTCTCCTTTCTCAAGCACAAACTGCTCTCCTGCATATCCTGGACGCTCATACCCAACCCATCTACGATTTAAAGGAAAAGCATTACATCATTATTTCAAATACCAACACAAATCACACAAAAAAGACTCATGACAAAAACACGGAGGACTCACGGTCCTGACTCCACAATGATCGAGCCAATTTTCTGTGTCTTCTCCCAGGCGCTCTTGCATTCTCCAGAAAACTCCGCCTTCCTTCCACGAAAGTTCTCAAACTCATAAATTGTCAACTGCAAGACAGACAAAGATGTTGATTGATCGACTGTTCCCAGACTTGTTTTAATATTAGCGCAAATTTGCTTTTGTTCAAAATGTTTTACATCATCAACAAATTTTCACCTTATATGTAGCTCCAGCTCCTCCTTGGCCCTTCTCTGCAGGCAGCTGGTCTGGGGTTCCCTGTTGTTCTGACATTTTTCCTCTATAAAGCACAGCGATGATATTGTGGAGTGAAGTTAGTGGATTTTAAGAAAAACTTTTACTACAAGGTTGTAAAAGTCACTGGTTTATATCACTCTGTTCTATTTTAAGAGCAGTACAGTAATAGTACAAAAAACTTCATGAGAAGAAAGCTTTGGGGTTTAGATAGAAGAGGGGACAGAGAGCGTTAGGTGCAGAAAAAAAGGTCTATTGGAGGGAGGGAGAATCTTCCTCTCTTTTACCTGGATGGCTTGTGCTTCACTGCACCTGGTACAAGCCACTCTCTCCTTCTTTTCTCTCTTTTCTGTCTGTCTCAGTGTAAGGGTGTGTGTGGGTGTGGAGGCCTGGCGAGCGGTCGGTGAAAGCCAGCGGGGGTATTTATGGTTTATTTCTGGCCACAGCAGCAAAAACCCTGTTGATGCAGCAAGTCTGTCGCACTCATTGTGTCCATCACACTGCTTCTCAATAGGCTTGCCCCTCTGTCCCTGGCACACTGGCAAACGCTGCCCGGCGCTGCCCATGCTGCCATCCCGACCATGATCCTATAGTGGGCACAGACGCACTGACTGTCTGCCAAGTGAATGAAGAGATCAGTCTCACTCAGCACTATTGGCCCCACCCAGCTAATTTGCTCTCCAGTTTCCTGTCTTCCACCTCTTTCTTTACCTTTCGCCTCAGTCACATCTAAAAACAAAGCTCATCAAATATGGCTGCCTCGAAAGCATGAGGAAGACTTCCTGAAGTTGTACCAGAAATCCTACGTGGAGGCTTGGACTTTTCAGCAAAAACACACTTGTTTGCATTTCATAGAAAAAAGTTTAATAAAATTCCCTCAATTTCCTCTTATCATACAGTATGTTGATTATAAATGATTACAGCATTGTTGATATGGCATTCTTTAACATAAAAAAGGCACATAAAAGAGTCAAAGTGGATTCAAACATTGCTGGATTGACTTTCTTTCAAAACACACTTCCTGCATGTGTGATAGCACGCCCAAAATGTCTCCCTCTGACACCATTGTGTGTTTTCATAAACCAGGGGGTGCATCATGAGGTTTTGCAGATCTTTGCTTGAGAATAAGACTTATATCAGATGTTTAAAAGAAGAAAAACTCCCTTGATTCTGTTATTACAGTTAGGCACTTGATTCTGTTAGTTAGAGGTACAGTATGGACGGTCGTTCTTTTAGAAGTTTCTTAAAGTGCTTCAAGTTTTACACTTGGGATGTTCTGTGATAAGAAAAGATCATTTTTAAAACATTTTATACAATTACAAGTAAGTACACAAAAGGTGCAATGCATTATTCATATTTAGTAAAATATGTACATTTGTTTTTCTGTGTGATGTTAGTATTGCAGTAGGCCTAGTGTCATTAGTCCCTGTCTGTATTTGATGGGTTTGTACATTCAAACAGTAAGACAGTTCATGGCTTTGCTCTGAATTACATAAGGACTTTACATTGGGCATCTGTAAGACTGAAAATAAAACACATCTCAGTCTTGGCACACAGCAATGCTGACTTCTAACATCAGCAAGAGGAGAAAGTTCTTGATGGCCTCTATTTTCAGCAAAAGTCTGATTTCCCTCCTGGATATCTTAGGATTCAAGGATTCCCAACATAAGGCACTACAAGTGCAAAATGCAGCACTCATGACGAGGCTTCTGTCAGCAGCAGCCAAGATAGGGTCTCCTAGAAGAAAAGAAACAGACATATTCAGGAAGCTGCTTCCAAAACAGGAACTACAGAGCAATGCCTTTCTGGAATATTGTATGTTTCACCTGAGTAATTTAATGCGAACCCTACATGACCATGACTACATCCACCTACAGCCAAAATAGTTCAGATGGCAATTAAACCCTTAACACTATAACAGACACGTCTTCAAGAGCAAAACTGGAGTCACAGGAGAGGAGGTGTAAAAGTATCAATAAAACCAGATAAATCCAGGTAAAATGAGACTGTCCTTTTCAGCCTTTCTTATGATAAAAAAGTGTTTTCAGAGATGTTGCCCACTTTCTATTTCTAGTCTTTGCTGTCAGTTTAGTCACTGTCTACTTAAATGTATTCCTGACAGTACTGGTGGAAAATTTAAACCAATCTCTTTCCATCATCTTTAATGTTTTCACGTTTCATGCATTTTGACTCACAGACAAACCAGTCCCTGAGACACTCCTGCTACTCTGACAGTGGTTTAGGCCGTAAGCCAAATGTCAAAACTTAGTGCTTCTCTAAGTCAAATCCTCTTAGGTCTCATAACACTGCTTAAATCACAATGAAATTGAAGTTTTATAAAGCTCTGAAGTTCTTTTTTAATAAGACTAGATTAATTATTCTCTTTTTAATAGAAAATATGTTTAAAAAAATTGAACAATCTTAAAACATGATGTAGTTCAAAGTGTTGTAAACCTGAACATAATGAAAAGTTGATGGATCCCTGATGATCACTGTTACCTTAATTTCTATCCTTTTCTGGAGCAGTAATACCAGTACAGCAAGAGGTTATTATCATTTTTGTACTGAATATGCCAGAAGCAAAAAAAATCCTACACATCAGTCACCTGTCACGGACTATGCCTCCCCGTCATGCTGACTCAGACGCTTCTTAGACTTGAGTTCTTTCAGCCAGGCAGGAGAGGCGACGGCACTGAACGACACGAAATATCACAGTTCAGAGAAATGTCATGTTCAAAACGCATGTCAAATACTTAACAATGGTCTGATGTGCTCTGTCATGCTCTTTTCTTACCTTTTGTCCGCGCCGCCGTCTAAGGGTGGCAGCACCCGAGCAGCCCCCGCAAGTTGGGAAGCAGTGCGAGGAGAGCGGGACAGCAGTGAGGGAGAAGGTGCTGCCTCTTCCTCTTTTTGGCTCTCGATCTCTTGTCTTCCCCTGTCTTCCTCTGTTTCTTCTCCTCCTCCACTTCCTCCTCCTGTTCTCCTTTTTAACTGAGCCTTTGGTAAAAGTAGAGCACACTTGCATTAATTTAAATGCCACCTGTTGTAGCATGATTTAGAGTATATTACTGATAAAGACAGGACTTACTAATAGAGCTGAAGGGCTTAAACCAGGGAACATAGGGACTCTTTGAGAGGAGGGAGATGAAGAACTAATTTTCTTCGGTTTGGGCTCCTCCTCCTCCTCTGAATCCTGCTGTTTCGCCTCTTTGTCATCTAAGTAAAAAAAACGTGAAGTCAACCAGATCAGTGAGAAGCTTTCAGGAGTATTTTAGATCATTGTTCTAAAAAACAAAAATCTAGGCCCTATGTTTGAACAAAATAAGACCACATTATGATTAATTCAATGACCTGTTGAGTCAAGGGTCCTCCAGTCTGGGTTCTCTGCAGAGGATAGACCTGCACGAAACACTCGTGATGGACGTGATCGGATCCTCCTCTTGCTCAGATCTGCCTTCGATCTCTGCAGGCTGGTGTCGAGGAGCGGGGCGGAGCTCTGGACAAGGATACACACAGTTTGGTTAACATACTCTTGAGTAACCGGGGTAAGTTTCTAAATTACACGAACCATTACAGCAAACAAATGACAGCCCTCACACTGGGCAATGTGCACCATACTCTGGAACGTTTAACCCAAAAGGTACAGTTCGTCAAAAAGCAAAAAAGCATGTGGCTTTTTATGAAGTAGGTTGTCATGCTCAGGCTCCAGACCCTGAATGAGCGGGAACTGCGCTGAGTTTGAGCACACCTGCAGACATCGGAGAACCTCTTACCTCAGGGAACGGAGCAGGCTTCTCTTCTTCGTGAAAATCTGTGGTAACAGCAGCTTCAGGGGAGACTTCAGGCTCTTCTTCAGGTACAGGCTGTGGACTGAAGAGTTGGAAAATTCAAGTTAAACACTGTATGAGGAAATATTGGAATAAGAGGACAAACAGGGTTGTTTAGACGCTTTTTGGTAAGGTGTGTAAGGAGTCTATTTATTTATTTAACCCCATTTCACAAAGCTTGGCTCTTTGTGTTGTGCTTTATTAACCACAAGGGGGCACAGGGAGCTCAGCATTAGAAACACTTATAAGCACTTGATATCATGTTTCGGCTGTCACTTCTCTCGACTATGCTGCCACAGGATTTCTGTTCAAAGAGCTGCAAACTATATAAATGCATTCATAGTTTTTTAGAGTGTTATTCTGACCTGTGCGAGGAAAAAAAAAGTCATTCTGGTTTCATAGTTGTGTTGGGTTATACTGATCTTTCTGAGATACAAGCTCTCTCAACTGCACCTTCAGGCTACTTCGTTCCACACTTGTCAGATAGCTAGAGGGCCTGATCTTTTGCACAGAAATGACACTTGAAACTGATCCCATCTTTCTCTTCTGTTTCAGGTTGAGTGAAAACAAAAAGAAATCACATTGTGTGGGTATTGTTTGGTGTTGAAGAGCAACTTCTTTCCTACCTTTCAGTTTCAGTCAGCTGCTCACACGACTCATCCTGCTGGCTGGTCTCATTGTCTATCAAAGCATCAGTGTCTTTGTCTTCATCTGTTGTGCTGTAAGTGTTCGTCTGTGCCTTCGAAACAGAAAACAGACGTCAAGTTTAATTGGGAAATGAGAAAGAAAACGCCTAACTCAACACGCATCAACATAAAACACTTCGACACACTTTACATAACTGCCCTCTGTCTATCTGCATATCTAATGATCTGTCACATCAAATCAAACGGTGTGAACGCATTTCAGTCTGAAAATTTGCACGCCAGAATGTCACATTTTGGAGCTGAATCAGGGTGACAGTGGACTGTGTGCTGAGCCAAGATCACTAACTACAGAGGGCGAGAGGACTGAGGACCAGCCGAGCGTGCATCTTTTAATGAGATGGTCACAGAGGCTGGGCTGTCCTCAATAAACACCATGAGCGCCACTATGCACGCACACACACCGACACACTGGCATACACACCTATGTGCCTACACACGGACGCATCGAACGCACTCATGCAGCCACGCCCACATGCTGGAATGCATTTGTGCGTGCGCAAATACACACATCCCAAACAAAAGCAGCTATAGTGCACTTCCTCACATACATTCCTTTGAGCTCACTTCGAGTTTCGTCAAGGGGCACATCCCAGTGTTGTGTCTGATAGTCACCTGGAAACAAAACAACACTTGTGTAAACACCCCTGTCTGTCCCCTGAAGGATTTTGTTTCACCTTTTTCATAAGTCTGTAAATCAATCACAACTCTGAGCGGTTTTATCCGGCAACACCATAGTATGGATGTCAAATCTTCTGGTGATTTTCCAACAACCACAAACCCCTGTGTTGAGCTGCTGAGAGCAGACTGTGTTTACTCCGACAGAGACACCCTCCTCGGATGATGCATTCCAAAAACATGCATTTACCTTCAATCCGTCCCTCTTTTATTACAGAGGAAGCCACTGCACTGAACTTGGTTTTATGATGTACCAGTAGTTAACATTATGTAATTCAAGTATATCATATGACTCTAAAATCTTCACATGATTTCCAAGAACAAAGTTAGTCAATTTTCTCAAAACTTCCTCTTTGGCATCAGTCCACGGGTGCAAAGGTTTTCATGGGTTTTAAAAGTGTGAAGTGAGATAATATGCAAGATGCAGATAATATGCACTGATATGCAAACAGTAGCCTTAACAGACGGGTCGCACATTAGCAGTAACATTAACATTCATGAAGTAAAGGTTGAATGATATAACAGCCAACCACACTGCCAATAATAAGAGAGAGCAGGATGGGTGATGATGCCTGATACATACTGCCGATTTTACACTGTAGTTATGTTTTTTTTTTTTAAAGTTGCTTTGGATTAAGTATCTGGAAACATGTTTTAGGTGGAGTTTGAATTAATTCATGAAATTTAAATTAAGTTAGATTGTAGATTTTTGAACATGACTGATATTTAGGCCAGAAGCAATGCTAAACTGCATTATTTAGTGTATCATAACATAATGTAAAACATCAACCAGTAACTGTTTAAGGTATGGAGTCTTTTAGGATGAAGAAACACGTATCGTTCATTGCTCTACAGCTGCCACACTGATGAGGCTGCCTGAAATATCTGCAGACACGATTTATCTCTGTTATTCAACTTTGTGTGAGCAGCCATCAGCTGATTCTTATTAAATCAAATTACAATTAATCAGCTGACATTCTGGGGTATTTTTAATTTGGAGTTCCTTGTTTGAAATAAACCAAAAAAATACAATTCAACAGCGGTGAAACAACAACAGTGAGCTAAAAAATGCTGAAATGTCCCATAAAGCTACACAGGAACATTGATAATTACCCATGTTCCTTCACTCTGTACTGCTCTTTTCTCGTCACACTTGTCTGAAGCCATTTCTCAATGTTAATTTAATCAGATCAGAGGCATATGAACACTATTAAACTATATACAGACAAATCTTTTAGCAGTAATTCTGCTAGTATAAAATATCTGACTACAGACTTAGGAGATGTACACAACAAATGCCATGTAATTAGTATACCTGTGAATGTGTGACTATGAAGGCGCAGTCTGCTCTGCAAGTCAAGACAGAGTCAGCTTTATTATAGTTTACCTCCATCCTCCTAAACCTTTCATGGTCAGTGGATTGTGTAACAGCTTGTTTACTGTGTGGTGAAGAGGATGACACCTCGAAATGCCAGAGAAACAACACAGTCTTATCGAAAACCGAAGAAGAGTATCAACAGGACATCACCTCGAGTAAAAGGAAGCGACAGATCACCAGTTTGATGTGGGAGTAGCCTGCAGGTTAGGGCTTGGTTATATGGCCTCACATCAATATCACAATATACTGAGCAGTTCACCTCGATAATGATAAATGGACGATAACTACTCCGCAAGCTGCTCACCACCTCCTACATTAACTTCATCTACTTCAGCTGCTACAACTTTTGAACCGTCCTCCATCTCCTCACCTGTCTTTCCCTTTTTGTTACAGACTGGATGGGGAGGAGTCACGTCTCTGACCTAGGACAGCTTCTTAAAGAGACATAGCCTACCTACACACATCCAAAACCAACTTTTATTTTTTTGACACCAAATATATTGACATGGGCAAAATGACGTCGGTTATTATCGTAAATTTCGGTATCCGTAAATTTTCTGTTTATCGCCCAGCCCTACTGCAGGCTGTTGTCCTGTTATCCTAAAACCCATGCATATTGTATACAAAACACACATTGAAGCAGCTACAGCCAGCACTTCGAAAAGCAAGACAAACTATAGCATGTGCACTTCTCAAAGACTGCATCGAAAAATATGTCTAAAAACCAAACCAAGATACCAGACACTGCTGTAAGAGCTGCACTGTCAGGCTGTTTTTGGTGGCAGCTAAAGACAAACACAGATATGGCAGGAAGAAGAGAAAACAGCCAAAGCTTATCTAACAGTGTCACACGTTGTTAGTCCTCGACTTTGTCACTGACACACACACACATTTGGAAAACTCTATCAGACAACTGCATCCTTCCTGCAACAAACTGTCTGCTGCTAGCCTTTTTTTTAACATATGCATTGTAATGTGATGATGAGTGTGGAAATATTTGGTGAAGAGGACCTGTATTTGGGAATGAGGAGCCTTTTTGGGGACTTCAAAGAGATGCTAAACTCTTGAGTCCTTTTTTGTAAAACCTGGACCACAAAAGCTTCTGCGTGAAATAACATTAACTCATAAAACTTTGCAAGGTTAAAGATGTAAAACCCGATTGTGTCTTCGCACTGAGAAGATTAAAAGATTATTTAACAACATCTGCTGGGTGACTTTTACGGTTCATACAGGGCAGCTCTCAGCGGTCCTCCTCTGCAGAGTCTGCCGACTTCTGACAGAAAAACGACGCAGGGATCTCCTGCTACGTCGGGCAAAGCTACGAAGTGGCGACATGGCTCTCTGAAACCTTCCTCCTCCTCCTGGATCCCCACCCTCTTCCTCCTCCTCTTCTTCGCCCTCCTCTTCCTCTTCCTGCTTCTCTCCAGCAGCACCCCACACAAGCTCCAGAGCTCCTTGCAAGGAGCGTCGCATGCTTCCTACCCAGCCTGCCACCTGCAGCTGGGCAGCCGACAGTTTCCCTCCAAAGTACTGCATGGTTTCCAAAAGCTGTCAGTCCAGGCGCTGAAGTTACAATGGGAACTACGTCACTATAGAAACTGAGGGGTTCGGGTGAGTCAGAGAGCTAGGACCGTATTTTTGCTCTCAGTTGCGATGTTCAGCAAGCAGGAGGTAAAGAGAGCATGTAGTTGAAACGTATCTAACATCATCTGAAACAACAAAGAGTCCATCTGTTATTTGTGAGGCATCCTTTCTCCATCTTCATATTCTTTACGTCCACACAAACTTCCTGGAGCGGCGCATTATTTGCTGTGGGTAAAGAGGCAAACAGTCTGAGAGGGCATGTGTTTGCACTGTGACAACACTATTCCACCACAGCAGCATTCACAGTGATGGATGTGACGTCCTAAACAGAAGCAGTCCATAGAGAAACTCTCCCACCATCACATATTTGTCCATTTAAAGACGCCGAGAGAAGTCTTTCAAAGCTGCTTACACTCCAGAAAGAAGAAAACACACAGCAGCTTTAGCTGTGACCTCAAAAATGTAAAAAAAAAAACAACTCTTTACTTCTGTGGAGTCATGCTGCTGCTTGTTCATCGAGGTCCCAGCTCACATCACATCTCCGGGTGATAGAAAAGGAACAAAAACGTAGTGTGGGAAATACCGGTCACCCAATCACTTAATCATCCAAAGAAGTTACATTAAAAAAAGTTGGCCCCCAACCTTTTCTTTTCTCGACCATATTATTGTTAGAGAACAAAGTGGAGCACTGTGCTCCAGCGTTGAAAATCCCAACAGAAAAAGGTGTGGCAGGCAACAACGAGGTGCTCCCTTGTATGTAAATGCAGGTAGCTGAATAAAGCAGGTGTTTGTAGGAAGAGATGACAGAGGGAACAGCAGAAAAAACAGGAAGTCCTTTGGAGAGTCTAGACAAAAATTTGAGCAACAAGGAACACTAGATAACTGGAAGAGTTGTCAGTAAATGAAAACTATCTTTACTGTGGTTTAGCCCATCCTCTTTTGTCTGTAAGTGTGGCAGAAAGTATGTGAGGAAGGGGGAGATGATAGGCCCTCTGGAGCGGAGGTGGAGAGAGTGAGCAGAGAGACAGAGACAGAGAAAGAGGGGCACCATGTATGGACATTCTGACACGCTGCCCTGTTGACCAGATCCAAATGAGGACACGATGACCACACAGCATCTCTTCACACTTTAAGATCCATCCATCCCCCTGTCTATCTGTCTCCCTGCCTGTCTATCCATCTGTTAGTGAGTCTGGTAGTCTGAAGTGAATGAGTGTGCATGGTTGGCTGCACAGGCCCTGTTTGCCCAGTAAATACTTTCCTCATTCTGCAGTGACACAAGAAAAAAAGTTGTTTCTCTCCCACAACGGCACATTTACTGCATGGCACAGAAACAGTTGTATTTAACGTTTCAAACTATACTGATTAATGTTGTAAGTGTCCTAAAATGGCAAAGTAAGGGGCTCTAACAGAGATCGAGGTGTTTTTTTTCTGAGGTACAAAACAAGGAAGTGCATTTTTAAGAGCAGCAGCACCACCCTGTGGTGAAAACAAGGTTGTACTTACAAAAATACGATTACTAAATCCCCAATACTGCAGGAAACACCTTAAAGCAGCTAAAAGGTTTTTTTTTTCCGAAGTTCCCCTTTACTGTTTTGATTTGTTTGCTAACATAGCAAACAGAGAAACAACATGGTAAAGATGCGCACACGCTCAGATTGTTGAGAGATCCAGTGTTTGGTGTTTTCATTAACTGGGCAAAAATGTTGCATGTTGAAACAGGTGGTGAACTGATCTGTCCTGACTGGTGCAGCCATGTCAGCTGTTCATTTACTCTAAAGTCAAGTCTAATAGGTGATATCAGCAGCTCTGTTTACCTTGAACTATTTAGGTTTCAGGCCTTCTCTCTTTGGGACACACAGTGTGATCAGTGCTCGATAATTTTCTCTGTTTCACAGCGAAGCCTGTGCTCATAGCTGTCTGGTGTTGCTGACTTCCTGCTCGTTCCTTGTTTCTAAGGTTTTCTATTAATTCTACCTTCAGTTTGACTCAATCTTTCCAACAGGAAAAAGGTAATTTTTACAGCCTAAGCTGATCAGAGAAGCACAGCGATGATGATTATTTGTGAGTCTGAACGAGTCAGCTGAGACATGGTTTGTTGACTGCAGCTGTGCAACAACTTCAATGGGGCTTTAAAACGACGTTCACTGAGCAGAAAATAAACTTTGTGTTACAAGCAATCACATGACTTTACTTATTTTATGATGACCACAGCAAAAATAATGAAACTGTCATAAATGTCTTCTGTGAAAGATAAATAGTGTCTTGGACCTTCACTCTTAAGCGTCCTTGGGCTTCATAGTGACCTTTAGACCCTCTATGTCTACGAAGAGAAAATGAAAGGACAATAAGGTTCAACCTGTAAATTAGTATCTGTGACAGTAAAACAAAAAACATTTAACTTTAGCAAACTTTGGTGCTCTTGAATATAACTTTTTTTCCTTATGTGTCTGCAATTGTGGGCTTTTTGTTGCTCAGATGAAAAAAAGGGTGTTAAATTTCAATTAGATCTACCTTGATAAATAAAGATTAGATAAATAAACTTAAGATACAAAGAAAATGACTAATATAAGAAAAAATAATGGTTTAAGCAGCATATTCAAAATACTATTTTTATATTTTGTTAAGAAATCTGGATTGAACTCCTGAAGGTTAATGATGCAGCTACTTGTCAGTGTAGGTAGAAGTCAGGGAGCTTTCTTTTTATCTTATCTACTTCATCCAGCTATCTAAAGATACGGTGTGTAGTAGAAGGTGCCATTTACCAGAACAGATTTGGTAGACATTCAATAGTGTACTCATAAGCTAATGTATAATCAATTGAATATAAAAACTGTTCTACCTTCTTATAACTTCAAGTGGGCCTTTTTTCCACTTAGGGTGCAGGTCTCCTTCCATGGAGGCCGCAATTTTGCACCACCATATTTCTACAGACGCACAGGATGGTAAAAAATAGTGGCAGCACTGATTAGAAGATGAAAGTGAGGGAGAAGAGAGTTGTGATGTGCAAAAAGAATTGGTGTTGATGGAAAATGTGGACATGTGGAGGATAACCTTTGTCATGCAACACAGCAGCTTCTACTCCTCTTGTGGAGCTTAACCAGTGAGAGAGGTGATCAGAGGAGCAATCTAGAAACTGACACCAAGGTATTGCTTAAGATTCCCATTTCTACAGGGAAAGGGAAAGTTTTTCACACTCTAAAGCCACTGCAGTAAACAGACAGCCCAGCTTAAAGAAGGAAAGCAGGCAGAAAATAGCTAGCAGGGCTATGTCAAAGTAGAGATGTTGGATTTGATGAGATATACTTTTCATGTCGCTGATGGGAGATCTGCCTTAGGTAAACTGATGCACTGTAAGGGCAAACACAGCACAGCAGAACAATACAAACTCATCAAGCAGTGTATAAAACAACACAACTTATGAGTACAAGACGTTTCCAAAGCAGGACTAGCTGTTTCTCTGGTTTTCTTAGTTATGCTAAGCTAAGCTAGTCAGTTGCTGTCCCCAGATTGATGCCAGAGTGGAAGTTCTCGTTTCTAAAACACTGCAAGATCAAACCAGGAGTTACAACAGCAAAAAAGAGGCAAGACATACAAGGTGGAAACAACCCTGAAACTGCTGTACGGCTCTAAAATAGAGGTGATCAAAACCACAAGCAATGCTCGGTAACCTTTAAATCCAAAAAAGCCTCACCCAAATCTGCTGCAGATAACCAGTCCAAGACTCCCATGAGAAATAACTCATCACTTGATCATATATCCATGCCATGTTGACTTTACTTCTCTGGATATAAGACGCGTCTCTCCTGACATGAAAAGGCTAAAATGAAAGTAGCTGAAAGGACAATGTAGGGCGGACGCCAAGATAGTAAATGCTCACTTCCTGTTAGACGTCATATTTTTATAACCACACGTCTGTACACATTCATACACAAACAGAAATTAAAGTTCATATGCTTTGTGTAATACATCGCCGTAAAGATTCAGAGACCCAAGAATGACATGGAAACTGGTCACCAGTGCTGGAAAACTTATTAACCAGAGGTTATCATTCCAGTACATGAAACAAGAACCACGCTTTCTTCAATACTGATATTTTAAGATACAAAAGGTAAGCTCTAGCTGTGAAAAAAAGAAGATGATACTACTGACACGTCATGATTTTAAACCGTGCTTGTTTCATTACTCAGTGTCACACCTTTCTCATACACACACATACACACACATAAGAACACAAGTTCTTCACCTATGACCAAATCAGGCTGAAGCAAGTATAACAAGATGTTTCGCTTGTGTTACAGGAATGGTGATGAGTTAGTGCAGGTGAGGTGTGTGTAGCTGCCAGGCTGATGTGATTCATTGGTGGAAAGAAAAGACATTTACATGTACACTCCTGTTTCTGTTCTTAACCTCACCCTCTCGGTGCAACAACATGAAAATCAATCAAGTCAGAATGAAACAAAAGGAGCATTTACCTCCTGCATGTCTTCTTCATCTCTCTTTGTCTCCACGACTTCTAGCTCCTTCTCCCTCTCCCTCTCCATCACCCTCTCCTCTTCCAAGTACTTTATGGAGATGAGCTGCACCTCGTCTTCTGGACTCTTCTGGGTGAGCATGGACTCTGGGCTGTCTGACCTTTCTGGGTATTTATTTTCCTGTTGACTGAGCTCCAGTGGCACCAGCTCTTTCACTCCTTGATTCTCTGCAGGATCGTCTTCCCATCGTCTTCGGATGATCGGGCTGGTTTCTGCCTTAGCCTGTGAGCCCCATCTCTTTGGTTTGACAGAAAAGTCGTCAAAATCCACATCAGCCATAGGTTCTTTGATGGAGAAATCATCGTAAACAACTTCGATTTGACTCTCTGAGTCTTTCGCTGATGGAGGAAGAGATGATTCGGACTTGTGAGGCACATCGTCCGGGTCAAAGCTAATCAAACTTGACCTTTCCAAGTGCAGCCTCTCTTTTTCTCTCTCTTCTTCTAGTCTTTGTTTTTCTTCGAGTTCTTGTGCTTGTTTTCTTTCCAGCTCCTCTTCCATCCTCCTCTCCCGCTCCTCTAGTCTCTCTTTCTCTAACTGTCTCCTTCCTTCCTCTTCACCCCTCTCTCTCTCTCTCTGTAGTGCCAATTCTAATTCTCTCACCCGCTCCTTCAGAGCTTCTTTTTCTTCCTGCTCTTTGAGCATTTTCTGCCTCTCTCGTTCCCTCTCCTCCTGCCTGAGTCTCTCTTCATTCTGTCTCTGCCACATCAACTCTCTTACATCCTCATCCCCTTTTCCCAAACTCTCTGTCTTTCTCACCAACCGGTTTTCCCACTCCTCTTCTCTTTGCTTCTCTAAGTTCATTTCCTCTGTTGTGTGTTCCTTGACTTTATCTATCAGACTTTCTTTCTGTCTCAGTCTCTGTCTTTCACTTTCCTCCCTCATTCTCTCCTCCTCCCTTAGTCTGACTTTTTCTCTTTCTTCCAGCTCTCTTCTGAGCCTCTCCTCTTCCTGTTTTGCCCTCTCCCTTTCCTCTTCCCTCCGTCTCTGCAACATCAACTCCATCTCTCTCTCTTTCTCCCTCTCCATTTCTTCCTTCCTCCGTCTCTGCAACATCAACTCCATCTCTCTCTCTTTCTCCTTTTCCTCTTCCCTCCGTCTCTGCAACATCAACTCCATCTCTCTCTCTTTCTCCATTTCTTCCTCCCTCCGTCTCTGCAACATCAACTCCATCTCTCTCTCTTTCTCCCTCTCCATTTCTTCTTCTTCTCTTCGCCTCTGTCTTTCTCTGTCTTCTCTGAGTGTCTGTTCCTGCTGAACTCTCTCTCTTTCCCTTTCCTCTTGTTCCTTTTTCAGAAGCTCCTCTTCTCGCCTTGCCCTTTCTTTTTCCTCTTCTCTCTGTCTCATCAGCATCAATTCCACTTGTCTTTCTCTCTCCCTCTCTTCCTCTCTCAGTCTTTCACATTCTTCCTGTTCCCTCAGCCTCTGTCTTTCCAGTTCTTCCTCCCTTAACCTCAGTATTTCCCTTTCTTCCTGTTCCCTTCGCCTTTGTCTTTCCAATTGTTCCTCTTTCAGCCTCTGTCTTTCGATTTCTTCCTCCCTTAGTTTCAGCCTTTCCCTTTCTTCCTGCTCCCTCAGCCTTTGTCTTTCCATTTGTTCCTCTTTCAGCCTCTGTCTTTCCCTTTCCTCCTCTTCCTTTAGTCTCTGTCTTTCTCTTTCTTCCTCCCTTAGTCTCTGTCTTCCCCTTTCTTCCTCCTCTTCCTTTAGCCTTTGTCTTTCCCTTTCTTCCTCCCTTAGTCTCTGTCTTTTCCTTTCTTCCTCCTCTTCGTTTAGCCTTTGTCTTTCCCTTTCCTCCTCCCTTAGTCTCTGTCTTGCCCTTTCTTCCTCTTCCTTTAGTCTCCGTCTTTCCCTCTCTTCCTCTTCCTTTAGCCTCGCTCTCTCCTTTTCCCCCTCTTCCCTCTGCTTTGCCTTTTCATTCTCCCTTTCTTCTTCTTCTTCTTTTCGTTTTCGCTCCTCTTCGATCTGAAGCCGTGCCTGCTCATGCTCCTCTGCTCTTCGTCTTCTTTCAAATTCCAGATGTTTCAGTCGTTCCTCTTGTTCTCTTTCTGCCTCACTGTCCTTCTGAAGTGATCCCACTCGTTTGTAGACAGGTATTGATTCAGAGACTTCCTCCTTAGGTTCCTCCTCCTCCTCCTCCTCTTCGCTGGACTCAGAGCCTGAGCCCAAGGGTACTGGAGGACCTCCATCATCTCTCTCCACCACACCAAAGTGAACAGAGCGGCGCTTGACTTTGTCCCTCTTCAGAGGACTTTCACCAGCAGCTGAGCCTCCCTCATCAGCCTGGCCTAAAGACCGGCTGCGGTTTCGTAGTACAACTTTGCCTACGTTGGATTCGTTCTGTGTTTCTGAGTTTTCCGATGACTTAATTTCAGAGACAACATCCTTGGATGTTTCTGCTGGAGCCTCTTTGGGCTGTTGGAACTGTGAGATCTTCGAAGCAACATCTACTGTTTCACTGGATGATGTTACAAGTGCAGGAGGTTCAACAGCTGGCAATTTGGGTGCTTGTACTGCTGAAGGAGATGTCGGCTCAAAGCTGTAGATGAGAAAAAATAGTTTAAATTGAGAAGTTTAAGTATTATTCTTTAGAAATTATTTACTTAATGAACTTAATTTCTATTAATGAAGGGGATAAATATAAAACTCTCATAATTGAAATAAATTTTGAGCTACAGGAAGTTAATAAACAGATTTATGCAGGAAATTATCTGGCGTGTCCAAGTCTGAAATAATAGCAGTCTGCCTTCTATGAAGCACAGTCGGTCTTTTTTGTTACAGGTGAAAAAAAAAATGTTGTAGTTGCCCACTGAGCAATAGACATCTATTAGACATCTATGTTTTTTTTAACCTAATTTCAACCGTCTAGATTCTGTATATTTTTAGACAGAAGTTAGACGTTGCACTTTAACACATTATTCGATAACTATTCAATTCAAAAAGCAACTGTGAGTTTCATAACTGATCTCCAAGTATTTAACCAAAATAATTATGATAGCTGTTAAGCAATATACAGTGTAAACCTCTGTTAGCCGGCTAGTCTAAACTTGGTCTAAATTTAGACGTCTGAAAAACTTTCATTTTTAGAAATGTGGTAGTCTGATTTTAGACCAGTCGCCTAGACTATATTCAGACATCTATAACCCTAGAGTCTTGTTATCCCATTGAGGTGGTTGCCAGGAAACCAGAAGTGACTGTTGACTCCAGGTGTTAATTGTACGTTTTTAAAAGACGTTGGACGGGGTCAGAGCGACAAATTGTAGCCGTGTTTGCACTCTACTTAAACTTATTTGGGATGATGAATCCAGCCACAATGAGGCAATCTGCAAGCGACATGGTATTCACATTTATAAGAGGTTCAATGTTCTCTGATGCTACAACTATGGAGACATAAATGAAATAAAGACAGTGCTCGAAACACTGAATTTGTCCCGTCCCAACCGCTTTAGAGCTGCTCTCTTCTCTTCACTTTATCTCTTCTTCTCATCATTTTTCTCAGAAGCAGGAAAGCTCTCAGCTCTTAAAGATACTGGTTAAAAAAGTCCCTCTCCTCACTGAAATAAGATTTCCATCTGCTCCAGTGAAGCACCCATTTCAAACAAAGAAAACACTGTGAATCATCAGTTGCGTTCATCAGATAACAAACGATAAATCCAGGATGACAATGGCCGCTTTCCAAACGATAAAACTTGCACATGCCATTAAATTTCAACATCTTTCTTGATTGCTCTTGCAAGAGAATGTGTTTTTCTTTCATTCATGTCTCAACATGTCACCAAACACAAACATCAGAGTAGAAATAAGGACAGCTCACCTTTTGGAGCGAGTTCGAGAAACAACCTGAGGTTTCTTTTCAATCTCAGAGCTTGTCTCAGTGACCCAGTTTTTGATTCTTTCCTTCACTCCCCCTGTACCATTTATTACTTCTGGCTCTTCTTTCTTTGGTGTGAACTCTGGCCTCGATGAAGAGTCAAACAGTTGACTGATTCTGCGTTTTATACTGCCTCCTCCGCTGTATTCCTCCTTCAGTCCACCTTCTTCACCCTCTTTGTTTGTGGGCTCTGGTGTTGTCTGGTTCCTCTCTGGATCTGATGGTTCCAGCTTTTTTACGTCATTTTTGGTTGTAGAGATTGATACTCTTGGCTGGGGGGGCAAGATTGGGCCACCTGATTCAAACTTTGAGGTGAGCTCCGCCGGCAGCCGCTTCCTGATGCTCCCTGACCGATATTTTTGCTCAACTTCAGCGGAAACGTTGCTGCCTGATTCTTCAGCTTTTTTGATGACGGAGGTCTGAGATTCGTCCTTTTTATTTTTGCTGCTACTCTGTTCTGAATCATGAGCAGTATCCAAGGCTGCCTTGTGGTTTGTTTGGATGACATCGTCCTTTGGGACTGGCTCAGACTTAAGAGTCTCTTTGGGTGGAGCGATTTGTGGGGCAGGATCTGATTTCCCTACAGCAGAATCAGCGTTGTCGTTTCTATGTGGACTTGCTTTGAGCTCTGCTGTTGGTTTTGGCTGATTTTTGGTGTTTAGCACACTTACAGAGCTGGGTTTAGGATCAGGGGTGATGGTTTGTTTAGGAGGGGTCGGCGAAGTCTTCTGTGTTGTTGTCTTTGGGGTTGCAGTTGGGGCGTTAATGGAGCGAATACTGGCGTTCTTCTGCAGGGAGAAGGGCTTTGGAGCGAGTCGAGGTTTGGGGGCCAAAACTGGCTTTGGGCTTGAGATGCCACTAGGCTGGGCAGCCTCAATGGAGCTCTCCATTACTGAGCTGCTGAAAGAGGAAATAAGAGAAGAGGAGAGCAGATTTTTACATATTGCAAACTACCTATTTACATTGAGAAAAAACATTAGCACTCGCAGTCCGAGCACAGGCGATTGGTTTTTGTTGCTATAAAGAAGAGTGGACAAATCTGGTTGGTTTGGTTTTTCTGAAGCCTGTTGCTTCTGTGAAGGCAAAGACAACTAATCAATCACACTGAACAAACGCCAGAAACTTCCCACACCAGAAATCATTTCTTGTGTTCGATGTTTTTTTTTTTCTTTCTGTTTCTGCCTCCTTCAAGTTCAGATTAAAATTTATACATAAATTCCCACAGATATAAACCCTTTTACAATCCAGTTTTTCTCATCTGGCTGTAGTCTATCTTAAAAGAGTTTGTCTTTATTCTCCGGTCACTAAAAGCTGATCTAAATGAAGCTCAAATGTATATGTATTAGTCTCTGTATTGTCTAATTTGCTATGATTGTGAAAGTATTCATGCCTCAACAGTGAACTCTGGGCAAAATTGAATACCTCCAGTCTATTTCATAGATTTACACATCAATACTGGACTCTTTGTCATATCTAACTGATTATCCGCTCATCATTATTTCAACACAGAACAGAGCAAGTGAATACCTGCAGTCATGTGATAAGGACATACCACCCGAATCACTTCAAAGCAAGTTGGCAGTGCACAATACATGAAAAAGGGAAATTACAAAAGGCTAAGTTACAGAAGCTCAGCACACAGCAAAAGACTTCAACAGTGGAAACCTGAGCTGTCTGACTGTTTTGTCATTCGTAACCAAACTTTATGTGAAAAAGGGCTAAAAATAGGAATCAAAGCTGGGAGGTAGGAGACATGTTAAGAGACTGAGGTAGGCCTGATGAGTCATCTCCACATCAACAATATGGTGAGCAGTAAAGACACAATAAAAACAGGTCTTCAATTGAGACTCACACTACTGAGAGGCAAAGCTTCTATTTACATACAATCACATGATCGTTTTGATCAAGAGAAACAACCCTCAAAAAAACAAAGGCCACATTTGAACTACCTGCAAGAAAAGATAACAGTAACGTTTCCAAATTTGTTACACCAGATACCACAGGTATCAAATGCTGCATGTCATCTGGTTTGACCAGTAAGACTATAACAGAAACCGGTAACTCCACACCCCACACACTTTAACATTGTGCAGTTCACTGTGTCAGCAAAATGTTCACTGTGTCACTCCAACATTACAAATGTACAGCTGCAATAAATAAATGGATCAAGTCAATGTGTGCACTCTGGTATTCATGCATGTGATCTGTTTTGTAACAATCTGAGGACTACATTGCTCCAACATAACAGGACCTCTGGGTTTGCTTGATATTGAGTAATGGAATCAGAGTGGACTCCTTCAACTGTGTGCACCACCCTCTGAGGTTCAATAATGTGTCCAACTTTTCCTAACGATGCATTCCTGAGAAACAAACACTGTCTGGTAGATAAAGCTTGAGCTAGTGGATGTTTATGCTGCTTTTTTTAGGCCGCATGCATTTAGAGCAGGACATGAGTGAGATTTTTGTTTCTTTATCTTTGTTTACCTTTCAGTGCCTGTTAGCCATCCAAGGCTAATGTTGACTTTCACTGGGCACAATTCAGTTTGATTAGCTCAATATTAAACATTTACTTCTTTGAGTGATGCTGTGGGAAGCGAGTTTAGGACATGTTATGTAAACTATCGCGATGTTACGACTTGAATCACACGCTCAACTATCAAATTAACGCTTTTCCAGTACACGTCTCATTACAGGGTGTTAATAAGTGACTTATTCAGGCTTCAACAATGACCTCTGAGTCGTTGAACCGGCGGTGTGACTACTGCAGCTCAACAATGAAAAGGGAGTTAAATGAACGTAACTTTACTTCGAGTTCAATTAGTCTTTTAATCTTTTGTAGCTATAACTCTTCACTAAGGTTTACGAATACTCCCGATGAGGATATAACATTAGGCCTTTTCATTTTATTAACATGAAAAATCCTCGTAAAGATGGTGCACCTGCTCCTAACATCATCTATACGAACTTTTAAAACAGTCAAAGTATTTATACTCTATAAGCTGAATCGTAGAAAGTTTTTTTTTTTTTTTTACCTTTTGTCTTCACGCCGTCATAAAAGCGGAGAAAAGTAGGAAGAAAGGTAGGGGAAAGTTACACACGAGAAGTGATCCTGAGTTTCCCTCGACCGTCTCGCCTGCTGAGCTGTTGTCAGTGTTTTTTCGGGGTAAGTCATTCACACCAACAAGACGTCAGACGGCTGCTGCTGCTGCTGCTACACCCAACAGACACTCCCTCCTCCCTCTGCCAGCCCGCCTCACACCGAGCCACGCTGCTCTATGGTCAAGTTACACACATATAGGCAGCATTAGGCAGGAAGTGATGTATGTCTGCTAAAAACATAAAAGCTCGGGAAACGTAGGCAACTTGTTTATATCCAGTAGTCGAGTTGTGAAAAAAAATCAGCCGGGATGGTGGATTTTATTGTCTGGGACCGATCATAGACTGTATATACTACTTGATTCTGCTTCCTGCCAGTACAGGAATTTGCAACCAAAAAGCTCTTGGTATTTCCGCGACTTTTCTTCATTTCCTGAAACCAACATTGCGCAGTAGCGTTGTACGCATTTGGCGGGAGAGTCGCTCGGCTCAAACAGCAATTCATGCAACAAACTCCAGTCTCAAAGAAAGAAAGGCTCAGGCAGCCTTGTTTTAAATCCCCTAGCCCCTCCCAGTGGGCGTTATCAATTACATAAGTGTAGAAAAAAACATATTTATTCACATTTAAAACATTTTAACTTTTAGACCTTTTTCTGTTTTTACCATTTTAACTAAGTTTTTACACAAATCGAAAAGCATTAGTTTTTAGGGATTCGTAGAAAACAACAAGGGAATTAATTTTTACTTGCATCATGTGACCACTTTGACCCTCCATACACACGCCACCATGCCGGTTCTGTTTCCTCATTTGAAAACTTGATGGCGTGAATGGACACCCGGTAAGTAAGTTGAGGGATGAATGTCTATGTGAATGTGAATGTAAGTTTAAGTTAACTGATTGAGCTCAAAGTGTACAACTTTGGTTTCCCTATCCAACAGAGATGGAAGAAAGGAAAAGTAGCGCTGTTTAGTGGGTAATTATCGACCCTGGCGGCGAGGGATATGTTTGGCGTGTGTGTAGGCCTCTGTCCATGCGTACCAAGCCTACCATGTGGGGGCTAATGAAAAAGACAAAAACTGCTGGTTAACATAAAGCCTACAAAATGTTATAACAAAAATGTAAAAACCTAACTAAGCGCGGAAGTAGGGCCTGAAATTGACAAGATAGCTTTCACCTATCTAAGTCATATTTGGTCTCAGAAAACATTTCCAGAGTCATGGATAGTGGACCTAAAACTGACTGAAGTGCGTTATAGAGAAGTCCAATGTGTTATGATGATATGATATGTGTTACCTGTAAAAACAAAACTAACAGACAACAACATCAAAAGATATTCCCACACAACAAAAAATTGGCATTTCCATTTGTATTGCATTTAATTATTGCATTGCTGCTCTGTATGTGACTATTATCTACTATTATCTAAGAATGAGATGGTCAATGCTAGATCCTTTATCACAAAAAAATTGCATGAAAAATAAAGAAATATTTCTTAAAAGGTGAGAAAAACATTTTGAAAAACAAAACAAACGTAACAAAAAAAAAACAAAACAATTTTTCCACATCAACATAAAAAATGTATTAGAAAACCAAAATAGAAAATCAGAAATTTAAAAAAGGAATGAAAAACTCTGAAATGTTTTTTGAATTGCAAAAATGTTTTGTAATGTTAAATGGGCTAAATAAAACCCTTTTGGGAAATAAATTTTTTAATCAAAAATATTTATCCCCTATAGACATTTTTGCTGGGACTACAACACTTGTTTATGATTGAACAAACCCAAGTATCCCAAGTCTCAGCCACAGTTGTATGCCATTTCCAGTTTAAAGAGGCATCCTTATAAAAACATATATGAACCAGAGGATGAGGCCATTTAAAGGACAGTTGGCTTCTGATCAAATTTGTGGTGAGAGATGACTAGCAGGATTTGAAAGTTGACTTGAGACCTATCATGTAAAGTATTAAGTTATTGTTTGTCCTTTTAATGTGAAAGGTTGTTTTTATCATTTTTATTGTTGTTATTATTATCATTATTATTATTGTTGTTGTTTTTGTTGTTGTTAGTAGTAGTAGTTGTTGTAGTAGTAGTAGTTTTTTTTTTTTTTTTTTTTTTTGCAGCCATAGGGAGAAGAGTGAACAGGAAAGCAAGGTGCGTGGTTTTATTTTGAAAATTCTGACCGGAAATGCTTTGTGATTTGACTAAAGCTCGGCAGATGTGTCCTGCTCATTGGACTGGATAAACTGGTTCTAACTGAGGCAATATGCCACTTAACACACAGTGAAAAGGAATCGGATCTACGCAGCTCTCACTCTTTCTTAGAAAGGGCCGAGGCGTCCTGGGGCTTCTTTACAACAGGAAGTACCCATCACCTTTCACGCTGTTGTTAAACCCGAATTTACATAACACCTGGGTTCATTTGCGTTGCAAGAAGCACCACACACGAGCCAATTGGTCCAAGAACTGCAACTCTGACAAACAAGACTCCTTGGACCTGTGTGTGTAGCTTTGAGGTAAAACTATAGCGTTTGAATTTTCTATTTTAAACAGGACCAGAAGTTAAATGGAAAACCAATGAATTGGGATCACCCAAGTACTGAAATAAAAAAAAAAAGTCAGGGTATTGAATATTTTTGTATCAAGGAAGGGATAAATCTTAATCGGTAAATGAAAGACAAGAAACATCTCAGGTCATAATTAACGTGTAGTTGCCAACGTTTTATTATAGAATTTACTTAAAAGAACATGTGGTGTCCTCCCATTTTAACTTTAACAATATGGCATTTATGGCCTATTCTTAAGATTAAGAATAAAAAGAACTTTATTATTCCCCGAAGAGAAATTTAGTTGTCTGTTGTCTCACTTGACATAACTCTAAAAGTGATCTGCTAGTTACACAAAGGTTAAAAAGTCTGATGCCTGTGGGTAAATTATTATTATTATATTATATTTTAATGATAATAATAATAATAATAATAATAATAATAATAATAATAATTATTATTATCATTATTATTGTTGTTGCCATTATTATGATCATTTTATCATTATTATTATTATTTTATTCTATTTTTTATTATTATAAAATACTCTAAAAGAAGTGAGAGCAGTAGTAGTGGTAGCAGTAGAAAACCAGCTTCGGGTGGAATTGCAGAATTAGTGGTCGCGGTCGCCCCCATGTGGTCATTTCGTAGAACCACTATCCTACCTCCTCCGACTTATAAATGGAGTTGTCATGGCAACCGTACAGCATGTGCTTACAAAAACAAGCGGTTGACCGTTCGCCGACAGTTCTCTCGACATTCGACATCCACGACGCCATCTTCTTCTCCGTTTTGCGTTAATCAGAGACCGAGAGAGCGGGGGGATAATCGTTTAATTCAGAGAAGGAGAGGGGAAGACCCGAAGAGTGAGGACGATGAGTGGAGCCAAAGCCCGCAGCGACGCGCCTGTTGCTGAAAATGTCTCCGGCGGCGGGCACAGCACTGCGGCTCCTCCGCGGGACCGTAAGCCCGGCGGAGGGGTTCTGAAGAGGCTCAAGTCCCGGAGGAGCCAGGTAGACAGCAGGCCCGTTACGGAGGAAGACCTGCGGACACAGAGTGGGCACATCACACCGGAGGATGTGCTCGGACTACGGGTGGCTACGCGAGGTATGAGTCTCTTGTTGATGTGGTTCACTGAAGCTTCATGCGTTGCTTTTGCTAGAATAAGTATGTTGGCATGTTGTAACCGAGTACCAAGAACATAAATTACATTGAAAGAGAAGAAATTACACAGTTTTAAAGGCTACGACAAGATATTTGTTGTAGCCTTATTATTTGACAGATGTAGGCCGACATGTGACATCATGTAGTGAGACGTTAGTGCACTGTCTCGCACTATCACCAGTGGAAAATCGTTGTGTGGAAGGCGCATGGGACTCTCAAGTCCTTTATTATTTTACTTAAACTTAATTAAGACCTCATAATGTAAGTCCTCAATAAATGTCAGATGCAAATAGCATCAGGTAGCACTTCCGTGACATCACGGTTGAGCAGGAAGACCTTATATGGTGTCCAATAAAAATGGCGACAAAACTATACACCGCTATAAATACTGCTACTTAATTTTATCTCAGCACATATCGCTGTTTTTACCTATTCTAAACTATTTTCATTTTCACTTCTATTCTTTGTTTATTTGCCTATGTTAACGTCATTTTCGGTTTTTGTACATTTTTGAAAATATTTTACTAAGTTTTGGCACCAATAGTATTTCATTGTACTTGAACCGTGACTATAAACAATATCTTATTTTATATGTTTTGTCTTTTTTCCCACTACTATCAAAGAAACTTTTTTTTTTTGAAACTGAAGTATTAAACTTTATCTGCTTCTAATGAGAGTTAGGCTTGTCAAGAAAATGTAAGTCTGTGGTATATTTTTTGGTTTTTATTCAAGCTATCACTTAAATTTCAGGGTTTTTTGTTTTGTCACAGTATCTTCCTATAGTTCTCACTAGCCACGCAATGATAACATAATGAAAGCTATATCTTCTCTGTCTTTATGGTCTGGGTATTTACACACATGTATTTATATAAAGCTGTGTGTGTCTGTGTACAAGCAAAGTGTATGAGTGCTAACAACGTCAAGCAGTGTTTTACATGTTGTATGTGGATGTCCTGGCAGCCAATTTTAGTACCTACTCAGTACATATTAACTGAAACTGCTGGAAAATCATTTCAATCTTTTAACACTTGTCCCCTTTCTGTCATTGCTGCAGGGTACCTTTGTAAACCTGCGGATAATATTTATAATATCGACTTTGTCCGCTTCAAAATCAGAGACCTGGAGACTGGCACTGTCCTGTTTGAAATTGCCAAGCCGCTTCATGCAGGTATTGTGTAGGAGCGATGGAAGAGAAAAGTTCCCTCTATCAACGCGGCATGTTACTTGAATGTAGGAGGTTTTCAGTGTGGAAAAATTTGAATGTTTCTGTTCGCAGATGATGATGAGGAGAACAGAGAAGCAGATGCCAGCGCAGGACGATTTGTACGCTACCAATTCACCCCTGCCTTCCTGCGCCTGAGGACCGTGGGAGCTACGTGAGTGACTCACACATCACCTACGCACACCTCAGGAGCACACTCACCTGTTCCATACACAAACAATAGAACAATTGCAACACTCTCTGTGTTTCTATTTATGACTACAATGTCATTATAATTACACTGAACTGCTGTAACACCTCAGCCTCTTTGCTGTCTGTGTTATTTAATCAGGGTGGAATTCACAGTTGGGAACAGGCCTCTAAACAACTTTCGCATGATCGAGAGGCACTACTTCCGTGACCACCTACTGAAGAGCTTTGACTTTGACTTTGGCTTCTGTATCCCAAACAGTCGAAACACCTGTGAGCACATCTACGAGTTTCCTCAGCTGTCTGAGAGCCTGGGTGAGTCCTAAGCCTTAACAAGTCATACTTAAAAACTACCTTCAAGACCACCGTGTAAAAAGAGCAATATATTAAAGCAGACTTCAGGAACATCTATCCCAAGAGTTTTTTGTCTAGGATGAAACTAAAATGACTTTTACGCAGTCTCAGCACACTGTACATGCCATCAAAACAGAACAGCAGTTGATGTTTTTATAATTGTTTTTTTAATCCTTACCTGTCACGGAGGAACACTCAAGTGAAGTTTACATTGAAGTATAACTAGCAAGCATTTTGGTTGTGATTCTGCAACTTGCATTAACAAGTCAGTCACAATTCTTCTTGTTTGCATGTTGTATCCATGCTGTTTGCAAGACACTGTCATCTAAATAACTGTCCTAACTCTTGTCAGATGTCAAGGATTTATATGAAGGTGCTAAATCTATAAATCGCGCCTGAAGGTTTGTCTGTCTGACTTCTGTTGACACAATAAAGTTTTAAGTACAGGGGCTAACTGCTTCAAATGTCCACATAAAGATTGGATAATAATAGGGGTACTTTTGAGTCCATACGAGTTGTTGGTTGCTGCAACTATCCCTCCACCCCATTCCAACTGTGATTATGCTTTGACTTGGTAAGACACCTCTGATCGCTGAAAAACCCTTTCTATCAAAGGCTCATTTGAAAAGTCTACACTATCCATTACATGTCCTCAGTAACCTACAAAAAACTCCAAAGAGTCTCACACCACAGTGGGTCAACAAAAGACACTAACAAGTGGGAAACAAAAAAAAGCTTTCTAACTCTGGATGGGCCTCACTTATCTTTGAACATTTTAAGTGCTGAATCTCATTTTTGCTTAGAGTGTACCAGTAATTGCTGTTAATTTAATTAAGTATTGTTTCACGGCAAGTAGGTTACAGCAGGGAGTGGAGGAAGGATCAACAAAACATAATTGCTTTAGTGTAAATAATGTGTTAGTGAGAATCATAACAAGGCAGCTATAGATCATTTGAAAACTTTCCTATCATGCTACTGAAAACTTGTTGTGTAATGATGGCTATGATTCTCAAGATGGTTACATGGTTATCCTTGTGACATGCAAATCAAGTTTTAAATGTTATTGTCATTCTAGAGGGACAGCGGGGTCGCTCAACTGACTAAACTAAACCAAAGTCTGAGAAACAGAACCATCGGGCATTTCTAGATGCTTTGTTATTATAAATATAGATATAAATTTCTCTGGTTTACACAATCATTCTCATTGCTAAGGAGTAAATGTATAATACTGTGGACATCAAAGCTTTTGTTTGCATCATGGAAATTCATTAAATTCATTATCTGTGTTACAGTTCGTCAGATGGTGGAGTGTCCTTACGAGACCCGGTCAGACAGCTTCTATTTTGTGGAGAACAGACTGGTCATGCACAACAAGGCAGACTATGCTTACAATGGAGGACAGTGATCTCTGCCTGCAAGCATGCAAACACACACACACTTAAACACATCCATAAATACATACATGTTCCCACATTTATAGATACACATGCACACACATGGCTGAACATACATGCAGTTCTTCCTCTCATACATGTAAATAAACAAGCGGCTACAGACAAAATTTAATTGTGGCTTTCATCTCTTAAGGTCAACCAGCATTCATGGAGATCATTATCAGATGATGTGCTGATGGTAGAGGAGGTGTTCTCTGCCATACTAACAGAAGAAAAAAATACAAAAAGGGAAAAGGGGTAAATCATCAGCTTTTAATTATGAACAGATGTGTTTTATCCCAAAAAAAGGATCCAGCACTCTAGTGGCCACGTGAAATGTGTCTCAAACAGACCAAACGGTTATTAGAGAGTCCCTCTTGGCAGTTTTAAAAGTGTCCTACCACCCCCTCAACACACATCCACATAGGCGCACACAAACACGCTCTATCCCCAAGTGACACACATAGTGTTTATGCAGTGTGTGTCAGAAGCAGCTGTTCTCAGAGCTACCGCCTCCACAATCCACTCCAGACAATACCGGGGGAAGGAAGGGAGAAACCATCCACCAATACACTCCTGTCAAATACACATGGTCACTTCAGCATCCCCCTTCCCATCTCCCCCTCCTCTCTGGAACTCATATAAACACACAAACACCTAATCTACAGTACTGTATAAGGTTATGATCGAAGGTTTGTAAGATGGAGCAGCAACTTCTTGTGGTGAATAGTTAAGAAAAAAATGTCCATAAGTTTGAAAGCCCTGAGCCAACATGCGTCAATACATATTACAGACTCTTTTGTCAAGTTTCTTATTGCTCTCTTCAAATATTGACTGACTTTCCTTGTGATCTAGGGGTCAAAAAGCTTGTTTTCAAGGAATAACGGAATGATTTTATGTTGATGTGGAAAATATGGCAATAAGCTGGTGGTCACTGTGGTTGATCAGACCACAACATGCCATGCTGCCATTACTGACGCTAATAATTGTGTAATAAATTAAGCCTATTTCGTTCATTGTTTTGTAGTTTTTGCAACTCTGGGGAAACGACATATGATCACCTGGTGTTGAGAGGAAATCTCCAGAAAACGTCTCCAATTTACTAACCAGTGGCAAATGGATGCATGTCTGCTTGGGGCTTCCATACTTTAGTTCAGAAAGGGGCAGGCATTATCTGACATCATAACCGTGGCAAAAAAAAAAAAAGTTTGTAAAACATTGTTCTCAGTGTAAAAAAGTACATATTAATAAGTGGACTTGGCCTTCTGGAAGTGTAACGTTCTTGTAAAGACACATCAGATACCCCCAGCTTCATCTGAGATTTTTAAGATGTATTTTTTTAATCATAACTCTCTCTCTTTCTCTCTCCCTCTCTCTCTCTCTCCCTCTCTCTCTCGAATGTCTTGAAACATAAAAATCCAGCTGGATAATGTTTGGAAACTGAGTGGTCTTTCACCTATATCTAGTGTCCTTTCTATTTGTACTTTGTAAACTTTGGTGTTCAGGGTTAAAGATGGTGTTTGTAAAAGAAAAAATCTATATACTTTGTAAAAAGTGATCAAAAAATAAATGTACATTTTCTGATACAACATGTGCCATATTTTAATCGCTCAGTTATGTGGAGTACAGGATTTGAGCTGACTTTGGTGAAGGGCACAAACTGAAGTACTAAAAATGGCCACTGGGAGGAGTTATACCATAATTAGTTTATAAATGGAGGCCACTGCGCTCAGTTTAGCTCTATGTTCATTTTTTCTGCAGTGTTTTTTTTTTCTTCATGATTATTCTGGGTTGTGTGGCTGTCACTATCTGGTATTTGCTTTGAACTTTTCATGAGGTCATGATGTTAACCTTTACATTTCTTCATGGCTTTGGTTTCACTGCAGAGAGGTCATAACACTGATCATATCGTTTTAATCATGTCATTATCTTTACAAACTTCAAGTGATTGGCTAGCTGAGCTGTAGGCGTTACATTTTTGCAGTACATTTATAAAACTCCTTACACTTTGATCATCCATATACTGGAGCCCTTTTTGGAGTTAAACCAAAATCTGATCCTCTCTCTGTTTACTCTGTCCCTGGCTGTTCACACTATCTCTGTGCTCATCTCTTGATCTCGCTCAGCCTCTCTCAGTTTCCAGCTCTCATGCCCAAAAAATCCTCATGGTCTGCTCTTCCCGTGCCTCACCTTTTCTGTTTCTCTCTCCACACCTAGGCAGCTCTCCCTCCCTCACTCTCATGCTCTGTTTTCCCTTTTCTTTCCTCCTGTCTCACCTGGTAACCAGACCTCTGGAGAGGAGTGTTGAGTTTCCACTTTCCCAGAGAAGAGGACAATCTGAGCCACACAAAGACCCACAATGGACCCCCTCTGCTCTCTCCCAATTTCCCTCTGTCACTGCACAGCTGCACATACACACACACTGAAACACACTTTTATAGAAACAGACAGAAAATAAGTAAGAATACACAAGTCTCTGCCTGCTATTGCACCTTTTCTGTTTACCTCTGCTTTTATGTTCAGTTAATTTTACAAATAACCCCCTTCATTTTTACTGTTATCAACCTTTCTCTGTTGTTCTGTGACTCAGTTCTCTCTGTCGCTGCAGTCTTCTTATTGAGATATTTATCAAAAACACTTCCTGGTTACATCAAGTTGAGGATATGAGATCACTGACTTTTTAAGATGTGGCTAACAGCTTAGCAAGGTCTTCAGTACAGCAAAAAGGTTGTTATACTTTGCATTTTAGCATTTGTGTTATGGTTGTTTAAAACAGGAAATAGTCGGGAATTTAATAAAGTACATCTTACTTCACATGAGTGAATACTGATGTGCTCTTCTAACTATTGGAGAAGGGTTAGCTTCAAACAAAAAAGCATGACAGTAAACAGTTGTTTTAGGCATTTGTTTCTGATCACCAGAGAGACTCAAGTCCAACTTGTGCTCTCCTCCACACAAGTCTTCAGAAGAATTCTTTCTTTCTAGTTGTCAAACACTTTGCAATGTACATAAGCTGCATGCTGACTTTACTTCTTTACTTCTTTGTGCTTAGCAGTTAGCATACAGTGGGCTAATCACAACTTTTTCATTAAAACAGGTGTCTGCTATGACTAAAAGCCATCAAGATGAGAGGGGTGGGCTAGAATCATCAATTAAATTGGATGTCAAACTCACAAATAACAACAAAAAGTCAATCAAAATGATCAGTAGGTACATGGAATTAGCATTGTTGGATTTGTGTATAGAATATTTTGTTGTTTTAGTAAAATTGTCAATGACTGCAGCTTAAATAGCTCAAGAAGACACGTTTAAAGGGATATTATGGCATGAAATTTAGGGTCAAACACACGCCCCCTTCAGAGATGAATGTTGCTGACCTCTTGCTTCTCTAGTTATACCAACTTTAGTAACGACCGTACGATGGCAATACACAGCGCTCTGAGGAGCCACACATAAACCTCGACGAAAATGCCACTCTATAGCCATAAATAATGCTCAGAACAGCACCTAACTTCATTAACAGTACATATAGGGTCCCAGCCATAGTACTAGCCACCAAACATCTTTTTAACTTTGCCTAATTTCTTGAACAAAGAGACTAAACACAACTCACCTACTCTCTTCCAGCAGCCGCTTCGGGCCAGTCCATTACGGACTCCAGTGGTGTGACGCAGCTCAAGGAAGAACATTTATGATCATTTCTCCATGGAAATGCAATCAGACCGAGACACTAAGGCAGAAGAACTACTGTGTCTGCAGTACAAAATGATTAATATGATGATTATTACTTCAAGGAAATGATAAAGAAATGATCATAAATGTTCTTCCTTGAGCTGCGTCACCCCGCTGTCGAGTATCTCTCGACGGGGTGTCTAACTCGGTGTTACGGTGTGTTTGGCCCTAAATTAATTTTACGCTGGAATAGCCCTTTAAGTAGACTAATTTTACCATCAATGGAGAATTTTTAATACCATCCCACTCTCTTGAATGACAGGAAACAAAACACAAAGCAACGCCACCTCCCTGTTTTAATATCAAAGCTTTCAGCAACCTTCAGACATTTAAAAACTTCACATCAGAAAATGACGCTCCCCTGTAACGGGAATTAAAATTAATGGTGAGAAGATCTGATGTGTCGGTTGCTGATTAGAGCACAAAGCAGGGCACAATCGTGAGCTCATAAATCAATAACCACAGCCTTCCATCAGGCTGTCGGGCCTGTTCACTGCAGCACGCACTTAAACGCAGCTGTATTGCCCTGAACCACGTGTTGGTACCATTCAAATCCCAATATATCCAGTCAGGGTGTTTACAATGAGTATAAGCACATGTACGGACACAAAGATGGCAATAAACACACACACTTTCATGGGATGATCTGTGTGTTCTCAGGCCTTGGTGGAATACATTTCAGGAGTCAGTCATGGATCGACACACACGCACCGGAAACAACTGGACAGGTGGGATAAATCAGCCTCATTCTTCCCCTCCCCCCTCTTCATACACACACACACATGCACACCTATCTTTGTGATTGGCTTTTCCATATATCCTGTTCAGTGAATCACACTGAGTTGAGATTAGGAGTGAGAAGCACTGGTTTATTGAGGTCCCCCTGAAACACACATACACTCTCACTCTTTCACAGACACACACACAGATGTACACTCAGGCGGGGACAAGGGGGACAGTGGTCGCCTATAAATAGTAGCTAGGAATGGCGTTGATAGGTCCTGTGAAAAGAAATGGAGGGGGGAGTGGAAAAAGGATTAAAAGAGATACAGGAACTCACTGCTACTCCACTGATTTGTGTGTGTGTGTTTGTGTGCACCTCTAAGATACTTATGAGAGACGTGGTATGGATTTCTTTCACAAAACTCTCTCTCCCCTCTCTCTCTCTCTTTAGACCCTCTTCCCATCACATCACTCGTCCACTTCCTCCTTCACATTTACAGTACACACTTCCTCATCCTTCTTTCTCATCCTCTCTCCACCACGCTCTCCCTGTCTTTCCCTTTCTCCTCTTCCTCTCTTCCGTCTTGCTCCAAGGCCCCGGTGTGAAGTCCATCATGTGTTAACACTGCATTACCCGAGGTACGTCATCCGACAAAGAGATGATGAGTCACGCCACAGTCTTGTCTTCTAGGTCGCCACAGCGATGGTCTCAGAGATGGTCGTGACTCTATCTGTATGTGTCATTATGTCATTTCCAGCAATCGTTCAGTGACATCAGCCCAGCCCTAGAAAGAGGTCAGGGCGGGCACAGCACATGGTGCATGTAAATATGAATAAACATCTATTCAGGGGTTTAAAAACTGCTTCGTCATCACTTCTTTTCAAACACTCGGGGTGTAACAGCTCGCTCGAGAGTCACTTTTAAATGAACATCTCTTTTTTTCCTGAATAGATGAGGTAGTTTAACAACATGCCAGTCAAAGCTGGGAAGATGTGACAGATGATAACAGATAATTAGTTATCCGGGAGAAAATAATGCACTCGGTACAACAGTGATGGATAGACAGGCCTTTAACAGACTGTGATTCTCCTACCAATTTCCATGGTGGCAAGAGCAGTATTGACAATCTGTCTTTAAGTGTTAGGTCTCTGCTGATTTGTAACCAGACGCTTTTGTGCTCCTTCTCTGCTGTGTGTGTATGTGTGTGTTTCTCTGCGTTTGTCCGCCCAACTGTCTGTGTGGTATTACAGTGTAGACCTCCGCTGCTGCTTACTCTTGTGGAGCAGACAGACAGAAATAGTCCTGTGTCATCCGGGTAAATAGGTTGTGGTCTGTTTGTGCTTGCAGGAAGCCCACAGCCGCCTTTTGGAAGTCTCTCAGAGCCTTTCCCTACCGTCAGTCCAGCTTGTTTGTATGTGTGTGTATGATTAATAAAAGGTTAACACAACCTTCAGTCAACTTTTGAAGAGGCCTGTAAATCTCCCCCTCAATCTCTTCCTTCCTCTCCCTTTCTCTCCCCTCTTTGTCTCACTCACTCTGCCACACCTTCCCCCAGGGGATGGAGGGATTGTGATCGGAGAACGGAGGTGGAGCTGCTGGCGCAACCACAGGTGTGCTTCTCTTCTCTCATGTAATGATTTCTTTGGCTCGCCACCTGCCAGGTGGAAAAAACACCCACAGCAAATGGAGCGCTTATAAACGGCCTCCTGGCTTCCGCTTTGAAAGACTCTTTGCTTTTTCTTGTTTGTCTTTAACTACAAAAACATTTACTGTGTTTCTTTTCTAATAACCTTTACATGATTTTTTTTCCCCAGCAAGGTCTTCCTGGATCTACTTGTTGCTGGTTTACATTTTGCATCACATGCAAATGTTGCCTGAAGCAAACAGCTGACAGAGCCACAGCCTCTAGCTTTTCGGTTGGTCAAAATTGCCTTTTCCCCCCTCTCTGCTGACTTCCTTGACCCTCTTTCAGTCTGCCTGGAGGGTGGTAGAGAGCCATCCCAGGCCCTTGTTGGTCAAAGGTTGCTCTCAGACAAAAAAAGGGTTCCCACACTGGGTCAGCTTTGGGCAAGGAAACAAAAGCAGTGAGGACTTGGATTGGACAAACTGCCGTTGTGTTTTAAGGTGGCAGAGTGACAATAAGACAGAGGAGGGAGAGGGTGCAGAGCAGAAATGAAAAGTGCAATGTGAGCACAAGTGGAAACCTGTCACATGGCCCCCTCCACCACCACCACACACAATAAGACAATTGAGCTTTTCCGTGTACTTGACAGGATTTGAGAGAGTAAAAGTTTGTGGCTTTAGGCTCTATTTAAGGTTTGCCACACTTGCAAAGAAGCTTGAAATCTTCTCTCAACTGTCCATGTCACTCTTTTGTATATGATGGGTTGCATTGTTCTCCTCCTTTTAGTGTTTTAATGAAAAGTTTTCATCGCTCTATCTACTTGTGTCCTTTCACGTGGCTCGAACTTGCCCTCTCCCCTCCCCCACGCTGCTGTCTTTCCCCTCTCTTTTTTATTCAGTGCCATTGATCATGCATGCAGAAATTTAGCACGCCCAGCCATGGCACTGGCCAGGATAGGTTAGCTAGTGCAAGGCCCTGTCCTACATACTGTTCTCTCGCCATGGTCCACCAGGCCACAGTCACACCCTCCCCCTGCTCCCCCTGATCTCCCTGCACTGCAGCACACACACACACACACACACACACACACACACACACACACACACACACACACACACACACACACACACACACACAGCAGCCCGCTTCAGAGCATGTACATACACAGACCATCATGTGGTGCTGGGAATGTTAACTCATCCTAAAACTTAGTCAGGTGCAGAGCAGTTTGATTTTTTCTTCGAGTCAGACTCTCTTCCAACACATTTTACTCACTCACTCACTCACTCACTCACTCACTCACTCACTCACTCACTCACTCACTCACTCACTCACTCACTCACTCACTCACTCACTCACTCACTCACTCACTCACTCACTCACACACACACACTAAAGTTTAATATGAAGAGGCTAACAGCTCCATTGTAATAAGATTAGAGCATCCACATTACTAAAAATAAAATCACAGCTTGTCAGATTTATCCCTCACTGAAGTCGCCAAAACCCACTTGACCTCACCAGCTAAAGACATACATCATTTCAGTGCTGTAAAGTTTGAGTTTTCTCATGTATCAAGGTCCAAATGAAGCAATCACATTCCACATAACTGCTGTTGCACTTGTTTCACTTTTGTTCAAGCCGCTGAGGTATGTGACGAAAGTGCTCAGCTGACCAGGCTTGCCCTGGCCGAGAGGGAGCCTGACTTAGAAGTAATGCTGCTAATCTTCCACTTAGCTGGTTAGGACAGCCTGTCACGTGGGATGAAAGAGAGAGAGGGAGAGTAAGGGAGTGGGTAAGATCAGGTTTAGATGTGGGGTTAAACTGTGATTGGTTAAGAAGAAGGATGAAGGGTGTAGAGTGTCGATCACAGCTGTTTTGGATGTGATGGATGGGGATGAGAGCTGGGCAGAAGGAGCAGGTGGGCTGAGGGGTGTGTGAGGGTGGGCTGAGGCCAAGGGATTGATGGGTGGAGAGTAAATCAGAAGAGGGTTGCTTAAAGGTGTGTTCATGATTTGGGATGTGTGGTTTACAATAGTGATAACAAAAAGCTAAGCCTGGGAACTAGTCAGTCGACTCTTTTGTGGTTGACATCACAATGACGTCACTGGAAGCACAACTGGAGGCAGACATGAATTGCCGCTACAGGGTGGAAGACAATGCTGTCTTGCAGTTTACGTTGTGTTACACCTTGGGGGTTATTCAGTAGTACCTGTATTATTGTGACATCACATATTACAGCACACAGGTTCACACCACATTACATCATTTTTAATCCCATTTAACTCAGTCTTGTTGGATCATCACATTGCATCATGTACATCACATATATAATGTGATCACATATATAATGTGATGTGGGGTCACATCGCATGACAACTTGACACCAGATCACAATACATCCTATTTTACAATTTCACATTTTTACTGTTGAACCAAATGAGATCACAGAGTCTTTTGTTACACCGCATCACATTGAGTCATCCATATCCACATCACATCTAATGTCATCTAATATTGCATTACATCTTCACACAACCATAAGGTCATGTTATGACCCATAGGTTTATATTCTATCATGTCAAACTTAAACACCTTACATCAAATCATGTTGGGCCAGTATGTCATGTCATGCAGGGTACGGTTGCATAACATGCCATCTAATTGATCAAAATACTATTGTTCTCACATAATTCAGAACTTGCTTGTCAGGCTGAACGCTGACACCAGAAAATTGGAAATGGCTCCAGTCATCTGTATAGTATAGTATAGTATAGTATAGTATAGTATAGTATAGTATAGTATAGTATAGTATAGTATAGTATAGTATAGTATAGTATGGTACCATTAAATATGGTAAGGTCAAGTTTTAAGTAGAATGGTATAATATGGTGCAGTATGGTAAAATATAGAATGGTATAGTACAGAATAATATTGCAAAGTATTGTATAGTTTGAAATAGCATAATGTAATAAAGCATAGTATAGTATTGTAAAGTTTAATGTAATATAGTTAAGTATAGTACTTTTCAAAATGTACTGTGACATATAGATTATTGTATTATACAGTATAAAATAGTATATTGTTGTTAAGTACAGGGATGTATATTTTAGTGTAATATAGTATAGTATTAGATAGCATAATACAACACAGTACATCGCAGTGTAGTACAGTAAAAACTGAATCTTAAATTAATTGTAGTATATTATAGTATATGGAATAAAATAGTATATTGTTATATATATATATAGTAAAGTATAATTAAATGTTGTATGATAAAGTATAGTACAGTAAAATATTGCACAGTACAGTAAGGTTTATTCTAGTATAGAAAAGCATAGCATAGTAAAGTTTGATAGAGTGTAGTATAGGAAAGTAAAGTATTGCAAAATATAGCATAGTATAATATAGAAAAGTACAAATGGCTTTGTTAGTATAGTATATTATAGAATAGTACATTGTAGTTTAGTAAATAGTAATTTATGGTTGTACTATTTAGTATGGTATACATAGTGTAGTATAGAATAGCATAGTACAGTAAACAATAAAGTTTAAAGTGGTACACTATAGTAAAATATTATGTAGTGTTATATAATTTAATTTAATAAGGGCTAGTGTGGTTTAGTATAGAAACTATACTGTAAAGAAATGGGATGGATGCTTAAATCATATTTTATCACAAACTATCGTTACATGTTAAATCACATCTTTTCCAATACTCATACACATGAGGTCACATCACATATAACATAAGAGCCCATATCACATTTTACAATGTACAATAGGGTTATTGCAGTGCATCAGAAAGGGTATCAAAAATGTACAATGGTAATTTCAAAATATGGTCTATAGAATCACATCACATCATAGAACATAATGTACGGTAAAATACCTTGTTTTACATCAAATATAATCACACCACAATTTTTATTGGATCTCATCACATTCAGTCTCTTGATATCGCTTCTTTTTAAATTATACAACATCACATCACATTACATCATACCTCATTCAGACGTACGTCAGAATTTAACGTGAATAACCCCTTTAAAGTAAACAACCTCAGTGACCTCTAAGCAATGAATGACTTCATAAGCAGCCTGCTGCTTTATGTAATCTGCTGTCTGAATAAATGTGCTGGGAGCAAGTATCCTGGTTACAGATGTCCCATATCACCTGAGACCTAACCTGGTGCAGCAGGACGAACATCATTTCCTCTCACTTATACTTCAAATCCAGCGAAGAATTGACCAAATATGGAGCAGTAACCAATGAGTGGCAGCAGGATATCTTGAGCCACGACGCTGTTTTGCAGATGTAAACGCTGCTTTGTATAGTGGAATTGATATTTATGAATATTGCGATTTAATTCCAGATGTGTTTGAGTTTGAATGTAAGAGAATTGATAAGAAAAATAGCCTCTGCATCTCCAAACATTCAAATCGCTTTAATGGGCCATGCTGCTGAGATCGACCAATGACAAGGACGGCGGGGAAACACTACAGAGAGCGCCAGTGGCAGCATGAATAAAGGCAGGCAACGTGCAGGAGGGAGGAAGGGGGAGGTGGGAGGGGAAGAGAGAGGGAGGTCCGAGGCTGAGGGTAGGCTACGGGAAAAACGAGGTAGGGGGCGGGGCCTGTCTCTGAGCGTGTATGCATGCATGTGTGCGCGTTTCCTCGCTCAACCCCTCCTCCTTTTAGCCACCCTACCCCCCACCTCCCTCCCCTCTCCTCCCCTCGCTCTCTCCCCTCCCCTCCCTCCCTCGGCTGCCCGCCCCTGAGTCTGGAGCAGCAGCAGCAGCAGCAGTGGAGCTTCACTGCCTCTCCTCGCCTCACAGTGCGGGAATATAGCAGCGGAGAGCAGAGAATGGATACGGAAGGGAGCCAGAGCAGCCTGTCCTCCGGCACGGACAACTCCCCCCACGACCCCTGGTAACAGCCCTTAGCCCGGCCGCACGCGCTTTCGCTCGGCTCTCGGCCCGGTTTGAGTTCACCTTGGACTTTAGTTTAGTTCAGTGCGGGAGAGGAGCCGCGCCGAGACAAAAGACAAGCACGCTGTGTGTGTGTGTATGTGTGTGTCTGTGAATGTGTGTGTGTGTGTGTGTGTGTCTGTATGTGTGGGATGGATCCACTCAGCACAGAGGAGACACAGACGCGCCGCGGCTTCCTCTTGTTTGTTTATTTATCTCCATTTTCCTCCATTACAACTTCTCCATCATCTGGAGGACCCTCTCCCTTTTCCTCCTTCTCTAGGGGATTATAACGGCACCACTGGCCGATTGGTGACTTCGCAACATGGCCGATGCTTTCTTCTTACTTTATTGATGCTATATACATGTAATTCCCCCACCGTATAGTCCCCCCTATTTACTGTGCATACGTTGTGCTTGAGAGACGCGTGTTATCCTGTGTGACTTACAGCTTGTATTTCTCTCATTCAGCAAAATGTTCATCGGGGGTCTGAGTTGGCAGACAACACAAGGTGAGCTGTCCCGCACGCTACTTTAATAAGTCTGACTGAAAGCCTAGTCTTGTTTACTCCTGTTTTTTTCTTCTTCTCTTGCTCCCCTGAAAGCCCGAGAGTCTGTGTGAAGTTAAGGAGAAACACTGTAAATAGTTAAATCAAAGCCCTCTTTTCAATAAGGATCAGCTCTTTGGATTTAGACTTGCTGAGACGCAGGGAGATTAACACGGGGAAATGCATGCACATTCAACCACTTTGTCTGCCTTTCATTACATGGAAGGGCATTTCTAGTGAAAGACGTCAAATATTGTGCGTAAAAGCGCAAGTTGGGCGCATATCGATGCCCGCGCTTATGTGTTGTTTTCCTTATTGTTGCACTCCGTTGAATCCATTCATTTCTTTGCGCCGGCTGCTGCATGAGGACACTTTATTCTTATATAGGATGGCCCGTGTTATTCTCCCACTGCTGCTGCTATCGTCACCAAGTGTGGCCGTGTATGTAATCCACGGGGCCTAATGGGCTATTATGCTGAATGGCCAGATAGCCTAGAATCTCAGTAGACTGGAGGGGACACACAAACACAACGTGGTCTGCCCGACCCCATTGTCTCTCTCCAGCAACCTCACCAAGGCCTGTGGATAAAACCCGATATTTTGGGTTGATTTAACAGGTTTTCTTTTTGCTTGTGTTCCCAGAGGGCTTAAAGGAGTACTTCTGTAAATTCGGCGAGGTGAAGGAGTGCATGGTGATGCGGGATCCCGTTACCAAGCGGTCGAGGTAAGAAGGAGGCGTGTGCGCTCCGTCGTCCTATCACTGGATGCCTCATGCTCTGCCATGCTTTTGCATTAGACTGTCGTGAGTTTGCATTTTGTTTTCTTGTTTCCTAAAGCTGATTTGCCTTCTTTGTTGTTTATGTTTTCTTTCCCAGGGGGTTTGGGTTTGTGACATACGCAGAGCAAGCCGGCGTTGAAAAGGTTTTGGCGCAAAACAGACACGAGTTGGACTCCAAAACGGTGAGCTCTTTTCAGCCCTTGTGAAGAGCTGGATGCTGCCAGCTTGAGCAACTTTTCCAATTTCACTTCTGTGTTGCATGTTTTTTCTCTCTTTCCCCTCGGTGCATTTTGCCTCCCACCGTATGGCTTGTGAAGTTGAGGAGTAGGTTGTGGAGCACCCCTCCTCCTCTTCTCCCACCTCCTCCTCTCCCTCTGCTCATTTCCCCCTCCAAATCCCGGTTCAGGGCGCCAACATGAAAGCGTTCTTTCTTGGTCTTCATTGCCATGGTTACCTGGGGACCTGAGTGGGGTAGGAGCCCCTTGCAAAACCCTCAAAGGGTTTATGCAGAGAGAGAGAAGTTTTTTTTCTTCATAGAAAATAACAGCAACGTTTACTACGGGCAGGAGGGAAGACAAAGTTTGAGGGAAAGGAAACAGTTGTGTTAGTGGTTCTTAAACTGCTGTCAGTGGGAGGAAGTCTTCTGTGAGGTCCGAATGAGTCTTAATTTCAACATGGATGCTGAGGTTTGTTTGAACAACTGCTGTGATCTGTAGTTTCTCTGTCATTTTCCCTCCTACACCCATACTCACTCATGAAGATTCAAATGTGGGCTAATTGGAAAAACAAGTCACAGAAAAATCTAAAGCACACCATTTCTGCCTTTCAGTGTACACCTTTCTTAAGGGCAGCTGCAGTAAAACACGTGTGAATCCCTGTGGTGTGTAGTTTGAAGAAAAACCAAAGCAGCTGACTCAGATTTAAATATCTATGAATGTGTGAATGCTTATGTCTTGGTCATGTAGATTGGTTGAAGCAGTGGGGCCTGGGTGTGTCTTAGTCAGCTTGTGGCTTCTCCTAACCACACACACACACATGCACAGGGTTCAGCATACACATACACACACACACACACAATAGGATCATTTGAGAGTGAAAATCAGTGGCACAGAAAGGCAGCAGTGCCCAGGGGTGGAGAAAGGTAGAGTTGGTTAGTTGTTGGAGCAAGCCTGTTGCTGGGGGTGACGCCAGCCACCGGAGACCGTGCTGCAACTGCACGGCCTGATGGGATTTACGTCTCCATAACAACTTCTCAGCTATTTTGCATTAACTTAAGACACTCGGCTTGGTCGGGAAGCAGAGCTCTGACTAAGTAATATGAGTTTGTATGAGTGTGAAGGGTAAATTTGTGTGTTTTTTTAGTGCAGAAAGTTGGATGTTTGTGGACAGTTGCTGTGATTTTTATGATTTACAAAATGCCGCTCGTAATCGGACATTATTTTTCTCCAAATAGCTTGGAAGAAGCTTCTAAGCAACTGTAAAGTGTTAGCCAGTGAGTCATGTTACCTATTAAAACTAGGTACAGTGTTTAAGAGCCAGGTTGTGTGTGTATGAGTGTGGTGTGAGCACTGGTTAGGAGGCAGCTCAGCCTGGCAGGCCTCTGGTGGGGTTAGGCGTTGCCCTATTATAAACCAAAATACAGCACAGGGCTAAACAATAATAATAATAATAATAATTGAACCTCTCAAACACTGCTTTGGATGATTTGATTGTTGTGGCAGCAGTGTGCGAGGGAAGGATGGCATGGTATCCAACCAGGTGTTTTAAAAAAGGGGGTTTGGTTGCCATTTTGTTGACGGGCTTTAGAAATAAGAACTCAGAGTTGTCTCTCCACACAGGTTTGAGCATTTCTTAGATTTATGAGGGCTGTATCTGTAAAAAATATATATATAATGACTCTTGAACTGTGTTGCTTAAAGTCTTATTCAACAAAACGCATCACATAAAAGATCTAAGTAGACATGGCACAGCAGCAAAAAGAGCTTATATCTTGTCTCAGTTACGACCTCAGTTAACTCATAAAACTAGTCAAACTGTGTAAAGCGCCAATCACCTAAATACGATTGTGATTTGACTCTGCAGATGTTTGGGACCAACTTCTCAGCAACACCTGTTTCATTTGAACTCTTTTTTTTCTGATTTATTTATTTTTGGTGCACTCTGTGTCCTCCCCACACCTGGACTCCCCTCTCCCTCCCTCTCCCTCTCCCTCTCCCTCCACAGTCAGATGAGGAATAACTATTGTTTGATCAGCGTGAGATGTGAGAAAAATGGTCCTCTCCGGAATAAGGAGGAATCACTCACTGCTCTGATTTTTGTGTTTTCCCTTTTTGCGCGGAGTTTTTGATTTTTTGCGAGCTAAGAAGCTGTGACGCCTGCAGCAGTAAGAAGAGAAACTGGGAAGGTGAATAAAAAAAAGGATGTGACAGAGCAACAGGGTGCTGTTTGAGGACAGGCAGTGTGAGAAGTAAATTACATGAACTGGTGCAAGGTCCAAATTCTCTTGGTTGCAAGTGGTATTAAACATTTACAGTCTGGTTACTTACAATATTGTTTGCATTCTTTGAAAGCAGGATCTACAACCTTTAAAGACTCCTTGGACTTTGTAGAAACTGTCTTTACCTGTGAGCCGAACATTTAGATAGAGCAAATGATAGGTTGTCTGTTTTTTTTCTAAGTGAGGTCTGTTGAGGTTGTTGTTTTGGTTGGAGGTTAGATTTCCTGCCCGGCCACAGTTTGGCCTGAGGGCAGTGGTGTGCTGTTTTGTTTCTTTGGAAAGAGAAGAAGGCACAACTGGTATTTGTTTTCTTGGGGAGACTCTTTACTGGATTCACTCATAAGAAGAAGAAAAGAGAGGGCCAGATATTCTCTGAAACTTCTCAGATTAGTGCCGTAGGAATTTTAGATTTGGGTTTGTTATTATTTGAGGCACAGATCTAAGAAATTCAGGTGGGTTCGGATTTGTCCTTGAAAATGAAGCACATTTTTAATTGACTGATTCAGGCCAAAAAGCGGTGAATTTGTGTTCCAGTTTGTAAAAATTCTGATAAATAAGGTTGTATTACAGCTGTGTTTAAGTGAAGCTTGAAATGCTTACAAAGTCGTATTTTGTTCATGATCCATGATAAACATGTGGGAAAATATTTAATAAAAAAGAAATATATGATAGACTTTATTTTTCTTTTTCATGTTTTATGCTATCTAATAGAAATGCCCTTTTCAAAGTGTGCCAAAGTAGGTGTTAATTGCTGCTTTTTTCCACTACCGCCTGTGAAGGTACAGTCATAGCAACCAGCATGGTGCTAATGTAGCTGTTTTCATTTATAGCCATGCCCTGTAACAACATATGGTAGCACCAGCCTCTGCGGACTGTTGGCACTACAGTCTGCCACGGCTAACACCTGGTTAGTGGAGAGTTTCTTCAAATGCTAGCACCAGCCCCTCGCTCCTGACTCCAGATTAGCTGTGATTGCTGACGTGGACAAAACTGCAAAAAGGGGGCGAGATGGCGAAGGTGGAGGAGAGAGGAGGGAGGCCCTGTTCCTGTGCTGTAATTAGTATAGATCTGAAAAGCAACTAATCGGATTGAAGGCAGCAAACTGGATTGGGCTTCCGAAGGTCCGTGCTCGGCCTCAGATCCGAGGTTAAAGCCTGGACCTGCTTTAAAGGGGTGGATACAGGGTTTCTCCGTCTTCGTGCTACATGTGCTCCAGCCACACCCCCTCACACCACCGCCCTGGCGTGGCACCCTAGCAGGGCTACAGGGGTGGGGTTGTGTTGAGTAGTGGTGGTGGTGGTGGGGTCCTCATTAGTGAGCTTCGTTAACTAATTACTGTGCCATTGTTCAGCTGTGCAGATTGACCCGGCTGGCCTAGACCCAAACCAAGTCTCTCTCACTCTGCAGGCACTGACACGCCAGCTTCCTTTTGTCCCCTCTTGTGTTTATAGTTTTTTGTTTAGCTTATATTGATTATTGTGCCATAATAGGGCAGCCTGTGGTGCCTTTTTACCAGCATGGGTGTTTGCCATTTTGTTGCAGGAATGTCTTGGCAAACGTGTCAGAGCTTGAACGTCTATATATGACTGGTTGTTGTAAGTTTGGAAAGGATGCATTAGTGTAAATTGTGTTTTTTTCCGTTTCCTCGCCAGCCTAATTACATATATGTGTCACTGTATATACACTGTATATGTGCTAGTGTATGTGCTACATTATGTGGGTGCATGTGTGTGTCTGTGTGTGTGTATATGTGTGCCTGTGGGGGTAGCACGGGAGCCCCAGTTCCTCTACGGGCCCATCTGTTTTGTACTCTTTGTCCTGTTAATTAATGAAATCAGAGGGGCTGCCTGCTGGGACGGCCCTGCTTGCACCGCTACGCCGGACAGGCCCACTTTCTCATGAGCTGACTCTGTTTTCCAAATGAATGCCTCCTCTTTCTCCCCATGCTTTCTCATTTTCACACTCTCTCTCTCTCTCCTCTTATCTATCCATTGATTTGACGTTCTATCTTTTTTACTTTTTTTGTTTTCCAGTTTGTTACTCTGGTGGACGCGCTTGGCCACGTGAGGTGACTATTGGTAGTAGATTAGTCTTAAAAGCTAAACCACCTAAATCATATTGTAGGCTCTTCTGCCGTCACTTTGCTGCCTAGAATGAGCGGAGGTTGGATGTCATGAAGCAGGATGTTAGTCAGACCGTTTCACCAACACTCAGTCATAACTCTTCTCTGTCAGTCTGGAAACTTTCATATTCATCCTTCAAAAGTTCTTTTTTCCTGTATTTTTGAGAAGTTATATTTCCTTACTTTTGATTGCCACTTTTCAACGTCACGCTTCATAAGAGCTATTTCTGAGTGTTGCAAACAGTGACCTGGCTAATTTATTTTCACTTTTTGCTTTGTGGCCTATCTGTCTTCCTTGAGGCTAATCCGCCAGTCTGATAGATGCTTTAGTTTTCATTTATTACAGCCGTCGTCTGAGTTCAGCCAGATGTAGAAGTTACATATTAGTTCTATTTTGTCGTCACACTGGAGCGGAATGATTTTTTTTTTTAACAGCATGGCATGACTGTAGCTGTAGCAGCACTACTACAGATATTGCATTAGGCCTAACCTAGTTTAGATGGTAACCTTTTATGACTTATTTTAGGCTCTTTGTGTAGAGCTCTAGGTAACTACAATCCATGAATTTTGGTTACTTTGACACGTGAACATCAGTGGAAAATACAATTTTATATACAAACATCAAACACATTTGTGTACTGAAGTTGTAACAATGGTACCTGTTTCTTTAATGAGCCTGATAAGTTTTGATGTGATTACACACATTGATAAAGATGAACCAGTTAATTCGTTGAGCTGATTGACTGAGCCATTGAAAGATCTTAGGTTAGACCCATCTTAGGTTGGGTCTTGATAATTCATCGAACAATGAGCGTGGTCTAGACCTGCTCTTTTTCTTTGGAAAGCGTCTTGGGACGAGGACTGTTGTGAATTGGCGTTATAAAAATAAAATTTGATTGATTAAAATATATTTGTAAATAACTGGCATATGCAGATGTCTGTGCTCACCAGGCTGATTTAAAAGAAAAAAAAAAGATTATATCTGCAGACACTGCAGGCAGCTCAGTCAGTGAGCTTCCAGTCATTTGGTAGCTGGTAAATCAAAAATAAGCACAACAGTTAGACAAGTTATTGTTTTTAAATTGGGTTTGTTTGCCTAAACAAACATTTATAATGCTCTGGGACATTTTTGGGAGGGTGATAAAAAATAGTTTTGCGCTTTGACTATAACTGTCATGCGCCCTGCTTTAAATGTTTGCCTAAATTTGCTTGGTCTTTATTATCTTTTTTAAGATGATGTCATGCAAACCTAATTAGTAATGACAGCTCATAAAATCTGAAACAGTTGCTGGTTAGTGTCGTGTAATTGATGTGTGGACTGATGCATTTTAATATTGCTACAGTCCTGACTGATTTTCTTGAACCTATATAGTATATAGATTAATATATGTATTTTTCTCTTTCATCTGTTGATTAGTCATCAACTGACTAAGACAGCCATGTACTTTTGATCGTAACATGCATGAATTGAAGAAATTATGTATGACTGTCTGAATTATCAGCATTAAGATGTTCTATTTCACCAAATGCAAATGAGTTAAAACAACTTTAAACCAACATTTCATTTATAATACATAGTCCAGCCTGCCTTATAATTGTCTGTCTATTGACAACCCAGTCTTGGTCAACAGCTAGATTCTAGTGTTTAACACATAGTGAATTTGCCCAGCAGCCAGTGTCCTGATGTTCTGTTCCTCAGCAGTTTTGACTAATTGAAGAAAATGTACTACAGCATGTATCAGTTTTCTGAAATAATTTGAAGTAGATTGATCACAAGAATAATTAGAGAAAATTAAATCCAACAGAGGCACAACTAAAGGAGACCAGTCTAAAAAGTGACCACATGCTGCTTAAACAGCACAAAGGCTTTGGGATCCTCCTTGCTATAACTGTGTATAAAGATGGATTTTATTAGTGGTTATTTTACTGTATACACTGTACGTGACTTCAGCCTTGTGTTAAACGTGAGCGCTGCTCTCTGACCGCTGTCATTGTCAGCTCATTGTGAGTGTGTGTCTCTGCCACACACTCGCCTCAGGGCAGCACCTGTCCCTTCGTTCTGCTAAAAGAGACCATGGCAGGCGGGCTGACCTGAACACGAGAGGCTGTTACCTCCCAGCACCTTTAGTTTGGGGGAAACGGTGGACATGTTGGCCACAGTTACAAGAAGACAGTGCAACACAAGATTTAATAATGACTAGGCACATTACAGCCTGCTGTAGTAGTGATTCTGTCATTGTGTCTCACTTCAGAGGTCACTGCAGGTTGTGCTTTCTATTACGCTGTTTGCTCATTGTCATAAATGGACTAAAGATAATCTTTTTTCAGGTGTGCAGGTGAAATAGTGATTTTCTATAATATCTAAACAGTGAAACAGGCTCAAACAACAACATCTGCGCTTGTCATTAATAGAATTAACATATTTTGATAAAATGTGATGTGCATGGTTCAGCATTGCAGTAATGATGTAAAATGCAATGATTCATCAAATATTTAAGATTGCAAATAAGGTTTAACCCAGAGTATATTATCCTCAGTTCTTTGTGTTTCTCACACTGGGTTTTGCACCCCCCTCCAGGAATTATAATAAACCTGTATAGCAGTTTATTCAACTACTAAATTGGCACTAGTTATTCTGAGGGCACAGATTTATTGTTACCATGGCTAAAAATGAGATGTTAAGAGTGGAAACATGCTAAGTGGTAACATTTTGCTATCTGTATTTGACATTCATGCAGCACTGAACTGTAGTAAAAGTTAGCTAATAGCTAGGTCGGGCTCTTCTGAGTTCATTGAAATCTGAACCATGGTCATTAAATGCAGGCCTCCATCCAATGAAATGTAAACATGCTGAGAAAGAGGTAATTTCTTGATTACATGAAATTATTTGTCTCGTTTATTGTGCTGAAGTCAGCCTTTTTAAAATGTTTTTTAGCTGTAATGTTTGTATTGTGCCAATAATGAAATTGTGAATAACTGTGTGCTCATTATATTTCTAATTTTAGATGGATAATGTCAAATTTGGCTCAGACCCTCGAAGAAATCCGGTTATCATTGTTTTTTGTGAGAAGGTCTCTTTGTGCGCTACTGTCGCTGATAGTAGCTGGTGGCTTTGCGTGTCCTTGTCACCTTTGTCTTTGTGCTCAGACCAGCTGGAGGTGACACTACTCCTCTCGTCTTTGTGCCCCACTTCAAGGTGCAAAGTCCTTCTGCAATCCCTCCCAAGGACGCTGCAGCTGCATCTTAGTTACACAGTGTTTGGCTCTCGAAAGCAGCGTTAAATATGAGGTTCTTAAAAGGTCCTCGAAGGGTATTTCTGTCTGTAGATTTGTCATCAGAAGCAGGGAATTATCACAGGAAGGAGATGAAAGGATTGCTTGAATATTGAATGAACACCCGCCTGTGTATTGTGTGTGTGTGTTATTCACATGATAAGTGCTTATTTCTGGCCATTTGATAGGCTCCTTTTAGTTGCCAATATCAATCCAATACCTCTGATAGCGGCTGTGGGAGACACAAGGGGTTTGTCTTCACACATCCAATTATTAGAACAAAGATGGAAGTCTAAGACCATAATACACTACAAGGTCCTGTGACCCAAAATCATCTCTCTCGCCGGCTTGAGTGAGAATAACACCAGATTCCTCACAAATTTAAAATGCCAGGCCGGGCTTTGCATATTTAGCATTAATAAAGGCCAGCTCATTCAAAACTCATTTGCTTCTAATTTTATCTGTAACCTTGACCAGTGCTGAGACATTCCACTTGGGAGGAATATGGATACAGTCAAATCTGACTAATCCAAAATGGAGGTTGTCTGGATTTGTGAGATTTAGAAAAATATATATCCGTTTGTCATGTATTCAGAGTAGTAGTATCTCATTTTGGATACCAGGCTGTCAAACTCAGTTTAGATTAGGGTTAAGATGTCTGCGTGTACAATTTTAAGAAATGTCTCACTGTGTATTTTGTCCCCTGTGCCTGTTTGTTCGGCTGGTGTTTTTGGATTTTCAGGACTTGCATAAACAAGGGTCTACTATACATACTGGCAGATTAGCATACATGCTATTTTTGGGCATGCAGGCCTACAGAGGGGTCCAGACTTAGAGGCTCTGTGTTGTAACTAATTCTAGTTTGTTAATTCATTGGTGCCCAGAGCAACTTTCAGTTTACACAAGCACAGGATCAGCTTCTGGACAATATTTCTCGAGCAGGTAGAGATTTGGTGTCTTTTACTAAAAGAAACTTGAGCGAAGGACAGTGGATTTGTAATGGTGGGTTAACAGAGGTTTACCTCCAAGGCTGAGGAAAATATTTGTTCTTTTTAAACTCTTTCTAACCCTGATATTTTTGGGTGGATCCAAGAAACTCAATGTTGTCTTCAACAGGGAAAAAAAATTTTAACCTTATTTTTAAAAATTGTTACTAAACAATATCTGAAAATTCAATGAGTTTCTTTTAGTTCTTTTCTGGTGCAAATGCCGTTTTGATGAAAATAGCATTTCCTCTGATTTGTAATCTGAGAGACTCTCCAGCTGCTAAATCTGGTTACATGGTGAATTTCCTCCTGCTTTTTATATTGAATTTGACATTACTTTATAAACTGCATCACACACCTAAACACTAGATGTTTGACTTTCATTAGTGTAGTGTTTTGTCTAAGTTAGGTGTGGTCCTGCTGAATGATTTCAAAGATTTACTTTTGGAACCACATTGTAAGCATTAAAATATGTATCATTGTTTATATTTTTGAAACTCTGTGATGATTTTTCTGAGGTTTGGTTGCACCAGATTTAAAAAAACGAGAAGGTCAACCTAAAGTCACTGCTGACAGAGGAAGAAAGTAGCTCCAGTCTAATACCACCATCACAGTCCCTTCTTCAAAGAAGAAATATCTCAAAACGTCAATAATTCAAGCGCAGTAATGTTTCCATTTTCTTCTTTTTCTACCACAAAACTCACCTGAACTTATCTCTTCCCTACAGATCGACCCAAAGGTGGCGTTTCCCCGCCGGGCTCAGCCTAAGGTGAGTGCGCCCTGAAGGGGTTAACACTGAGGAGAAGCAGTGATGCTGTCATGTGTCACCTCTCATCACTCAGCTCTGGTTGGCTGGGATTAGAGTCAGGGCACGTGACCAAAGAGGAGCAACAATCCACTTGTCCAGCCTGACCCTGTGACCTCTGTACCCTGACCCCACCCGGCCCCCCTCCCCCCAATAAGCAGCAGCCAACATCTTTCAAAGACACACCTACACACACACACACACACACACACACACACACACACACACACACACACACACACACGCACACACACACGCACTCAGATAGTCCAAACAAACATGAATGAATGAATGAATGTCTACACAAAATACTCACCTGTACCCCTGCACACATGTCTGAGCTCTAAATATAATAGAGCTTAAATGAAAGGTAATTTGGTTCAGTGCTCAGAAGAGCTTTCAGAGATTAGATAAACACAAACAAACACAAAGTCTCTTTATCACCAACATCTCCCCCTGCCTAATGTGATTAGTGGTAAACGATGCCTTCTCCTTCTTCTGTTGCTAGCTGGTGACCAGGACAAAGAAGATCTTTGTCGGAGGGCTGTCAGTCAATACCACCATCGAGGATGTAAAGCATTACTTTGACCAGTTTGGAAAGGTAAACTATACAAAATCATCTGTTTTGTAGCTCTGTCTTTTAGCTTCAAGTTTAGTAATTCCCAACCAACACGCTGCCTGTTCACATAAATCGTACACACATCTTCATAATCAGCCCCAAAACATTAAAATTGCAGACATCAAAAAGCAACAGTATCTGATCTTGACTATACATTAGTTAGCCCATTTTTTAAGCTGCTTTACTTTAAGCTGGTAGTTGTAGTTGGCTATGTCAGCCATTTCTCATTAAGCTAATTCTACATGTATGCACTACCTTTAGCTATCTATGTGTTTCCTTTGGTAGATGTTTTTGCCATTATTAAGTAGTGACTGTTTGGCCGTGTTTCTCATGCGGCTAGTTGTCATACACTCACGTGCCTGCTGTGTTAAGGTGTTAAACTGTGCCAGTATGCCAGTTTTGTGGTTTATTTGAATGATTTGATCTCCTCAACAACATTTAGCTCTTGCTACTTTGAAAGGACTCCCTTGGTACATGTTACATTTGTGGGGAATCACTGCTCTGATGGACTGTAACATCTTTTACAGTTTATATTCATCTGTTGGCGCTAATCCCTTTGACATCTAGCAGCTTTAGCATGTTTCTCTTCTTTTGTTTGAATACTTTTACTTTTAATTTGAGACATAAAAAAGTGGGAAATGTGCTTCATTTCAAAGAGAAAACAAAGCAGATGTTTTAAAAAGAATCAAAGCGAGAGAAAAACTCTTTGCACTGGATCAGTCACAGTGTTTGTTAGTAAGTTTATCTCTCTTGTTGTCTGTTTTGCCTTTTCCTGAACCCATCACAGTGCTTTTGGCTTCATACATATGTCCTGCTCCGCTCCTTTGAATGAAATTTGGTGAAAGGCAAACACATGCTGTGGAGACAGATGAGTGGCCCAGGAAAGGGAGAAAGAAAAAAAAAGAAGTAGCAAGAGGAGGGTAGATGGCGGGGGACTGAAAGGGAAGAAGCAGCCCCCCATGGAGAAAGTGGGAGGGGAACTCAGAAGGGCAGAGAAAAGGAGGAATGTTGAGATAGTGTAGGGATAAAAAGTGGCTATTAAAGAGAAAAACACCAAACTGATGGGACGTAAATAAATCAGAGTTCCCTTCATGTAAGACATGTCAGGTTACTTTTTAACTAACTACACTTTAGGGGGATTTGGGAGGAAGGGCGATAAGAGTTCAGGCTCTTCAGTATTAACTAATCAAATGCAACAGCTGCTCCTGTAACCCCCCTCCATCCCCCAAACTTCAACCAAAATCTGTACCTCAACTCCCCTCCTATCCCACATACACACACCCTGCTCCAGTCCCTCTCAGCTTGTTGCCGTGGTGACCCGCTTTTACCCATTGTCCTGCTGTAATCCTGTGTGTTTTTTTTGTTTCCTTTAAAAATTGAGTAAGAAGTGTGTATTTGCATGAATGGGAAGAAGTGTGTGTTTGTGTACGTGTGTGTGTGCATGTGCAGAAAAGTGTGATAGTAGCATGGTTTTGCCAGTGCAGGGAGGAGAGCTTGCATATTTTTGTTTCAGACTCTAACACTCACAGGCAGAGATACAGATGTCACAAACATAAAGTGTGGTGTTCTAGAGTCGTAGAGCAGGAAGAGCAGCGTCTGAAGATGAACATTGCTTCAGGATGTCGGCCTAATGGGTTGGAAGAAATTAACAGCACGAACCTCCTTCTGCCTCGTGTCTGCCCGTGTTTTCTCTCAGTTGCCCTCTGACTCATGTTTGGGGTATTACCATATTTCAGGTGTTGGCTCAATTCAGATGGTGTCTTCTAATTCTGGGTCACAAACCTGGATTACATGTGTGACCATCACACTGTTAAATCACTCTAATGTGTATTTTGTGACAAGTGTCATGCTTCTTGAGTGTGTTTTCTAAAATGGCAGCTCTGTGCCGAATCAGTTCTCCCCGGTGATCACACACACTCATATCTAAGACAACACTCCCTCCACAGGATGAGGGAATATTTGGACTGTTTGGACACGTGAGACCAAAGCTGGATGGTGGATAGCGCCAATCCCACAGTGCATTCCTGCTGTGCAGGAGGTATTTCTTGTTTATTATCTGAGCCTGGTTACAAGGTGCAGGTTGAGATGAAGTCGGACTGAGTGTCCTGTTTATTTTCTTACTGTGGCACCGCCTCGCAAAGGAAAACACAGAATGCACTATGCATTTTCACCGCTTTGATGCAGGCCGGCGTACATGTTTGTGGAGCCCACTTCTAAAAGCACACCTACGCAAACTTCATTTGATTGGACTAAACTGGCCGCCGACTTGACACATCAGGTGTCCTCGACCAAACAGAACGGTTAAAAACAAACAACTTGTAGAGTAGACCTACACAATTTGATTAGAATATGCAATTTGCAGTTTTATTGTTCAATGTTGTCATGGTAGCATTTACTGCTTTCAGTGAACAATGCCTAAAACGGGCTTGTAAGCTTCAACATAAAGTTTCTTTGTCCATGTGCTGTCCTCCATACTTTACTCATGCTCTGATTATGAGGCATGTTCCCCTTCAAGAAAATGAAAAAGAGCCTTTTTGTGTAGTGGCCTCACAGGTGCCTGGTTCGATTCCTCGCTGCGGCCTTTACATATATGTGGAGATTGCATGTTCTCCCGTAGGGCTGGGCGATAAAACGATAACAATATACATCAAAAATTAATTTCTCTCACTATCAATATAAAACTTTGTCGATAGGCTTTCAAAATAAAACATGGTCAATATGCTTTTTGGTAGTCGGCATTCTGCCATGTTTTGGTAGACTATACAAATAGCCAATGAAAAGAGGAGTTTCTCCAGGTCCGCTTCCCAACCAATTATGCGCTGAATTAGAACCAAGTAGCAAACAACTGCTTTGTCGAGAACATGTTCTCGCAAAGTCTGGGAATACCTCAAATCTTTTTCACCACCTGAAGCAGCGCCACACGGCAGAGCATGCGCAATGCAAAAGGTTACAAACCCCAAGCGGAGCAAGGAGCCCCTGGCGCCTGTGCAGCCGAAACAGCCGTTCATTCAGTCCGCTTTCTCTAGCCCAACGCCTTACGGCAAACCGTCGAAAAGACACAAAGACCTCACAGATGCAGTAGCTTATTGTATTGTGAAAGACATGCTACCAATGAGCACTGTGAAATTTCATTTTTCATATCCTGACAAATATTGTTATTGACTATCGTGATGAAGTTTTTCCCATATCGCCTAGCCCTATTCTCCCGGTGCATGCCTGGGTTCCCTTTGGTACTTCGTCTTCCACTCAGTGCTCTGAATTGTCTGTTGGTGTGAGTATGAGCTTGTCTTTTCCTCTTGCGCAGTGATAGCTGGGGTACCTTAAGCCCCTCTTGCGACCTTAAATGAGATAAACGGTATAGATAATGAATGGATAATGTGTAGGCTGCATCATCTGACTTCCTGAAAATCATGTTAAAGCATGGTCTTCGTGTATAATATATTTTTTTCCTTATTTGCCATGATAAATTTTGTTGCTTATCTGTAAGGCGTGCATCCTAATCCACCAAAGAAGCTTGTTTGGTTAAAACTTTGGTGTAAGAGGATACTCGAGGAACCGATGATGATGATTTGGCAACTCAGCAAATCTAGCCTCCTGTTTCTCAATGAAAGACCACAGAAGGCTTGTTTGTGTGGTTAGTAAGTCAGCATCCTGATGCGAAGGCCTTCTAATCCCCCTCAACCTGGTAGAGAGTTTCGTAAAACTCCCTTATTTTTGGCCCAGAATGAACCAGAGTCTGTATGGAGCAAGAAAACATGTCTGAAGCTGTTTATCAGGCACGCTGTTAGGTATTCTGATAATTAGCATTTTAGGCATTTTGGCCATACAGTCAATTATGTTTAATCCAGAGGAAATCCCTAGTTCCACGCTTCTTATCCCGTCTAGCTGTGCTGCATTCCTGAAAGTACCTAACATGAAGAGCTACCATTTAAAACCCGCTTTTTAAAAACTCCTTTGAAATCAAAGAGAGAATAGGTCAGAGCAGTGAGCGAAAGGAAGGAGTGGATAAGATGAAAAATGCAGCATGGACGGGGCAGACGGGAAAAGTTGGGACTCCACTCACCCATGTGAGCTGGCGATTAGGAGGCTTGACTGAACACTTTGTCTGCTGGCCTGTTTAGAGAGAGACGGCCGGAGAGAGAGAGAGAGAGAGAGAGAGAATGAAAGAGGGAGATGTGAGGAGACAGAAGGGGAAAAAATGTGAATGCCACCTTTCATAATCTTGCAAGTGGTGTAATGGACTTGTCAGCAAACGCTTGTTCTTCAGACAATAGCTGCACGCTTCACTAAAAACAGGATATTTTCTGATGCAGGGTCACAGTCGAGCCTTGTTTCTGGCGTATCTGAGAATGTCAGAACTTTATGAGAATATGACCTTAACTTTTCCTCTTTACTCACTGCATGCATGCGTGCTGACCGGTTAGCGACTGAGCCGCTGCTAAGCCAATCTCAGACCCCCACAGCTATCCAATCAGATTGTCTTACAGCACCCTGGGCAGTGGACATCGGAGATCGTCTTCTTATTGGGTTTGGCAGGGGCAGGGGGCTGGTGTGCGACCACAGCATAAGCTCACACACGTGATGGAATATTTCTCAAGTCATCACACCATCATAATCCAATGAAGAACAATTACATGGACCGTGTTAGCATGAGGCTGCAGAATATTGCATCTGTCCTGCCTTTAAAACGTTGGGCCAACCATCTCTCATCTCCTCCAGAATAGTCGTTAATGCTAATGCTAACAGGGGGGCTAGCTGTGCGTGTAACTCTACTCTTATGATAACATGTTGGCCTGCAGCTGTCTACTTACTGTCCTGTTCCCTGGCTCGCTGCTGTGTCATTGAGTTGGGACGACCAGAAGGGTAGAAAAGCATGAGAGGAGAGGAGAGGAGGAGGAAAGGGAAGAGGGGGGGTAAAATCTGAATGAAGGACGGGGGGGGGTTGGGGTAGGAGGGGCCTTTGTTTTTGTTTGTATCCGCCGAGCTAGATGGTGACAAGGATGAGAGTTAAAAGGGTCAGGGGCTGTGAATAAGCTCCTCTTAATGGCGATATTTCCATAAAGAGGAATCTAGAAATCTCTTCCTCTCAGTTGTAATCTCAGTCAGACTAGAAGACGTGTTTCTTATCTGAGGGTGACAGTTCGAAATCAGACGGCCTGGTCATTTAGAGGCCTCTGCCACTCATGTTACAGGGGTTTGAGTTTCAGTGCTCGCGCCCTAATGAAAATAGACATGTAGTCATACTCCACATGTGTCCCTCCAGGGCCACTGTTGCAGATTTTTGTAAAAGTAGTGGCGCAGCTTTTTCAAAATTCCCCGCTAAACAACAACAAGAAAGTGTTATTTCCACAGCGACCCCGGGCCTTGGCTTCCTCCTCTCCTCTCCTCATGCCGTCAGAGCTCGAGCAGAAGCTGCTAACTTTCCTGCCAGTGAAGGACAAGTGAGAGAGGGAGGGAGGGAGGGAGGGAGGGAGCAGAGAAGGGTGAAAAGAAGGGGGAGGAGGAATATGAATAGGGCAGTGGAGTGAGTGCAAAAAAGAAAGTGGAGGAAGAAGGAAAATAAAAGAAAAGCGTGTTGACAAAGACCCCTGATCACTTTGTTCTTCACTCTCTGATGTAAAATACTCGATGACAGATTTTTTTCATCCTTCATCAAAACTTTACCTTCCATGTTTTCTCTCCCTAACACCTCCCATTATTCATCACTTTCCCCCTTTTTTTCTGTCACATGCTCTCTCTCTCTCTCTCTTTCTCTTTTCTCCTCTCTCTTTTCTCCTCTCTCTTTTCTCCTTTCTCTTCTGCATTCTATTCATTGAAATTAGCCGGGGTGGACTGGGGGGCAAGTTCTTCTAATTGAAATTCTTTACAGCGTCTCCATGGGAATAGTAAACTTTGTGGAGAGGGAGAGAAAGACAAGCGAGGGTGAACGAATGAAAGCGGGGGGAAAAGGGAGAAAGAAGGAGCAGTTTGTGAGAACTCTCAAAGAATGGGAAAGAATTTCCTCTCGCACCTCATGAAGCGGCAGCATTACCTCCTTTTTTCACCTTGATAGATTGTATCCCACTTATTTTTATACACCCTATCTCTCCCACCCTTCTCCTTTATTTCCCCATCACTCTCTCCTTCTCTCGCCCCTCTCATTCTTTCTTTTTCTCGTCTCTTTTGTCACCTGTCACCCCTCCCTCTCTCCCTTCCACCCTCTCCATCTGTTTTCCCCTCTTACTCCAATGCTAAAGAGGGACAATGGCACCCCATGCTGGGTTATGATGTGTGTGTGTGTGTGAGTGCGTGCGTGTTAATATGTCGAAGCTCATCTATTCTCTGCTTTGTTCTCACAGGTCGATGATGCCATGCTCATGTTTGACAAAACAACCAACAGACACAGAGGTACGTCTGCACGGCTGTGATACACACACATTACGTTAATGCGTGTAGACACACTAAGTGAGAAATGAAAAGGGGAAACAGCGTGATAGAGTCACCGGTTAAACCTTAGCAAAAAGGAAAAAAAAAAAAACAAGCTGAATTTTTCTCCAATCATATTCTTTTGTCTTTCCGGCGCTCTCACCTCCCAGTGTTCATTTATCTCTGTCTTCAGTCAATGCAGCGCCTGCTGAGGGTCACCATGCAGGGTCAGCACTGTGAGAATGTTACTTAATGAGACGAGTGAGGGAAGAGGGAGAGGAGGAAAGAGAAGGGTGGAGGTGGAGTTGGAGAAATTGTCTGTGATAATTGGTAGAGGACAGTAACTCTGGGCACACAACACCCCTGCTCCTCCATACGATTGACAGGCGAACCATGCCCCACTTGTTCTGGTGTTATAAGCTCCTCCTGTTACAAATAGCTGATAACAATGCGGCTATATCAAACCATGGGTTACCTGTAGAGCAACATCTGAGGTGTAATAAATCTGGGTGAATGTCAAAAATATTCCTCTTGTCTTTGTAGGGAACTTAAAAAAGAAAATACACCTTTTATCTGTTCTTTGTCCCACACTGCAGGATATCGCAAACAGATAAAGAGGTCAAGTGTTGAAATAAGAGACTTTTGTGTGTGTTTGTGTGTGTGTGTGTGTGTGTGTGTGTGTGTGTGTGTGTGTGTGTGTGTGTTTGTGTGTGTGTGTGTGTGTTTTCCAGGCTTTGGCTTTGTTACCTTTGAGAATGAAGATGTGGTGGAGAAAGTGTGCGAGATCCACTTTCATGAGATCAACAACAAAATGGTAAGCACAGTTAAAATAGTCATCCAAATACATGTGTGTAGTCGACAGCAAGGGTCTATGAAGTCTGAAACTGCTTTTATTATATCATTTCGTAAACTTGGGTTTCCTTTCCCTCAGGTGGAGTGTAAGAAAGCCCAGCCCAAGGAGGTAATGACGCCGACAGGCTCAGCCAGAGGTCGTTCCAGAGTAATGCCTTATGGGATGGACGCCTTCATGCTGGGAATCGGCATGCTGGGTAAGATGCAAAATCAAATATTTGCCAGAGCAAATACACTTTACAGGGGCAAACACAAGTTCAGCAGGAGTCACACACAGAGAAAGAGCAAATGCAAATCTAACAATAACTCTAAAGTGATCGTAAAAGTTTTTGTCACGAGCAGGTAGTGTCATGGTTTAGAGCGCATGCAACTAATATTGATATAAAGTGCCATATATTAATTGATCAGAAATTAAATCGTATTTTCAGGTATTTGTGACAGGTTTTAGTTATTTACAGGAAAAAAAATGTATTTGAAAACAACTCCTAAAGTCAGATTTTGAAAGCTTTGGTACCGTGTTCATGTTAAAATATTTTTGAGAACAAACTAGTCGTATTATTTAAAGTGTTCAAGTGATGCCAGATATTTGAAAAGCCACCTATTAAAGACACTCCACCATCTCTATCATTTTCTAATGTGAATTGAATACCTTGATAAGTATTAGCACTTTGCTCTCTACAAGCACCATTTTTTAACTCAACTTCTGGAAAAAAAAGAGCAATTAAAAAAAAAAAGACCTCCTGGTTAGGTTGATATCACTCTCTGGGATGAATTTCTTAAATACATCTCCGATAATTAAAATGACAACGTGTGTTTAATTTAGAGGTCATACTCTGAAGGACGAATGATTTCCACACACTGGAGTAAAATATGGTCTGATAGGATTCTCATTGAGAAAACAAACTAAGAGCCTAATGTGTCCTTTTTAGGTTATCTGGCTCCCCCTAATGGACATGTGTCATACTGTCAGGAAGTTGTCCTTCATGTGTCAATAACTGCTGTCGCTGTAGGATACACTGTGGGATATATCTATTTCTAGTTTCTCTCTGACGTCTCACATCCTTAAAATTAAGTGACAGTTTATTCACTTTAAGGAAGATGCTTAAATTATTTGTCACCAAACAGAATAAATGTATTAGTTGACAGAGTAAAGACATCATTAAACCTAGGCCCTTTTTATTAGTGGCTGCTGGTGATGAGTAGATGGAGTTACAAGAAGTTTTTAGGGCTTTCTTTCTAGTTATGTTTAAAAAGGTTCACATCTAGTTATAGTAAAATTTATGGAAAGCAAGCTCAGAGAAGCTCAGATTGTATCTGATGACTTTGACATCTTATGGAGGTGCTGGCTGAAGCAAACAAAACATATTTATAAAAATATTTCACACGCTATGGATAGAAAACTAGTCAGCTGAACGACCTTTACAACAGGTAAAACAAAAGGACACATAGTAAGGAATAAAGGGCTCTAATAAGTAGATTAATTTCACCATTAACTTCCACCTTGCAAGACGGAGCGCTACTGCAGGTCATTCCTCCCTTCTGCAATAAGACTTTACAACGAACTGCAATAAAACTGGACTCACACCACCACTTTTTTTTCTGGTACTTAAATTGTGTATATTGTAGATAGTTTTATTTTATTTTTCCTTTTTCTAATTTTTTTCTTAATTAGAACAATTAGTTCAGTTCTTAATATACAATCTTCATTTTTATAACTGCATTTTTGCACTTTGTCTCTGATGCTACTGTGACAAAAAATTTCCCCCGTGGGGGATCAATAAGGAATATTCTATTCTATTCTATTCTTAAAGCTTTCTGCCTGTTCTCACTCATGCTAAAAACTTTGCTGTTCTGTGTTAGGCGCTAAATTTAGGTTAGATCAGGCTGGGTTAGAAGTACTGCTGGAACTGAAGGGGAATTAGCTGAGGGAGGGCATGGTGCAAAAGAAACATGCATATCAGTTCAACTTGATGAACCATAAACACAGACTAAAGTGGCTACTGCAAATCAATAAAATAATGCAACTGAAAATTCCTCCTAAAATGCTGGCAGATTGACTTCCAGTTGTACTCCATGCTGTAGTAGATGGTTGTTTTATCGGCTTAACAGTTTAATCCTAATTCGGCGGAGATGTATTCAGCAAAGTTGATAGATTTTATTAGTTTTGTCTCTGTCTCAGTTTAACATATTATTGTTTCCTGTTTTCCAACAGGCTACCCAGGCTTCCAAACAGCAACCTACACGAGCCGCAGTTACTCTGGCATAGCTCCTGGTTACACTTATCAATTCCCAGGTGAGTCCATCTCCATCGAATCTTCAACTTCCTCTTTTAAGGTTTTTCTTTTCAGGTAAAAGAAAGAGGTCTGATACTGTTTTATAAGGGTTTAGATAATTCAGCTGTGACATACAGGGGTCTTGAGTGTAAACTACACACACACAAGACCACATAGACATACATGCATACAGGTTTTACATTTTATTTCCAGCAGCGTCCTTGACAACTTGTAGATAAACGATATGATTGTGATTCTTAAGCTCTTCCTGGCTCTGCCTCTGTCCTCCCTTATATTCTTCAGTGTTTATTTGATCTACTTATGTAACCCCCTTTTTTTGGCTGTACCCCCGCCCCCTCCCTCTTCCTTCGCCCCCACCTTCCTGCCTGTCCTCATTGTAGATTTCTTTAATAACATGTCTGTGCTGTGGCTAAATGTCTCTGTGTGTGAGTGGCCTGGTAGTGTGGCCAGTGTAAGGTGACTGTATTTATAAGCATCTCTTTCGACCTTCTCTGTTTCTAGAATTCCATTTAGAGAGGACCCCCCTCCTGACATCATCCCACCCCCCTGAGCTGGCAGGTCAGTGGCTCCCAGAGAAAGTAAAAGTCACCAGCAGAACAGCAAAGTGCCTGCAAAAGAAAGAATCTGGGGATTTTACTGGATGCTGAGCTGATATTCTGCTGAGATTCATATGAAGTGTTTTTATCTTTGATGGCAGTAGTCAGTCAGATCCCTCTTGTGTCACTGCTCATATTTTGTGCTCTGGAAACAGGTCTGTAGAGAAGAGTGTGATAATTTGACTTCACATGCTCCTTTGAGAAAAAAATTTGATATGTCATGAATCAGACTGAAATGAACACTGGTACACCTCAACAGTGTTCAAAGACAAAATAGCCTCAGTTAATTTAACTGGATTGCATACTTATGTTGATTGATAAATTTTACCATAAAATAAAAAACAGTTAATACCACTTTCACAAGGATGAGATGAACTATATGAGGGCAATAGTATAATGTTTTTCCACTTTGTCCATGGGGGGCGCCAAAGTCAACATAGAAAGTTCCTTACAGGAATTTAAAGCATTACTGTGTAAATTATGAAAATATAGTAACAAAGGGCCTCATATTACAGTTAGCAGTCCTTATGGAATAAAATTAAGTTAATCTTATCTCATGTTATTTAGGCTTAAGTGCGCTTTGTCAACAGCTAATGGAAGCAGTAACATTTATAGGACATTTAATATAAAAACCTCACAAAGACAACAAAAAGAGGAAAATTCAAATCAAAGTTAGGGTTAAAACTTAACTAAAAACCATTTTATTTCACAATGGCTTTCATCAAATTGATTCAAATATAGACTATTTAAATAAAAAAGCAGTACTTCACCTATTGTAAGCAGGCCTTTACTGACTACGGGCTCAGTTGTTCTCCTAAATCCTTTGTAAAGTAGTTGTAGAATTAAAACCATGTAGTTATTAAGTTAGGACCAACACACCTACTCCTCATTTTTATCAGTTTTATTTAGAAGCTATTTTTAGACACAGGGTGTTTTGTGAATGTGACCCCTACATCCCTATGCAGCTGTCCTCACACTGCCATCTAGTGGTGCTGAGATATACTTGCATCTCCTTGAAGTCCACATCCGCCTTATTTTTACGATGTAAATGACTCTGTTTTTGATTTAAACAGTCATTGGTCATACTTTATTGGGTGATATATTTTGGGCACAGTTGTTTTGGAGATTTTATCGCCTCAACTTGGTGCATTTTCAGATGACAGATGTTGGAGCAGATGTTAAGTCAGCCGAGACAGAGCTGTAGATCATTACTCACAGTCTGATATGAGCAATCATGAATGACTGTCATCTGTGCAATAATCATGTTTGTTTTTATCCCTCAGCAATTCCCCTGACTGCATATGGACCAATGGCAGCAGCCGCAGCAGCAGCAGTAGTTAGAGGTGCGTGTGTGTGTGTGTGTGAGAGAGAGAGAGAGAGAGAGAGAGAGAGAGAGAAACAAGCTAAGACAAAAAATGACGTAGACTTTATTTTTTCCTCAGGTAGAATGTGTGTACAGACCAGCTAGGACAAATAACAGTATATTTTTAGATGTGTGTGTGTGTGTGTCTCTGTCTCTGTCTGTCTGTCTGCCTATATGTGTGTGTGTGTGTGTGTGTGTGTTAAGCCCTCTAGTGTTGAAGCCTGACTCCTCTCCTCTGTCTCACTCAGGCTCAACCCCTTCACGCACAGCTGGTTTCCTGGGAACCAGCAGCCCTGGACCAATGGCTGACTTATATGCTGCAGCCAATCAGGACTCAGGAGTCAGCAGCTACATCAGCGCAGCTAGCCCCGCCCCCAGCACAGGGTTCGGCCACGGACTAGGGGTAGGTCAACCCCCCCATACCTACACACGCGCACTCCTTTAGCTATGCATGGGTGCACGCATTCTTAACAAAGCTGATAGAAAGCGTATCCTCTCTTGTATCCTCAGGGTCCTCTGATTGCTACTGCGTTCACTAATGGCTACCACTGAGAGGACTCAGGTCACTGAAGACAGGAGGGCTTCTCCTCTACTGATGAGCCAATCGGAACGCTGGCTGCCCACTGATGGCAAAACCTGATTGGCCTGCCACAAGCTCTTCCGGGATCCCCTGGCTCCTTGTGGCTCCACCCACCGACTGAATATCTTTTTAAATCCTGAACTCTGTTTTTTGCTGTACTAATCTCACTTCAACATAACATCCCCGTCTCCCCCTTGTTTGTCCTCATGTAGTCTAATAAGTAGACCCCCACTTATCCATAATTTTTCTTCTTTTGAAGCTGAGAGAAAAGACCTGCAAAAAAAAAAAAAAAAAAATCTCTGAGGAAACACTTGTCATATTTGACAAAGACACAGAGGATTATTTTGGATTTTTATTTTTTATTTTTATTATTTTATTTTAATGTGATATGTTGCTTCATGATGAAATCCCTCACAGCTGTTATCCATGTGAAAGGAGAGAGATGCGAGATGGTCTTTGACAGAAAACAGTTTTTAACAAAGGAAGAACAAATCCGACAGTCCTTTTTTAACTTGAGCATCACGGAAACATGAAAAAACAAGTAAAATGTATATTTTGGTAGTCTTTAAAAAACAAAACCTTTGTAATATTGTTATTAATATTGACATAATAATGATAATCTGTAAGGTATTTTATTCTGTAATTGGTTTTAAAGCAATGTTTTTATGTCTTCCTGTAAGATATTGTATATAGACGTTGGGGTGAGTTGGGGGGTGGGTTACTGAACCGGCTGGCATGTCATTGGTTGGTTCTGAAAGGGTTAACAGCATTTTGACTGGATGTCATTTATCAGTATGCATATTGTTTATGTGTACGTTTTTGGCCAGTCTTCTCCAGTGACTTCAGTTCAGCGCTGTCTACGTGAAACAAAACTTCCTGAAGTTTGTTTGGCGTCTCTGTTCAGTTAAATAACCGTTCTGTTACAAAGTCATCAACCTGTTTGCTTTGCTTTTTGAAAAAGCACCTCTGACTCTTTCATTTTTAAACACCTTAGACGAACCAGATTTCTTGCATCTTCATGGAAACAATAAGATGATGAAGACTCACAAACAGGAGAAATCAGGGGTTCACAGGGTCGGGAGCGGACTTGACTTCCTCTTTTTGAAAATATATATAGTTTTTCGCGCAATTTCTCTTAATGTTTTTTGTTTATTGTTTTCTTTTGGAAAAATTCTTTTATGCGGTGTTCTCCACCGCAGAAACAAATGAAGGACATTCTCAGAGAAGCAATTGTAGAAAACATCACAATCATGTTCTGTCTTCTTATCATTATTGAAGGTGCATGTGAATGCGTCTGAGTGTGTATGAGTGAGTTTTTGTGCGCATACATCAAGGTGTAATATGGAACTACTTTTTGGCAAACGGAGGAGCATTTTCGATTGCCTTTTTTCGGTACTGAGATTTAAAAAAAAAAAAAAAAAGATCAGCCTGTTCCATTTTGGCTCATCTGCTCCTCTCCTCTGCCTTCCTTCCATTTCATACTTAGACTTCACAAATTTGTCTCCTCTGGAAAGACATGTCATTGTTTCTATACAGTTGCTGCTCCGTGTAGTGATAAACACAGGGGATGTGGGCAGGGAAACCAGAAATGGAACAGGGTCTTGCTCCCGGTCAGCTCTGATGCAGGCGAATCTAGCTGGCAGAAAAAAGTAAAAAAAAAATGCTGGAACAATGTCAACATCTGCAAAAACATGAAGCCTGTTTGTTCAGCTCCTTCTTGCTGCAGCCTGTTTGATGTTCAGCACAGCAGAAAACTTCCTGATCCAGCCGGTAGTTTCTCCGTCAGAGCGCCCGGGACACGACAAGAAACTACTGCTGGACACCAACACTGTAACTTTTTAACTTACAATAAAGCAATAAGTTATTTTTTACCTTACAAATGAAAATAGTACTATTATTGGTAATAGCAGACGACGTGTGGATAATTCTGCGGCATTAAAACATATTTTCAGAAAAAAAAAAAAAGAAACTATATTTTTCTGTTTTGAGATCTTGTTCCCCTTGTATATTGATTTAATGATGTCTTTGTTGTGTTGATGTAAGGAAAAGGGCCAATGCTTTGGGTGGAGCTTGTAGCTCTACATGAGCTTAGTTCAAGTTTAAGATTTGGGATGTCCCCTGCCAAGCTTTACAGCAATGCTTTTCTTTTTTCCTTGTTTTATTTTTCTGATAATTTCAATTTTAAAATCCTAATAAATTATTCTAAAGCATTTGAAAGTGATTGCTTTTATTTTTCTAAATGTTAAAAAATGTGACTGGGTTCAAATTGATATCTTAGTGATAAAGTATGACCCTTCATTAGCCATTGGGATTTGAAAAAAAAAAGATCTTGTTATGATGCTTTGCTGTAGTGTCAAAGTGGACACACTCACTGAAGCTCTTTTAGCTTGAAAACATAATGTTTCCATAAAACCATATTTCCAGAGATTAAAGCATCTGAGTTGATCCAGGAAGCTGCACATATACCAGTGATTGCTTTGCAAAAAGAAATTCAGATTGTCCTCCATGAACATGGTTTACCAGGATTGACAATCAGCCAAATAAACACAGTTTTAGTATAGGCTATTTTTCTTCCAACATCTGCTTTTTTGTCGAAGAAATGCTCATGTGCACCCTGCAGGCTAAAGACAGTTCTATGACTTATTCTTTACTCTGTATAAATGGGTCCCTGCTTGACTGTCTGTGACTGATTTATCTGTGATTTATTGTTTTTCAATTGACCTGTGACAGTTTTAGTCAAACCCAAAAAGACAGGAGGGCAGTCTCTGATTACTGACCATCATTCAAAGGATTTAACACAGAACTGCTGATGATAGGGGTGATTAACTGTATCAGCATGTTGTGTGTCTTAGAGGTCCCGTCTGCTGTAAACATAGTCTGATCCTTCGCACTTGTCTTGGGCAGAGGCCAGCAGGGTTACTGATCATCTCCTTCCTCTCTCCTGCTCCCTCCCTTTTCACAAACTTCAAACTTTTCCAGCTCTGAACGAGGACTGTAACTGTCAGACCTATCAACCAGAAAGCTGAAAGTTGGATTTCTGTAATTTTGCTCATTTTTTGTCCTTTTTTTCCCACCAACTTTTCAAGGGACTTTTGTTTTAATTCAGCGCCTGGCTGTGTTTTATTGCTACTGAGCACCATGTCTTTTGGAGCGCTTACTTCTCCAGGAAAAAGTTCTTTGAATGGGAGTGGGTTTTTTGACATTGGTTCAACAGAAGATCAGGAACCTCCACCTCCACTCCGTAGCTACCTTTGTTTGACTATTTTCACCTGTTTTTGTCCTGCATACCCCGTCAATATTGTGGCCCTAGTCTTTTCTGTCATGGTGAGTATGTAGCTTGGCTGAAGCGTTTCCTTAATATAAGTTAGTATGTATGATATGTGTAAGTACTTTTGTTTATCATGAGAGAAATGTGTGTCAGAGATTTGAGATGAGCTCTGTCCTCGGGTTCAAATTTGTCAGAGTTAAAGACATGCTGTATGTTGTGAGTGTGTTGGACTCTGAAGATACAAGTGAGTCACAAACAGCTGTGCTGCCTGTCAAATGAATGAACCTGATCCTGATTTTGAAAAATGAACCTAGTCATCCATGTTGAAAACTGTTGATGTTAACATTCAGTCGGTGGCCTGACTTTTAGTGCACTGTCCTCTGTTTTGACTCTAATCACTCATCAGGCTTTCTAAATGTTGTTCTTGCCAGTTTTCGAAGAAGTGTAAGTGCACTCACTTCCTCGACTTGCATACAAAGACGTACCCATTTCAACAACAGCTGTGGATTTTTATGTTTTTGGCAGGATAAATCACAAGGCTATTATTTTATGACAGACAGATGAAGCTCTCTTTAGCTCTCCTTGACTGCCAAGAGTGCAACTACACTAGTAAACATTAGCCTAGAAATACAGTCCATTTATAGTAACAAGAAAACTGTACCAACCGCAACACAGAGCCAAGATAAAGCAATCACGTTCACGTAGATCATGTCTCTGCTTGGACTGATGCCTAGGAAATAACAGGAAGGTGTCTGCAGGTTGCATAATGGTCACCAGTGTCATAAAAAAAACTGCAGTTTCAATGACGTCCACCTCTTAAAGAGTAAAACTAAACTTCTGGTAAGAAAGCTTTAAACTTCTCTGTAATTATCTACCAATCATAAAGATTGTTGGTGTTTTCGTCAAATAAAGCTCAGTATGTTTGTGGTGGTTTTCAAAGTAAAAGCCTTGAATATATTGACTGGATTTTATGTGTAACAGTGATTTCTCATTTTCAGTCGAGGTACAGCTATTATTCTGGTGACTACGACGGCTCAAAACGACTGGGCAGGAATGCTATGTACGTTGCTGTCGCCTCCATCATCATTGGTCTTCTTGTCATCGCCATCTCCTGCATCGTCCATTTTACTGCCGTAAGACACACACCTTAGGCAGCACTCAGTAAACTTTAAGTCCACAAACATAGGGTAGAAGACAGAAATTAAAGTTTTTATGTGTCTGCAAGCATTCACATACCTAATGGTGTTGTTTTTATTGTCTTTTGAATATAATACAGCTCTACATTTACTGAGATGTATTATACTATACTGTATATTTACTGTATAACCATAATCAACTTAAAAGTGCAAGTAAAATTACGTATCTCTGATTAAGATAATGTAGAAAGTCTTAGAAAGCAGAGGGTCAACAGTTGAGTTGCTCAGTCCAAAATGACTTTGACATTGTTGCTGTGGCTAACAGATGCTAAATAGCGAATATGGCAGTGTATGTTGAGCTAGCTAACTGATCTTCGCTACCCGATCTGTCCTGGAAACCTGATTTGTACTGCGTACATGCGAAATGTATGTCACTTCCTCTACTTGCCATCTTTATGACAGCTCAGCAATTCTTTTCCCCTTGCAGTTTGCGACAGCTTCAAAACTTGTTTGACGGCTTCAGCATCAGCGAGCTCGCTACAGTCAGAATGGACTTTTCTTCCCCGACTGCTTCCTCTGACTAAAGCAGAGCACCAAAAAGTCAAGGGAATGGCACCCAGTTTTATGATTAAAGGTTCCTAAATTGTAAAATTGCAGCGTAGTTATAAAAGGCTTGAATGAATGTGAATGTTTCACTGTGGAAATTATACGCTGTATAAAAACGCTGAAATTCATTGGCCATACTGTGTATGCTTCTAGCTCATAAATTTTATTTTTCAAATAAATGAAAAGTCAGAAAACCAAGAATTTGACCGGGTGGTGGCGCTCTCTGTGGCCCGGGGATGGTGCACCATAGGTGGCCACACACCTCCAGAGCATCCCCTTTATACTGTGAAACGTCAGAGAACCATAATTTTTGCTGGGTGGTGGCGCTCTCCCTGGCCCAAAAGGTCTCAGTGCTGGGCAGGAGCTCTGGCGAATGCCTCGGCATTAGCTCTGGAGCCTCCTGCTAGCTAGCCTGTCACACTGCCAGCTGGTTTCTGAAATCGATCGGTAGTTTAAATGAAGTTTTTAGGGTGAAGTAAATTTGCACTTGCGCAGTACGGATCAGGTAGGTAGCGACTCACTGCTGTAAAATACATTGAAATGCCATGAGAGGAAGTGACGCACATTTCGCAGTACTCATCGGGTTTCCAGGGACGGATTGGGTAGTGACATGATCTAAGGGGCTGTGTTCTCCCTGATGCTGAAAACACTGAACAGGAAATGACACACCAAAATAGCCCTCAGTGGACACAGGCCCTTAAAGATGCTCTGTAAGACAGCAGTTTGTTTACAATGCCTGCATTTGTGTTATAGATGGATTTTTGATGCTTTGGACTTTGATGGGAAAGAGAGAAGAAAAAAGACAAAAAGACACTTGAACAGAGAGCTGTGGACGACAATGTTTGGACGGGCTTAAATGATTCGTTTACCATCTGAAGACTGGATATGCTTTGACCCCAGTCTGTACATCACTTCCTCTTATGTGGTCTCTTCTTCAAACAGATGATTAAGGACTATAAAAATGTAAGAATGAGGCAGCTTTCTACAAATGTGTGGGGAATTCATGGTTTACAGAAAGACTTTGTGATGTCGATGTAATATAAGATGCTTTTTCAGTGTTTAATCAAAAATTTGAAGACTTTAAAGTCTGAGTAGTGTGAACAAATTACTGTACATAAAAAAACAAGAATTGTTCAGTTCTGTTGGTGTTACATTAGTTATATTAAAAACTAAATGATGTGTTTGTCATAAAATAACATTATGTGTACGGTATGTTTTTCTTCCCCTGTCAAGTGCCTTTGGCAGCTCTCATCTGAAGGACATAGAAAAATAACTGATAATGTAACCAGGGTGACTCAGTCATTTTGGTGATTGGATGAATGAGATATTTGTCTAAATGCTGTATGGAAAATGATCCAATAATTAAGGAGACTATTTCATGTTTTAAATTGCTTCAGTTTAACCCTAAACCAAATCTTGTCTTCTAAACCCCCAATCTGCTCTCTTGACATGCCGCTTAACCGTCATACTATTCATGTATTTCAGAATAGCTAGTTTTTGAGGCCCTGACTCAATTTCACTGTGTTAAAATGAGGATATAAAGCACTTTTATTAGAATTATTTGGCAATATTGTCTCAGGCCTTCTCCAGATATATCTCTATATTTATTTTTTTACACACGATGGCTGAGATACTTTTCTGAACCTTAAGCTAAAACCCACCTTGCTGGGAAATGTTCTTGTAGTTTGATATGTCACAGTATACAACTGACTAAATATAGACGATGTCCCTGACGTGTTGAAGACTGGCATGTCATGATCGGGCAGTACTGACCCTGCTGTGAGGTAGCCGAAACATAGTCCGAGTGTCATAAGAGAGGAAACACAGATATGAGTCAGATTCATCCTGAACTTCATCTCAGGCTGTTTTGATGACCACGATTTTCACGGTTTGTAAATTACAGACAGATCTAAGAATGCAGGGCTTGAGTTGGTGGATTTGGTTAAACCAATCCTCTGAGTGCAGGTGTATGAGAAACCAGTGCCTCTGATGTAACAAGGCTGTTGTCAAATAATTTCTGCAGTTATTCTGTTGCACTTTGACAAATGAGTTTTGGCAGTAATCTTGTACAATTACCTCCCATTACTTGAAAGAGAAAAGCAGTGTGTTTGTAGTGCCACCTCTTTGATGTCACACCAGAGCAAAACTGAAGAGAACAAGATGAAAAACCCCAATGAGGGCAGGGATTAGGTGACTTGAAAGCACCTAAGATTATGTAGGGATCAGGGTGCATTTGTGAAGGAAAAATGATGACCTTGCTATGTAATGGGGCTCTTTTGTGTAAAAAAAAAAAAGAAAGAAAAACAGGCATAATTTATGAAAAGTTACATTAGATTTTTTTCAACGTTGTGTTAAAAGGAGATGCAAATATTCATCTTTGTGAGAAAACAGCTTTTTTTGTAATAAATAATTTTCTTTACAGATCACATTCACAGAAAGGCTTCACCTGTAGCTGCTCTGTTGTGCCGCCTCACTGTTGCAATACATTTCAAGAGCACTTCATGACTCACATGAAGTGCTTAAAAAAGGCCACTCTGTTCCCATTAGCAGTAGATACAGCAGCCATGTGTATGTATCCTGTGACACATTCCTTCCAGCGAGCAACAGTTTGTTCCCGTTTGAATAAATGAAAGAGGAGAACTGTGGGAAAGACGAAGAGCTGGCAGTGAAACACAAAAACACATTCAGGTACCTGATAGCTGTAAAAGTATGAAACCCAAAAGTCCCCATGGGTTTACATGCTGACAAAATGTCTTCTAAAGTATTTCATGATGCTGATTTTGTGTTTTTTAAACATATATTTTATCTTGTTTTGGATAACACATTGCCTGGAGTTCTTCCTTTGACACATATAGATAACAGACTGACTGTACAAAAAACACATATTACACACAATATTTCCACTTATTGCTTTGGTAAAGGTGTAAACAGATCAATATGATGTGAACATAATTTACCAGATCAATCTAAACACTCCCCTTAAGCCCAGGTTTTGGTCTCCACCGCTGCCTGTGATGAATACATGGCTCTGTAGTTACTAAATATTCGGCTTTACAATCACACAGCTGCTTCCTGTTTTGTTTGTTATTGTCTACCTGTCATCGACTTAATGCGATCCTCACATTGGTTTACACATGCAAATTACACAATGTTCAGACAAAGTGAGGCCGTGATAGGGTAGAAATGATGTGTTCCTAAGATCAAATTATACACTTCTGAATATCTTTGATTGTTTAACTTGTTAGAATCAAGTAAAAAGAGTGCCACTGCTCTGTAATGCTGAATTCATCACACTTGACAACTGGTGCGCCTTCTCCTCTGTCTTGTTCGGATGTTAAATCACACTTTATAACTGCTCCTCCTGGTAAAGTCACAGTCTTTATTTAGATTTTATTGCATCATCATGTGTGACGTGTAATAAATGCTCTTTTGTAACCTAGTACAATTTGTTCCCTGTATGACAGGAATAAAACACTGGTGTGGTACACAAACATTTTAACAAAGTGGGTCATGACTGTGGCCTGCACAGATTAAAAAAAAAGTAAAATGATTCATCACAGTGATGGTCACCGTACCAATTACAGCTTTAGACTGCATGCAGAGTACAGAGAGGTATAAATGGTTTTGTTTCATGTAATGTTATAGAGTGTAGAATGAAATTATTGAGCTCAAAACAACACATTATTTAACTGATGTCAAATAGTTATTTGGTTTACTCTGAAACCTTGGTGGACTACTTTCTTGCAGCTGCTTATGTCTGCAAGTAATTTAAGGTCTAATATAACAGACTACAAACAGGAAAAGGCATAAATAAGACTAAGATGTAGAGAGTGAAAAGGAGCGAGAGATGAATCAAAGTAGCAGAGTTGTCGTCTAAATTAATTGTGTAACCCTTAGATTTACATCCTTTCTTAACGCTCAGTGGCTAAAAACAGCCACTGATATTGACTGCTGTAAAAACATATTGGATTCATATTTTTCCAGATTTTTTTCATATATCTCTTAATTAACTTCTGCTCTATTCAGAACTAGTAAATGTTTCATTAATACATCCAGATTTTAACCCTTTAAGGACCCATTTAAAACATAAAGTTACTAATATTGGGAAAGAAATGGGAGGAAAATGACTGATTTTTATTAGGGTAGTAGAGATCACTAACAGTGCGATCACCCTGTCCTTGACCAAGTGGTTTCTTCTGAAACCCGATCCGTTATGAGTCCTCTGCACATGCATGATGCTTTCGGATTAGGTCATGTATGCACTGATCTCTGCCACACTGCTCAGGTGTGTTCAAGGGCACAGGGGCTAGCTCCCCCTGTAGCCGTCAACCCCCCTTGCTAGGAAACCGATAAGAAAGCCTCGAAATGAACAGACCACCCAATGCCGACCTCCACACAGACCCCGACTACGCCTTAGTGAAAATAAACTGGAAATCCTTGAAGTGAACATCCGAGGACTATGCACCAATATTGGGGATCTCTCCAATCTCTGCTCTGAGAAGAAGCCTTCTGTTGTCATCTTAGTAGAGACTTTCCTGGACTCAACCATTCCAGATGGGGCGGACGAGATACAGATTCCCGGCTACTCACTCAGCTGTCGCAGAGATCGCAGCGGAGGCACCGGCGGCACCGGCGGCGGTATAGCAGTCTACTGTCTAGAAGGTGTCTCCATCTACCACAACCCATCCAAAGACCCTGACGATTTCGAGCTCATGTGGTTCACTGTTGCACTGAAGACCAGGACGCTGCTGATAGGAGCTGTTTATCGCCCGCCAAGCGCCTCCAACGATGTCTTGGACTACCTCGACAGTAACACCCTCTCAGTGATGGACGAGTTTGGAGCCCAGTCCGTTATGCTCATCGGCGACTTCAATGTACATCACAAGGAGTGGCTGGGGAGCAATGTTACGGATGCTGCTGGACGACGTGCCTTGCAACTTGCCAACTGCCTGGGACTGGAACAGATCGTCACTGAACCAACTAGACACAACAACATTCTAGATTTGGTTCTATCAGACACTCCAGCAACCACAACAACCTTGGCAAATGTAGGCTCCTCGGACCACAATCCCATACATATACAGCTGACAATACCAGTCTTCAGAGATAAGCCATACAGGAGAAGAATATGGAGATACGACAAGGCGCAGTTCTGGGAAATGAGAGGGTACCTAACTTCCATAAACTGGTCCAATGTCTTCAAGGAGGAAGATCCCGAAACAATCTGCACCAATCTCACCAACTTACTGCAAGATGCCATGGCCACATTCATACCAAACAAGATCATAACCAGAAAACCTGGAGATAAAGCTTGGTTTGACGATCAGTGCAGAAGGGCAGCCACAAAAAAGCGCCGACTCTATCGCAAGATGCAGGCATCAAACAACCTGACTGTGAAACAGAAGTTTCTTGAAGCAAGAGCAGCGTTCAATCAAACTGAAAAGCGAGCAAAGAGACAATATAACAACAAATTGAAAAAAGACCTATCAGACAAATCGCTCAGCTCTAAGAAGTGGTGGGGAATTGTGAATTCACTTTCAGGGAGAAGTGGCTCCACAGACATCCCAGTCATCAAACACCAGGGCATCCCCCACATAACAGCAAGTGAAAAGGCCAATATCTTCTGCCAGACTTTTGCGGACAAGTTTACTTTGCCCGGGGCATCTGCACTACCTCAACTCCAGTGCCCATTACCATCCTCTTTTTTCAGCGAAGTCAACTTCAGACCCAAAGATGTCAGGAACATCCTTCGCAAATTGGACCCAGGAAAGGCCACAGGGCCTGATGAAATCCCAACAAGGGTCTTGAAAGAGTGCGCCGCAGAACTGGCCAGTCCCCTCTGTCGTCTCTTTCAACTCCTCTTTTCCCGTGGCTTGTTCCCTGACCAATGGAAAACTGCAAGAGTAATCCCAATTCACAAAAGGGACTCTAAATCGGATCCATCCAAGTACCGTCCCATATCCCTGCTCTCTGTCATCAGCAAAGTGATGGAATCCTCTGTTCACAAACAGCTACAGGGATTTCTCCCCCGTCATGACCTTATCTCGAATAAACAATATGGTTTCAGACCTAACCACAGCACAGCCGACCTCCTTACAGTTTTGTCCCAGACATGGAACAACATCCTCGACAAAGGTGGAGAAGTATATGCTGTCGCACTAGACATCAAGGGCATGTTCGACCAGGTCTGGCACAATGGCCTTTGTGCAAAGCTATCATCAAAGGGCGTAACCGGAAGATTGCACGTCTGGCTACAGAACTACCTTCAAGGAAGATCCATCAAAGTTGTGCTTTCTGGTCAGTCTTCTTTACCACATCCCATCAACGCATCTGTATCTCCGGGATCGATTCTGGGCCCACTGTTATTTTCCATCTTCATTGATGATGTTGTGGAACAGTGTGAGAACAACATTTTCCTGTATGCAGACAGCTCTACCATCGTCGCACCAGTAACATCGTCAAATGCGCCAGAGGTGGCTGCGTCCCTGAACAAAGACTTGGAAAACCTCCGGAAGTGGGCCGATGCCTGGAAGGTCACTTTTGAGCCCAGCAAGTGCAAGGCGATAATCCTGTCCAGAAAGAGGAATCCCTCTCGACCTGACCTGTTCTTTGGGACCACCAAGATTACACTTAGTGAGCAGATGGAGGTGTTTGGTCTTTCTATAGACAGCAAGCTCACATGGACCAGCCATTTGTCCAACATCTGCAGACGTGCTGGACAACATCTTGGTGCACTGCGTAAGCTGGCCAACAAGCTTGATGCCAAGGGCAGGGCCAACATTTATAAGACCCAGGTCAGGAGCATCATGGAGTACTCCTGCCTGGCCTGGATGAACGCTTCTCCGACCACTCTTAGGCAGCTAGACCTCATCCAGAAGAAGGCTCTAAAAATCATCGGGGTGGATGAGGACCTTGCCCTTCAGCAGTACGCCATCAGCAAGCTGGGTCACCGGCGAACAGTTGCAGCAACAACCGTTCTTTATAAAATGCACACCCCCAACTGTCCAATGGACCTCAAAGCTCTGCTACCCCAAGCCCACACCGTGGGAAGAATCACCCGGAGAGTACTGCCAAGTCACGCCCTGAAAGTCCCCAAGTTAAAAACCAATTGCCTTGACAGGAGCTTTCTCCACTCTGCTATAACAACTTGGAATAGCCTTCCCCCTGCAGTTGTTGGAGATATTACATCTACTGGTGTTCACGCCTTCAAGAAGAGGCTGAACAAATACCTCCTCAGTATATGACTGTTATCCCTCACAAAGCTTCATGGGCTTTTATCCATAAACATTTATTATTTATTTACTTTACCCCAGTCTGAGTAGCTGCAGATCATTGATAGGCTCTTTGAATTTCTCTCAAAGCCTGTATCTGTTTAAGCCAAATAAAAAAAAAAAAAAAGATTCATTTTCTACCATATCAGTGACATTATGTTTTGAATGGACCCTCAGAGGGTTAAAAGCATATTTTTAGACGAAACATTGTTTACTAGTTCTGATCAAAGCAAAAGTTAATTAAGAGATATATGAAAAAAATTGGAAAAAAAATATTAACCCAATATGTTTTTACAGCAGTCAAAGTTAGTGGCTGTTTTTAGCCACTGAGCGTTAACAACGGATGAAAATTTGCCCAGCGCGTATTTTTGACCTGGTGAAAATTCTGAAGTCATCTGCTCAAAGTGTCCATCAATATAAGCCTCTGCACAAAAAATCATCCCATTTGCTGCAGTAAAAAAAAAGTTACGTGGAAATTAGTGGCTAAATTTTGCCCCTAGTGGCTGATTTTAGCCACAGCATTACACAATCTAATGTACAGTAAATCTAGATGTAAATGTTAGGAAATTTGCCTCTTTTAATTTTTTTTTGTGAATAATTACTAAATTCTGTATATCTTACATGAAAATTACAGCGAGCAGCAGGTATAGCTACAGATGAACTGGGTTCCAACAGAGAGCCTGCAAGAACGTTTGCTTCTTCTGACAAGAAGCCTCCAGTGGCATTTGAGCACACATCAAATTCATGATATTCATCACCTTTGTCAGTTTGTGTGGTTTAACATCTTAACAGAAATTTTCAGCTTTGTATAAGCTTCAAATGCCCCAAACGGTAAAACATCATTCTGTTGTTCTTTTTACATTAATGTGCTCTAAGTGAGGAATAATGTGCTTATACATAAGCTTTCTAAACCTGCATAACAGGTCAGAAATGTCAGGTTGAGGGGATACGATCATGAATTAGTACAAACTCTTGTAAAGTTTTATTTCAATGTAAACTATTTGGGTCTGATTAAAAAAGTTTTTTTCCCCCTCCTTGAATACTTTCACTATTTGTAATGCAAGAATTAAATGGTGTGCATTTAAATTATTAACATGAACACCTGAAGAATTCAAAAGATTATGGTCAGTGTACTGTGTGGCAGAGTTACAGCTGTGCTACATTGTTGCTGTCTGAAATGAACAATAGTTTCAACATATCAGTGAAAATTTCAGCCTAAACACAAAACCCTTTTAGTACTTTATCTAAAAAGTCCTGAATGCAATAATCCATTTTATACTTAAAAGATTTAACATTTTTTTCTCCAAAGGAAGCAACAGAATGACTTCAAGTTGTACTTTCCATTATCTGACCACAAGATGGAGCCAAATTTAATTCTAGATTAAAAATCTTTTTCACTTGAGTCATTGCAAGTGACGTGATGAAGGTTTCAGACGGAAGAGAAAGTAGCCTTTATAGTTTTTGGCCTTTTTTTTCTTTTTAGATAATTTGAATAATAAAACATCAAAACCAAATTAAAAGACAGATAAAAGGCACCTAAGAAAAAAAACATAAAAATAGAACAAAACCTTAAATATTTTGCATGCAATCAAAGCTCCTCATAAGTGGACTTTGTCTGCTTCTTCCCCCAGATAATTTTACAGCTAAGAGATAAACTGACTGAGTTTTTCACTAATTTGACACAGGGAATATTTGCGCTGAATGTCATACTAGTGTTTCTGTATGACCTACAGGTGCAAACCAGACCATCAGTGAAAGATTCTTTTATGTAAATGCTGCTTTAGGGCAGGAGTTAAAAAAGAGATGGAATAGCCCCCCTGCCCACGCAGCCTGTTTTTCTTTTCCTACAGCAAAGATTCACAGTGAGTGAAAAGTTTAAGAGACTCTAAAACATTGTCTTGATGCATGCTCAAGACAGGATGTCAAACTCAAAGCTCCTCACAGGAGCTGAAACATCAGTTGAATTTGATATGAACGCAGAAAGATACTCTTACAGGTTAGAATACTCCTTGTCTCTTGAGGCTCAGATTTTTAATGACTGTCCAACATAACGGAGTGGGAGCACCTGATAGAAACAATACAGTTCATATTTTCCAGCTGAAATCTTCCTTTTGTTTATTCAAAACATTTCTTATTGTTTCTTGGTAGAGAAATGTTTTAGAAACCGTCTAAACCTGACTGAAAAGTACATAAAAGCTTTTTTCCTCCCACTTGTTTTTAGCTCCATTTTCGGCAATTCCAGTCATCACTGCACAGGTGCATGAAATTGTAATTTGATGAAAGTGTTCGGAGACTTATTTTCTGTTTTACTGTTTCAGGTGTGTACAGCAGTGGGTCTAAATCATTTCCTGGAAAACCGCTGATTATATAATAATGTGTGTTTGCTTTCACTTTGAAGTAGCTCATGATGGGCGCAGTATGTTCAGAGTGTCTGTTTGTTGAAAGACCTCTTTTTCAAGGTGCAACCGATTTCGTATCAGAGCTGAATTTGATCCAAAGTCCAGTCACTTTGACTTGTGTGTGTTTGCTTACAAATATGAGTAAATCTCCTTATCTGTCAATGTGCTAAATCAGTGTGATTAATACATTTGAAAAGGCAGCAATAACAGTATTTTTTTCAGGCACAGTCACAGTGCCAGAGTTTAGATTTATGGATATTATTTCTGGTGGGCTGAAAAGGTTAATTCCCCAAAGTCAGTTCAAAGTTACAGCATGTTATAACACCTCAGTCCTATGGGGGGCCTCAAGTTAAATGGAAAAAGCTCTTCTTTTTGCTGCCATGGTCCTCCTGGGAGTCAAACAGCAGTGCTAAATATTGTACTTTCTCTGTTTTTGATATCATTATTTATTAAGCAGAGCCGGTGCTGGAACAATCGTCTGGTCCTGTCACAGAACAGGATAGAAACAAAGTTCAAAGTAAAAGAGTCCAAGACTCAGTCAGCAGAGACTGATCCGTCTCTACTAGCAGACTCCTCATCGCTAGAACTGGACTCAGTGATTTTGTGTTGCAGCATTTTAAACCTTGAACCCTTGACTTTCATGAAACATGGCTCCTCTGATAACTTCCTAATATAATTCAAACCATGTATAGACCAGAATAAAGTGTGACCCTACGCCTGGCTGAATATAACTGTAAAATAGATGAAATCACATCCAGACATTACCATCAGACTGTCTTAGAAACAGGATCTAATTCTTATTTCAAAAAAATATAAAGAACCTTTGCCTGCTGTTCTCACAGCTTCTATTACAATCAATTTCTCTGCAAAAATTCAAAATTTAGCCAATTGTTTGTGTCTTATTTGAACTAAAATATATGCCATTACACTTAATAAAAACATTTACCATGCAAATCAGGAATAAACCTCTGAATTCCATGTAATGAGTGAAGATACTTGCCAGTTTGTTTGGGAGAATCTAGCTGTTGAGTTTTTACAAATAGGAATAAAACTTAATGCAACCTTTTGATTGAAACTCTATCTAAAACTTTTAGTTAAATGTGGCTTGGATTAAAGTGAAAGAGATCACAATACTTTACGAGTGTTTGCAGTTTAAATCTTTCTCTCTTTATCTTTGGCGTGTAACATTTAAGTTAAGTTAAGTTAAGTTAAGTTAAGTTAAGTTAAGTTAAGTTAAGTTAAGTTAAGTTAAGTTAAGTTAAGTTAAGTTAAGTTAAGTTAAGTTAAGTTGATGAGATGAGATGAGATGAGATGAGATGAGATGAGATGAGATGAGATGAGATGAGATGACATGACATGACATGACATGACATGACATGACATGACATGACATGACATGACATGACATGACATGACATGACATGACATGACATGACATGACATATTCCTTTATTAGACCCACAGGGGGGAAATTCCCATTTCAGTTCAACCCATCCAGGAAACAAAAAAATGACGGACACATGGCTGGACAGTAACAAGACAACTGTTGGGTCGCCACAAGAGCGGTGCCCCGTTTTCTTCAATTAAAAAAAGGAGAAGAGAAGGGAGGAAGAGGGAAAAAAGGCAACTCCAAACTAGACTCCTGTTGGGGGGGCACAGTGTGGAGTTCGCGGGGGTCGCAGGATAGTCAAACAGCACCGTCTACAGTGTGTTAGTCTCTCAGTAAATGCCAGAGCATGTATTGCAGACATCAGCAGTTGTAATTTCTACTTTAAAAAGATACTTTGGTCATCCAGTCAGCCAGCTTTAATGTTATTATAGCTATAGCTAATGTTATAATGTTATGGCGTACTTACCCTGCACCTGGAGAACAACCAACCCTGCTATCATTCACGATCCTGCTGCTAAAATAACCCAATCTACACTCAGGTTTAAAATGGAACTTAACTGTCATTGAATTTGAAGGTTATTTTCTTTCTCAAATTGGTTTATTTTCTGTAAATGAGATAACAAAACACTCTTCTTTGGCTTTCTTCTCTCTTACATAGCAGTCATATGTGGATTCATGGCCTAAATCCAAGACCCTGTAACTCCAAGAACTGATATGCACATGGACAGCTGTGGACATCATGGGTGGATACTTGAAAGAGAGCACACACTGTTCCTGACCTGAAAGTTTAGCAACTTGAGCCAAAGAGGATCCCATGAGAGAGATCATTCCTGACCAGACCTCCACAGCAAAGTTTATCTTCACAACAGATCATGACACCCTAGTGGAGATATTTGGAACAGGTATGGATGGTGTTATTTTCCAGACGGGGTGGATGGCTCCCTGCTGTGTCAGCTTTTTTTGTCTTAAAGATACCTCTGTGCTGGAAACAGACTGCAAGCAGACTGTATAAGAGTGTGAGTCACAGAGAAACCTGCCATCTCAATATGAGACAGGTCTTCAATTAGAGTATTAATAACAGGAGGCTACGGAGGAATATACAAAAAAAAAAGGTTTTAGCATGCATTTGATTTATTTGTGGTTTCTGAGCTGACATTTATACCAGCTCATATGAGGAATGAAACCCTGAAATAATGCTAAGTCAGTAGCAAAAGCACAGATAGAGAGGTGGAGCAGGCTGCTGCATCAGGATGGAGAACCAACTCGAAAACATCCAGAAGACTTTGACACAAGTTAAAATTTGGGAAATGTGTACCCCTCCAAAGAAAACAGTCCCTCAGCTGTGAATCTGAATTGAAGTTCCTCATGTGACACCTGTCCCACTGCTTAGAGTCCTGTGTTGAACAGCTGATATCATTTGTTTAGCTGTGTTGTTGCTCCACAATCCGGGATGAAAGTCATTGTTTTGGCTGTCAGGCGTCTTTGCTTGTTCTCCGCATCAACCTCCACCTCTCCCACCACCACCCCCATCTGCAGCAGCAGCAGCAGCAGCAGCAGCTCTGTGTAATTACATCCAACCTGTTCCCCTCTCCTCTACGCTTGATATCACTGCTGACATCCACCAGCAAGGCCCCTCCCCTCCCTCTTCCTTCCTCTCTCTCCCTCTGTGCTTACTGAAGTGCTCTCTCATAAGCCAGTGTGCAGTCCTGCCTTGTCTTCAGTAGTGTGTTTGTGTGTGTCTGTGTGCATGTGCGGTGCAGCCGAGCAGACGAAGAAGGAGGGAAAGAGGGGGAGATGGAGGCAGAGATGAGAGAAGAGAGGAAGAAAATGGTGTTGCACAGATGAAGACTGAGCTGCTACGGGCAGAAATGGAAAGAATGGAGGATGACTGATTTCTACAGCAGGACATTTATTCCTAAAGAAGCTGGCTGAGTCTTCAGGGTAAGTGAGCAACTTGTGTCAACATAACGCAGCGTACTTTTCTTTAGCATGTGACAGGAGACCACATTTAAAGTCTTTGCGTCTTGGTGAATTTACTCAAACATCTAGGAGACATGAAAGATGTTTTTCTATTTTTATTTAGCTATGAACCAAAAAAAAGATCTTTTTCAGTGTGACTGGGAGAAGTTTTGGATTATTGGAGATGAATAATAACCTCCCTGATCCCCGAAGAGTAAAAAGCGGAGGCATATCTCAAAGAGAAGATTGCTGGCTGCCACACAGCTTAATCAAACGTTTTGTGGTTTTATCAAATCCACCTGTCACACTCTGTGGGCAGTGGGCTTTACCATTAAAAATGTGGGGATATGAGATTCACTGAGGCAGAGGGATCTGATGAAAAGATCAGGCTTATTGGAGGGAAGTTATTAAGGGTCAGCGTAGTCATGCTGTGACTTGCATCCCAGATAGTGGTGCGTTTTAAGCAAGGTATTCTGGCAGAGGATTTCAACACTCACAGGTAGGTGTGTTTGTGTGTGACAGCAGCGTGAAACATGGAGAGAGAGAGAGGCACAGAGATCCAAAAAAAGATCCAAGGAAGTGAGTATCAGATGGTACAACACACAAGCTTTGAACAAGAGTATTTCTCACAGGAAGCAGCTACTTTCTGCTTCTTATTTTCAAATCCAGGGAATAAAACTTCTGAATCAGAAACAGCCAAGGAGCTTTGTTTGCTGCAAAAAAAGGCAAGGTATAAAAATGTGACATGATGCTGAGGAGCTACCTTGAGCTGATTCATCAGACATACATGCTGCCTCCAGTGTGAAACCTTAAGAGCATAAAACAGCTTTCAGTTTATTGTCTTTGGCTCCTCTGACACACACACACACACACACACACACACACACACACACACACACACACACACACACACACACACACACACACACACACACACACACAGAGCATCTGAAGCAACCTAAGGCAGCTTTCCTCACCTGTCAAACTCATCACTAACAGTGACTTTTTCTATGTTAAATGCAAACAAAGACAGTTGTGGTCAGTATGTTAATTTCTTTGTATTGACCCACAAGCAGCCATTACAGCTCTAAAAGATACTAAACAGAACTATTGAACCTTCTAGCTGCTTGTCTTATTTGCATGAATGGGTCGTAAAAGAGGCATCCGTACTGGTTTATACTGTCAGAAAGTAAAGAAATGCACAAAAATGTCAATGTAGTTAAATGTTAATTTCCGGAAGGTACAATACAACAACACAACACAATACAAAGGGACATTAATACCAACGCAAAAGTACAACGTCCCAAACATACAGGTTTATTTTGGTCCTATTAGATGTTATTAAAAACAGCAAATCAACAATATTTGAGACGGTATTTGTTTGAGCTATTGTGAACTTATGCAAAGCAGCACAGCAAAATGCTTTATACAACACCATCTACCCTTAATGGTTAGAAACAACTTCACTAAAGATAATGTTATGATAAACTTTATACAACTGTGAATACAAGGCCTTCTATTAAATACACAGACATATGTAAATACTTACCTTTACAGAGTGTATGTGTATGTGTATGTGGGTGGGTGACATGTATGTGATTGTAAGCTACTTGAAGTGGAGCGTGATTATGGGTTTAAGCTCATATCTCAATGGCAAGACCTCTACGGTTTTTAAATAGATGGTCACATTTTTTTATAAAAGACCTTTTATTTCTTGTTAGGCGATTAAAATCAATATAAACCTTTGAATCCAGCAGTTAACAAACATTGTAACTTAGAGAGTGTTATAAATGTCTTTGGAAACTGAAAAAAGATTACACCTAATATGTATTCTCAGAGGTATCCACTCACTGTGGTATGAGGTCATTGTTTACTACTTACAATAAGAGTGTTATTCCGATGTAGAATTATTAGTATGCTAATTTCCCGAATGGGAAAATAATGGGATTGAATTTTTAATCTGTTTCCCGGTACTCTGTGTCATGATTGGTACATTGGTTGTCTGTTCTGTGGATGTTAATTTGAAGTGTTTTGAAGACAGATAAGCACATCGAGCATGTAGACCTGGATGGTAAAGTGGGATGGTGCATGTGGGACAAAAGGCATGGCAAGTGTGGGTGCAGATAAAAGCATTCAGTGCACCAGTGATGAAGCTGGAAATGAAATGGGATTCAGAAGAATCCTTTTCAAGTCTTATCAGAGAATGTCTGAGATATTGAGTGGGGAAGAATAACAATAATTGACATTGATATTATCCTTTTGAAGGTATTGTGTGTTGACAGTCGTGGTAATCGAGTTGAAAGTTCAGATCAGCATCTTCGAGAGGAAAACAGTCTTGTATGTGACATGAAGTGTTGTAAGTGTGAAAAAAACAGACGATGAAATCTCTTTTTCCACTCAGCCTTATTGTGAATGTGTGAAATTGAACAGAGCCCACCACAGTGGATATGAGCGCTTAAAAACACACAGTCTGTTTTTAGCAGTCAATCCACAGTGACAAAGGGCTTTTTATCTAGCTAACACAGATTCATATAAAGTGGCCATATCACTATTTTAGTGGTTTGCTTATGCCCCATACTGAGGCTGATTTGACACAACTTTATTAGCATTTTGTATGGTGGGAGCATGAAAGAAAAATTGTGTGTATGCTACCACATGTGTATTTTATTATTATATAAGTATGTTAATCATCATTTACTGAAAATCACTTGGTTTGAATGTTTGCAGAGTCATATCTGTGTCTTTTTAATGAGCATGGGAAAGGAGAAGTATGGCCTTGGAGTTGGGACTGATACTTTTCCGCTGAAGCCATTCAACTAGATGAATGCTATAATTTCACTCAAAGGTTGTTTTCCCAACAGTGTGACATTGAACTGATAAGCAGGAACCTTAGAATGAACTAAGCTGTCTTTGTTCTCCCAGTACAGACCACAGCTACAACCTGTACCCTGTTTGGATATTGTTGTAATGTCGTGCCACTTGTGAGATGATGTTAGTGGGCGGGGGTGTCTGTTTCTTGACTGCATAAAGGATGTGTAAAAATCTGAATTCCTCAGTCAGAGGAACCTGCCTTTGTTGTAAACTGCTGACTCCTTGCAAGTAAAAGATATCCAAGAAAAAGAAGTCCACTATCTCTGTCGTTCTTCTCAGCTGGATGCAAGTCAGATGCAGTTAAATTTTTCTGACATACTACTAAACTAACATGAGCCGAGAAGCTGCAGCACAAATTGACCATTATATTAGCTTACTATGACCTGCCTTAGTGCTTTGGTTTATTTACTAATAAATTATAATTAATCAAAGCACCAAAATCACCACAAAAAAACAGCAATTATCCAGTGAGTTCAGAACTCTTCAAGTCCTAAACTCACTGAAATATGGCCATTGTTTTTAAGAACTCTCAACAAATTTGTGCTGTCTGCAGGTTTCCAACTCAGAAACCCTCCAAAAAAACTATCAAAGTCATCAAAGACATCTATGCAACTCTGTTTTATTTTGGCCACTTTTAATTTTTCTTTTCTTTGTTCCTCTCTTACAGATACTGATGAACATTCACTGGAATCGTAGGCAGATGTTTGTTTGTGTGGCCACGACGAGATTCAACATTGACTGAAAATACTGCAGTACTCATCAGCACGATGGATTGGTGAAAAACAACAACAAAAAAAGAAAAACAGAGCCTTCAGGAGTTAATGTTCATCTGTGTAGTGAGAGGTGCAGACCAGCTGTCCTGCTCGTCTAATCGAAATGTTCAGCAAAACACGATACACACGATGCAGATGAACCAACACATGTTAGAGTTTTGTGCTACACGACATCCACAACATTTACTATATGATTGGAATACAGTGAAGTAGGTCTGATCTTGATTCTAGATTCAAGCTTCTACAGCACAAACAGATCTGACTTTTTTTTTTTTTTCAAATTACTGAATCGTAAAGAAAGGCAGTCATGATTCCAACTTAAACTCTAGCACTGAAGTTGGCCTGCACTGAGTGCTGCCATCCAGACTCTTTATGGAATCTGAAGAAAGCATGACAGGACTGTCCACAGCTGCGTTGGTGGCCATTGCCTGCAACACATTTGTTGCCATCCTCCTTCTTCTCCTCTGTCTGATCCTCTTCCGAGCCTGCAGGGTCCCCTCCAGTCCAGAGAGGCAGCCCGTGCTGGCTCCCAGAGAAGCAGGAACCCAACACATGAACGAGCACAAGTACCTGTTAACCTCCTGACTGCAGAAGGATGAGTCAAATGTAGCAACTCAATGCACTCCTCCACCAGAGAGCACCGGGGATTGACTGCAAGCAATAACTAGGCTTCTCCATCATTGCTTCTCCAGTCAGCTGCACATCCCATTGCAGAAATGGCAGCGACTCGCAAAAATAGCAAGAGTGAAACTATTTTTGAGCAGCCATCACTTGTCGCATCTAGTCCTTGGACTGACAAAGGATAAGGGAGAATGTTGGAGAAGAAGAACAAGGCCACAAGGACGGATGCAGATAAAGAGAGAGCGAGAGAATGAAATGTTCAGTGCAAAAAAAGTGGCTTGTCTGCTGTTGGAGGTTTCTAAAAATATCCTCTGATTTCAAACTCTCACCTGAAAAAAAGAGAAAACCTGTCTATTGCTGAAAACAGGGACTTGAGCCTGTGTAGAGTGTGTGTGTCATTGTCCCCCCATAAACACCAGCGGTCTGTAAGGCACAGTTCTTTCTGAGGGTGTTACGTAAGGACTAGAGAGGCTTAGTTCAGATTTGTGTCCTCTTCAATACGACCCTCGCACTGACATCTGCTTGTGGCTGTCAGTGATGGTCCACTCTCTCTGCTCTGAATCACAGGACACTCACACGCAGAGAGATTTATCATATTCAGTTCTGAGGGTCTCAAAGAGACATCAATACAAATATGAATGATCAATACTCAAGTATTTAACCTATATAACTGTGCTGCAACTTCAGACTAAACAAGGCATGTTGTCGAGGAAAAATGGGGCCTGTATATCAAACTGAGCAACAGCTGCCAGGCTTTAGGCTGTTTTCTTAGAAACACTGGAGAGTGAAATAGGAGAGGCCAGATCTTTAAAAAATGTGAACTTCAATAATTCAGATTTTGGGGGACCTTAGTGGAAGCATCAAAAACATGCTTTGACAACTTTGTTTGTTAACCACAACATCCTCCCTCTGGCCCACCACAACAAAGACTAAAACCAAACAGATTATCAGAGTGACTGACCTGAAACCATGTTTGCATAGCTGTTCAACAGAAAACAGCAGTGGCTCGATAGAGAGAGTATTAGAAAAGTTACATTCATTAGCTAATTTTGTCACGTTGAGGATTTTTGAAGAAGAGAAAATGATAGCAAAGGAAAAATAACATATATTTGTCTCCAAAACAGTCTCAATGCATCAGGATGCAAAGCAAAGACCCACTGAGCAATAGACGGCGATTAGACGTCTAATTTTTTCTAGACCTAATTTCAACCGTTTAGATTCTGTATATTTTTAGACAGAATTTAGACGTTGCACTTTAACCCATTATTCGATAATCGTTTATTTCAAAAAGCAACTGTTAGTTGCATAACTGATCTCCGAGTATTTAACCAAAAATAATTATGATAGCTGTTGAGCAATATACAGTGCAGTAAAGACATAGCCCAGATTTAGTCTAAAGTTGGTTCTAAATTTAGACGTCTAAAAAAACTTTCATTTTTAGACCTGTGGTAGCCTGATTTTAGACCAGTCGTCGAGGCTACATTTAGATGTCTGTTACACCTCTTTTAGACCAAAAAATGCTCAGTGGGGATAAAAATGTCTGATGAGAAAATCAAGAAAAGATGAAGTTTTGAAAAGTTGAAAGCCATTCCTGTTAAACAACTGAAGGAGAAACATGAAAACAGCAGAGCAGACTTCCCGTTATTGAAAAGCCCCTGGAGATCACCTCATCAATTACATGTTATGAGTTATTTTACCATCTGTGGTAGTCACTACTGCAGCTGTTACACTGAAAATGTGACCTTTGTTTTACTCTGATCACAAGACCACTCCCCCACCTAACCCAAACATGATACAAGCAGCAACACTCTGCAAAATGCAGCATCAACAAAACAGCAGAACAAAGCAAATCTGCACTCTCCTCACTCTCACTGCAGGAAGAAAGTAACTGTTACAACAATTACACCCAAAAATCGTTTGTAATGTATTGGCTGTAAAAATTAGGTGATTCTGCGTCTCTCTCTAACTGCACTTGTGGGGATGAGGCAATGAATCACACTTAAGGGAGTGCTGCATGTGGCCACTGGCAGATGTAAAAGGCAGAGGAGCTCTGTGGTGCACACACAGAAAGAGAGAGAGAGAGAGAGAAAAAAGACAGCCCTGAACACTGTGGCAGTATTTGATTCCAACAGAGCATCAAAGCTCTGGGTGGTGCTTTTACTCAAGGACAAGTTCATTAAGATAGGAGAATGTAGAAAAGGGCTAAATAAAGATGGACACTGCCATGACTCAAAGCAAAGTTCTCCCTGTAGATGGGATATTGAAAGGCTCCCAGATCATCCCTGGACAGATGCCCAGGATGGCGCATGCCAGCCAAGATAAGTCAACTGGATGTGGTCCATAAAAGCTCCATCTATTACGCTTATTTATGTCCCTGTTCACTTGTAGTAACTCTCTCTCCTCACATTTTAGCTTAGTCAACTTGTACAAGACACTCAGAAAGAGATTCATAGATCTCTGCAGAAGAGTCAGTCAAGTTGATGGAATTCCAATGTTGCCTGTTTAATATGTATCAGCTACTGCAGTAAAAATGAATGCATTATTAATTGAATATGAATCATTTATTAACCGCTTAAGAGGGATCAGAGGAAATGTTTATAATAAACATATACAAATTGTTCTCTTGTTATGCTGGTGGTATTTATTGCTGCACACACTGGGCCAAAAGGGTGTTTTCTTTTAAATTTTTTTTTAAAGAGAATAAAAGTCCATGTTACTGGAGAGAAAACAGGAAAGCCATGTTAACCTGTGCTCTGCTCTGGTTCCCTCAACAGACTCAGGAGCTTCTCCATCTTGGCTATTTCCACTTCAGGACCCTTAGGCAGATCTTGACCCTTCTTGGTCTTCACAAAGACAGAGACAGAAAGAGAGAGATCACTTGACATCATGCTTAAACAAACATTTAAGAAGAGGACTGTACAGCATATCAAAGTGGAAATAATATGATTCCTATGTAGTTATTTCTTTAAAAAAATCTTTCTCTGCTTCTCAAAATGTGGGGCATGCCCTGCTGGTGGGGAATGGAGACGTGACAGGTGGAACACGACAAACAGGGGGATATTTTTTTATTTTATGCCTATCTTCTTAAGTGTCTTTTTTTTATTGACAATACATATCATCCACTGTAAACAAAAGACCCACACACAAAATAATAATAAATATCCTACATGTAGCTGAAATTAAAAGAACATTAAAATTATAAGACAGCATCAGTTAGAAAACAGGAGAGAAATGTAACGTAGAACTAAAGAGCAACAATAATGATTGAAGTGCAATTATTTATTATGGCACATGATGTCACTTGTTCCTTGTTTCTTCGATAAATTTGACAATGTGTAATTTGTCAGGATTTTTGTTGGGGTGATAGGCGTAAGTAGGGCTTAAAAAATTTCCCCTTGTTCAAATGCTGCACTCCAGTTACCTCGGAAGTCAGATGTCAGAGCTGGGAATGACGTTACACCAGAGTTGACAGTGTTCTAGTCGTCCACACAGTTAAACAGATGACCTTCATAACTACTCGTTTGAAGCTCGTATAGCGTATTATATCAAAAGGTGTTTATTTTTATTCCTGTGTAGCTATTTTGAGGTTGAAGGAGCTGACAGCAAGGGAGTTGATCCAGACAGACAGCTGTGTTCCCTGAACGGATGAGCATCAAATCTCATTGCAACATAATATCACTGCCATGATGAATGGCTCAATAAAGCTTCTCCGTGAAAGGCCGAATGTGCACAAACCAGCTCTTTGTTGAGGTAAAACTTGCAGTCTATATTATAGACACCTGTTTCTCCTTATTGAGTCCCTAACAGCAATATTAATTTTGTTTTGTCTTCTCTGTTTGTGAGTGTGGTAAACATAAACACTTAGGCTTGTATTACATGTCCTCTGATTTTGTGTATTTTTTTTCTTGACACTCCAATGTTCAGGTGATGACAAATCTTGTAATCTGGGTAACTGTAGTGATTAATAGACCCTCACAAGTATTGCATAATGCTGTTTTTATATTGCAACCGCCTCTTGTTTCTAGTGGGCAACAGAGACTTGAGGCCAATGAAAAGAGAACAGATGAGATGAACATTCATGCTGCACATTGTTGAACCGAGCACTGTGTTGTAATGAACACAAACAGAGCTTGTGTAAATTCAATTGTCTTTAATTTACACTATTATGTGCATTTTCAGGCACATCATGCATCATGAGCACAACTCTGAAGACTTCTTTGTCAACATCCCAATTCCTATGACATTTACAGCATGGCGTGGCACAGGTGAGTAACATGTGTCACGTCATGTGTACAGGGTAACAACACACGACTGACATTACATCATCTATCACTGTAGCCCTCAGGCATACTGGGAAAGTTACTTGGATATATTCACTCTTTTCATTAAAGAGCCCTCAGAACTTTCTACTTTGGCAAGGTCAACAGTGTTAAAATTTGATTTTGGAAGCTGCAAACAATCAATATTAGCCTGGCATTGCCAGTGAATGGGTCTGGACCTATTCAATTCACTTCCTCTCCTAAAGTGGCGTGAACAATAGCTGTATGCAGAAGTGCCTTTCATTGAAACACCATAACTAAAATTGCCAGTTATTGTTTTCATTAATATACATCATTGACTTTGTTTGAATCTGCTGCAGTAGCGGGTTTGAGACACCTGAAGCTGTCATCTTGGTTCCTTTGAATATGCTGAAGTACAACCCTGTGTCGTCATTTTGTGGAACGAAGGACTGTGATTGGCCCTGCATATCCGGCACAGAGGGGAAATCAGTAAGGATGACAGCAGTTTCAGACCCATCTGCCAGCCAAAATGAATATGAGCTGGGTTTGGCAACTCCAGGCTTAATCAATACATCAATATGAATAGAGCCACAGGACATAACAGAAATCAAGAAGTTGGACTACCTTTTCTGCCTTTTGAACGCCCTTAAAGGTGGGTGGCGTATCATGCATTTTTCAGATTTTATACTTTCTTTCTGACACCTCTGTAATTGCTGTGATTTTCAGATTAAAAAAAGACTCAAATTTCTCACAGAGGTGTTTTAAATTATCACTGTTTCAGCCTGCGTCTGAAGCACTTTGTTTTAGCTGCTGTCTCTTTAAGGCCTCCCCTCCACAAGCCTACTTTCTTCTGATTGGCCACATCTCTGGAAGCCGGCCGAGGGCTGAGCTCGTTGTTTTGGCCCCGCTTTCTCTATTATGATCGAGCATCAGTTGAGCACTGTTAACCCCATGGACATCATAAATGTATATAATGGTTATGCCGCTTCACTGTGAGTGTCACCTCACACGTTATTAGAGTCAGGCTGTTCTACTTAGCCGGAAGCACAGATGAACAAGTATCAAGGTCATATAATTCTTAGGTCAAAATTTTAGTTAACCTCACACATAAAGTACTGTCACGCAATTTTGCGCACTTGTTCGAGATTTGAGCAGTTTATATCTCTTTTCTAAGATTATGGTGACATACATTTACCTTGTGATTTGAAACTTTGCAAACATTAAGTATGGACACCAAACGTGTAACTTTGCAGGTTTGTTGTAAATGTGGAAAATACCCCCCTTTAGAGTAGATGACAACAATACTGTGATATTGCTCTAATGTGAACTGATAGGCCACAGTGCCAGTATTTTGGATATTCTATTGGGCCAACAAACCAATTTTGATACTTTTTAGTGGGCTGCTGTGACAATTTTATAAGATGTATCACTGATAATATTTGCTGTGGGTGTTTGTGCCTCATGCTTATTTGCCACAATGGGTTCCAAAATACTCTGAGCGTTGTCAGTGGTGCTGAACTGTGCAATTATTTCCAAATTGTATGCTTAAGGGCTCCAGTCTGAGGTCGCTAATGAGGTGGCACAGGATGTGTGTATCTGCTGTTACTCTGTGCACACTCACCATGTCTACGTGTGGGTATGCAGAAGAGTTGTTCATATTTGTTGCACCCCGGTACGACAAAGTCATTCTTGCACAACAGCATAATATGAATAAATCAATACAGGCATAGATTTATATGACATTTAAGGGGCTCTTCTATTTTACATAAACCACAAAGGAGGGAACTGTAGAGGCTGCAGAGCTGGTACTAAATGGGCCCTGATTAAAGTGTTGTGACTCAGTGTGCCATTTGGTTTCCTCCAGTATTCAGTAGGACCACAGTGAATACTCCACAGCTCATTAACCAGTGTCATAAGTGGCAACAGAGTCTTCAGTGACTCATCAATTGTGAGAGGTCTTTAAGGGGCATTTTGATTCATTGTAAAGCTGCACTTTTCTTTGAGTATAAAATGTATTTCTAGATGACTTTTCCCATTACATCATGTCATATAGTACAAATTTGACAGCATGAATAACAACGAATAGACCACCTTTGGTTGTTTGGCTAGTCTTTTAAACAATGGGTGACCAATCTGGTCCTGACTGTCAAGCTGATTTAGTGTAATGCTTTCCAGTTATCTTATTTCTGTGCTTATTCAACTACAAAGTAAGGCTATTTGTTATCTGGCTATCATGAGCTAGACAGAAAGAAATGCAGGCGATTAGTGTTGCTGATGATGAGCTGCTTGGAAGGGAGGAGAAAGCTGGCCCCATGTGGCGTTGTTACTCGGTGACATTGGCTTGGGGTTAGAACTCTGTGTAGAATAAATCATGCAATCTGCTTCAACTGACTTTGAACAAGTGGCAGCGATGAATAATACATCAGGGTGGTCATGCATCCTGATTGTTTACAGATAAGATGAGAGAGCACAAAAGTTCCTTACAGGGTAAACTAGCACCTCCGCAGCACTTAAAGTAGTTAGAAATTTGGTACCTAATTTGTGATGTTGACAAGCTCTGTTTAAAAAGTCTAGGTATGAAGACAAATCAGCTTGAGGGGAAAACATGGAGAGGTGAAACTGTAATTTGGAAAGGCAGTTTTATCTTCTTACCACTTAGAGGCAGATTTATAATAGGTGTAGAGAGTAGGCTTAAGTAATTGGAATCAACAGGGTGACTCCAGCAACTCAGTGAGACTCACCTTGGGTTTCTTGCGGAGGTTAGGGGAGAGTTTAAGACTGGTGACACAGCCCTGGTCATCACCCACGATGATGATAGGATAGATGGGGTTAAACTCAATGTGGGTCAGCGCAGTCTTTTTTGCCACCACTTGCTGCACACAGATGGGCTCATACTTGTTGATGTTGAGGTCAAAAACATGAACCTGAAAAAAGGTGAGAGACATTATTACTAGTAGCTAATGAATTAAAAAGCCTGTGTTTTTGACCACCATATCTAGACTCTGTAGTGGTAAATATAACCGGTTTTTAAAGGCTACTTTTTCATATCTCTGTATGTGTTCACTTTTAACATAGAAGGGGAATGGTGGAGCCCAAGTCTCTACAGGGGATTTAAGCCTGACCATCTGGTGCAAGGAACAGGTTTTTCCAGTGATTCAGGGATTGTGCACTCCTGTCAGTGTGCACGTACAATATGAACGTGTGTCTCCTGCAGCAAACAGCCCCCATACAGAATCAGAGGCATCACTATCCAGAGGGATCCAGATCACAGATAGTCTTCCTTCAACCTAAGTGTATTTAGAAAATGTGTTCACCACAAATGAGCCCACTTCAAAGCACAGCCCACTCCTTTTACCAGAACGATGACTGTGCCCTAGCAGCAAGGGTTCACACTGTCTGTGTGTACCAGCACCTCATTCATCACTTACACCCAATCATCATATTCTCCCAGTATATGACTTTTTTTTAACCCTCATCACAACACTCATTAACTGCAAGGTTTCTGTATGCAATGTTTGGAAACTAGTGTAACATGAGACAGTGGGTAATTTAAGCAAGAGCTTGAAGCAGAGAGACTTTCACTGTGGCTGCTGATAAATCATCAAACTTACATAGTACTGCATATTGTTTTTTAATTCATTTTATGTGGTTTTATTGCTTTAGGCTGATGTACAGGTATCTAAAATTATAGCCAGGGCTGATGCATAAACTAACTGAAATATGTGGCAGTGCATTAGCAGAAGTCTAAGAGAAGCTGCATAGACAGCAAATATGGATTTGGAGACTAATCACAGGGGGATAAGCCGGGACCTCTCGTTATTTCATCCTGACACTTTATTTTCACAAGAGTCAGCTCAGACTGAAAGGCAAGGACAGGGAGAGAGGAGGGGGTATTTGTTAGTACTGCACAATGCCAGTCTTACATCTTAAACTGCCAGACCAGGCACTATTCTTAATATGAACACATACACACAAGGACATAGGCTTACACGCACGCACAAACGTACGTACGCATGCACACACACGCACACACACGCAGATAGAACCAGGTACGCCACTGTGTCTCTGACATTTGGCAGTGCAGCAGCAGGTCAACAGTAAATACACGTCAAAAAACTCCAAACTCATGCTGTGTTACTGAAGCTCATCAGAAGCTCATCATTAAAAATGACAAATGTTTTGCAAAAAACCTTGAGATGATTATAATGAACTTATGCAACTGCTTTACAGAAGGTAAGAATTCGGACAATATTCTGCCATACGTCAAAATTTGACAGCAACCATATGCTCAGGACAGATAAGGCCTGGCCTTGGATGTAGAACAGAGGATTCATAAATCAGCCCTGTTTGGACACAGGTGAGTTTTTTTTCACAATAAAAAAATATATTACAAAGGAAATATACATTTTCTTATGTAAACCCTCTCTCAAAATCTGAGCTGTTTTGTTCTGTAAAATCCTTAAAGTCTGACTTGATTGCTGATTTCAGCTTTTGGTACAGTACAATAAATAAAACGGACGACATGCACTGACCTAAATAAACTTCCATTTAATATTCTTGTCCCTCCTGCTGCATAGAAAAGAGACGATACTGTGCTTGTGCAATGTATGCCAACTGATGAGCTTTTAATGAGTTTTTTAATGGCTGCTTAAAAGGGCTTTGATCTAGTTTCAGAGACTAAATTACTTTGGTTATAAAGGGCTGGGATGTTGGACGCTTTCTAGCAAAGTCATTTCATACAAACATTTCTTGGCAAGATGTCTGGAATCCAACAAGCAACTATTTAATTCTTGGTTTTGGACATTATCATTACTGTTTAATTTTCACCATTTATATTTAAAGCTTCCATGGGGAGTTTTTGAGTGTTTACGAAAATTACTTCAATTTATAGTGATGCCTTTTCATGATATCTAAAAGCAAATAGAACCATCATTGTCGAGATTTGTGATTCCTAAATTGCAATTGTAAATGCCTGAGAATGGTACAAGGGGGAGTTATCAACCAGGCAGCTTAAAAAACAGCCTTGTTTTCACAATTTTCACATAATACATTTACAACAAATGATACGTTTGATGATCCACAGTCAGCAGTTAAATTTTTTTTGTCAAAAGACACTACTGAGAAATTAATAGGACAAGGTTAGCAGGACCACTTTGTCCACAGGGAGTGCCAACATTTACACAAACCTAAAATTCCTCAAAGGAGCTTCATTGATGGGAGTTAATTTGGAATCTGAAATTTTTCTCCACAACTTCGTAGGGACAATAGACAGTATATACTACGGACAACTCGGCTCTGCCTTCTGTCATTACACAAATTTAAAGCCAAATTTCTCTTGGTATTTGTGTGATTTTCTCCAATTCCTGGAACCACCCCAGTAGCATTGTACGCAGCGAATCACTGGGTAATCCTTGCAACCTTTGTACGCCCATAGGCTGTATCAAGTGTCAATCATAGAAAGCATTAACCCCTTAATAGCTTTAAAAAAATTGAGCTGCACAGAAAAAAAGAGGACTTGAGCACAAACCAGTCTTACAGTAACTACATGTCAACATCGCAACCAGGGGGGAAAAAATGTATATTCTGTTTAACTAATTTCTAAAGTTTGTCTACAGCTCCATAAAGTTTGCAGGAGGAGGTGGGATTTATGACCTATACTGCAGTCCATCAACCACCAGAGGGTGCTGTTCTCGGGGTGGCTTCACCCAGCGAGGAGGCTGGCAGACTCTGTCCATTCTATATACAGTCTATGGAACGTGACGTTGCATTCGAACGTCACTATAAACTGACACAGACATCTACATTACCAGCAGAGAATATGTCATGCACCCAGTGGCTGGTGATAATCTGCATCTGATCACACCTTTGTTGCATCAGTTCAGTGCTTGTATGCAAGTTCTCCTGGCTGCTGATTTACAGAAGAATTCTTGAAGAGCTACAAAAGTAGCTTGTTGGTTAAACTCTGATGTGTTTTCATGGTTGCACACAAGAGAAAATGCTGGCGGCGTGGGAGTATTCCACTACCTCTAAAAAATAATATATGATTTGTTTGGCAAGTTCCAATGACATTTTAAAAAGAGGGACAACCAGCAACAAAGTGTGTAAAATGTCATAGCTCATTGAAAAAAATAAAGAGTAAAAAATAATGTAAAAAACATTGTTATAGAAGCGACTATATGCTAGTTTGTTACCTTTAACACCAGTAGAAGTGGTGTTGTTCTATCACACAACACACACGCACGCACGCACGCCAGACACACACACGCACGCACGCACGCACCCACGCACCCACACACACAAGGTGTCCCTCAAATTGCTCGGCTCTCATTTCCTCTTTGTCACTCTCACTCTTCTTCCCTTGGCACACTGGACAGGAAATGTGTCAGACATAACACTCCAGACTTTTATAGCATGGCACAGTCTGGTGCCGCAACAAACAGATGGGGACAGCTTGAAGCTTTACTTCAAAAAATATGTGGAGATAAGCAGTGTGGCATCTTCTGTATCTACTTTGGGTTGCAATCAATAACCACTGGCAAGGCAGAAGGCTGGCCACCTTTATTGGAAAAAGGGCGAAACCTGGAAAAATCTGTGCTATAATGACAATATTGAAGAGGTCGACTAGAGGCTGGATGGTGCGGCTGTTTGTAATGTCACTTGTAATAACACTTTATCTTGAGGGTCAGGCTCATGTTATCCAGGGTGTGCAGCAGATATGTGAGGAAAATAATCATAATCTTCAGAAAAGAGTCTATAGATCTGCAAACAAGACTGAGAAAGTCAGCCTGTACTACTATGAATATGATTAAAAGAACTTGCTGACTAAAAATACAGCTCAATATCAAATCTAATACAGTATCACCTGATGTGGCCCTCCTAAGCCTAATTCTAACTAGCTGCTTCTTTCTCATGTGAACAAACCTCAACTAATGCAGTCTGACAAGCTAAGCTGAAACAAACTTCGTTGACCATCCCATTTTTGTCAGCTAGGTTAACAAGCTCTTTGTTAAATACCACATAAAAATACAAAATCTGATCCTTCATAACTGATAAACCCTTGGTTTTAAAAAGGAATAGTATAAACAGTATTTGCAATGAATCTCAATGAGTTAAACAGTGGACTAGGAAATGTAACACTTACTGTACCGTCAGTTGTGACGGCAGCAAAAACAGTGGAGGAGTATGGCGACCACGCAACATCGCAAACAGCTACATTCAGGTCAAAGGTGAACATCGGAGTGCTGAAAACAAAACACAGACAACTGAAGTCAGGGAGGAAATTTGTAACTTTTCATTGTATTGCTCAGAATGCTTTTCAACTTTGTGACTTGGTTTCATTCAAAGAACACAACAACAACAACAAGTCATCAGTTTGTGTCCTCCTAAAAATCTGAGATTATCGGTATGACTAAGACAGTTTACTAAATCTTAAAGTGCTCTGATCAGTGCACACATACATCTCTGATTTCTCCTCTACCCAAGTTTCCTGTGACAGAAACCATCTTGAGACTGTCATCCATGGTAATCGGTTATAGTCTGTCCAGGCACGATGCCTCATCACCAGCCTGGCAGAGTTGAGTGGTGGAGATGAAGAAAAGGCTCCTGCACATTGTTTCCTCACATTATTAACTTGTGAAACCCCACTGGAAGCAAGATGAGGATATGAAATATTTCCAAGAGCTGAAATCAGGCACTTACAGGCCTTCTTCAAACAGTGGGACTGAGTGTGTGCAGGTGAGTGAAAGACAGGATGAGTGGAACCTTTTTTCAATAGCTCCTAGTTTGGTGATGCAGGAATAAAAACCTACATACATCAAAGTAAGTAATTTGTACTCGAGGTCAGTGTGTAATTTGGTGGTCAGTGATTAATTATACAACAAACATCTCAGAAAACTTTTTACGACACTAATTCCAAAAGAGTTGGTATGCTTTATAAAATATTAATAAAGAGAGAATTTGATTTTTTTTAAATCATTTAAATCAAATGTTTAGTATACAAAGTGCAAAGAGAACGCAGCATATGTGTTTTGCAATAGGAAGTGAAAAATCCTATTGCAAAACACAAACTTGTTGTTGACTATAAACTCAAGATATACAGAATATGAGTGCATAGATTTTCAGTTTGAGCTGCCATTGCTCGCCATAAACTTTGTTTGCAAACAACCAAGACAGTTTTATTTATTCTGCACATTGAACTTAGTCCATTATTCTTGAAGTGAACCTGATTACTCAACTTTTATTTTTTGACTTTGAGCAGCACTCGCGTCTTTAAAAAAAAAAAAAAAGCTTATATTAATTTGATTCAGGCAACACATTTCAGATAAAAAAAGAGACAAAGGCATGTTTACCATTATGTAGACCAGTTTCTGGAGTTTTGAAAGTCAAATGTTTACCCATACTCGCCTAAAATAGGGTTTCATCTGCTCCACAGTTCTCCTCTGTCATATTTATTGTTGAATGATGTGCATGTAGTGTTTGTGATCAGACAGGCTAGTTCAGAACTCAGACTCTTTTATCATGTCATGTGTGGTTTGGTATTATCTTGCTGAAAATTACAAGGTCTTTCCTGAAAAAGGCTTTGTCTGGATGGTAACATGCCTCACCTCCTCCTCTATATCGATCAGCGTGGTGTGATGTCCAGAAGCTGACTGAAGTTAGTTTTGAACTGGCTTAATGCTAAGAAGGTGGGTGTTCCCTCACCTCTTCAGATAGGAGGAGAGCACATTCATGATATTGAAAAAGAATGCCATTGTGATTTGTCAGACCACAGCACAGTTTTCTAATTTCCTTCCAGATTCTCTCATGATATCAGGTGGTCAGGTAGATGATGAAATCACCGCATTCTTTGTAATGTTAAGCTGAGGAACATTAGTCTGACATTGTAGGACAATTTTCTCTGGCAGTTTTTCAGCGAATCTTTAATAAACCTCTTTTTCTCTTCACTTCTGGGAGACTCAGTCCTTGTCAGTTCTTTGGTAACACTTTATTTGACGCCTTTTTCTGTAACACATTATAAATATATAAATAATGCGTTATAATCACGTTATAGCACTGTACAACTATAGTTATAAACACTCATAAATGATCATAATGCTTTATAGCAATAATCATAACACATTATAAAGCATTTTATCATAACTTACAAGGTTAGGTATTATAATGTGTTATGCTTTTTGTTTTAAAGCCTTATGATAATTAATGAGTGATAGTAATGATAGTCATACAAGTTTATAAGCAAATTATAACATATCATAAATATATGTATAATGCATTATCTATGCGGGCATTGTAAGTGAGTTATTAACAGTTATAACACATTATGATACCTGATCTTGTAAGTCATGATAAAATGCTTTATAATGTGTTATGATTGTTGCTATAAAGCATTATGATCATTTATAAGTGTTTATAACTAAAGTTATACAGTGCTATAATGTGATTATAACACATTATACATATATTTAGAAAGTGTTACAGAGAGAGGCATAAAGTGAAGTCTTACCAGCCTGTTTTATACAGAGTCATATTACTAACTTTTGCAGATTAACCTACCTAGAAAAAAGAAATTCTTCCATATGTTTCTTGTGCATGTATTTTTTGTTGAATTCAGAAAACAGATAACGGGAAATATACAGGAAGGATCAGTGGTGGACAGTAACAGAAATGCCTTTTTATTCCACTAAATTTGAAGGACAAATATTCTATTTTTTGACCTCATTACATTTCCATGCATATTCTTGTCACTCCTCATACTGCTCTAAACTCAGCTGATGATTTTCATCATTTTCTAGAATATGATCCAAAAGACAACAAACCTTGTTTGTGTAGTTCTGTGATTTGTCTAAATGGTGTTGCTGTGCCTGTCATATGTCTCCATGGTTGGATTTAGAAGCAAAGGCGGGGCAAATGTCACTCAGTTCAGGCAGTTCATTTAGTGGTGGTAATGATGGCTATGTCAGAAAAGGATGACAGTTTTCCACTTGAGCACCCACAGCCATATTCAAAGCTCAGACTTAAGGTTAATGAAATGAAGAGTGTCTTTTTGTCCTTGTAAATGCTTGCTCTTTGCACTGCAAACAAACTTCATCACACCTGACTAAAATTTGCTGACTAATCTGAGAGAGCAGGTTGAGGCATGTAGCTATTACTTTTTTGATGTAGCTTGAATACTTGAGTGCTCCTAAAAGCAAGTAATCCAGTATTTTAACTCTCAACTTTCACTTGTATTGGAGTGATGCGGTAAACAAACCACTTCAGATTTCACTGATTGATTCTGTGCAAGATAGGCCTCTACTGATGGACAATCTATGCTGCCATGCTGCTGTGCCTGTTGGTGATTAACATGCACTCTGGTAGGTGTAGGAAATGTCATAAATCAGTTGCAAAAAATGATCAATCTGACCCAGGGTCTTCCACAAAAGTGTTTTGCAGCAGAGTGACACTGCGCATCCAGTAAATCCAGTCAGAGCTTTTAGCAATCACAAGTTATGGATGACCATTTCCAAGCGAAGGAGAAAATCTATCAAGTTAATCTTTTGTGTGATCAATTGACTCATTGTAAGTACCTTCAATCACTTCAAGCTTTTCGGCTCAATGAAGACCTAGTGGTCACATTATCATCGAGCAGGAGCAGCAGTTTTTGGTGAGCATCTTTCACTAACTTCTGACTGAGTGGTTAAGTTTGTTCAAGTTTTTTGGTCAACAGTCTCTCTGGGAAACATCATGTCTTGTATGTAGGGGATATAATTGATCATTCTTGAAAACCCTGTGTCTCATAATGGGTGCATGATTACTATCATTATTCAGTCAAACTGCCTTTGCTGACAAGAAGTGGGAGGCACTGTCGGTTGGAAAAATTGAGTCCATAATGATTAGAAGAGGGTATAAATGCCTAAAGACTACATTTCATGTTATGAAAAATGGGCTCTCCACTTAATATACACATACACTTGAACACACGCTGTTGGCAGTGGTCCCAACAATAAGAAAATAAATAAAGTTAAAATGCAATTGCTACTCCAAAACATATAAAGAGTAACAAGCTCCCTTTTTCACTCAATATTAAAGATGAAATTGAGTTTCACTGAGATTCTGCAAGTTCAGGTTTTCCACAGAGGAGTCACCTGCTTTTTCAGATGCACCCACATCAATCTGTTCCAGTGACTAGTGCAGCAACCCCCATCCAACTAACACAGCCTCAGTTGTCTTACTTGATGGTGTGGTCCCAGATTTTGACGGTCCAGTCTGAACTGCAGGAGATGAAAACCTTTGGGTGGAAATGGTTCCACTTCACTGCATCTACTGGCCAGCTATGGGCAACATAGGTCTCTAGGAACTGGCTGGAATACGACTTGGAGCACTAGGAAAAAAAGAGAAGGTCTTAATTTGGCACAAAAATTATGTTATAAACAGGTATAAAGAGTACCTTTTTATTTCAAATTCAGCATTAAAAACACAGTCACTGCACACTGATGGTGACCTATAACTGTAACACTTGATTCTAGGTCTACAGGAAGACATATGAACCATTCTATGTGCCCTATCCCTCATATTAAAACCGATCACAGAAATAAAAAAAGTATTCGCATCATTGTAAAATTTGCAGTTATTTCTTTCTTTTTTTCTTTTTTTTACCCGAGTAAACAATACCTGACTTCACTTCTGAAATACTAGATGATAACTCACAAAGTCCAAGGATTTATCACAGATGCAACACTGTCTCTGCTGAGCTGAATCAAATCCCTGTAGTCCCTTCATTGTTATTGTTGTTGGTCAGAGAAAAATGTGGCCAAACTTAGCATCACTGTCCTGTCCTCCAACAGGTTCACTCTAAGTAAATACTGTGCAGAAGTTTTCATGACTAGTCAATCGATTAAATATTATACTGGTATGACATGTCATGAATTGAACTTATGAAGCTTATGAAGTTTTACATCCAAAGGTGATGATACGTTTTTTTTCTAGGATGTCACTGATTGAAGGAAGTAGCTACGAAAGACAGATTCGACCTAAAATTATATTGTTGAAAGAGTAACGAACTCCGTTGAGGCTCAATATGAATAATCTATAAATGTTCTCAGATTAGGGTTAAAAAGCTCTAAACCATCAGCAGAGGTGGATTGAAGGGATAAATTAGCTGGATTGTCCTGAATAAAACATCGAAATAGCTAGTGGGGACATCTGTTTGACTTCAAAGCACTGACAGCTTTAATGTTAACCTGCAGCTTGGTGAAGATTTTCAATCTCCTCTCTTTGGGGGCTGATGTGGCCCTGAACCTTGAAGTGACAGACAGCACATATATCATCACACATGCAGTACGTGTCTGACAATGTGTCTGTGAGGTGATTCAATAAAAGGGTTTGAGCTCATAAACAGGCAGCACATCAGAAAATGTACCATACCTATCAAAGGAAGTAGATAAAAATCAGTCTGCTGCTTCTCTCTGTGACCTTATCTTTAGCCATGTTTTCAGGCACAAAGTCAGCGTGATGCAACTAAACATTGTTGGTAGTTTAAGTTTTAATATTTGGTGTCAATGTCGACAGGGATGAGAAAATAGTGCAAAAATAATGAACTCCTGTCAAGATGTTTTTTGGGGGGGCTTATATATATTACATGGAGGTGGATGTTGTGATCACAAAGTTTGATTTCCTTACAGTCTGTTTTAGACAACATGTTTTAGACATCTCTGCAGGGTTGGAATGAGAATTAAAATGCTAAGTAAAAATACTGCTGTTTAAGTAGAAGTTAAACTACCAGTCTGCTAATCTCCTCAAGTTTTATAAACAGGATTTTTATTTGAAATGTACTTTAAATGCTGAGTACTGACTTTTAGCCTGTGGGGATGGGGGAGTAAGGCATGCCACTGATGAGCTAAAGTTTTTATTCTGACCAGTTGGGTTAAGGTTGCTTAAATTAAGTGTAATGAAAGATTTTGATAAGAAATCAGAATAAAGTACAAGTCAAAATACTGATTTTAAAATAACAAAAAAGCCACAGTTAATTACACCACTTCATCTCTATTCTGTAAACGTTTTGTATCCCTCACTGTAGTTAATGCCAATGAGTTTTCTGAAGCTGTAAAACTGCTTTGACTGAAAATTTTTTTAGAAAACACCATATACTTCATTTTTGATTTACATAACCATCAATGAAACAGAATCTATTTTTTTTGCCTTTGTTTTGAATTACCCTTTTTTTAATTGAGACAACAAATTAAGGGATTTGGTGGCTGAGGTGGCCAGTGCTTTAAAAAAATTAGAGCATTTATTCCTTTTGATTATTCAACTTTACATTCTCGTAGTCTTCTAGTCTGCATTGGTGTAAATGTGAAAAGAACATGGATTTCTTGTGGTCTTGCTTGACTGGGACAAAACAACCTTGACCTTTATAATCTTATATCAATTACTGCACATTCTTTATGAGTATAACAGACACACATGTCTCAAGCCTTAAGTAAAAGAAAACTTTCAATGATGCATGCATAAGCATTTAAGTAACAAACATGTAATTAACCTAATGAAATGGAGCCTGATAACTCCAAAAAAATAGGATTATTATTGTCTTTCTCCCTGTGGTCAAAAAAAAAAGCATGGACAAGATGGGAGGCCAGCCAAAATCTACCAGCTGTCTGACGTGGACAGAGAAAGCCTCTGCCTAAGGAGACTCATTAAAGCTTTAATGTCAAGCCTGAGGCTCTCCTAACAGGCCACACAGACAGACATAAGTGCTCCATCAAGCTCAGCAGGATATCTGTGAATGCAGCAAAGCAAAACAACAAAAAGACAAGGGGACAGTGAAAACTCAAAAATGACCCTTATGCCAGTTAGGTATATGATAGTATCACTATCACTCATTTGAGTACTGGCACTGGCTCTCCTTTGCCACAACATAATTAAGTAAATAATGGAGAAATGTGTGATTTTCAAGACTAATTTTTACAATTGTTTTTGGAGTTACTCACGAAAATGTATCATAATACACTGAAGATAGTTGACCAACCAGTGATTTGTTGTATCTCATTTATCTACATTACGTTATGAGTCAAAAGAACAATATGTACAATAACATTACTTTTCTATGGAATAATAATGCTATTGTTTGCTTCCCTGCTGTGTATGAGTGCCTCGGTCACATGATCAATATGCCCATTGAAAATGAAGGACTGACCAGCTGCACAATAAAATCCTTTAACATACCTTGTGTATTTTCCCTTCCTCTGTGCCAACCAGGAAGAGAAAGTCGATCTGTTTATGAAAGTCAAGAGATGTTCCACATGCTGCAGAAAACAGTGATCAAAACAACTGAAATCATAATCATAATGATACAGTCAATGGCCAAAAGCAAATGTGAGCCCACATTAGATCACAGTTCAAGTACTTAGTGTACATAATTGATATTTTATACATTCAGTCTTATCCACCACAGTCCACATGCTGTGTAAAAGAAGCATTACCAGTGCTTGCCTGCTGTGAATCCTCTGGCCCCTCAGAGATAGCACCATTGGGTAAAAGTGTGATAATGTCTGTAAACACCAGCTCATTCTGCAAGCATGCAAAGACACTGAGGTGAGGCCATTGATACTTAATCATACAATTTATAGATATGAACACAAGCAAATGTCAATAAACCTTTGGAAATCTGAATATACATACAAACTGGCATTTTGAAAAGTAGTGAAAGTTATTGCAGACACAAATACAATTAAATAGATGTGCTACCTTGATTAGAGTCCAGGAAACAACTCGGCCATCAGATGACACAGAGTAGAAATTGTGGTTGTTGTCCATGTCATCACTTTGCCAACGCACCTTCATAAAGAAATACATGTTAGAAAAACTTTTAAGGCAAACGGTAAAGATGAAACACTGGAGAAATGCCAAAATAATGTTTAAAGACCAATTTCTTGGCACATAAAATTCTCTGTATGATAAGGGAAGGACTAACTCCATAACTTCGCATGTCTGATGTTCACTGTCTTTTTTCACTTCCGACAAAATAAGTTGGGATCGTTCTCAAAGCGGCTAAAGTCAACTTAAGAATTTATTGATTACTTGTTTATTTACTTGTTAATTTCACAGGGACCTTGTTTGATAGAGTCTACATAGTTCATGCAATCCATACAGGTTTTTAGCCATTTGCAACCTCCATCCTTGGTAAGACTTCATTAACAACAGCTGAATTTACAGGGAACTGAGTATAAAATACTAAAATCATTAAAAATAGAAATGAATTAGTGCAATAAAATGTGGGGCTTCAACAAAGATGGAGACCAGCATGAACAGAGACAAAAACATTTATACAATGACCACAATTTTAAGTACACAAGGCGTGCATATTTGTGTTTCTATATGATCTGTGAACTTAAGACAAGTAAAGGGTAACTAAACACACACTCTGAACTCTCATCATCTCTTCCTCGTTTCTTACTCTTACCTGCCACACAGGATCTGTATGCTTGCCAGTCTTTGCTGTGCTCTTATAAACAGGCTCTGGCCCCGCTTCTTTTAAATTATACACTGCCACAGAGCCATCGTAAAAGCCTACTGCCACCAGGTGAGAATGCTGCTCGTGGATGTCCAGGCACAGGACACTAGAATCGGTGGGGTAGATGTACTCTGGGTAGGCAGAGTTCTTCAATGAGTAGAAGACAAGCATGCCGCGCCCCTGTTTAGTGAAGTTGTCTGGTTGGGAGAGCGGTTGAGACGGATGGGAAAAATACATCATTTAAAAATTATATGTCATAGAATGTAATATTCAACAATCTTATGAAATGAAGTAGGGGGAATACTGTGACAGATATTCAAAAGAAGCTCTTGTCATTTTTTACTCACATGATCCCATTCCCACAGCAAAAAGGTCCTGATATTTCTTATTCCTGTTGAGAACAAACGTGTTTATCAGCAGATGTTTGAAATACAAACACTTATGGTTGGTGATGTAATTATTGAATACACAAGATGATGTGGCAGTTGGCTGCAGGAATACATTTTCTCCTAGAGTAATAGTGAATGTCACTGTAGTCAAGTTGAGTTGTTAAAACTCACCAGCAGAGGGCAGTGACAGACAGTCTTTTGGCTCCGTCATAATGGAAATCCCACAGGCAGAGAAGGGTGCCTTCCTGGCCCCTGTGCTCATCAGATGCATCTTCAAAGTATTGGAAATCTAAACACAAAAAGGCAAAGGGACGAAAGAATACAAATGAAAGGAACAATACATAGTCTGATTTTCAAATGAGATTAAGACTACTTCACTGGAACATACCTTGTGCTATGTCATCATATATGTTCTGACTGACCATTCGCTCAAAGATCTTGGATGACTTTCTCACTTTGCTGGCGTCATCATTCTGAAACAGAAATAGGGGAACATTTCATGAACATTGCATATTAAATCTGTTAAACCTACTGAATATCTGCATGTTGAATATTTGGTTAAGCTCAGCCATGCAATTCATTTTAGCAGCATGTTTGTCAGATTTGTAAAAAATGCAATGTGATATTACCTGATTCAAAAGAGAAACAAAGATGTTTTGTTTGGCAACTATTCTGACCAGTGATTGTTTCATTCAGACCAAAAGAGGCTACAGAATTTTTTTTATTTGGAAACTTGTAAAATTGACTCATTCTTTTAACTTCTTCAGATTCAACAAAATAAGGCAGAAAAGTAGGTGTATACTTAACTTACCTGGGTTTCCATCAGCAGCATCTTTTTCTTGCTTTTCTCAACACTCTTTGATTGTGTGGCTTTCTGCTTCTCTTTGTTTTTTTCTTGTTTCTGCAGCTCCTCCATGTAGGCATCATAGATCTCCCACTATAAAAGGAATAGATATACTCCTGTTAGCCTGTTTGAGTGAATAAATTCACTGATGTTAAGGTGTCTTTGAAAAAAGTCAGGCAAAGTGGGACCTGATTTGCAGTGGCAGAGAAATTGTTGCGTGGAGGAGGTTCGGTCTGGCAGCTTCTTTGCTGTGAAAAAATAAACAGACTCCAGGAACACTTTTTGATAAACTGACTTAACTTTTAATTTTATTAACATGCATCAATAATCTTACTATTTAATTTTAAATCTTTATGTTTTTGTTTTTAAGGAAATTGTAACTACTAAGTAAAGGATGTATGTTGTGATTAGAAATAAGATGCTTCTTTGGCAGAAGACTGGTTATTCTTCCAATCTTACCCTCAGTGGGTTGTTAAGGGTTTGGGATGCCCTCTCGCTAAAGTTGAACTGGTTTGTAACTTTGAGCTCCTTCTTGCCAGTTTTTGAGGCGGCACTGTCAGGCCTATCCTCCTCTTCAGCTTCTTCAGCTTCTCCTCCATCTTCTATGGGTGTTGCCTGTGGAAGAGCGACATGGGGAAATGCTATTGACACATCAATCATCATGACTTTGTTATCCCTTGTGGACAACTGATTACATACTTCAACATAAATCAGTGCGCTGACTTAATATAGTAAAATATTTTTTACCGGGGTCTCAGGTTTCTCCTCATCAGGCTCTGCTTCAGTGCCTGCTGTTACAGTCTCTGGACAAATCAGAAACAATTTAAGGATAAACTGACTGTGTAGATGAGCAGAATGTTTTTTTTGTTGTTGTTTTTTTTTTTACCCTGGACCTATCCTGTTTTGAAACTACATGTCAAAAGTGACACCCTGTGGCACCAAGCATGTACTACAACTACAAACACTAACACTGCCTGCTGTTAAACAAACTATGGAGTAATTTATTTGCTTGAAACATATTTCTATGACCTCATAAAACAGAATATTAAAGCAGTATGATTAATATCTACCCTCAGTACGACCCTCCTTGGCCCTTAGCCCACGTGCTTCATCAGAGTCCTGGTGTAGAAGGCTACCCTCCAACACAAAGAGAACAGCCATCTGATCCACAACACTGGTGGGCTTGAAAGAACGCTCCTGGAAATAGGAGCAGAGAAAAATGTTGGTTTTGAAATTTTGTAAGGTTAGAGGGAAATCAAACTTATTACAATAACTACTCACAAGGCATCAAACAAACTTTGAACCCTCGCTGCCTTGGTTAAGAGTTTTTCAAAGGTATTTGATGAAGTGTAAGTGATGGGACAGTGACAGCGTGTCTACAGATTTCTCACCTTGAAGCTGTAGCGGACAATATTTTGGGGGGCATGTGGGTTGTTTGCAGTCAGCACCCTTGTGACTTCCTCCTTCAGTTCCTAATGGTATTATAGACAAAGCAAAGCACATAAGCACACTTGGCTGTCTAATTTCAGAGGCAGTGATTGCAAAAGTATGTGTAACGCTGGATGGTGAAACAGTTGACTGAAAGCAGGAAAGTCTGAGCCAATTCCCTCAATACAGCCCATGCTAGATCATAATCTTCAGAATGAGGGTTCTCCATCTGCTTACAGCCTCTGTGAGCTCCACTTGATCCGGAGGCTTAATAAGTGCTTTCCCATGAGCCCACTCATCCCATCCATCATGGGCATCCACGCCCTCATCCTCATCCTGAAATATACAAACACGTTTGTTAATATAAATTACATTGGTTTCTCCTCCTAATTGCAGCCATTTGAACAAGAACAAAACTTGACACTGATTATTTTACCGTGTTCAAACTGCACCCACCTTTTTCTTACTTGCAGCTTTGGTTGACTTCGCTCCAGGTAACGATACTTTATGAACAGTTGAGGCCTATATCAATACACATGAAAACCAATGAAATGGTTACTGAAACATACCAAATAAAAGCCTGAAATTTCACCCGACTTCAGCTCAGCAACTCGCCATTTTTTTGCAGTTATGGTTAGCATTCACCTTTAGCTAGCTAAAGCGAGCTAAACTTCGCATGAATACCTTTCTCACGTTAATGTTTGGCACGGGCATGGTGAAAATTGTCCGGTTAGTTTAATAGACCTGGTTTTCGGTTACTTTTCCTTTTCAAACCACGGCTAAATGACAACAGAAGAAAAAAACAAACTTTTAAAAGACTTAAAAGAGAAAAAGGGGATCCCTTCTTGAACTGCTGCTTGCTGCTGTGTTTGGGTTGCCAAGACAACAGCTGTCTCTGTCGTCACTAATGAAGGCAAAGAGCCAAACCAAGTCAAGATAGTTCACAGACCACAGTCAATGCGATAACACCATAGACTGTATGGATAACACGCCTGAGTTCAGAATTTAAAGCACCAGCGATGGAGAACATTAAACGAGTTCTTCAAAGGTCTCATGCATCAGTTTTAACATCTGAAAAAAAAAAACATTGGTAGATCTAGAGCGATTGAATCAGTTGACCAGTGTATTCTAGTCAAGAAAGTGAGTGGCGATTTGTGCAAGATATGATAGACCCTGCAAACACTTGGTAGCCTTTATTTCGTTTATTTGCAAATATTGAGTAGATTTCTGCCTATGGCTGTGTTGCACTCATAGACTGTATATACTATGGACAACTTGGTTCCGCCTAGCCGGCCCAAGCCTCAATGGGGCCCTGAGCAAAATTAGATTTTGGGGCCCTCTATTTCTGATTGTTGATCACTCACACAGCTTCACAAATCTCTTTATTAACATTCATGACATGCAAACATACCTTTATCTTGGTGTTTTTTCTCTTCTTCCTCTTTCTTTTCTCTGCTCCTGAAGGACATGTCCTTTTTTTGCGACATTGTTTTGCCCCACAACTACCTGCGCTTTGGATGCTCAGTGCACATTGCACAGCAGGAGGAGCATAACAGTAGCCAAGCTTTGACATATTGGCAGTAAGAATCATAGGTCTACATCAGCAGCAGCACTAAACTGATTTTACTTTATTTTATTTTTACAATAATATATATTTGATATATTTGGCTCTGGTTCCGCCTTCTGCCAGTATAAGGATTTGAAGCCAAAACATTCTCTGTAATTCTGCGTTTTCTCTCCATTTCCTGAAACCAACCTTGTGCAGTAACGTTGTACACACTCCACCACTTGCGCAGTAGCATTGTGCATGTTCAGTGGGAGAGTCGCCGAGGCGTTATTTGGAATCCCACATCAGTTCTAGGCAAACCCCGCCCTCTTTGCGCCACAGGCCTGGTGACGCAAACAAACCCCACCCACGCTGTTCAGGAGCAGGAAGCCCCGACGCTATGTTTTGTTTTGGCATCTATACATTTATTAGATCGTTCGTGTTTGCAGGAAGGCATTTCTCCACACTGCGTGACCTTCGTGACCATCTCTTCAAGCCTCATTTCCCTCCGGACACTTGTGTTGTGAGCTTGTAGGTCTGCTAATTTTGTTATACGGAAACCAGGGTGGTTAAATTTATTATCCACAATCAATAAACACAATACGGTTAAATACAAGAGTACACTAAAATCAGCACTCTTTTTAGCCTTAGTTTGCTCCATCAGACAAAAAGATTCATGTATTCTGTCATCGTGTTCTATCACCCCAAAAAAGGACAAGAAATAATTGTTTGTCTCTTTATTAATCTCTGAAGTTCAAGAACAGTTCACTGTCTTCCCAAATCAGCATGCCTTCTTTAGGAACAGTGCATTAAGTGCAAATATAAACCAAACCGGCAAAAGTAGGCAGTGTTTGTTTGCGTCACCAGGCCTGTGGAACAAAGAGGGCGGGCTTTGCCTAGAACTGATGGGGGTTCCAAATCGCAGAGAGTCGCTGTGATGACGCTCGACTCAAACAGCGAATCCGCCCGCTATGCAATTCTTGTACACCCATAGGCTGAATCAGGTGTCAATCATAGAAAACATGAACCCCCCCAATAACTCTTAAAAATGGAGCTTCACAGAAAAAAGAGGACTTGAGCACAAACCAGTCTTACAATAACTATATGTCAACATCACAACCAAGGGGGAAATATTTATATTATGTATAATAAATTTCTTAAATTTGTTCACAGCCTTATAAGCTTTGCTGCAGGGGCGGGATACTGCAGCCTGTCACCAGAGGGTGCTGTTCTCGGAGTGGCTTTACCCAGCAAGGAGGCAGACTCTGTCCATTCTATATACTGTACAGTCTATGGTTGTACCATGGGGCGCCGAATGTAAGAATTCAGTCACTGTTTAATAGGCGACATTTTGTAAAGATTTACCTCACTCTTCTCACATTTTGCTCGTTTTTCTTTTAATCTGAGACAGAGATTCGTGTAAAACAACTTCTAGATTTTTATTTAACATTTAGATTTAGATTTCATGTCTACACATTTTAACAAATAAAAAGAACATGTTTTACACGAATCTTGGTCTCAAATGAAAGAAAAACAAGCTAAATGTGCGAAAAGTGAGCTTCACAAAATGTCGCCTATCAAACTGACTGAATTTTTACATTCTGCGCGCCACAGCACTAAAGGCAGAGCGGTTGCTATTTTGTCTGATAACAGCTAACAATGCAAAACCAAATGCAGAAATGGACTAATGTCTATGTAAAAATGTTCTTTAGTTAAAATTCCATAAGTATTAATGCATGGACTTGTAAAAATATCCGAATTACATTTTTGTACTCGCCGTCAGTATATGAGTTTCTTTCTCTACGCATTTTTCATATGAGCTCCTCTGTGATTGGTTGGCCGTCTCATCAATATTCAATAGACCCGGAAGTGGGGCGGTACTGCTGTTTTGCTGTCGAGTCACCTCTGTCAGGATGGAGGAAAACGAGCTGCTATCATGCTGAATAACGACGGAACCCGACAACTGAGCATCACAAACACGGATAGTCAGACATAAGTCATCATTTGTTGTAGACTTGCGGTATCTTCTCTGTCAACGCTTTGCCAAAATGATGGAAGAAATCGACCGGTTCCAAGTACCTCCAGTCAACGGAGAGACGCAGCCTTTGGTAAGAGAGAAGAGAGGAAAATCACATCCTATGCTAATACTTCCTTTTGGGTTTAAACATTAACATTTTGGTGTGGTTTGTGCGGGTTTATGGTGACAGCTGTGTCACATGATCTGCGCTAACTGAAGCTAACTGATAGCAATGCTCAGCTATGGCACAAACTGGATCTGTGGGATGGGTGTAGATGGATTTTCTGATGGTGAAAGGATAGCGGTTCACGGTGTCTCCTTCTCCTTTGACTGGCTACAGATAATACATGTATGGATGAGTGAACGAGTAATGCTTTGGGTTCTTTTATTATGGTAAACAGAATACGCAGTTGACTTAAATCGAGATTTTTTTGGTATCTCTCACACGTCAGTATGCGCTTGTTTGCATCATTAGCTGACACAGCCCACAGTTTTCACGTTTCGTCGTGGGGTGACGTGTTATTTGGGTCGGGACGGCGGTGATTGCGTTTATTGTGGTCCAAACCGACACGACAGACTGCTACCTTAATGATGGCCATCCTCTGCAGGCCCACATCAAGAGATAGCCTCACCTTCAATGATTATTTCTTTTACAATTTTAGACCTACTAATGACACAGGAGTATTGGGGAGAGTGGGATAAGATGAGCCATTCTTCATATTTCAGATTACTACATCAAGGCAATCATAGTTTTGTCTCTAACTAGTGAATCTGCATATATTTCAAGATGTTGTGCATCCCTGCAAACCAACAGAATGAGTGTAAACATAACTGTCTTTATAATATAGCATGTCAAAAAAAAGTGATCTCTTATGGTCAACATACCCCGTGTATGGGGTAAGTTGACCATAAGAGCAGGGTATGTTGAGCCATATCCCTACTACCCCCCCACTCTCCACCCCAGCCCTCTCTCACCTTCTCTCTCCCTAAATAACAGTCACTTCTTCACATCCATGTGTATTTTTATCCTTTTTAAAATCCTTTTTATTATTACTGCATATAACTGCTAAAAGCTGTTTTGTAAAAAGCCATTTTAACATGAAATTGTTTTTAAGTGATTCAGAACATTCACAGCTGTATTTTTGAAAAGAAAAAGTAACACATTTCAACAATCTGAACTGGAACTCTGATCCTCTCATCAGACTCCTTTACTTTCTCAGTTGAGCCACTGGCTCAACTTACCCCAGAACTACAATTATGACTTTATTAGTCCTCAGAGCTAAAATGGTGGACTTATCTTAGGCTACGTTCACACTGCAGGTTATGATGCAAAATTCAGATTTTTTGTTAAATCCGATCTTTTTGTGCGGTTGTTCACATTACAACAATGAATACGGCATCTAATGTGAACGGAATTTCTCTGTGAAGTGACCTGCATGTGCTCAAAGCACAAATTGCTTTCCGTGCCTGTTTGTGTTGTCGAACAATGGTGACGTTTCTTGCATATTGATGACGTATAGGTCGGATAAACGCGACCTGAGTGCCCACACTGCAGTCACATCGGATACATATCCGATTTATATCCTCATACAATAGAGGCCTGGGTCGGATTTGAAAAAATCAGAATTGTACTGTTACATGAAAAAATCAAATATGTGTCACATATGGTTAAAAAATCGGAATTGACCTGCAGTGTGAACATAGCCCTATGCTAGGTTTTTGACCTCATTTTGTAGCTCATAGGTACTACAATTGCTGTATAAAACTAATTTAAAATGATCTTTTTTGGTTTGAACACAATTCTAATAAAACTTATGACAGACTAAATTCACTTTCAAGAGTGAAAAATGTTTTTTTGGAAATAAATCTCTAACCCCTTCATCCATGTGCTTCTAACCTTCACAGACTCCATCTCCTAAATATTTGGTTATATGATCAATTTCTTTTACCATTTCCGAGCAACGGGGAGTGGCTGAACTTACCCTTTGGCTCAACTAACCCCACTCTCCCCTATTCTCACCAAAGCCTGTCTATAGGCTAGCTGCTCCACTGCTTTCATCCATGTATATTTCATTTGGGTTTTAATAATCCATCTTGTTTTAAGCATGCATCATTCTGATTTCGAGACCTTATCCCCCCACACATCAGATAAAACACTGTCAAACAGCTGTCCCTCCCCCTTTTTTAAGTGTTTGCCTGCAGGGGTTTAAGCAGAGTTCTACTGATCATTAAAGTAGCCCAGCTTCCTCAGTCCCACTCTCCCTAAGGCGAAACTTCTGCAAAAATCACTGAAGTCATATACAATTCCCAGTATAGAAAGTCTCCTTTTGTATGTTGGAGCAACATGCCTTGATTTATGAAGACTTGATTGATCCACTTTCATACTTCAACCACCTCGATACCTATTAAAATTGAATCCAAACTCAGATATGTTAGTGGCTGCAGTGTACCATGTCTAAGGCCTTATTTGTCCTGCCTAGTTTATTCATCACCTCATGTTACTGTCATCATACCAGAGTGGAACAGCTATGTGCGTCTCATTAATGTCACCTCAAATCTTTTGCTGTCCCAGCAGCTTCTGAAACAGTTCCTCATTCAGGATTTGTTCCGCACCTGATTGTGTCAGGATCACAGTTGCTGTGGCACACATGGCTGTGCATTTTAATGCTAATGGCGTCATTGTGATTCCTAAACCGCATGAATGCACATAGCACCTGCTTCATTGTTGAGACTGGATTTCACCAAATAAAGCCTCTTTATGCAGGATTTTTAGTGGTTTCAAAGACTGAGATTTGGTCTTTTATCTAGTGTATGTTTTAAGCTATATAGTCATTTTGCAGATGTTGAATTATATTGTAATCAACACTTAGCCAGAACTACTTTATTGGATAAAACACACCTTAAACTACATTTTAGCTGCTTGGTCTCTGTTCAGCAAAGGGACTGTTTGCACAGGAACCTGAATCACATTATGATTGTGATACAACCCATTTTCCAGTGCTATAATGATAGGATACAGCTGCTATAATGGTCACCTGATGTATCAGTCTGCACTACTACTGGCCATGATGAATAATCCTACCAATCGCCTGGTGTCTGTGCTGTGTCAGCAACCTTGTGGCTCTTCATCATCAGAGGCAGTAAAGGAGTCCTGAACAGAAGTGCGGGTGGATAAAACTAAGAGGTCATTTCATTTATACACAGAGCCTGTTTTAGTGTGTGTGTGTGTGTGTGTGACCATGAGTGAGTGTCAGTGGGTGTTTGTGAATTTATATTGAAGGTCAGGGCCACACTGGTCATGTTGGACCATGTTTTATGTTGATACATCAAAATCAAAGTGTTATAGGTCAGCTCTTAATCATTTGTGAGTGGCTGTCAGCACACAGTCATATGATTATACAGGAAATTACAGGCTTTTAATGGCTTTAGGATCATGTTGACTTTGCCAAACTTTACCATAATGTTATAACTGCCTTTTAGCAAATAAGGACATAATAGGGAACTGAACACATATAAGGAGTGAAGGAGTGAAGTAAATCATAGTTCACTTGCTATTGCAGTATGAGAGAAATTCTGAATTAATCACAATGAACAAGAACTAATATTTGACGCTAACAAACACTGCATTTTCATTTAGTATACTCTCATTTAACTTTCAGATTGGGACCTTGACATGTTGGCCTTTTACATCAATTTGATGCTGTTAGGTGAAGCTGATGCTAGCAAAAAACTACCCTCAGATTGATGCCTCTCTAGTGGTAATTTTGGATTTTGTGCATCATGTTGTAATCACAGGTATTTTTAAAAACTGTTTTAAAAGCAGATTGGCATTCAAACTGTAAGGCATAGAAAAGTACATAATTTATTTTATTTATTGTATATAAATAAATTTATATATAATAAATTTATATATATATATATATATATATATATATATATATATATATATATATATATAAATTTAAATATAAAATAAATTTTGTATATTTATTGTATAAGTATTATTGACACAGTAACCAAGAAATGCGATATATCATTGCATTCTTTCCTCATTTTGTGCAAACCTATAATAAGGACCCATTTTTTTTTTGAGTTTTAAAGTTTGGCACTTTTTGCTAATCTGAAAACTGACATATTGATAGTTGACATATTTTAAGAAAAGGTTTAACTTGTTTATTTGGGGCTCCCCGCTTCTTTCTACCAGCACCTGTGCTGCCTATGTTCAAGAAGTGGATTCAGTCACAGCCAGCTTAGTACTGAATCCCTTTCATTATTCACCACCAGTGCTGCTAAAACATTTCAAAGGGATTTATTTGACAGACAGTATGACCCTACATCCTCCCACAATCTTCCCGTGGTTGGAGGGAAATGTGAAAAACAAGAGTAAAGGGGAAAAAAAATCTGTGTGGTAAGCCTAATGATACGAGGGAAAGGGCCTGTCACAGAACAGAGGAGGAGCTCATGTTTGTGCTGGTTTCAGTGGGAATACCTCATCTGTGTGCTGGGCTGTGTTTTCACTGCTCTTACAGTACTAGAGCGTATAATGTATTCACTGTTGCAGCTCTGGGTAATTATTCCAGTTAAGTGAACAATGTCACCAGATGAGGACATTGTATTCAATGAAGGTGTATTCGGCCGACACTGGACCCACCAGCCTGTCATTTACTGTTGTTTTTAGCTCTTGCCTTAGGGAATGGGTGAAGATTTACTGTTTTACAACAAGAGATTGATTCATGTTGTTGGCTGCACATTAAAATCGCTAACACACTGTGCCTATATGAGGTTCCTGTTTTAACAGATAGTTTTTCTGGACGCTTGGTTTTAAATGAGCAGCATGAAAATCGATATGCAAAATACGCATCTCACTGTCTCTGATGAATACCCATGAATTTTTCATATGACCCCATGAGATTGGATTAGCTCTCTCGGTCCCATAGTATTGGCCCAAATTGTTGCAGCATTTCAAAGTAAACATATAAAAAAGGTTTGGATAAAATGTTCAGGCCTCATCTGTTCCTGGACTTTTTAGTTTTGTAGTCTCATCATGCACTTTTCAAATCTATTTTTTTTCTTTGCTTTGAATTATAAATGTGCACAATTCTCTTATATATCCTGTATTGATATCCAATATTTTCAAAAGTCCTTGCACTTGGTGGTTTATATTAATATTTCACCTTAAATCTAAATCTCCCAGGTTTATCTCAAGGTATTTAATAAGTGAGAGGGCCCTTCAAATGTAGCAGTCATTCTTTTAGAGCTAATACAGAATTATTGGAGGCCAAAGCCTTGTAGCCTCTGTCCATGTGGCCCTTGGAGTCCCTCAGAGTGCAACAAGGGGAGGCCTGTAGGATCAACATAATGTGGAGCTCTGTAAGCAGCGCAGGCCAAGTGCAGCCCAGCTCCCCTCTCTCTCAAACTCAGGGAAACTGAGCAGCTCCAACAGCAACCCTCTCTGTTCTCCCACGGCCTCCTCCCCATGCCATCACTGCTCACACATAAAAGAGACAGAGCCTGCGACATAGGCAGAACACTTGAGCCCATTGATGCTGGCAGCCATTGCAGCACATAGGCTTGGAAAATCTCGCCAGGGTATTGAACACAAGCAGGTCCTTAAAAATCGGCAGATTTTCAGTGCTGGGCTCGCCTGGTAATGAATCAGTGTGTAGCTCTGGGTATTGTGTATTTTCAGGCTTCAGGACTGTGTTCAATTTCAGGTGGCAAATAGAAGTAATGTACAAGTTGATTGTACCACTACAGCTTCAGTCCATGTTTAATCGCTTTAGCAGACTGAATTAGCAGACTCTGCAGCTGTGACACAGCAGGATTATGATGAGCTATGGAGATGGAAGCTGCTAGAATATATACTTGAGAGGAATCTGATTATATCTAGGTAGTGTACTACATGTTAGGTGTTTGTAATATGTGTTTAATGATCATAAATGGGTCCATCTATTGATTTACTTATGATGTATTAAATATCACTATTACATACACAGTGTGAAACATTGTTCATATATATTTACATATACATGTTTTCTTTTTACTTCAAAGAAAATATTGTTTTTCATTTAAATGCTGAGATAGGCTCAGAAAAAAATGTACAAAAAGTTGAGATGAATGCAACTAATGCAATAGTTCTCCGATACTGTGATTTACAAACTACTTATTCTGCATCCAAATTCTGATGCAGCAGACCTCAGGTATTGGCCCAGAGAGTCTACATAGTATCATAGAGTCATGGAAATTAGGATGTACACCCCAAGTCATAAGTCTCGTCATTAAATTGCTTGCATGCTGTCTACTGTGCCTTTCTTTCCAGGACCCAGCTGCATCCTCCACCTCAGAGGTCGACCCTGACACCAAGGGAGAGACTGTGGCCATGAACTACAAGCCCTCACCCCTTCAAGTCCAAATAGGTATAACAATTATTCATTATTTATCATGTAAACTATGGTGTTCTGACGTAAAAGGTTTAGCAGTAAGCCTATGACAATGAAATGTAGTGGCAGTGCAAGGGCATGGCAGAGTAATATGCAGCGGGCAGGAAGAAGTGTGACTCCAGCCGCAAGCGAACTTGATCCAGCATCTTTCCGCACATTTGTGCTGGGACGTAAATGTGTTTACAAGTTAATAATCAGAAAATCACTTCTTATTCTTCAGTTTTGCCACATTGTTTACTGAACCGGTACTCTCTATTTCCACTTTCTCTGTGTCAGTTGACTCCCGTTGCTCACACTGTCACCTCAACTCACTCAAACAACCTCCGCTCCCATCTGTACACTACATGTGCAACTCTCGACAAAGATAGGGATGGAGTGAGATGGCTAACATGTAAAGTACTTCCAGGCACACTATAGGCTATGTGCTGTTCATTTATTTTGCCATGTATTGGATTCATGCAGCCGATGCTGGTTGGGTCAGGGTCGGTTGAATAGCCTGGGCATAAGCAGTCCTGATGATAGAAATTAGAGACGGACCTGTTAATCAGTCTTGCTAATTAATGGCATTTTGAGATAATCAAAATCAGCTGATGCCTGGGGTCACATAGCCAGTTAAAACAATAAACAGATAATATGTGTTTTATATGTATTCTGATATTATATAAGGACTAATGGAGTTCACTGTTGCTCTTGATGTAAATATCAGTCATCCTCTGAAATCTTAAGCATAATCCAATGCGTATTTCTATTTGATGAATGAATTAAATATCCACCTGAAACACACAATTTAATCAAGCTCAGATTACCATGTGTAATTAATTGGAGTGTGTATGGATTAATTAGTGTTATAATTATAAAATAGTTTTATTTAACAAAAATATGAAAACAGTAATGTGACACATCTGTAATGAGAGACTGCAGTATAAACTTCAGCGTAAAAGGTCCAAATGAGTGACATCTCTCTTTTAAAGATCCTCCTGTCCGATTTTGTGTGATCATTGAAAGTATTTCGTGTCAGTGGAGTTTTATTCCACAGCATTGCATGATGTCTCTATTGATGAAGGTTTCCCAATACTTCTGAGCTGTGTCTGTTTTTGGAACGATGTAGCTCTGCGATGTATTTTTGCTGAGCTCAAACCTTGTTGTCTTTTTGTCGTCTTGTGAGCAAAAAAGAAAAAAATGTTTCTGAAACATCACCAGAAAACATTTTTGTATTGTGAGTTTTGTCTTTTTTTTTTTTCAGAAAAACAAACAAAGAAAAACAAACTCAGTTTTTATTAACTCCGTCAGACATTGACCTTCCTACACCTATAGTTGGAAAAGCAATAACTTTTATACCTATATCCTTTTACTCACATGCTGATGAAGGTTTACTGCCTCATTTTTCACATAACCTAAAGCGTGTTTTTGTGTTTTTTTTTGTAAATTTACCATAGATGGTCATAGATTTAATATGTGTATTTACTGATGATCTCACTTCCTGTGGTTACTCAGAGAAACAGAGGGACCTTGCCAGGAAGGGCTCAGTGAAGAATGGTACTGTGGGAAGTCCTGTCAATCAACAACCCAAGAAGAATGCCAGGACAAGGTAACAGCTGCCAGGACTTCTGTTTTTTCTTTTTTATTCGTTACCCTTTGCTTTAATCAGAATCTCATTGAATGTTTTTGTGTCCTCTGCGTCACATCCAATGCAAAACATTACAAGTGAGCAGGATGTACAACACTCAGACTTCTCACTCTCTTATGAGGAGTCATGCTGATTGCATCCTGGCTTCTTAATTGTTAAAAAATCCTACAAATCTTCATGGTGAACATGGATGTTTTCTTTTTGATGATAAAAGAGTCAAAGTGCTGAGCATAAACCCAGTGCAAGCCACGGTATTGACAACTGGCTCATCTGTCTAATCCCACTCCCTGCTGGATTAGTGGAAATATAAGAGAGGCGACTGCCTCGTCTGGACCCCGAGTCGCAGAGGGGGAAAGATAATCTGGAAACGCCTGTAGTCTGAAGGCTAAAGATTAGCCCCAATTTTTGGGTCATTGTAGCCTCTAAGAGGAGTGTCCTTTGTGGGACAAATATCCTGTTTTGCATCATTTGAAATCTTTTGAAGTATTCTTTCTTGTTTTTTTTAAACCAGTAAAAGTACAGGGTGATATTTGACATTGAATACCGGTTTTCTATGCTTTTCTATAGGTTGGTGGTGCCCAACAAAGGCTACTCCTCTCTAGACCAGAGCCCAGATGAGAAACCCCTGGTCGCACTGGACACTGACAGGTATCGTGATTTTGATTCTTCACATCAAGTTCTGTAAGACACAAGCAGGAGGACGAACTTTCAGGCTGACCTTGAAGACCAAACTGGCTATGTTGCCGTTTTGTAGTGCACTTCGGCATGATGAGACATTAAACATAAAGCAACTTGAGAGAGTTCTTTACAGAGGGGATCCTAAAAAAGCCTCTCACTGGGTGCAGGATTAGAGTGTAGCGGGGTGAGGATTTGGAAGGGGAAAAGCGGCTCAGAGGGAGGGCCTCTGTAGCAGCAGGTCTGTATTTGACACGGATGAGTCCCACTCTTTGTGCCCTCCGTTTGCTGCTACATGAGGGAAACCATCTCATGTCAAATGTGAGCTCTGGAAGCCAACCAGGCTTATATCATCACATATTGCATCACGCACACACACCCTCTATCCAGCTCTCTGACTCACAGACACATGCACAACAGCCATTTGTTTATTGTCCACAGTTAAGACTCACATGCACAGCCCCTGCACAATTGCCCTGTTTTGTATGCGTACAGTGTTTGAGAGGCAGATTTCACATTTGGGTAAAAGGTTAGTAGCCCTCTGCATTTCCATCATAATAATAAATCTAGGATCAAATTATGCACAAAAAGGTTGTTAGGGTCATTTGTGTTTTTGAACTTGTGCTATGATGCATTTACTCATTCTGTGCAATTATCAAATACTCTTTCTACATCCAAAGATGGTATTAGATCGGCTCTGTGGGTTAAAATGCCAAGTCAGTGACTTAAAGATATCAATGTGTAAGGGAGATTAAGTTGTAAACGATTCTTGTCAAAAACACCTGGAAAAGAAAATGTGAGTCAGTGAGAAAAGTCTCAAAATCTCTGGAGAAATTTGAAGTCAAGTGCAGCAAAGGTTTGTTCTCCTCCTGGATACAACAGCAAACACATCCAAATAATAACAATAAACCATGAGTCAGCTCCAGTTAAGATGGAAGGATTTGTTTCTGACAGTGGATTTGAACTATTACTCTGAATGTCTACATTACTCCATTAAAAACATCATTTTCAACACTTTGTTTGGAAATTGAGGACACACATTATAACGCCCGAATTGTGTTTGAAGAAATGCTGAGTCAGCAAAACAAACCCTGCTTTATTTCTCAAGTACTCTCTCCCTCCCTCCCCTCTGTGTGCACCAGCTTTTCAGGCCATTTCTCGGTCCGTTTTCTAATTATCCCTTTAACTCGAATATCATCTCTGATACCAGTACTGGTGATTTTTAACACAGAATACATAAAGATTGTCATAGTTTCAATCTCAGAGTATATAATCCAACCTGTAATGTATTTTAACATAAACTATAATGAATTACAGATGATTTTGGAAACAGACAAAGAATATAAGAAGACAATACAATAGAGGAATAATGGGCTCTTTTTACCTTGTGAAAACAGCTAAATGTATTCCTTATAATGTTATTAGAGTCATAGGGAATAAATTAAGGGACCACACAGGTTTTCAGAGAGAGACTGTAAACAATCCAAACTTAGACCGCAGAGTTAACTTCTTATGTTTTTCTTTTTTTACCTGCACATAAGATGAACCTCACAGTATTTCAGATTTATGCCTTTCTCTCAAAGTAGTGACCTCCCAACTTTACCTTTTGTGATATAAATGAAAGATTCATTAAAAAAATAAATAAATTAAAGAGTAAAATAAAAACAAACAAAAGTAGTAATTATGTGCAAAAATATAAAGATAAAAGGACGTCATGTTTTTTTTTCTCAATCGGTCATGTGACAGAAAATAAAAATATTAGTGTATCTCCAAAAAAATTCAATATTGTGCAAAACTTATTTTTTCTTTATGGTGACTCAAAATAAGCCAAATAATTCTAAATGAAGTTTACGAACATTTTGTATTTACCTTTTTTTTCTTTTTTAACTACAGGCACTACAATTGAAATGAGAAAAATGGGTGAAACATTTTAGTTCATGAGGTCAATCTAGAATCTATGACTTTCTCACTTTCCTGTTAAGACACTGTCAACCTCTTCCTTTAAAAAACTTCATACTGTTCTTTGGAGCCTGTCGTCTGACTCGCTTATCTTTAACTGTGCCTGTCTCTTGTCTTTCAGTGATGATGACTTTGATATGTCCAGATACTCTTCATCAGGATACTCCTCAGCCGAGGTGAGATGTCTGAGGGACCAGGTATCTATAAACACATTATACTGTTTCACTGCGTCATTTGGTGAACCCACAAACATCTACACCTGATCACCCAGTTCCATTGTCACACCACCCACACCAGGTATATGTGCATCTGTTGATTTAAAAAAAAAAAGACTGGGACTTCTCCAAGCCTGGATAGTCACTGTTATTTGTACCCAAATACCCATAATCCTCATCCAAACTCCCGATCATTTCTACCTCCTTGTGTAGAAGTTTTTGTGTCATTTCCTTTTCCTGTGCCCATTTCAACCTGGCTGTACTCCATGTTCCTTTTTTCAGTTTTTACAAAAATATATTCTTTTTGATCACCTTTTTATTTGAGCAGTTATAATTTGATAAATCAACGTGATTTCTATTGTAATTATTCTTGTTATTCCCGATGTTATGTTTAGTCTTAATTTCCTCGGAGCTCTACTGATACTGTTTTTGTTTCTCCCTCCTGCAGCAGATCAACCAGGACTTGAACATCCAGCTCCTGAAGGATGGGTACCGGCTGGATGAGATCCCAGATGACGAGGACTTGGATCTGATCCCCCCTAAAGCAGTCAACCCCACCTGCATGTGCTGCCAGGCTGCTCCCTCTACAGCCTGCCAAATCCAGTAGCGCCATTCCCCCTCCCCCTTTAAAATAAAACCTCCCTCCTGCCACCTGCACTGAGGAGAACTGCTGACCGGGGCGGCAGCACAAAGGACACACTCTTGGCTGGCTTTGGCACAAAGGGAAAATAAGGGTCATCAAACGCTAAAATAAGAAAAAAGGGAAGAGTCTACATGTACAGTATCTGTGCACGCTCCTCCTATGGTTGGATCAGTGCATCTTACTCCTGCATGGTTGGATCGACGAGGACTCAAGTGGTGGCTGAAACATTACCTCGGAAGAAAACACGTTACTTTTGCTCCTGTTTTCGTTCGACTTCCATCTCGTGCTTGTACATATTTCATTTTACGCAGACCTTCTGAGGATTGTGTGAAAACAAAACGAGATGACAGAGACTCCAAACACCTGAAATCATGACTTTAATGTGACAGTGCATCGTCAATGAAATCTACTGATGAACAAAAAGTGAATGGAAGATCTGAAGTGGCCATTTTTGTTGTCTTTCTCTTTTCTTTCAGCTAGTCTGCTTCATCTTCCTGTGTAAATGTGTCAAACAGGAAAATAATGCGTGTGTCTATGTGTCTGGAAGAATAGTGCTAAAATATCAAGCTGCTGATAGGAACACTAATGCTTAAACTAAGATATCAATGCCAGAGGTTGTTTTTTTTCTTTTTTTGTAAAGTCTGTTACACAAAAGGTTGTACTGCTTAATTGTTTCATATTCAGTTCAAAGAAACTGAATCCAATAGTTTTGCATGTTGCCTGTCTGTATGAGCAACCTGTGCAGATGATTTACTGTTTTTGATTTAGACCTAAACACATCTGTGTGCCGATGACACATTATATGAATTGTGCTTTCAAAAGCTACAACTTATTTAAGTTTACTCACAGTAATACCTGTAGGTGTATAGAGAGACAGTTACTAGAACTGAAGACAGGACAGCTCATGGGTTAGAGTACACCTGCTCAGTTTTAGTCCATGTCAGGCCCAGTGAGAGTGCATGACTTAGAGGTGATACAATTGAAGGACGAGGCGACTTCAAAACTGATTCTGATTGTGCTCAAACACATTGAAGATTGTCAAGTTTGGGAATGTTTATAGAGTGATTCCATATTGTGTAGATGAAAATCAAATGGGACTGGATTTAATTATTTGTTGTTTTTTTAAATGAAAAGTCTGCTTATCAAGGGAACTGTAACCCCCCCCCCCCTTTTTTTTTTTATTTTTAAGTTTTGATGTCAGTATCTGTTTGTTTTGTATTGTTTCACATTTGCTTTTTTAATTTTGGGACAAGGACTGTAAATGTAGCACCGGACACCGCTGTGTATTGTCGATATGTTATGCCAGTCGATGTTCTCCAAGTGGAGCATCAGGGAGCAGTCCTTTCTTTGAGAAACAAATACTGTTTATTTGTCATGTTTACATTATTTTTAAAGACATCTGCAAAGCTCTTTGTTATCTAGTAAATGTCAAAATCACTTGCATGTAAATCTGCAATGCAACAAATCAAGTTTCCCCCTTAAAACACAACAACAAAAAAAGTGGAAACCCTCCTCCTTCTCCTGATACTACACCAGATTTATTTCCTTGTGGAAAACTAGTGGGAAATGTGACTCAAACTCTTGAATAGGTGTGTACTTAACACTCTGGTGTTAGTTGGTCTCTCTTGGTTACATTCGGAACATACTGTTGACTCAAGTTTAAGGGATTTCATACCAGGATGAGAAAAGTCTTCTGAAATACTGTATGAAGGCGTTTTGCAGTTTTTTGGTAACACTTTACTTGACGCCTATCTCTATGACGCATTATAAATTTAAGTATAATGCGTTATAATTACGTTATAGCACTGTGTAAGTATAGTTATGTATATAGTTATAAACACTCATAAATGATCATAATGCTTTATAGCAATAATCATAACACATTATAAAGTATTTATCATGACTTACAAGGTCAGGTATTATAATGTGTTATGCTTTATAATTAATGAGTGTTAATAATGATAGTTAAACAAGTTTATAAGCAAATTATAACACATCATAAATGTATGTATAAGACATTATCTATGTGGGCATTGTCCGTGAGTTGTTGACAGTTATAACACATTATAATACCTGACTTTGTTAGTCATGATAAAATGCTTTATAATGTGTTAATTTCTATAAAGCATTATGATCATTTATGAGTGTTTATAACTAAAGTTATACACTGCTATAACGTGATTATAAAGCATCATACATATATTTATAATGAATTATAGAGATAGGTGTCAAGTAAGTGCATTTCTGTTACTTAACTTTTGTCTGCTGGTTTTGTTTGCACATATACAATTTGGGATTAAGGATTCAAGAAGCACAGACAGAACTAAATACTACTACAAATACTACAACAAAAGAGGCGAATATTAAGTCTGTTGGATAACTTGTGCCAGAGTAACTCCTTTCTTTACCTACTACAACCTAAATTTTTCTAAAGAATTGTAGTTATGGAAACAAGTGAGGTTTGCAAATAAGGTGCCATGTGTGTAGTTAAAAATGACTCTCATCCAGTAATGGAAGAAGACAGCAGTCAGGTAATATAAGACTAATACAGCTACTCGCTGATGTATTTTGGACCAGTAGCTGTGTGTATAGTGAAGAACACTACAGACGGACCACATGTGTGATGGACTTGGTTGCTGATTTGGGTTTACCATCCTGCTAACAGAGTTACATGTTGCAGTTGTCTTGTATTGAGTGCACTACTTCTGGCCAACATCTTTGCACACAGGGAATTTCAAGCGCTGCATTATAACAGATACTATTTATTTGCAGTTGTGTGTTTTTAATTTATTTTTCAAAGAAAGGGAAATAATTCATTCACAGATATTTTTTGTTTGTTTGTTTGTTTTGTCAGGTGCTTATTATGATGATTGTGAACTGGTTCCATTTAGATTTTAACAGTGTTAAAGTTCTGTGTATAGTGCAACATATCGAAAAATAAATACTAGATATCAAAGGTTGATATGTGCTGCTCTTTTTCTTATTACTTTCAAAAAACTTTTACTGATAGAAAGGCAGCGATTTGGGGTTCGTCTCAGTCAGCTGTCCCAGCTCCTCAGACTCTGCAGGAGATGAAACAAGCAGCATCTGTATGAAACCCCAATCTTGAGTTTCTGCTGGTGATGTGTGCGTACCTACTGAAGTGAATGAGTGTATCACTGCAGCCAGGAAAGAGGATAAAGAGGAGGGATGGACAGACGAATAGATACAAGGATAGTAAGGGTGGGGGATTGGGTCTTTGTAATTAGCCCTGAGTTGATCCCTTGGGAGCAGATGGTGAATGGTGGCTTACCTTCAGAAGACTCCTACAGTCCTAGGAACTAGTTAGTGTCCACGCGGTTGTTCAAGGAAAACGTGGAGAGAAGCTAGGAGTCCTGGGACACAGGTAAGGACTAGTTGGGTGTACATAGTCCTATTGGCCTCCTTTTTGACGTGTAAGTATGAAAACCTTCATCGAACTGTCTTACTGTACTGGTCTTTTTGTAAAGGTTAACTAACAGATCCCAGGTCAGGACGTGACAGCATGTGGCTAAAAGACCTGTGTGTAGCAGCTGCTCTGCTCCTGCTCTGCGTTCAGCCTCTTCATGCTTCAGCTCTTCCTGCCGTGTCCTCCTATGAATTCACTGCATACAGAATGCAACAGTACAACTTGGCACAACACATGCATGGTGAGTTCACCTCATCGTATACATCTACTCACACCTGAGGTACAGATTTAAGGTACTTACATAAGTGCTACCTTATACTCTCACCAAAATGCGATCAGTTGCTTTGTTTCTTTTGACTTCTATCCAGGTGTCTCTCAGCTACTGTGAATTACAAACCTTTTAAATTAAGACTTATATTCGAGTAAAACAATAATAATAAGCATATAAGATACAATGCATTGTTCAGTATTAAACCATATTTCCCAACTTTTTTTGCTTGTGACCTCTAAAGAAAACTGTCCATTCAGGGCTCCATGTCATCATTTCTATGTCAATGAGCTTTTAATAAGATTTTGCCCTTTCTAAACAGCTGTCACGGTTCAGATTATTGATATAAGCCTCAGTTGATAAAACATTCCTCCAAAAGGGACAACATGGATGAGTCTGACAAATTCCTTTTCCCTTAAAGGATTGATTATGTTTGACTTCTCAGAATAAACCCAGTTAAAGTGTATTCACACTTAATATTTCTGAAACTCTAAGTAGGCTTACATTTCGATCCTAACATCTTTGTACATCATCCAAAGAGGATCCTGTGTACTGGACTTTTCTTTCTTTAGCAGTTGAGTTTCAATTGATATTAATTGAATTATGGATTGATTTATTGATTGAATTGATGATTACAAAGCAGACAAAGCAGTGTGGTGTCAGTCAAAAGTCAAATTAGCCCCCCTATCGGTTGTTCATTCTCTTTATGCTTTGTTGAGGGTTTTGAAGTCTTTGTTTTGTATGTTTTCCTGTGTTGTTCTGCTGTACAGTAGCTCATATTCAAAAATGTTTTCATTTCTTTACATTTTTCATCTCAATACTGAGCTATTTTCACACAATGCCAGAAGACGTGTGATCAACATCATTTTCTCCACATATTCTCCAGCAGGGCTGTAGGACAAATAAATCTTTTAAGCTTTTGTATGATAAGATATCTGACAATATTCCCTCTAATGGATACAGGACTTCTTAGAGTATTTCATTCATTTAAGCTCCTCAGAAGAACTCTTATTTTCAACTTTGGCCCACTGTATTATTAAACTTTGGTTGATTTTTTCATCCATACATTTATATAGGCTGTGTTTTCTGATACAAAAGCTCATCCTGCTTTCTTTTGACTGTGAGATGTACCACTTTCTGTAAATATCTACAGTGGATAAAAAAGATAAACGCCTCTCTACATCATGCTGTAGATCATTTTGTCTCTGCTCTCACAGTAGTGACAGGCATTAAAAATCACAATATGGAAACTGTCAATCTCGTCTTTGATGCTCCCATTTTCTTCTTCAGATAATATAGAGGCATCACTGTTGTTTTAAGTGTGTTTTATAACCAGTCAAAAACTTTAAACAGTCCAAATTATATGATTCAAGGAGTGAAACTTTAAAGCCTTTTCGTCTGTCTTGATTAACTCACAAAAACATATCTACCACATGTGATAATATCATCATCAACATTGTCATGTTATATTATCCTTCAATGATTATAGACAATTAATCAGCCAAAAGATGCTGCATTGAAGGAATTATACTTTAGAAATTAACTTTGGCAACTGCATGACAAATTCCTACAGTTTTTAGGTAAAAGTATGAAAACCACATTAATATTTTCCCCTTACCACATTTCCTTTGCTGAGGATGCCGTGGAGCTATCGTGGTGGCAGAGGCCCGCTCGGCAGACGAGCCGGTGCTGACCCGCCGCTGTGTCATCATGAAGGTGACAGACTTCACTGCAGAAAAATTTATAGAGGCTCAGAGGCAAAATGCTGCTGCTGTTCTGGTCCTGCTGCCCAAAAACATCTCCAGTGTCCCTCATGACACTCTACAGGTAATAAGTTATTCAGAAATACCTGTGTGCTTTAGGACACACTGGAGGTTAACACTGACTCAACTAAAATATAAAGTCTGACCCCTCAGTCACTGCACAGTATCTTCTATCTTTATATATTTGTGCTTTCAAAAGTACTTCCTAGTCTCCTTTGGTGATTCCTACCTCATAAGATAGTTTTATCTCTCCACTGAGAATAAGACGATAACTGTGTGTATTTATAGACAGATTTAATTCAAGTCTTATCTTTTCCTTTTTAAGTCCTTCATGGTGAGTGAGAGTGCAGTCCTACTGAAGGAGACCCTCATGCCTGTGTATGTGGCACCTGAGGATGAACAACTGCTTTACATGTATGAGGAGGTCAAGCAGGCTGCAGCCTCACGGACTTCATCGATGTTCATCAGAGGTGAGAGGAGCAAAGGGATTTTTACAGTTTCAATACAAGGTTCGAAATGTGTGTGTGTGTGGTGTATCTTGAAGAGTGTGAACCACAGAAAATGATTTAACATGTCTGTGTATTGTGTTTCCTTTTCAATCTGTCAGTCCTTCGCAGTATGGTCACAGCCACAGCCTTTCAGATCTTAGTGAGCAACAACGTCCCCATAAAGGCTTTCACTGACAACAACATCATCACACTGGAGGTGAAAATGACAACTTTCTGAAAATATAAAAGCTCAATCTGATTTCATGATGATGATTTCTCTGCTCTGTGTAACTGCTGATCTTCATTTTAGGGAGTTCTTCTAGGAGCAGGCGAAGATCCACCCACTATCGTCATCACTGCCCACTATGACTCCTTTGGGCTGGCACCGGTGAGTGAGTCAGAAACACATCATTATGATGTGTCTGAAACAGTTTGTAACCCTGTTGTGTTGCGTATTCAGTCCCCGTATGTTGTTTCAAATTACAGCACTTGCAGTGTAATGATACTCCTGCTGAAAAACAATGTGTGTTTGTGTGTACATGACAGTGGCTGTCATACGGAGCTGACTCTAATGGCAGTGGGGTCACGATACTGCTTGAGTTGATGCGCCTCTTCCAGAAGCTTTATAGCAGTCCCAGCACCAGACCACCGTGAGTCTAAAACCCTGATAAGAAAACATCAACATGTATATATCTTCTTGAACATATCCTGATCATAAAATACTCAAAGGGATATTCCAGCATAAAAATAACTTACGGTCAAACGCACCGCAACACCAAGTTAGACTCCCCCCCTCGAGAGATGAATGTTGCCAACTGCTTGCTTCTCTAGTTATACCAACTTTAGTAACAACAATACACATCAGTCTGAGGAGCCAGCACAAACCTCAACCAAAACGCCACTCTATAGCCACAAGTAATGCTCAGAACAGCACCTAACCATAACAGTAAGTATAGGGTCCCAGCCATAGTACTAGCCACCAAGCATCTTTTTAACATTGCCTTATTTCTTTAGCAAAGAGACAAAACACAACTCATCTACTGTCATCCAGCAGCTACTGGTTTGTAGCGAGACCTTGGGCCAGTCCATTACGGACTGACCCGAGATCGGTGACGCAGCTCAAGGAAGAACATTTATGATCATTACTTTATCATTTCCTTGAGGTAATAATCATCATTTTAATCATTTTGCACTGCAGACACAGTAGTTCTTCTGTCTTAGCGTCTCGGTCTGATTGCATTTCCATGAAGAAATGATCGTAAATGTTCTTCCTTGAGCTTCGTCACCCTGCTGTAGTCGATAATGGACTGGCCCGAGGTCTCGCTACAAACAAGCAGCTGCTGGAAGAGAGTAGGTGAGTTGTGTTTAGTCTCTTTGCTTAAGAAATCAGGCAAAGTTAAAAAGATTGGTGGCTAGTACTATGGCTGGGACCCTATATGTACTGTTGATGAAGTTAGCTGCTGTTCTGAGCATTATTTGTGGCTATGGAGTGACTTTTTGGTTGAGGTTTGTTTGTGGCTCCTCAGACCACTGTGTATTGCTGTCCTGCGGCCATTACTATAGTTGGTATAACTAGAGAAGCAAGCAGTCGGTAACATTCATCGCTTGAGGGGGAGTGTAACTCGGTGTTGTGGTGTGTTTGACTCTTAAATAATTTAACGCTGGAATATCCCTTTAAGTCAAGTTTTTTTTTTAAAAGCACCACAGTGTTTGATCAGCTTTCTATGAAGAATCTAAATACAGTTACTTCTGCTCTTTTTAGATATCATTTAATGTTCTCTTTAACTGGAGGAGGAAAATACAATTTCCTTGGCACAAAGAGATGGATTGAAGAGAATCTGGACCATGCTGGTATGATCAAGTATTCAGGCTTCTTTTCAGTGTCTGGAAATAAGTGCTCACACATCCAAACACGAACATATCCAGTTTGATTTTCTTCATTCAAACATATTTCTCTCTGCAGAGTCCAGCCTACTCCATGACAATGTGGCCTTAGTTCTGTGTCTTGACACACTGGCCAACAGTGATGAACTATACATGCATGTGTCCCGCCCTCCCAAGCCTGACACTCCAATGTATGCTTTCATTCAACAGCTGGAGGAGGTAACAAGCCTTACTGCCTGGTCTTAAACATTGAGCAGGACCATCTCTGTTTCCAAAGCTTTCAATCTATGTGATCCCTTTTGCAGGTGGTGTCGTCCCGATTCCAGTGGGTGAAGATGGCAATGATCCACAAGAAGATCAATCTGGTAGAGTCAACAGTGGCCTGGGAGCATGAGCGTTACAGTCTGCGCAGGATACCGAGCTTCACTCTGTCACACCTGGAAGACCCCAAATCTGCACTCAGAGGGTCCATGCTGGACACCATGTAGGCGCTGTATTCTGTTAAACTGCTTAAACACCTTATGCCCTGTGGGTTTACATGAGAAAATGAGACATACTTTAACTATCTTTGCTTTCTCCACAGGTCACAAGTGGACTTCAGGAAACTGAAACGTAATGGCATTATCATTGCAGAAGCACTGGCACGTTATATGTACAACCTCTCTGACAAGGTGATCTCATGCACCAGCACACAATGAGCAAATCCATTATTCTGTCAGCAGTACAATGTGTGACTAATCTTTTTAATCATCTTCCTCCAGGGTTCGCCAAAAGATATGCAGCTTTTCAAGGGCCAGATGGTAAGTTCTTGCTCATTTAGGTCATTATGCAAAGACAAATCCTGACCTCTGGTGGTGGTTACTTGGTACTGCAGAATGTTTTCAAAGGCCCCAGTCTGGATTTGGTCTCATTGCATTAATTCAATTTAGTACAGGATTAAGTTCAGTTGAATAAAGCCCATCAATTTGAATAAATCTGGATTATAAAGTGTTCTGTATGATGACCCTGATTATATAATTATTGTTATATCAAGAATATTTTTATATTTTATTTTTTTCCCCATTTTTATTTTCTTTTTTAATTTCCAAAAAATTAAACATTTTTTGTATATTTTTAAATTTTGTTGTCATTTCGCAAATATTTTTATATTTTTGTGTTTCCCAAAATACGACACTAGATATACAATTATTGTTATATCAAGAATATTTTTATATTTTATAAAATGTTTCCTTTTTATTAGAATAGAATAGAATATTCCTTTATTGATCCCCCATGGGGGAAATTTTTTTGTCACAGCAGCATCACAGACAAGACAAAAAGTGCAAAAATGCAGTTATAACAATTAGGGTCCTAATATTAAGAACTTAAATAAATGTAATAATTAAGAAAAAATTAGAAAAGGGAGAAGAAAAAATAAAGCTTTCTACAATATACACAATTTAAATGCCATAAAAAAAAGTGGTGGTGTAAATCCAGTTTTGTTACTGTTCATTATTATTATTTTATGTTTTAATATCAAAAGAAGTTAACAAACATTTTTTACGTTTTTTAATTTTGTTGTCATTTCTCAAATATTTTTATATTTTTGTGTTTCCCAAAATATGACCCTGAATATATAATTATTGTTTTTCCAAGAATAATTTTATATCTTAGGAAATGTTTACCATTTTTATTATTTTTTTCAATTTCCAAAGAAGTTGACAAACATTTTTTTTATGTTTTTGTCATTTCTCAAACATTTTTATATTTTTGTGTGTTTCCCAAAATATTTTGTGTTTTCTAAAATATATTTTGGGTTCATGTGAAACATTTTTTGTGTTTTAGGGTTGTATCAAATTCAGGGCCAGCGCAGGGCTGATAGTATCAAGTTAAATAAATTAGTCCTGTGGTTTTCAAATGAGTCCTTTGTGGTTAAAAAAGTATCCCTATCATCTTGGTACTTTTTCTATATATTCCACTCACATAAATTCCCCCTCCAGGACTTCCATGATGGCCGTATGTCCCACCTGATGTCTGTGCTGACATCTGTCCCTCGGGCGACCCAGCTGCTGGATAAGGAGCCTGGTCACATGGTGCTGGTTAACTCACTGGAGCATGAGTTCAAACATTATCTGCAGCAAGTTTACAGACACACCTTCAGACAAGACAAAAGGTAACACAAAGTAACAGAAATACTCTCTACTCTTACAGTTGAAGCTAGTTCTACAAAAAAATCATGACACTGATATACTATTTCTTAAAACAGAGACCCTGATATTACCTTTTATGATCAAATGAACCAGCCGATAGTGATGTACAGGTACAAACACTCATTAGCATTCGCTTCATGCATGGTTGTGTTGTGTAAAACACTTGGAAGCTGATGCACTTTTTCTTTTAGAGTGAAGCCAGCAGCCTTTGATCTCTTCCTTGGTGGCTGTATCGCAGCCTACTTGGGGATTATTTATTATGCCATTCAGGTTTGTTACCACCTCTTTTCACATGCAAACAGAAAATCAGATTTATACACCCTCTTCTACCTATGTTTTTTTTTCCTCATATCTGTCTGATCTCTTTTGCAGAACTTTGGGTTCTTCTACACTAAGCTCAAAGCAGCAGTGAAGTCCAAACAGCAGTAAATAGGACTATGAAATCTGGGAGACTGTGGCAAGGGCTTTGAAGTCTGCATTGTGCTTGTTGGACCTCTGCTATGCTGGCAGAACATGAAAGCAATGTTAAGAGAAATGGTCTATTTTTTCCTTTGTACATGTATTTCTACATACATTCACTATTATATAAAGAACTGAATTAATCAACTTGCTTGATCTTGTTATTTCAAGGACACGTAACATACCAACAATGACTAAAAAAGGCACTCTGGATACGAGTGTATGAAAGTGCACCAAAGAGTGGAGCACAAACTAGAGATTTGATCCAATTTGAGCCCCTATGAAGGACATTCCTGTTCCTGCTACATCATTATTTTGATTCCTCTGCTCTGCATCTGTTGACATGGATTTGACTGAGCTTAACATGGCTGTCAAACATGACCCCAGCACTACAGCTAGATGAACAGCCAGTCCCTGTCATAGATAACTCAGTGAGAGCAGTGGAGACACAAAGGCACCCTGCAGCGCTTGGTGAATTATTGATGATTGTGTGGCATGCTGTCAGTGAATAGAGGTGACCCTGGGTGTTGCTACTGGTGCTGGTGGGAGATTCTTAGAAATCTCATCACTCCCCTGGTTGGATCCACTTCAGCTGATCTGATAAGCCTGATTCTCTTTTAACTATCCAGCTTCCAAACTACCGGAGGCTGGGTGTCAGTTTAAGGTCACTGCTGGCTGCTTTTTGACAGGGGCCCAGGGGGAAGGAAGTAGGTCATGGACAGTGACCCCAGGTATGTGTGTCTCTGCAGGGGGCCCGGGGCTTAGTGGGATTAATAGTGGAGTGCTCAGGTAGCACAAAGAGTTGTTCTGGTTCAGCAAGGAGGCTCTTAACCTATTGCCACTTCTAACATTATAGATTCAACACCATATCAACAGGCTGAAACAAAAATAATACACAATCATATTTTGGTATTTGTCTTGTGTGGGAGCAGGATTTATAGTTACAAATGTGAGTGTGAGATAAAATGTATGAAACAGCATATAAAACTCAGTGCTTAGCTTACTTGTGCCAAGCATGACCATTTTATGCACAAAATCACACACAATAGAGGAGAATTTTGCAGGTAGAAAAGTGGAGGAGCGACAGTCTTGGTTTAGAGGGAGGAGCAAGCAGGTGACAAGGGAGGACAAGGATGCTCATGACTTTCAGGTGGTCAGATGCAAAGCAGTGGGAATAAGAAAGGAAAGCAGTAAACATGGCTCCTCAACTCTACCTCACTATGTACAAGGAGCACTTTGCGTCTCCAGGCAGAACCAAACGAGAACCGCTTCGACCCACCTCTGCCCACCGCAGGAACAACCCCCAGCCCCGGCCGGTAAGAGACAGATACATGTGCTTATGAAGAGGTTGACAGGACAGGGAAAGATTTTATAACTGTTGACTATGATTTTTTTCTGAGAAGGCATAATGGTAACACTTAATATGAACCCAACATGCTCAAAATGCATCATAAGCACATTCATAAATGCATCTATAGGGATTTATAACAATCAGTGAGAGTGATAGTAAGCATTTAAAACAGCTTTAAACATTTTTTACTCAGTGAGCATAATGTCTGGTGAAGATTTGGTTTATAATGCATTATACCTTAATGCATAAGAAAAAAATATGGTTTTACAAATTTATTATTATTGTAAAGCATTTTTATCAGACACTTACAGCAGCAAAATGCTGCTTGTAATTTCTTATACATGTGTTTTAGGAACGTGAAAATAATAACTTTTCATGCTTTACCATGTTGTGAAAATATTTTCTGTATTGAGAATTATAGTAATTGAAACTTAAAAAAATGATATAAAGAATTTGTTTTCTATAAACCTTTGTAACCAGGTAAAGAGATGAGAGTTATAATGTGTTATCAAACCCCAAATAAAAAAGACGTTTTTCTTTTTCTTTTTTTCCCCCCAAGCTGCATTTATAGATGTGCTCCTGATGCATTAGTGGAAGTGGGTTCATAGAAAGTGATACAGATATTTTATTTAAACTTTGACGAATCTACACAAGAGTGATCCCATTTTGTAAAGAATATTTGAGGGAATAATTTAACACTTTTATTGAAGGTGTTATTGAAATGAACAGTTGAGCATCTGCCTCCTCAGACATCCAGCTACAGAAATCTAATTAATTCTTATTTAAATGACAAGATATAAGACATAAGAGAGAAATACAAACAAACAAATGCGTGAGCAAACATTTCTTAGTGGTGCATTTAAGGCCATCATGACTAATTGGGTCACTTATTATTGGCACTGTCTTAAATGTTCTTCACTGAACACGACTAAGGCGTCTTAGTCTAATTAGGGGGTTGGTTGTTTACATTTCCTTGTGCTTGGTGAAAGCTGTGTCCCATCTATTATTCAGTACTTCCCCACCATGCCTATTTATTTATCCCCACATGAAGTAGACAGAGCTGAGAGGAGAGTACACTCAATCTTGCGTAGAGGGAATAAAATCAATGACTGCAAGACAACCGGAGAAATTTTCTTTTTTCATTATTTTGAGAAATTTCTAAGTTCATGTTACTTAATTTTCATGCTGTTTCAATAAAATATTACAAGGAGGGCAACCATATTAAATAAATAAAAGTTTTATTCCAAAGTCTTCACACTAAGAAAATACTGTAATATCAATTTATGACAGATTGTGAGTGTTGAGAACAAAAAAAGAGCTATTTAATTATTAAAACTGTTCAACAACATTTCCATCCCTTTTCTTCTTCCAGTATGTGTCTGTCTTTGCTTTGCTTCTTCAGGACTTTCTGTTTCCTCGGAGTCTCCAGCCCAGCTACAAGTCCCACCGCACAACACCACACCCAAAGACCCCTGTGGACTCTGGCCGTCCTCTTTTCCCCCCTGTGGGCTATCCATCATTCCACAGTCCAGTGACAACTTGTCCTGACAACCACCCTAACACTGTGGAACCAGACCACACGCCAAACCACACACCCCCTGTTTTCAACCCATCCTCCCTGCCAGCTCTGCCCCCTGCTGATGGAGTGCAGAAACTACAGCTGACTAAGCCTCCTGCTGGACCTGCATTTCAGTTTAACTCGGCTTTAAAGACACCAATGAGGTAGACTAAAATGTATACAAAGGTTATGATAGATTCCACATTTGGATGGATTGGCAGAGAAATCCACTGTAGTGAGAGATTCACTGTTTGGACTGTGGTTGAAACATGATTGATTCTTTACATAACTGATATCCAGATATCTACTGTTTGCTAACAGCTAAAGATAGCATTCAGTCACTCCCTTAGTCAGAGGCATAAGCTAGCCAAAATTATAATAAGGTACTGAACAGTTAGTGGTTTAGCCTGCTAACTTGGCAGGCAATGCCAAGGATAAGGGAAGACCAGGGGCACTTAACACATTTTTATTTTTATTTTGGCTGCACAACTGTCACATTATGAGAAAAGCAATTTTCATTTTCAGTGTGAAAACCTTATTTATGTGCATTAATCAGAAAAGCTATTAGTATATTTTCAGGGACAATGCATTTGTATTCAATTTAATCCAAAATAGTTCAGATTGTTACAGTTGGTGCCAAAAGGCAAAGGAAGGGTAAAATCCAGTGTTTTTATTCAAGATTCCCATTTTTTATGTTTCAAATAATATTTTCTTTTCAATTAGATTATGAATTTAAAGCACAGGGGTATCTAGCAACTTGGCAGCCTATCTACTGATGACCCAATATTGACTATTTAAAATGAGCCACAAGTATATTTGAACCAGATAGACTGGCCAGCTGATTATTAAACTACTTTCTTTAACATATCTGTGATAGAATGAATACAATTATGTAAACAGACCAAGACAATGCGGTTATTAAGAGATAACACTTATGACAGTTTTGAAACAACACCCATGGTTTGATTAAAAAAGGAAGATAATTATAAAACCTTTTCTAAAACATATGTTCAAATCGAAAACATCAGTACTTTTAATTAAATCGTGTTTTTTAATAGTAACACTGTAAAAAATTACCTCCAATCACAGCATTGCAATTGCCCTTGATTTGGCAGGCATGATGCTTATACCAGCTGGTAATACTTATGTTAGCTCAAGTTTTAATTTTAATTTTTAACAAATAGCTTTGGTATGAAATTGAACCATATCAAGCACCCCAGCTGTTTACTTGTTGGCCAAACTCCATTAGTTACAATTGTTTTTGTTCCACTCAATACCTGCTACAAGCTTGTCAAAAAGTGAGATGATAGGAAAGCTGTAAATTCCTAGGGATGGGTTAACAGGGTTAAATGTTAATTTAGGCCTCCTCTTTGTATTGTGTTACTCTATCAAACAGTACTGTTTTCTGGAAAGCTGTTGCATATTGAATTTCCCCTCGGGATTAATAAAAGTATTCTTATTTTATCTCATCTAATCTAATGTTAGCTGTTTTTTGTTTAGTTTTGGCTTTTCTTTAGATGCCCTTGGGTTTACATTTGTTGTCTTATTTAAGATATATGCCAGATTAATTCCTGTCTTGATTTTTACAACTGGTAAAACTTTAAGACTTCTGAGATTGTAACAATTCGTCAGAGTCTATGCATTTACGCGGTACACATCATTACGGCATTGTTACAGCATTGAAAATCAAAATGCACTCTATTTTCACAGGAAAAATACTCAGCTCCAGAGAAGGCCCCAAACTGGCAACCCTCTAGCACCTCAGCACCTCTTTTTGCAGACACAGTACCGGAGGTCTAGCTCCAGTAGCATCCTGGATTATAGGTGCTTAATGAACTTTGCATCATAAATTTATGTCTTGGAGAAAGATGTCTAAATGTGCTGTAATGAAGGAGTTGTAATCTTTCCTCTGATGGTCTCTCAACAGTGGGTGCTACAGCTGCTTCCATGTGGTGAAGCCTTACCAAGCGGGGCACTACATCATACACCCAGAGTTTGTGTCTGAGTGCCTTCGTTAGGACCATTATCTGAGCTCCGGCTTCCAAAGTGGGGACAAGGGACCTGCAGAAGTCCTCCAGTGGGCTCCGGGGGTTCCCTATCAAAATGAGGGATTGTTAACTTCACTATTGTTTAATTCTTTGCTAATTAACCCAGTGAGACAAGGTGCAAGAGTGAATAATTGGCTGCACTTTCCCTACCATTATCTCCCTACATACAGCGTGGGCAGTTTTACAATCCAGCACTACTATATCAGCAGCAAAGATCTTGCCTGAGGGGCTTGTGGGGATGGCATCAGAGGAGGCTCTGAGGTCTTACTGTGTAACTGTCTATGACATTAACATTTTTTTTCACTATCAGAAAGATAATATTCTTCATTAGATATGAAAAAATGCATTGCATAAGCATCTTAAAAATAGTAAAGGAAACAGGGAAACTTGACTCAGGGGTAATAAAGACTTACTACTGTGATTATTGTCGCATCACTTTACCACATGTGGGAACTTTCCAGGTATACCATATAATGGGCTAAATAGCAGTGTTTATAAAACCCTCAAAGTCAGCACCAAAAAATAGAATCAGAGTCATATTGTGGGCTGCATGTTTCCACTTTTGTCCTCTTCTTATTAAAGATTGGCTATTTTGGTTCACTGATCTCTAAATTTACAATCACAGTCATTTAAAAATACAAGAGTGCTGCTCTCGCTGACTGGACTACATTTCCCAAGCTTCGATGGGCGTGGACGAGGCAAATATATAACAAGATGCCTTCATGTCTCTCGGTTGTGTTTTGTTGACTGTGGCAAAATAGTAGTGCGTGGAGTTGCTTGAAGGTGCTGCTGCAACACGGTAGGTTAAAAAACTTTATTTCATGAAAGTGGGGAAAATAAGGAGGTCAGACATGGACGATAGTATTGGGTTACTGAGCGTCCCTACACGCAACCAATGTTATTTCCCTTCCGTTAACTTTTCTTGCACCATCCTCGACTCATGACAGCAACTTTCTGTGAGCAAAACTGTGGACGACGTGGAGGTTTTATCGGCTTTGGCTTCAAGTGAATTCTTCTATCTGAGGTACAAGGCGACCAAACCGCGCGTTTCTCAGCCTTATTCTCCTCGTGTGCTCACATGCAGAAAGTTAAACTCTGAAACAGTCGCCTGCAGAATTAGCCACTGACCCACGTAGACAAGACCGTCATTGTCGAAAACAGCTCTGATGTACTCTCCTGGTTTAATCGTTTCATAACTGTAAACTTATTAACTATCATCAGACTATTCTAGCCAAAATTTACGCAGATGTGGTGGCGCGTGCTTGTTCGCTGCATGCGCACGCGGAGCTGTACCGAAACATTTCTCAGACTTCTGAGTGGATCAGCACTTTCCTGTTTGTTTATATGAACGTGTCAGAAAAGATAATGAATCGGGCTGAAATTGCAGAAATGAATCCATCTGGTCACGGTGGAAAGAAATGTTCCAGTTTGTACAGTTTCAGACTATCTCTAACCTTCAAATGGACAAAAACACTTCGTTCAAAGTTACAGTTTTGCTTTAGGGCAAACGTCGGCTACTCCTCAAAAGTTTTTCATAGAATAATTGTGATTGTAGCTGTCTTTAGGTGTCTTTATATGTGCCAGATATTAAGCTGCATTATTAATTTTGTGTGTTTTTTGTTTCTGTTTTTAATACAGTATGCCATGTATAACAAAGGCTACTGTTTCTACTCACATGTCTGGAACTAGAAAGACAAATAAATGTAGTTGTGAATATTTTATGTACTGGTGTGACAAAAATAAAAGGACAGAGATAGAATGAAAATCAGATAAAATTAATACCCTTTGGCATTTTCCTTTTGACATTCCTCTCTGATTCTGGCCTCCAATGTCAAAATATGACGTTTTTTGGTCTAAGCAGTGTATGACTAAGTGTCTTTGGGACCTGGTTGGTGTTGTGTGTATTATTAACAGGGGAATTTAAAATAACCAAAACTGTGATATTTGTAAATTTTCATGACTTTTCATGACTCATCCCTTAAGTTCTACACAAGTCATTCAGTTATAGTCTTTATTTTGTGGTTTTATTGAGATGTATATCTTTAACTCTTGGTTACACAATGAGTGCAATTTCAACACTTGAACCTGGACCAAAAATTTATTTGAAATTTTGTACAAATGAAATTATTTCATTGAGAAGATAATAAACAGATAAGTAAACCAGGAAAAAGATTTCTACTTGCATATGCATGTTTTCAGTATCCGCTGTAAACTGCCATTGATCATGTTATTTTATTAGTGCTTAAACTTCCCATGAATAAATTATACAATAGGCTATATACAGTAAATGATCTCCTGACTCTCAGGGTCAATTTCTCTTCTTGGGTCCCGCCGCCCAAGTGGATCTCAGAGGAACCAACAGTTAGTTCTTGGTTAATTAATGACTGGCTTATGTTATCACTCCTGTTGTTGGGGGAAATCTATATTAAGGCTGGTTGAACACAGAATTAGTCAATTAGATTGCTAATTAATAGCAAACATTTTTTACTATCGACCCTTGCTGCCATGGCAGAGCATGAGGGTCAATTGCAGTTAGCACTACTCAGCAAATGGGGAATGTTGAGAGGATTGGACTCCACTCAGTTATCTGTGCTCTTTAATTTAATCTACAATGTATTCTGATTATCTAACACCAGAATAACTAACAAACCAGTTCATTACCACAGAGTTATTTTGTCTCTTTGCTCATGGGGATGGATAGGTTGTCATTTTTAATTATTTTTTTTCAAAGCTAGAATGATCCAGGCTGTATTTCACTCTGACTTGACGGAGCACAAAGTTTAGTATTCTTTCCTCTCCTTCTCCGCACTGGCAGAGCTCTAAGGCCAAAATCCCCTTTTCTGCTACTTCACTTCCTTCCATACAAATGAGTCTTCTTTCAATTGAACTCATATGTTAGAATTACCACTGGGAACATCCACTTATCCTCTTGTGGGTAATTGGCAGTAGATTTGTTTTGTTAAATCTCAGACACATCTTTAAAGTTTACATCCTGACAGCATAATACCTTTAAGTGCTGTGAAATCACTTTGTGTAGCAATGCAGAGCATACAAGACAATGTTGAAATGTAAAGGAGGCTTTGAACTGACACAGAAAGATAGACTGAGAAACAGGCTGATATCTCAGCCACTGATCTGACTGAGGCTGTTTTCTGAATGTTTCTTATAGTAGAGTGAGTTCCAATTCAATATTTTATGACTTATCAAAACCCATGGGCAATATTAAGTGAGTGTAATGTGAAATGCTTCAGCGAAAGCCAGTCTTTTTTTTTTTTAAACAAAAAGTTATTTTGAAGGCAGCAAACATTGCCTGAAGCTTGTGATAATAACATTTCAGTGTCTGTTATCTCTCTCTTGTGACAGGCATGCAAACAGAAGTGACACAGAGGCCAGAGTACAACTAACCAGACTCCCTGGAAAACATTTCTCTGATCTTCAGAGCAACAACCCTCAGATTTTCTCACTGAACAGCACAAGTCATGTACCAAGTCGTACCAGGAGGAGCGGGAGGCACAATTACAGATGTTATCCCCAAGCAGAAACACAGCAAGGACACTCGACCCTTAGTAGGAGCTGGCGTAATCGGCCTGGTGCTGGTGATTGCAGCTGTGACTGCATGGTGTTATTACATAGCCTCTCTCCGCAAGGCTGAGCTGCTTAAGACTCAGCTGCTGGATCTAAATAAAGATGGCTATATTATCCGCAACCAGGGAGGGTCCATTGTTTTCAGGATGGATTTCAGGTTGGTACTTTTTCAGTGTTGCGTATTCAAGTAAGATCTGTGAATAAATGTAAAGTCATTTAATCGATTCAACAATAAATAAATGAGATATGTGTTAAGTGTCAATTTTAGAGGAAAATAAATTCATTTCTTTGTAGGTCAGGTACATTGGATTTGGATTCATGCACCAAAGAAGGGGAGATGTTGAGCTGTGGACGCACCACTGATAGAAAACTCAACTTCTTTATAGAGACGGTGCAACCTAAGGAAACTGTGCAGTGCTACCGAGTGCGTTGGGAGGAGCTGGTTCCTGACATTCCTGTTGAACATGCTATGACTTACAAGTTTGCACACTGGTATGGAGGAGCAGTGTCAGCAATTCAGCACTGGCCTATTTCTATCTCAGGCCAACAAGCTCCCAAACCTTTTGTTACCAGTGACATCTACTCAAACCGCAATGAATTTGGTGGTATTTTGGAAAGTTATTGGTTGTCTTCTAATGCTACAGCCATTAAGATTAATAATTCTGTGCCCTTCCACCTGGGCTGGAATGACACAGAGAAGACTATGTTCTTCCAAGCGAGATACAACGACAGTCCTTTCAAACCGAACCCAGGGGAGAAACCATGTGCCGAACTCAGCTACAGAGTGTGCGTGGGCTTGGATGTGACATCCATACATAAATACATGGTCCGCAGATACTTCAACAAGCCAAACAAGGTGCCTGCCAAAGCCATGTTTCGCCATCCTATCTGGTCAACCTGGGCACTGCATAAGACTGACATCACCCAAGACAAGCTCTTGACCTATGCTGCCAATATACGAAAACATAACTTTAACTGCAGCCACTTAGAGCTGGATGACCGCTACACTCCCCGCTATGGAGAGTTTGAGTTTGACACAACAAAGTTCCCAAATGCCTCAGCCATGTTCCAAAAGCTGAAGTCAGATGCATTTCTGGTTTCTCTCTGGATTCACCCGTTTGTTAACTATGACTCTGAAAACTTTCATGTCTGCGTAGAACGGGGTCTGTTTGTGAGGGAGCCAACAGGCAGACTACCGGCCTTGGTGCGCTGGTGGAATGGCATTGGTGGCATTTTGGACTTTACAAATCCAGAAGCCCGTGATTGGTTTTCCTACCAGCTAAGATCTCTGCGCTCCAGGTACGGTGTGGCGTCTTTTAAATTCGATGCAGGGGAAACCAACTACTTACCATGGAAATTTAGTACCAGAACACCAATCAGGGACCCAAGTTTTTTCACAAGGCGTTACACAGAAATGGCAATTCCCTACAATGACAGAGCTGAGCTTCGCAGTGGCTACCAGTCCCAAAACATATCCTGCTTCTTCAGACCAATTGACAGAGACTCTGTGTGGGGCTATGAGCTCGGTCTTAAATCTCTTATCCCCACAGTGCTCACCATCAGCATCCTTGGCTATCAGTTCATTTTACCTGACATGATTGGAGGGAATGCTTATCTGAACCGCACAGATGGAAATCGTGCGCTACCTGATCGAGAACTCTATATCCGCTGGCTGGAGCTGTCAGCCTTCATGCCCTCCATGCAGTTTTCTGTGCCCCCTTGGGAATACGACAATGAGGTGGTTGAAATTGCTCGCAAATACACAGCCCTCCATGAGAGTATTGTGGCACCACGGGTCCTGGAGTTGGCCGGCGAGGTGCTGGACACAGGGGACCCAATCATACGTCCCCTGTGGTGGATTGCCACAGGTGACGAGACAGCCTATAAAATCGACTCCCAATTCCTGATTGGGGATGACCTCATGGTAGCCCCAGTTTTAGAGCCGGGAAAGCAAGAGCGTGACATCTACCTCCCTGCTGGCCGATGGAGGAGCTACAAGGGAGAGAGATTTGATATAAAGGAGCCTCTACACCTCACAGATTATCCTGTCGATCTGGATGAAATTGCTTACTTTGTTTGGGTGTAGCAGGGGAAGAATGTATGATCCGATGAACAGACTTCATAGCTTTAGCTCCTATTTGCTTGTAAGACAAGCTTCATAAATAAGCTTTTAATGCATGACAAGAGTACGATAAGTTGTACGAAAAAGAAGACTGTGAAACTGCCTCAGTGAAAAATGCCTAATATTAGCTTTTATCTATATTTTAAATGAAGAATGCCTATTATTCTGTTACACTCTTTTTAAGATAAAGATAGATCAGCTGAAACAAGAGTGTGTAACTCTTGGTGAGTGATACCCATAGAAGCCATAAGTAACAATTATGGGAACACAATAAGTAGCAACACAATATTACAGCAGCAGAGATAGAACAGAGTCAACAGGTCAACCAGCTGACTCATCACAACAGTGACGCAGCTGTTGGTGGCCAACTCCTAGCTAATGTTGGCCACCATTAGCGACTGGCTCTAGCAGCGAAACCCAGCATATACTTAAGTTACAAAGGGGGTGTTTTAATGGTTATGATATCAGCCTTTTATTTTTCTTCAAGGTAGATGTGTTTGACAGCACTTCTAAAGCTAGTTTGCTTAAAAACCTTTTGCAAGCACGTTTATAAAACATTTGTGAAAAAGGGAAAATGTAAACTGTGAGTTAAGTTCGTAATAATGTCAGAATAATTTTCTTTGTGTGTGTTTGTGCCCTTTTTTGGTTGATTTGAAGCCTAAAAGGTATCATATCATGAAAGGACAACTGAAGAGGTGTCATTATTGTCATTAAGGAGATAGTGGGCTACATGAAATCCTCTGTATTCATAAATAATGCTCAGTTTGACAGAAAAATCCCTCTTTCCTTTGACACTAATGACTTCTCTTCTCTTCTGCTGCGAGATACTTTTCAGGAGGTCGGGTTTTATGCTTCACTTATCAGGATGAATGCCTGAAGTTTAATCATTACAAACGGCATGCGCTCTCATTTGTGTTACAGAGTGTCGTGTAACTACTCTAAGCCTAGAAGAAGATGCCTTTTATTAGGCAATAAATACTTTATGCTCTTCCTCAGGTAACAGCTTTTTACTGGCTGTAGTGGGTTGTGTTTTGAAGTGTGTGGTTATTGTCCTTATTGTGCATTGCTAACTTTAAATGCAGGTAAACAGGCAGTAATACTATGATAACTATAGTACATTCACTGCCACATTTGGATAAAGACAACTTCAATGTCAATGGTTTGGTTAATCTCTTACATATTTAACATACAGAATTTAATCCTACAGATAAATGTAGCAGTATCTGATTATCTTTAATGTTTCAGTTTAATTTATTATTTTGTGTTTTGTCTGTTTGAATATTTTGTAAATACAGTGGTGCCTGCCTTTTCTAACAGTTTCTGCCATATATGTTTGTGATGTTTTTTTGTTATACTTTTATTATTGTGACAAATTGTCTGGTATGATGTTGCAATATTGTTATTTTAACCCTGTACAGGGTATGTTAACTACTTAAGGACAATCACGTTGCTAAGCAGATGTACCACAGATGCTACAAAACAGAATTTTCCACTATGTAGCAGCTAACTGCATCTTGTGACATTGATAAATGTCACAAGATATTAAACAACAGGAAGGGAAAGCAATGCCTCTCAAGTTCAGTAATGAAAGAGTAAAACTAGTGACATGTTGAGGATTTTCAAGAAAGGCTTTTGACTGTCAGACTCTTCAATTTTAACATGTCTGTGTATCCTTTCACTTGTAGCTCCTGTGTTGACCTTTTGGCTTTTTATTTGTGCCTCTTGACATAGTTTCATCACAACAACACTTCCTATTTATAGCAGTTTTCACTCAGCCTCTTAGGCTATTTCTGTCTCTGGCTAGCTTTCTTTATGGACTAAGACTAAGAGGCCGTATCATGTTGTAGTCAAATAAGGCCTTGCTTTTCCTCTCCTGGATCTGTCATCTGCTGTTTGCTCTGCGTTAATGCGACTGAACTCTGTGTGGGAGACTAAAGCTTTTAGGTAATTTTGGTAGGAGTGGATACTTGATGTTATTTTGTATAAATGCATAAAACAAAATGAAGTTTGACTTCGTCTGTGAGCCCTTCTTTTGTGTTTAATTTGCATGGAAAACACACCAACATGTCTTAAAACAAATTATGTTTTGAAACCCTGCTTGTAAGAAACTATAAATCTTCCAAGAGTGCATGACAAAGTTCACTTTTCACATCGAAATGAAAATGAATGTAAGAAGAATAGACACTGAAATTCAGGTCAAAAAGCTGACTGTGCAACCATTGGGCCACTAACAACCTGTCACCTCATATGAGTCTGCAATACAAGAAAACTAATGTGCCTATCAATTCGATATTGAAAGAGACTACCTTGAGGGACTTTTCTAACTTTTGCCACCAGTCTCATCATGAGGCAATAATGACAAGGTGATGAAACAATCGTGCAGGTTATTTGGAGGCTGTGTTCAGATCAATAAATCATCTGCTGGTTCACGATGCGAGGCCAGAGAGCATGTGATATCTAAGTGTAAGACCAGACAGCAAGAAGAAAACAGATGAAATTACAACAGTATGAGATAATAGCAACAGTATTAGAATCAGGATTACAGCATTAAGTAAGATTGTTTGTGAGTTCAAGAAGCCTGCCTGGGACACTTCTTGCAGCCACAGTCGATCTTTGGTATGTTTGGGGAATTTATTCCATTTCACAACAGCGGGGTATGCGCTTCTGAACTGCTTCACTTTATTTGCCAATGCCTCATCTTTCTTCAAAATTGATCTGGACTTTCAGCCTGCGCGGGGAGGACATACATTCATTGATTAACTGTCTCTGTGTTGCATGGATCAATGTTATTTGCCAGTTTGCTTTCTGCAATCATATTGTTTGGCTCTGCCTGTCTTATCATATACTGGACAAATCATTTATGTAGGAGCTTTAAAGGGACATTTCTTTGTGGTGGGAGAGTGGTAGAAAAAAAAACACATTAAAATAAAGGGACCAATTTACTCTTAAACCAAGAGGGTCTGCTTTAGTGTATTTATTGACATTATTTATTTTCACATTTTTTTTCTAACATGATTACCCAAATCAGTGAGGACATATTACGTTTTGTAGCCCACATTTAGAGAACAGGATTGACATTTAACATTTTAAAGGTTAAAAAGTTTCTTTATACATAAAAGGGAATTTGTGAAAAGCTGATTGAATATGCAAACTTCAAACTAACAAATTCACAAAATCTCAGGTTGTACTGCTGATGCCCACAAGGGTGCAGTGTAGCTACATTGCCAAAATCTCTGTTTGACACGACAGTGGACCATGGTCCAGATGTTAAGTGTGTACACCACACACACACACACACACACGGCTCACACACACAAACGAAGCAGGACACAAAACTGGCAGAGCACCCCCTCCTCCTTCTTCCCCACCTGTGAGCCCACCTGTGTGTCCATCTGCAGAGGAGAGACGCCAGTTGTTCTGGTTAGGAGCCAGTGTGTCTCAAGTACCTGCCCATATCCTCCTTCTATGAGCCTGTCTGCTGCCTGTCCTCCACAGAAAGGCATATATATTACATAGAGAAAGTAAAGTGGAAAGAATAAATCACCTTCTTCTCAACTTCTAGAATATTTTCATGATCAAAACTTTAAAAAATATCTGTAGCTGTAACATCTGACATTAAAGAGAAAGACAACCCTGATCAAGAATGAGTCTAAAAGAGCTTCTCTGGATTCAAGTTCGTAATGTTTGTAACTGTACGTAGCTTGTAGAGCTTAAGATTAACAGTTCAATTATGCAATTTCAGCGCATATAAAACAGGCAATGGCCACAAACAGCCCATTCTAAAGAAAATATGCTTGACACTGCATTTTCTAACCCTCCTCAAGCATTAAAATGATCTATTATCTCTTTAGAGATGGTGCTGGATACATCTCCATGATTAGAGGAGACAAACAATGATGAATAAGCTTCAGCTTTATTAAAGGGGAAAAAAAGCCCTCCTGCTTCTCCTAGCTAAGTGGGGACTGAGCATTTATTGTAGAACACCACAGGGGAAATAAAAAACCCACACGGCCGTCTCATGAAGTGAGAATCTTTGTCCTTAACCCAAGATTTTCGCTCAGTAACTAGAATGACCTCGCATCTGGTGCTGCCACGGCTTGTCTGACAGGAAAATGTCTGTCCTCGCTAGGTAACAAATGAACCCAACACCCCAGAGACCGCTCTCGCATCTGTTTATCTTTTTCACCTGTCGGTTCACTGCACTGCATCAGACTTACACTCCTCTGCAGCCTTTGTGGGTTTTAGAGCACGCCTTTGGCACATTACAGGGTCACAGATAGGCGGTGTGGCTGGCAGGAACATTTGTGACTTAATACCTTGATAGTATTGAAATGAAACAAATTATACAAATTAAAATGTAAATTTTGTGAGCAGTTTTAAACTATTGTAATTAGTGACAAAAGGAAAGGGGTAAATAAATCTGTTCAAACAACTTAGTACAAGGATATGCTGCTTTTTCCTTCGTCTTTTTTATTCTACATTTGATATTTCTTAGTGTCCATTTGATCATCATACAAGTACCAGTAACCACTTAACACAATGAAAGTTATTTAATTCTCAAATCAATGAGGAAACACTAAACGTAAAGAACAGGATTGAAGTTAGAAATTGTAACTCTTGACTCTGCACCTCTCTGCAGCTTTAACCTTGATAAAGACAAAGAATACTATCCAGATGTTTAAAGTATGTAAAATTTAGCAACAGTTTTGGAGCTACGACTGAATACCAAAATTAAGGCCTTGGTGAGTACAACAGGAAGGTACCGTCCTCTGTGCATTTGTGGGGTTAAAAGGTTGAACAAAATGTCAGGCACTGAGCAGCAGATGCATAATTGAAACATTGCGTTGCTGTTGCAGCCATGCACAAGGTTGTTTGATTGATACCGTTTTAGAGCACTCCTGTCCCCTCATGCTCTGGGGGTTTACCTGGGGACAAACCAGGGGAGGGGGAAAGGTGCTTAGGTGGCTCATCTGGGTTTTGGAGGAAAATTGGTGCCATCCATCAAACAGTGCGTTTAACAAACGCTAACGCAGGCCTGGCCAACAAAGGATTCGTATATAAGGCAGCAGAGCGGGAAACATGTGAGGTGCAGGGACTGCTGAGGGTCTATCAATCAACCAGTCAGCTCCTTTATTTAACAAGCGAGGGCCACAGACCCTGAGGGCCACACTCCATATTCTGGCTGGTTGGGCTTGCAGTCTCCTCCTGTAAGAAGGAGGAAAAAAGGGGTAAGAGAGGGATGAACGTGAAAGAAAGAGGAGCATGAAGGGATTGGGGTTGGGGGTTGTGATGGAGGTGCAGGAGGGTTTGGCCTGGTCCCCTGGTGTGCCGGTGCGCTTCATCTTCTCAGTGCAAGGGCCTGGAACTGCTGCTTGATGGGATTTTCAGCCCTGTGGCCTCCGCTGTCCCAGCATCCATCTGGAGAGCTGCCGTGTGCGCAGCGCAGAGCCAGCCACTCAGCGACACAGCCATAAAGAACAACCCATAGGCCAGCCAATGCCACTGATCTGAGGCTCGCAGCTCCGTTCAGAGGACAGGCCAACACCCAGTGGCACACATTCCTGTCAGGGACACAGGCTTGATCCCTGAGCTACTGTGTGCTCAGTGGAACAGACGATACGCTCTGCGAGGCAGCGCACATCCAACCACAGACTCCTTCAAAGCCTCGAGAAATTGAAATGGAACGAGGACGTCACTATTCAGCATCCTTAATGGTGTGGAGAGGACGATCTCCCAGCTCTCATTTGTTCTGTCTCTGTGTGTGTCACAGCTTTGAAATATATACACTTATTGCACTGGTCTGCACTGCTCAGGTCATATTGTGCATTCGGTTTCTGATCAAGGCCAGGAAAAGAGGGAACAGAGGAACCTAATAGACGATGCAAACATATCCACAGTAGTCACACACATTCCTGTTTTCAATGCCTCTGGCAGAGGGTTTGTTGTAATAAAACCTTGCCTGAAAACACAACTTCCTTTGCATGTTCAATGAAGTCCTTTTTTGACAGGGCGTCCAATTTAATACCACAACATACAGCATCCAGAACAATAATATCAGCGATATATAATTGAAAATCAAGAGCAAATATACAGAGACAATCGTTACTGCCTCTCATTATTGGATCCAATTTATGTATACCCCAAGGGAAGAAGTAGAAAATTATAGATCGCCACTGTGGAGAGCGGAGATACAGTACCCAGTATATTGGTGGTGCACGTGCTGGAGATCCAGTCTGATATATTTGATATATGTGTGGGAAGTTTGGATTGGAAATGTTTTGTTCCTCCTCAGGGCTTCGTGGCTTCATTAGCATATCTTTTCCCTCCTGACGACTGTAAATTCAGTGAATGCAGCCCTGCAGTGGGTAAGGTGGGCAGACGGCAGACTGTATAAATAAACAGAGTCTGTCTGAGGGCAGCACTGTGGCCCCCACCTGCCCACCATCAATCAATATTACAGCGGCCACTGGCAGCCCAATCGCCTTTTTATAGGGCTGTGAAATGATCAAACATCTGCTCATAACCATGCTTCATATATAGATGGATCATACATATCATATCAGATTCTGCATAATATCATGTCGCACAACAGGATACAACAATGACATTTATGCAAAAGGGGAATATTCAGGGGCATGAGCAGCCTTGAGGCAGATTCCTCAATAACAAATCCAGTCAGCTTTTTGAATCAACAAAGACTAAATAGACGACAGTCAACACAACTTTTCCTTGCAAACACAGTCCTACCTTAGCCACACATAGGAACAAAAAGTAACACAAACTGCAAAGGTAAAAAAATTGAAAAGCTAGTGACTGAAACCACAAATTATGGCCAGAAAATTCATTTTTTTGGAGCTGAAATGTTTATTTCACTTACTACTGAAAAACAAAAAAATCAAAATGTCCGTAAAATTTAACAAATATATTCATTGATCTGGTTTGATACATTAGATGTTTTTGGAAACTGATAAACCACAAAAGGACATTTTTATCATTTATCGGACTGTATTCAGGTATTTTTTTTGGTAATTTGTTGATCATATTGATTTGACATAAGTTTTATTAAAGTATGTGTCAAATATGATACAAAAGGCATTACAGGGCTAGAACTGAATGATGGAAGTTCATAAAATATTACACTTCAACATCTCCAATCTCAAATGTGGCCTTTTCTGGTTGAAAATAATCAATCAGAGTGAATATGATCCAAATTTCCATGATAAATCAAGATAAACTTCTAATTTCCAGTTATGACAAACAAAAAAGTTCTGGAGTGCTTGTAGTGACAAAAGGTATTTTCAAGAGCAGCTAAGTGAGTTTATTGAAGCGAATCAATATTCTGATGACAAGGTACTCAGAAAATTTTGCTCTCTGCATTGATAAATACTTTTATTTGCCGAAGCTACACTTCATATTTTCTTCCCCAATTATCACATGCTCTCTTGTTTTGAGTAAGCACCTTCCACCTCCTTGTTTACTGTCTAAAAGTCAGCCATTGCGAACAGGATAAAAGTTGAGGCCAGTAACTAGTTTGGCAACTGTAGTAGACAAAGGTTAGGGGGTCTCGGTCCACAGAGAGGGGGAATGAATCCAACTGGTCCAAGGTTAATGGTGGCTCCGAACAAAATGGATTCAGTGCCAGGGGCGTGCTGACAGGTGATTTGACATGAGTGAAGGTGGGCCATCAATCTCCTGTTGGCCCCTTTGACCCTCCCCGCCCAGCAGTAGCAGCTAGGGGGCGCCAGGTGTCATGGCACCCTGACCTGTGCGGGTCTCCAGATAGCCCACCTGCTGTCTGCCTAAAGCTCCCCCTACGGCGGGTAAAGAGACTCCCATCACTTCACGCTCGGCCGGCATAATGAAACTGTGATTGGAAGATAGTGAACTGTGACAGGCAGGAGTAGACTCAAAGTCTTTGACCAAATTCAGACTGCTCGCTCTAGGTTTCCTTTTACAGCGCGCTTTTCTCTTGAATCGCTCTGACAATTTAATGGTGCAAAAATGATAATCTGCCAGCCGGGCTTTGATACGCTCTCTCACTCTGAGTGACTATTGTGTCCCATACTGCAGAGTATAGAGATTTAATTCAAACTGGGGAGAAATATCATCAACATTTGCTGAAATAAAACTACTATGTGTAATATGAACATCACCATGTGCATGTGTGCAATGCTCTTTCCCCCCCTGTGTTGTCCAAAACCTCCTGGGGGAGGCTCAGCTCCATGTTTAAACCTGACATAAATTCCCTGTCACAAATCCCCAGGGCAGCCAGGCTTGTAGGCACAAAAGCAAATATTTCCGTTCCTGATCATGGCCAATCCCTTTTAACATCCCCACCCACTGACCATCCCTCCATCCCCACCCATCCTCCCTTTCCAACCCTCCCTCTGAACCTACCCGAGCACCGCAAGCCAGCCATTTGTCACAAAGTAATTATAGAATTATCGATTGGCAAGCAATTAACACCTTTCTTCTCTTTTTTTTTCCAGGCCTCCTCTTTGCCCCCACCCCATCCTTTAATTTGAACTCGGAGAGAGAAAGAATAAAAGGCTGAGGTTGGGGGTTGGGGGGTGGAGGGTGTAGGCGTGGGAGTAACACATTTAATCCTGCTGGCATTTCCTAGTTCTCCTCAAATTAATAGGGCGACAGGGACAAAACGGCTTTTCTCTTTCTTGCTCTGTTTCCTCGGTTATTTCTCTCCTTGTCTTGCCTGCTGATCTGTCTTTAACAGACAGGGAGCTGCTTAGAGAACAGCCAAACACTCTATTCAAGCTGAGATGAATGAATACCCCATTAAACCTGGTTTTTAAAGAACACCTTGCATGCTTGATAGATACATACCTCCTGATGTGAAAACCTCAACAATGTTGTTGAACTCTGAAAGAGAAAATGACTCAACCGACACTGACTATTCTTAATTTTACGTCTATCCCACCTCTTCTTCCTGTCCTGTTTTCCGTCCGCTGCTCCTAGTATTGGTCCAGATGGACGTGCAGGGGGAACAGTGCTAGCACTGCTGGCTGGCAGGTGTCTGAGTCAGGATGGATGTCATGGAACATCACCTTAGTAACATATGGAGAGGGACAGGGGAGATGGTTTCCCCTTCTGGCAAGTATGATAACACATCTTCTCTTTCTGTTTATCTGTCTCTTCCTCCCTACTTCACTCTCTCCTCTGACTTTCATATTATGCTCCTCTGGTCCACTAAAAGGGATTTAATGTCATTGAGATTTATTTTTCACCATTTGCTTCTTCTTTTTAATACCAGGATATTTTGTTGTATCTGAAATGGAGCATAATATGTATTCTTAAACTATGGATCAGACCCCAAAGTGGGTCACGGCTCTACTTTTAGTGTCGTCCCACAAAGTAAAAGTACCAATAAATATTAATGAGTCTGTATCCTAGGATGAGAGACTAAATTTCTAATTTGGGTTTCTGCAGTGGAAAAAAGAGGCCCTGAGTTACACAATTTAATTTTCTTCTGCCTCCTCGAATAAGGGGGCAAGGCTACTTCTAAATTGCAATTCATGTCATCACACCAGCATTGAATAGTTTCCCTTTTTTCTGAGGGGAGCAGATGAGACAGAGCTGCTGTTGTCATCCATCACATTGATGGTGACAAATTTAGTCACTTTGATAAAAATAAAACCAACAGTATGAATCCTTGTTCCTTTGCCAAAATGACAATAGTGTGGTTAAGTGAGGGAATACGGAAAATGTTTATGGGAGAAGTGTCTACATCGTGACAAAAACATTGAATAATTTAATGGCTTTCATGTGGGCTGTCAGCTTCAATGCGATTAAGATCCATATTTAACTCAATTTTTTATCACTTACTTATCTTTGAGTCACAGAGGCTTACTACTTTTGTCCTTTTTCTTTTGACTAAAGTTTAAAATCTAAGAATAGGAACATTAACGCATGTCAACAGTAATACGCACTTTGTGTCAAACTGAATCAAAATATAACAAAAGTCAATTTTTATCCCAAATTCAAGTCATCGTTGGAACATGGAGAGAAAGGTTTTTATTTGAATCATAATGTGCAACTTCAGTTCAAAATCTATCAGTGTATCAGGCCCACTGAAGTTTGATCGTGCAGAGGGCGTGATCTTCAAAACCTGATCGTTACATGACTTCAGTAAATCAAAACAGTAATGTTTTTCCACAAAAATGGAGGACCAATTCAATCAATCAAATAACACTAAGCAAACAAACACAACACCCAAACATCTGAGAAGTGCGAGGAATAATTTGAGGTTCTCCACCATAGATTTCACATTAAAAGCCCAAGATATGACTGTATGTTGACTTTGTACAAAGCAGCTGGTCAAAAACAACTACAATGAATCCTTGTGTTTCATAAGGTATGTAGGAGATGGCACAAATAAGCAGTGTAATGTCAGCAGGTAATATTGTAAATAAAAAGAGAGCTATACTTGATACCAAGCAAGTTAGGAAGGTTCTATATGTCCAAACATTACTTTGGGATACCTTTTCAGTATTGATCCAAAAATTGATTGTTTTGAGGAAGTAACATCCCTGCAAGCTAAAATATTTATTAGATTGATGTAAACAGGGAACCCCCCTTACAAAGACCTACAAAGCACTATTTTGGAGTATTTTAGTCTCCAAAGACGATTGAATTGAACTTAATCCAACAATTTTACCATAGTGCTCGCTAATGGGTGGAAAGTAACTGCAGACCAGTCAACACTATGGAAGACAAGAGTCTAAGAGACATCTTCGGGCTAGTATCTTGTAATCAGTGATCATCAATCAAAATTAGGTTGATGACTGCACTCCAGGTTGACGCTGATTGGATATTGCACTCCTTTGCTTTAATGGTTCCACATACAGAGGAAGGACACTGTAAAGAAGCATGTGCCCAGCACTTAAAGTGCACAAAAATGACATAATGCAAGAGACGCTTGTAACATCGGCCAAATGCAGCAGATCTACGACAACAGCCGGAGAATGGACAATAGCCGGAGCCTCTAATCCAAGATGTTTCCACCAGATGGAAGACCACATTGAGTTTGATCATCAGACTGAAAAGGAACAAAGATCCACTCAGAGCTACGCTTGATCTTCATCAGTAACAAAGTCCAGCAGTTATGAACCAGTGCAGAATTTGAAAACATCAGGATGCTTGAGACACTCTTGTAGCAATGCATGTAAGCTGTTTGAATAACAAGAAAAAAAAAATCCTAGAAATATCTTCTTACTCTGATGCAGCAAACTGGATGTTCATCTTTTAGCTGGCTTTGTTGTGTCTTTAACAACTCTTAATTACGAAGAAAATGCAAATGTAATTCATTATTGTAGAGTGTTAACATTTTCAACAACAGTGTTGGCAATACTGCAAATAGCTAAAGACTAACAGTAACACCAATGTTTCCAGGGCCAATACTGGGCAGAGTCAGCTTATTTTACTGCTAGCTGCATGGCTAACTGGGGGTCCATGGCTGGAAGAAGCTGCCCTGCAGCTCAGTGGAACTTTTACAGGACTTGGCTCCAATTATTCCTGGGCTGCTGCTTAACAAACATGGAGTTTTCCAGTTATATGAAGAGAATTTGGCCTGACAGCCCTCCTGCTCGTCTGCCTTCTGTATCCCTGGTGCCAGGGTCTAGAACAGACCCCCTCCCCTCTGTAAATCACTCAGCTGGTGTATTAATGAATATGTTTTTGTATTTTCAGTCATTCATTATTTGAGTGAATGCAAACACTCCTCCCAACTAACCTGAAGATACTACTGCCCCTTTCAGCTGATGCCTGATGTGCTGGGCCTGATAACATCTTGAATAACCTTAGGACTGCTAGGACCCCCTGGTTACAAGGCTAACTGATGTCCATTGCTGATTGAAGCTTCACTGAGCACCCATTAAATTAGCAAGGCTTTCCGGACATTATGAACCTTTTCTCAACAAGGTTGGCTGAGTTTATTTACATATTCATACAATCATTAACTGTCACCGTAAACATCAGACACAACATACTTTGATGGTGTTTGTCAGTAAGAGTCTAATAATATCAATTAAATTTGGTGTTTTGACTTCTCCAACCTGTTGATAATAAAGTTGTGTCACTTAGCGCCCCCCACAGGCCTGCAGCACTTCAGTTTAAGGACCTAACTTGCAGCTTTTACCTTTATCTGCAGCTGCTTTCTGGTAATGTGCATTTTGCTTAGTTTCGTTTGTGTATTTTACAATGGTTTTTCTGCACATGCAATGGTTTTGCTTTTTTTCAGCAGGTCTTTCTACTTGCTGCAATTTCCCTCCATTGTGTTTGTTTTGGACTGTTGCATGCGTTTCACAAGTTGTGTCTTTTCTGCATTTGCAGCACAAATCTCCAAATGAAGATGGTTTGGGCTGATGCAGATCACTTGCCCTTTTTGGCCACCATACATAGTAGTGTAGCAGTGAGCAAGTAATTGAGTAACTAGTCTTAAAGTCAAGACTATACAGTACGTTTCATTTCTAAATAGAAGAACTGGTAAGAATTGCTTTGAACTGTTAACTGTTTTTAAAACGCAAAATAATGGAATTCCAAACATGTAATTAAACCACAATTCAATACTGAAATTCAGTGATAAAATGCATTCTGGAAATTAACTGTTTGACAGCCCCAGTCTGAATGCTTGCTCTTATATACACACAAAAATAAATACCTACATTTGTTTGCAAATGCAGCCCGTTTGAGTTCACCGCAGGCTCCCTCTCTCCAAATGCCACTAACTTAATTTGAGTGGCATTTATTTGACAGCAATTTAGGAACAATTTGAAGCCATTGAAGGACCCTTTTTCTTTCATGCTGTAGTGCTAATCAATAGTTCCCCTTGGGATGGTATTCAAACACACATACAGCAATATTCCTTCCTGAAAAACACTGTGATATTGACCTGTTTTTCCTGCCCTGCAGCCCTTCTTATTTTCTCAAAGAAATGGTAACCCAGGAGACCCACATTGTTGTGGCCCTCTGCTCAATGCAGGTTTTCTGGCTTTTATGGCTGAAAACACCCGCGGCTCTCTGTCACTGCTTCTTCTTCCAAAAAAAGGAAAAGAAACCCCCCTCACTTTTTTGCAGTTTATTCTGCTCTTTTGATATTTGGAAGAGTTAAGTTAGAACTTAAGAAATTTTTTAAATCTATCTGACATCTGACTTATTACATTTTGTAACGATAAAAGGGTGATGATAATTTAGAAATGACCAAACTTCATCATTAAAGTACCTCTTGCCTCTTTACAGTTGTGCAGGAAATTCTACAAGCTGTTGAATCAAAAAGCTGGCATACATTTTCTGTTGATTCAGTCATTTATCAGTGCTGCTGCAACCTTCAAAATGTTAGGATTAGAAAGCATTACAAATGCTCTGATACAAGGCATCATTTGCACAGAGGTAAATGATATCATGTAGTGCTGATTTGTCAAATTCTTGTAATTAAAAAAAAATGACCACAATAAATGTGAAGGCTAGCCATGGAAAACTGAAATGAGATAAAGCCTAAGCATTGACTCTTTAGAGCTTTCACATTCAGTCAAGTTTGGTTGGATTTATGTCATTCATCTTTCCTTTCTGAAGCACTGTTAACCCTTTCACAGCCTCTTTTCAAGCACCAACAGGTGTCTGTTTTGGATAAACAAACATTTTCCAATAAACTTTATACCAGCATGAATTATCCGGGATAAAACAACCTGCAATCTTTGGTCTTGAGAAATGAAGTTGATGCAGAAGTGCTTAAATCAGCAGTTTCTTAAGTAAGTTGTCATATACAGGCATATTCCAAGAAGATCATTGTCATATCAAAAATAAACCATCCTGGTCTGAATAGCTCATTTCTCTATCCGCATATGCTGTTGTTGTAAAGATATTAAAGTTTAAGTTTTGCATAATCAGTGAAACCACTGACTTAAATGACAGGTGGGCACTCTGTGGCTAAAGGTGGACCTCAACTCTACTTTTTTACTCCATGCTTAGTAAACCAAAAGTTAAGTTGACTCAGTATTTCCAATATGATGACCAATTAGTAGAGAGAAAAACTGCAAAAGAAAAAAAATTAAGATTGAATACTTCATTTTATTCAGCTACTCATACAAAAATAACCTAAATTGGATGCCTCCATGTTGCTCATGTGTATTGGATGTGTAAAAACTAAACAGTTCGTGAACATGTGACAGAGCGCCATTAAGCACCATCATTACCCGACTGGTGCAGGTCTGTCTATGGTATTTTAAACCCCTATAATTTTTGTATGGATGTACCCAGGGGAGGGGCTAGGGGAATTAAAACTAGGCTAACTGAGCCTCTCTTGGAGTGTGGAGTTGGTGGCAAAAAGGTAACTATGGAACTGATTTTTTTTGCATTGCTGCTGTGTTGTTGACTCGGAGGTTACTGAGGAACTCTTGCCTTGTTGGCATTGTTTTTTTGCTTTGTACATTTTTTGTGTAAATAGTATTTTGACCATTTTTTCATCTTTTTATAAATATTTTTGCACTACACCTTGTGAGTTGGCTATAAATAAATTTCAGCATCGCCGTATGTTTCGACTACGCCTGTCTTCTCTACTGGTTTTTGATTGCTTGAGAGAGAACCCTGCGTTAGAACACCTTTTGTTTTTTAACCTTAATAAGGAATTAGGGCATTAGTTTTTTGAGTTATTTAATGTTTAGTAGAGGTTGTGTGAGGTCATGACAGACAGATCTGTTTCTGTCAGGCTCCCAGTGTTCAATACGGTGCTGGAAGAGTAAAGGAGAGACTGCTGATGTAACAAAAGTCATCGAACTTTCCATTACCACGGCTGTCTGTTTTAAATCAACACAAGTATCTGTGCTGCTGCAGACTGTCCTGACCTGAGGGTTCTTTGCTGTTTTATTATTGGGTTAAATGCTTGTTTTGCAACAGAAGGGGTGTGACATCTGTCCTGCTGCTCCACCAGCCAGATCACTTCAACCTTTACTTATGCTTTACTAGTGCAATATGTCAGCACCCATCAAGGGTTTTTTTTATTCACGTCTCATACTTGGAGATTGAGGTGTAATATCTGTTAATGATTTGGATTATCAGGCAGTTTGACTTGTTAGTGTGTCAGGAAAATCACAGGTGAAATAAATGAACATTAATGACAGCTCTGCCCTTTATAAGTGTCCCAGAAAGTTGTTTTCATACACTGGCATGCAGACTTACATCCTTATTGTCACTATTATTTTTAGAATAGATTAAAAATATGCTGATTTGATGTTATAACCAACACTTGTTGAATCTACAGTCTAACATTCCCCATACCATAAAGCTTTTTCTCATCCGTTGACTTTTTCTTGCATCTTTGCATTGAGGATCCAAGGAAAAAATATGGTTAGTGCTCATCCAAGATTTACTTTAGAAGTTCTTTTCTTGAGCTATTTGTTTACTTTGGCTCCTGCCATTTGGAGATGGACAGAAAGTTTACTCATAGCTTATGTGAGCCTGCTGGCTGTGTTGAACAGATCAATACAAGAAGTATTGATCCTGTAATACCTGTGTCATTTAGCAAAGTATTGATTTTCAAAAGAGTGGGATAAATGCGAAGAACATTAAAATGCAATTTCTCTCCTGTGTTTTAAGCAAAAACACTGATCCCATCTTGTTTCCCATTTGCTGCAAAATTGTTACAAAATAGCATAATTACCCATCGTCAAAGGAGAGATTAGCTGTTGTAGTAGTTTTGAAGCTACCCATGATGTCCTGATTTACCAAATTACCCTCCACTCAAGACATCAATACAATCACCTTAATGATTATACTAAAATAATGTTGGACTAGAAATGATCTCATCTGTAGGTTTAATATTTAGATACTTGATTTTGTGCTCTTTTTGTATGTATGATTGTATGTATGTATGTGTATGTATGTATGATTTTGTCCCATACAATAAAATGTGTTTTCTCCATCCTGTTGCATTAACATTTTGAAGTTTGAGTGTCTCTCTGTGAGCGTTGGTGTTTGTTTCAGCCTGGTGGTGAAAGGTTTAAGTTGTATCTAATTGATCAAGAGGATATTGGAGTCAAACAGAAGAAACCTGCGCTGGTTTTCAAATACAAAACTACTCCCTCTTGAAGGAGAAACACATGCAGTCTGAGAACACCTATTTGTTGTTTGATGTACATTAATGTTGTCAATCACACACAGATGTGTTTAGACAGCCATTGTCCTGCATGTGTTTTCCTCATGTGTGATCCATTGGTTTAATTCTGTTATGTAAAGTATTCATTTAATAAATATATGAAAAACCTTTTCTGTTTGCAGACATCTTGGTATTGGATTCAGGATTTATTCTGAAAACTCTGTCACTGATCCAAAATGCTGCAGTACATGTACTTTCTATGAACTCAGAAAAGAGATCACATCTCCCTAATTTTAGCTTCTCCGCATATGGCTCCCCATAAAATCAAAAATTGTATTTTAATCCTTCCTCTGAGCTAAAAGCTCTCAACGGTACGACACCCTCACCTCTTACAGAGTTCAGAGCGCCCTATTACCCCTCCAGAACAGTACAGTTCCTGAGTGCAGGTCTGCTTGTGATACCTACAGTCTCTGAAAGTAGCATGGTGAGTAGAGCCTTGAGTTATCAGGCCCCTCTCCCTTCAAATCATCCAACAGTTCAGGTGTGGGAGGAGAACACCCTCTCCACTTATAAGAGTAGCTTAAAACTTTTCTATTTGACTATGCTTACAGTTTGGCTTGGCTGCTTTTCAAGGACGATACCAGGTGCAGTCAGGAGTTGGTCTTGTGCTTTGTTTACACACAGAGAACACAGAGATGGATGCAAATACAGAGAAAAAAATACCTCCAGTATTTTGATGTTGTAGGATAACTGACATAGTTTACCAGCAGTCAGTGTGACTGATGATTGCTTTTTCCCACACTTTTCCCACGCTGTGCAAGTTACTTTACCAAACAACTTAAGAATATAGGCATTGTGTGAAAACAAGGGGGTCCCCTCCACATTACAAAAAAAAAATTGCTTTCAAAAGTATTGAGGAAGTAAAACCATAGCATATATTTCCCGCTTGTGGCATATACAAAGCTGATGCAGAGCCAGTACAACCTTCAATGTATCATTTTTATGCCTGATTTTGGCTGAGATCCAGGCAAGGCTCACAGAAAATTTGGGTGAAATCCACTTCTCATGCCAGCAGCCTGAACGGTCTGATGTATGAACATGATCTCAAAATAAAAATTAGAAGAGACTGTCTTGCAGCCAATCCGCATTTTGCATGAAGTGCAGTCTGCTATGGAAACAAGCAAGATAATGCTTCACTATACCAAACTGTACTAAACTGTGCTGATCCAAACTGGACTACTTGCTGGTGGATCAGCCTCACAGAGTTCTTGACCCCGCTTGTTTTGTAAGTTCCTGTACACTCTTGCTGCAGATTGTCTACTGCCATGGACCTGCATGACTATGAATATCAGTCTTACTTTGATTATCAGGCTATATTAATTATTGCCTTTGGTTTTGTTGTTGTGTTTGTCTCTGTTCTCCTGCATTACCCTCAATCCTACAAAAAAGCCCAGCAGCCTCAGCAGATAGCTGTCCAGCATGAGTCTGGCTCTACCCAAGGCTTCTACCTCTTTCACCTGACTGTTGAGATATTTGCCACTTGAAATAGCATTTGTTGTGAATTGGCACAATACAATTAAAAACCACTTGCTTCAAAGTGACATTTGGCTCTGTTGTTCAGATTAATAAAGGGGCCACTACTGTGGTTTTCATTCCCACTGGCAAAAACAGAGCAAACACTTTGGCATCATTCATTTAAAGCTTCTGTGGAACTGTCATTTTTACCCCACAGAGGTAAAAGTGGTTGTTATCATTGTTTTCTAGTTCTGTGGTACATTCATGTCTATCCCTCTCTTAGCCTGGCATTGTTAGGAACTATTCAGTTCATCTCAGTTTTTCAGGGAACACTAGCAACAGTTCCAGAACCTCTGGGGCGCTGATGGCCTAGCAGTTTGAGCACCCCACATATGGAGGCTGTAATCTGTGTAACAGCGGCTGCTGGCCCGACTCCTGGCCTCGACCCTTTCCTGCATGTTTACTCCCACTCTCATTTGTCCTATCAAGTAAAAGCAAGATGGCCCAAAAACACAACTTAAAAAAACACAATACAAAACCATCTATGTAAATCCTCTACCCGGTGGTAGATGATCCGTTTTACAGTTGAAACGAGTTAAAGGTGGGGTAGGCAGGATTCCATTGAAGAAGCATCTTTTTTTGTGGTGTATATACAAAAAAGCTTTTAATATCAGTCAATAGTTCTTGGTTATTGATGACATTTGGGAACAAAACGATATCGCTGTGTTCCGTTATGTCTGTGTAGTCAACATTTTAAATTTTTTTGAGCGGCCTGCTCTTTCTTACTGTAAACAAAGCCATTCTCCGTCACCCCATACCTGATTGGTTGTGAGGCAGACGCTGCTTGCCCGTGTTGTGAGGCACACTCCACGTCCTCGGAAACATTCATGAGCCCAAACAAAGTTACCGTGCTACAATATTGGTCAGTAGAAACCAACCAGAAAGTACGGAAAATTGTCTGAATCCTCCTTTAGCCATG